GGTGCAATCCTGATGAACCACGGTCTCCTGACAGTCGGGAAGACGGTCGACGAGGCTTGCTACCTCTTCGGCTTGATGGAGCGTAGCTGCGACATCGAGCTGAAGGTCATGACCGGCGAGGCGAGGGGTGAGAAGGTCTCCGAAATCTCGCCCGAGGAGGCGGCGTACAATTTTAAGACGTCCGCTGATCCTGAGGTCCTGTACTGGGACTTCCAGCCCGATTACGACTTCGAGTATGAGGCGTGCAATGGTAAGCTCGATGATTTCAAGGGCCTGTAAAAGCGTGTCGGGTAGTACGGTCAACGCATGTATGAATATGTACATCGCCTGTCGCAACGTGATTGGCTCTGCATAGCAGTCAGTTCATTGGGAGCACCGGGTGGCCGATGCTGAAAGCACGGCCCGATAGCCAAGGATCATATCGTTCGTCGACTGCACGCTACAGTTTTGGAGTAGACCTGTGACAATGATGGTGAGAGTCAGGAGTGAGGCGTGCGTACTTCATCATTTTGACTACTGGCCAACAGTGCGAAGGAGATGTCATGATCAGTTCGGCGCCGCAGGTTATTACGACGTCGTAGTTCGATCTGGCAAGCGAGTAACCAACTACACTCGTTGATTCATCTCTGATTTTGGCCCACGTCCCTGCACGATGATCACAACGCAGCCTCAGGCGGGTCGAAGCCAAGCCGCATCGAACATCTGTGGAGTGCATTGCCGTCGGTACCCAAAACCAGCCTGAGATACAGAGGGCTGAACATCCTCATGCACCGATGTCTGTGATTGGATTTTGTCGCTGTTATCGACTTCAGGTGAGAGCTTACTTACCTCTGGCTCGGGCGTACATGGCCCCTCATCCAGAATCGTCCCCATGTTTGCGGGGCCTATGATGGATGTCCCTCTTCCGCCTCGGGTGTGTCTCGGGCATGTACACATCTGCTGTGCTCAGGCTGGTCAAAAGGCCTTGCGGCAGTGCAAGATACTGAATGTCACCCACTGTCGAGCCAATGCCGGTAGAGCGTTCAACTGCTACCATGTAAGAGTCGGAACAACAGCTTCGACGACCAACGTGGCAGTGCAGGATAGAGTGGACAATGAATGCACGGAGTGGAACGTCAGGCCTGCTCATCGCCTCTTGCACCACTGTCTTGAAGGTCGGTTCCGGTGGGTTACTATGGCATTACGTGCTGCGCTGCGATCACCTAGAGACAAGCAGCAGAGAGCCGTCATGAGCTTCGTACAGGTAACGAACACAAGTGGACACTGCGGTTGATCGATACTTACGGTCCCGATGAATTCGCAGTGCCATCCGTGACGGAGCCATCGAAATCAATATGTATCCATATGTCGAGGAACTGCTTAGCCTTCCAACCCCAGTTGACACGCAGTACTGCGCGAGCGTACATAAGCTGAATTGTCCGGCAGGGAAAGGGACTACACTGACCATCCGCTTCGCCAGATCGACCGCCTTACGCCTTCTTCAAAGAACCTTTCAACGCCGCGTCCCGACTCTGAGCCGACAATCTCATGCTTTCCGCGATGATGCACCCTATCTTCACAATTCTCGCGTTCTCAGCGACCTACCTAATCTGTAACGCATTCCATGACCACAAGCTAATCGCATTCTGCGGAATCAGAGATTTGTTAATGGAAACCATACCAAGTGAGCATTACGTATCTTTCCTACGCATATTCACTGACTAGGGCTCGACCAGCTTGTGCAGTTTCCTGTTGGGAAGTGGCAAACTACGGCAATTGCAGCATGGAGATCCCAGATGCGAGGTGCCTGTGTGGTGACCAAACGTTCGCAGAAAGCCTATACGGATGCATTGAAGCCACCTGCTCCCCAGGGGAAGTTGCCGAATACACGAGACATGCTGGCGCTGCCTGCAATAGTGTCGTAGGTGCTCCTGCTACAGTTGCAAGTATACTTGACCGACCGTATTCTACAGGGTATCAACATAACGGCCCTGGAGTCGTTTGTTACGCAGGCAGGGCCTGTATGAGATGAACCACGAGAGCGTCAGCGTATTAATTAATGAACACGAACACGAATGGTACAACCTACTGTCGCGCCCGATATGATATGAACAGTCCCAATTGCATCAGTGAGCTCGGAGCTGCAGATGCCAGTTGGCAGCAAGTTGGCAGTGCGACGCGCCGCTGCGCTGCCCGGCGCCGTCCTCAAAGGGAAGGTCACGTGAACGCAGTCCTTCACTTCGGAACTGAGTACTACTGAGTACTGAGGCGTATAGTTTCGTATTGGTATGTTCTATTGATTAATGCATTCATACATACTAACTACGAGGACATGGCAGATGATACCTAACCCGCCTGACGGTGATACAACGTGGCTGTGACAAGCCAAGTACTGGCACTCACTACTTCGAACACGAACCACCAATGCAACTTGAATCATGATCATCATGTTCCTGCCGCACAGAAACGATGAACTTGTTCAACAAGCCCTGAACCTCTGACCGTCTTCGATTGGATGAGAGGCATTCCCATGCTGGGCTGCATACGACTCATGCGATCCTGTGGTCCATGGCAAGGCCGAATCCGCGTTCAGTTGGAAGCGAACGCTGGCAGAAGCATCACATTCTAGCACCAGGGCGTTCATTCCGGATTTCAAGGTCTGAATCTAATTCCTTTATCATGATGAACAGTTCTCTCATCCACCTCTTTTGTTACCGCGCTTCTGCCGCCCGGAGAGTAGCATCTACATAAACAGTCTGCCCCGGTATACTCGCTCTCAGGTCGCTCTTCATCGAGACCATACTCGGCTTCATCCTATCACCGCACTTGAACTCCCACTAAAAACAGCTTCCCGAATGCGTTTCGCACTTGCCTTCATCGCGCTCGCCGCCAGCCTCGCCACCACGTCCGCGACGGGTCTCTTCAAACGACAGAATCTGCCTAGTATGTCCCTCTGTCCCACTGACGACTGCGTTGCGGATCGCTGACACCCTACATTCTACAGCCTGCGCAGAGAACTGCATCACTAGCGCTGACACCAGCGGCTGCAGTGCGACTAACGAGCAGTGTCTCTGCTCGAGCTCGGCCTTCGTCAACAGCGTCGAGTCTTGCGCCGAGAGCACCTGCTCCGCCAGCGACCTGAGCAGCGCGCTGCAGGCCGCTCAAGAACTGTGCGCAGCAGCGGTATGTCCTCATGCGTCAAATCAAGTACAGACGAGCTCAATATATTGTCCCGTTAGGGTGTGTCGTTGACTCTGAGTGGCTCCATCTCCGCTTCCTCGACGGGCAGCGCATCGGGCTCGGCGAGCAGCAGCAGCGCAACCTCAGCGGGTACTAGCGCCTCGCAGTCTGGGTCGTCCGCGTAAGTGCATCCATAGAGTTCGTCTAGCCGCGCCCCGGGTCTCACGTCCGTTCTGTGCTCCAGTTCTGCATCCGCCACGTCCTCAGCGAGCGGGGCAACATCGAACGCCGTCAACGCCTTCGTGGGCCTGGCCGCGATGGGCGCTGTGGTGTTCGCTCTTTGAGTGCATTCCTCCGCTATCACTGGCTGTGTCTCCGATGATCAGCCGCGGTCCGATGAGAGTAGCTCATAGAAGTATCAAGCACGAATGATATGATATGGCGGTTCTGGACTCTAGGTTATGGCGAAAGCGTATGCCGCCCGACTGCTTGACCGCCGACGCTGCGTTCTGGGCAATATACTTCCATAACATGCTTGAGGTGCCCCCGGACTATCTATGGGTTATTTATATGTTACTGTGAAAGCACTGCGTGTTCGCTTTCCTCTTCAGACTGAGCCGATTTTGTACAATGAGTTGCATCCTACAAGTAGTGAGGAATTGAGCTACTCCGGATGGGCTAGCGTTGAAGTGCGCCTGTGCCTGGAGGGTGTGGCGGATATGCATCACTTGGGACACTTGAACTTACAGCCTAGAACACGTTTGTGGCCGCAACTGATCATCTGCTTAGACACTGTTCGACAGGGGCTACTGGCCGTCGGCAGTGCGCTGGCAGATGGGCGTGTACAACGCTATAGTTGGCCCTCGCCTTTCCCATTATCAAGAGTTCGGCGGAGAACGTCTCCCGGGGTGTAGACTTCCAACGTCATGCGTTGACTGTTCAGAGCGTAGACTACGTTGTCAACAGCACACCGCACTGCTCAGTCCTCTTGTTCACGATGTGAAGCTCTGACGGTGCAAACGAGAAAAGTATATAGAATACACTACACTACTGTGAAAGTCCAGCGGCTACAGAGGGGCGCTCAAGAAACGAGTAAACTCAGAACGTTAACAGGGCGTGACGATGTCCGACGTGATCGAGTCGTGAAGAACCAGCGTGGCATGACGTGCGTGAGAGCAGGAACACAAACCGGCGGAAGAGAGGAGAACGAGAAACGAAGCGGAACGAAACCAACGAGTCGAAACGAGACCAACGAACGAAAGGCGACCTGAATGGAAGACACGCCCCGCGCCAGCGCGCTCAAACGAACTCGCCCCGCTCGCCCGTCGCCTCCCTCCTTGGCTTCCCCTCGTCAAAGTCCGCGAACGGATCCGCCGCCTTCGCGCCGTACCTGCCATATGTCGCGATATCGTCCTCGCTGTACATCGGCGGCTTCGCGCCGCCGTACGGCAGGTCGCCCTTCGCGCCGTCCGCCTCGTCGTACGGGGGCACGGCGTGCGGCGCGGGCGCGTCGTAGCCGAGGTATGGCGGGTTGTAGTGCGAGGGGAAGCCCTGCGCGCCCGCCCCCGCGCCGTCGTCGAAGTCGCGCGGGGGGACGGCGGCCGGGCCGGGCCGGCGCGTGACGTTGGCGGCGCTGGTGGGGTCGAGGAGTTGGTGGTAGTAGGCGAAGGAGAGCATGCAGAAGAACGCCGCGAGGACTACGTTTGCAAGTGCGTTAGCGGGAAGTCGTTAACGGAATGGGAGCGACGTACGCATCTCGATGATGAGCGAAATGATTTCAACAGCGGAGTCGTGGCTCCAGATGCCTTTGCAGTCTAATGTGGGTGTAAGTAACCGGCGGAGTAGGTATATGCGTAGAGACCATCGACGACTTACAATCGTTGGCTTGACCGGCACTGAGCTTCGTGTCGAACGTTGGGCCCCAGAAGCCGTATTCCTGTGTACGAAATCAGTTGACCAAAGGCTGAACTCATTGTATGATTGTCAGTGCTCACGTAGACGACAACATCACCGGTTGCAATTCGTGTACATTCGTTGATCAGGTCGTTCTGTCCACAGAACCTTTATGATCCCGGTACGCTATCCAAAGTGACAACTACTGACCTTCAAGGTGAAGTGTACAATGACCCGCATGAACCCAGCCGCGACGGCTGCCAGCGCAGAGCCAACGGACAGCAAGGCGTAAATCCGTGCCATCCATAGCCGTTGCTGTTGCATATGCATGAATACTGATGCCGGGGCTCGGACGACTCGCCATGCTCACCGAAATAGCGGCCATGACGCCGAATGCCTCGATACCTGTGACGACAGCGTATATGATACCCAGCACGACGGCGAAGGTTGCGAGCTTGTTGGCCTCGTCTGCGGAGAGCCACGCATGAATACACGATGGTGTAGGCTGGCCAGCGGGTCACTTACAATGCTTGTCTGCTGTTACACTGCGGAACGACCCAATCTATGACGTGCTGCGTGACCATCTGCGCATAGAGCGGAGAAGACGAGACTCACGCATCTACAAGTGGGTATCCCGTCAGCGAATAGCTCAGGATGCGAAACGAAGAACGACTCACGCGAGCAACGACCATATTGCGGCTATGAGCGCAACTGTGTGCCACCGCCGATGTGTTCATGACAGACCACTCGAATTCAAGACAGCTTCACTCACCAGCGCCCACTACCGGCCGCAAGTTGTATGCGTACGCTCGCCGGAGAACCATGGATGGCCCTAGTTGTGAGAGATACAGATGGGGTCGCAGGAACGGAGGCTCTCAGTATGTCGCTTGCAAGCACGCGGAGGGGGCGAGGTACCTTGTGTCGGGGGTGGTCGTGAGTTCATCGTTAGCCAGTCGTCGGGTAGCGATAAATAGTGCAGCTATGGCCTAGTGACGGGCCAAAACACGTTATGCCGGTAGGTACCTGAGCCTTTGTCACTGGCAGAGGCGCTGGAGGTAGTACAGGTGCGGGCGGGAAGCGGTGAGGATGTGGAGAAGGAGTACAGGTGCGACTGCGGCGCGTTGCTCGTTGGGTGGCGGAGGGCGTGCACCGCTTGCCGCAGCAGACAAAGACAAGGTTGGACAGCGCAGGCGGCGAGCTGAGATCTCAGAGGGGCTGTCGACCGATGCGGCAGAGCTACTTATTGTTGGGCTGCCACCGCGCCACCGCTGTCCATCGCCGAGGTCCTCATGGTCAAAGTCCGCGGCGGTGCCCATCTATCTAAGCCTTGGACAGAAACATCGACGGCAGCGTGGAAACAGGCCTGCACTCGGTGCAGGGAATGGCATCATTAGAAATTATGCGTCTGAAATACTAGCTATGCGAGCAGAGTACATGAGTCCAGTCCGTGGGAGGTCCGTTCTGCATGAGCGAGAGAGCAACAATCCGATGCGCGAGCGTACCACGAAAAGGAGAAAAGAACAAGCCAACTTCCGAGAAATATGCAGTCAATCCTGTCCATGTCTATGCAAATCCAGTCCACTCACTGCTCAGCCCGCGCGCGAAAGCAGCACCCGGTCAATCGCCTCGTTCACCACCCGCTTGCGCGCCGACAGGTCCATCCAAAAGCGCTGCTCCAGTTTCGTCCTGATCTCCCGCTTCGTCGTCGTCGCGAGATCCAGGCTGCGGACGAAGGGATTGGACGATCCGGAGCCGTCCGCCGGGGGTCCCTCGCCCGCACTCGTGCCTCGGAGGAGCGAGACGAAGTCGGGGTTGAGTGCCTCGAGATTGCGCTCGAGAAAGCTCTCCGAGGAATGGGTAACGGGGCCAGCGAAGTGGTTGACGGTGAACGTGGGGAAACCGGTGCGGTCGATGGAACATGCCTTGACTGACGAGTGGTTGCCCCACCGCTTCGTGAACGCCTCGACCATCGTGTGATTGCTCTTCTTCGGTAGACGACGTGCCTAATCATCCATGATGTGAATCAGACCGCCTGGCTTGTTCTGCAGTAAACGAAGGCATTCCGAGTTGTCGAAGTAGGGCGCCTGCGGAACGCGAGATCCCCTCGCTATTGTACTCGGCGACGTGGCTCTCGAACAACTCCCTCTGTATCGGGTTCTGCAGTCGCTCGTTGGCAAAATTGATGCAGAACTGGTCGAGGGAATTCGGCCGGCTGGTGAGGTTCTGTGGTCCCGGGAGGTCGAACACTGACAGGCCAATGAAGGTGTTGAAGTCGTCGCGGCAGAGACGTTGTTTGATGTGCTCGTTAAGCCGGGCAAAGAGGAGAGCATACAGCGATTTAGCGAGCTCATCACGGTTGTCGGATGGCCATCCGGGTCGAGGCTCAGGAACAGGGACGAGAGTCGCAGTGCGAGATGGGTGAGCGAGGAAGCGCACGCGTCTGGCGGCCACGCCGCATCAGGGAGCGCGCGACTGTGCCCACGTGGGTCCCCGGCAATTGCCGGGTACTGTGCAGTTGCAAGCCAGCCACACATTCCTGCGATTTCCGCATTCGTCACTAACGTCGGCGCCGGCCTCAGCAAGATCAAGCTTCAGGTGAGTTGTGAATGCTGTTCTGAAGCGTATGTGGTACTGACATCGAGTTCTCGTAGCATTCGCAATGGCCCAACGCGTCACGCTCCGCAAGCGTAACCCCTACAACACCACTTCCAACCGCCGACGGGTTGTGAAGACGCCAGGCGGCAAGCTCGTCTACCACCACATCAAAAAGCTTGCGACCGCCCCCAAGTGCGGAGACTGCGGCATCGCGCTGCCGGGTGTATGTCCCATACCTGCACCCATATGCGAATTACCGAATAACGGAGGCTTTTTAGATCATTGCCCTCCGGCCCCGCCAGTACGCGACCGTGTCGAAGACGAAGAAGACCGTGCGCAGGGCATACGGTGGCTCGAGATGCGGTGACTGCGTCAGGCAGCGGTACGCCCTCCTCCTCCTAATCCGCCTGCAGTCTCACTGAAATTATTGGTGTGTAGCATTCTCCGGGCATTCCTCGTTGAGGAGGCCAAGATTGTCAAGAAGGTCATCAAGTCGCAGCAGAAGCCGGGCAGGAAGTAGATCGTCCTCTCCCTCCTCTGCTCTGGTGTGCGGTGCCGCGGAGCCCATGTTCATATGCACATGCATGTATATTACCTACCCATGACCACGTATCGATACATAAATAACGTGCAGCGTGTGATCGATTTATTAGAGACGCTGCAGATATATGTATGCGCCTTGTATGTAATGCACCTGCCTCCGTCGCTCTGTGAGACCATCCAGCTACGCTTCACGTAAGATGGCAAGACTATCTTCTGCTCAAGACTACAAGAGTCTGCTCGACAAATACGACACCTGGCTCTTTGACTGCGACGGCGTGCTCTGGCAGGGCGATCGCCTAGTCGACGGTGTGCCCGAGGCTCTCAACCTCCTGCGTACGCACAAGAAGCGCATTCTCTTCGTCACGAACAATGCAACCAAGTCGCGCAAGAGCTACAAGAAGAAGTTCGACCAGCTCGGGCTGGAGGCCCAAGTCGTGAGTGCCCTGCTGTCCTCTCACCGCGATCCCGCCGTGTACCGCGCACCAGGATGAGGTCTTCGGGTCCGCATACGCGTCCGCCGTCTACCTCTCCACGGTGATGAAGATGCCGAAGCACAAGAAGGTGTACGTCGTCGGCATGAAGGGCCTCGAGGAGGAGCTCGAGGAGGAGGGCATCCAGCACCTCGGCGGCACGGTCAGTCGCGCTTTCCCTCCCCGTCCGCTCGCACCCACAGCGCACAGGACCCCGCAGACAACACGCTCGCCGAGTTCCACCTGAAGGACTTCCAGCCCGACCCCGACGTCGGCGCCGTCCTCTGCGGGCTCGACACGTCCGTCAACTACACCAAGCTCTCCAAAGCGTTCACCTACCTCCGCCGCCCCGGCGTCGTCTTCCTCGCGACGAACATCGACAGCACGTACCCGAGCGCGGACGGGCTCCTCCCGGGGGCGGGCGCGATCAGCGCGCCGCTCGCCTGTGCGCTCGGCCGGGAGCCGCTGAGCATCGGGAAGCCGGCGGAGACGATGATGGACTGCATAAAGGCAAAGTACGCGGCCAGGCTGCCCACCGCGATCGACTGTGTGCTGATGAGGGCGCAGGCACCAGTTCGACCCCACACGGGCGATCATGGTCGGCGATCGCCTCAACACGGACATCGAGTTTGGCAACCGCGGAGGGCTCTCCACGCTGCTCGTGCTGACGGGTATGTATCCCGCAGAACGCTTCGTGGCCACTCGTTCTCACCGCACACCCACAGGCATCACCCACGAGTCGGAGGTCGTCGGCCCCCACGCATCGACCACGGTTCCTACCTACTTCACGAACTCGATCGGCGACCTACGCGCTGCGATCTCATGATGGGCGGATGCTGTCGAGTCTGCGGATGGATGCACGAAGCTTACCAGAATAGACGCAATGTATGTATAGAACGTGACATACTTAGAGGATGTGCGATGGGTAAGAGGACTGGGTTTCGTCCTAGGTCGCTCTATTTCAAGCGAATCGGTCAGCCGCGCTGCCAGCCAGGCGGTCGCTAGTAAAGGCGGGAGGAGTGTGACAGAAGCAAAGGGGCATATTGTTGTATGCGGGCTTCGCACCGTAGGTGGCGATCGCGTCAGACTTGAACCGAGAGCGGCGAACTGCCTCTCCGAGTGGGCGGCACGGGTTGCTTAGCGGTGCACAAAGCGTCAACTCCAACAGGGCATGTATTGACTGGCACTATCTATGCCGGCTCTTGGGCTGCTTCGCAGACGTGAACGGACGCGCAAGGAGGTCCGTCTCCGCCAGCCACAGCACCGTGCTCACGAGTAACGCTGCCAGTGAACCGACGACGTAGCCAGAGATGGCGCCATACGCCGAAGTCAATGGCCACGCCTGTCGGACTATTGTGAGTGGGAGCACGATAGATGTTAGGAGCCAACCGACCTGCCATGGTCGCTCCCAGTCAAGGCCTATCGGTATTGCACCGGACCAACACCCGAATACGGCCCCTATGGCAGGATACACTATGGCGCGCTCGATAGCAGTCCTCGGTCTGTATGGGAGATGACCATGAGGTTGCGGTGAGAAAGGATACGCAGGTAGTCAATACAGCGAGGCGATGTCAGACGCACCTGAGCTCTGCGAAGAGCCGGATCCAAGTCAACCTAATCACTAATGCTTCGGTCCTCGATCCGAGCGTGGGTGCACCCAGGATGTAGGCAGGCGTCCACGCTATGAGTAGCGCGAGAAGCAGCGCGAGGAAGTAGGTGTGCAGAGCATGACTTCACACGGGTTTTAGATAGACGAGGGTTTGAGAAGGCAAGCCTGCGTACCTACCTCGCAAGGGGTGCCCCGAAGAGCACGATAATCACATAGAACGCCAGGGACGCAGCGAATGTCGTCAGGGACGCGTGCCTAATATCCTGTACAACCCGCGATACGAGGACGGCGTCAGCCGCATGCCCGTGTGCTTACGCGGTGGGTACTGACCACGACTCGCTGGCTATTGAGCACACTCCGGTCTAACTTGTGTTTGCTCACTTCTGCCGCGTCCCTGCCACCTTTGAGTTGCAGGCTCGCTTCGCGCGACCACGACTTGATACACGCGGCCCACCAGGGCTGCAGGAGCAATGCTCCCGCACAGAGCCATGAGACCGTACTGGCGGGATTGCTGGTCAGCAGATGGAGAGCGTCCGGAGGTGCCTCGCCACTCGGGGCCGTGCTTTCCGGACCAGTCTCAAAGAAGTTGAGAGATGTAAAGAATGACAGAGAAGAGCGCGGCAGATACAGCGCGGTGAAGCCCAGCAAGCAGGTGTGCACGCCGGTCACAGAGGCATACCGCGCGAGGGGAAAGAACGGCGTAGGTCCAGGATCAGCTCGAGGTTGTTTCGCAGCGGCTTGGGGGTCCAATGTCTTTGGAATCGCTGTCTTCGCGACTTGCGCTTTTCTGAGGCGAAGGGGAGGCTGAGACATCGCGGTGAGAGGCAAGCTGCAAGACACGATCCCAAATCGGACGCGCTCTACTATGTACCACGTGACGTTTGCGCAGCGTCACAGGGGACGTCGACGCTCGACTGACAACTTTATGTCCTTGACCACCATGTGCTGCAGTCTTCGCTTCTCTCTGTTTTGTCGGTGTTGGTCGCGACTTCAGTCGCACTGGCCGCCGCGCGACACAAAGGCCTAGCGTCTTTTTTGTTCAGTACATCGCTTCGATGTGCTCAGTCACTCATCAAATTCTCTTCTTTTAGCACACTAATTTGAGCACAGACTTGGCGCAGACGCTCAGTGTGGACCTGCAATATCGTCACCGCATGCTCATGAACGATGGCGATTCATTTCCATCGAACTGATCTTCATTTCCGGTACGTATGTACGTGGTCTCAGCGTCACTAACCGAGTTCCTGTGGCATAGCCAAGGATGAGCGAGGCGCCTCGGGTAAAGGCACGATACATATCCAGCAAGTCGGTCGGGTGCAATGAGCGGATAGCGAAAGACGCACAGGCAACGAATCGGACGATCGAGACGCAGCTATCAGGCTGCGACATCCATCGTGGAACGTACCCTCTCTTCTGTGGCGTCGGAGTCGGGTGTAAGAACTAACATTCCTCGTTGTCCGGTTGCACAGACTTGAAGACGTCGCCAGGCTGCGCCGTCGCGTGCAACTAGAAACTACCGTACGTTTCCAGTCCTCGCAGCAGATCCCCGTGTTCTAGACTTTTCGAGTTCCAGGCCAGATTGCAGCGTAGAACAACCAGGCGTCACGTCCGCGTACCCAAGAGGCCTGAGAGCTAGCTACTATGTTCGGAATCCTGACCGATATTGCGCTAGTCGCGCCGTTTGCCGCGCAGGTGTCTAGGAACGAGACGTCAGAGCGCTCCGCTCCCCAATAATCCCATGCTGTCTCAAGGGCCCACTCGAATGGTGATTCTGCGGGAGACCGTCGCTGCCGTCGTTGGGAACCAGTCTCCCGAAACGCGCTAGCTTTGCAAGTTTTCGAACAGGCGGAATGCGCGTGGCAGGCGATCTTATCGTTTAGATCTCCGTGTCTCGATGCTGACATGGCTTTTCGGTCTGACCATGAACTCGTAGAACGCATCGTCCACTGATTTCTTCTCAATTAGGACCGCTGTTCGACAACTCCCGCGTGAAGCATCCGTCTCACTCGATCGGCACAGCTGACTTTCTTCGATGATATACCGCATAATCCTCGCAGGCTGTCGGAGAAGGGTCGAAACGGAACATGCATAACGATTGAACCCAAACTTGATAGCCTACAGCACTTCACACAATAACTTGCATGTACAGCCAACGATGCAATACCCCCGCCGATGATCGCAGGAATCCTGTTTCTTCCCACAAATCGAAATCTGCAGATGGCTTCCCAACCAGCTTTGGATGACTGTTCGACGGGCAGAACTGCTCGCCTAGGTGCGTTGGGGGAATCCCGTATGCATGGAGACATGCTGCAACCTTTCCGAGCGTTCTCTGACGCGGGCATCTTCGTCCACAGATCTAGCTTTGAAAGCCACGTCCCAGGTGGTCTTCGCCATACGATACCCGACGTGATTCGTCCGCGGACTGGGCCCCTCGACTTTCTTCGGCGAATTGATCAAGTTGAGGTATTCTTCCTCCAATTGGCGTGCGTCTTCGGCGTAGATATCTTCTTGATACATTCGTTCTAGCTCGAGCGGGTCTAAATCCCGAATCCAGAGGCGGTACGCCAGTACTTCTTCAACCTTCTCTTCCAACTGTCGCTGATACGCTAACAATTGTTGGGCTTCGTTGCTGACGATGAACCGCGACACGTGGTGGTCCTTCTCTGATTGAGGCAGGCTTGTCAAGGAGGCTTCCTCGTCCGACAGGTAGGAGGTCGGAAACCGTATCTCTTGTGCCTTGGCGACGGCCTCCGGGTCAGGATTCGCATGGAATGGCAGCCGCAACAGTTTCGCTCCCTCTAATTCGGTGGTTTTCAAGACGACTCCGTGGATATCCGGTAGGAATGCCAAGTCGTCGATCTGGCTGGTTGTCAGTAATCTGTGAACATCGTAAACAAGGCGAGTTACCTGACGCATATTGGAGACTAGCAGCTGGGTCGATGGGCTATGCTGCTTGAGCAATGTACATATTGCTCTGATCTCTCTAGGCGCTGCCCCGACAGCCCAGACGTCTCTCCAGATGCTGTCACGCGTCGCATTTCCAGCTGTAGACTCAGTCCTGGCCGCCCAAGATTTCAGCCCGTGAAACCACTGCGAGACTGTGAGCCTACACAGAGAACGTACGCTGTCACTTGACTTACCTTTTCGTGGTCGATACTGATGATGTTTGTCCCGGTTTCCAAACACACTGCGGCATGCATCACACTCGATACAAGAGTCAGATTAGTGCGGATTCCATGATCGTGTCGGAGACACTTCGCAGCGTACATGCCGCTTGTAGTAGCTGGAATCTGCGAGACACGTTGTCGTAACATCACACGGTGCGTGTTTGATTTGACTCACCGAGATTACCAGACGATCAGCGGCGATGTCGTGTTTTTCTCCGAACAACTTGACTAGTCTTAAAGCCTGTTCGACCATCAGCTCAGTATTGCCCATAAGAGCGGGGCTCAAATATGTGAAATGTAGGCCAGTTCGACTGCGACCAGCTATGCTCGCACCCATATCCACTAACTGGCGGCTCATCAGCAATTGCGAAGGCGGAGTGCAAGGCCACACTCACGAAGCGTTCTAGGACCATATGACGCAACGTAGCGCGATCTCGGATGTTCGGGCTTACACTGACGGTGAGTCCAGTTACGGCCTGAATGTAACCAACCGCTTACCTCTCGTTCACGACATATTCAATTGTCAGCAGCAACGCTTCGTCGACAAAGCCCCTCTTGGTCATCTTGTACATGGTGGGCGCGTCGAGCATTGTTGCATCGTGCATACGCTCGTCAAGTGCTGCAGAAGACACATGCTCAGTGCCTATCAAGTTGAGTTACTGGCTAGGATCAGTCACCTCCGACTCGAGTCGTTCGCCCAACAACTGAGATTCCTCGCTGCCGCAGACCTTCCAAGAGCGTCGGAAGCCCAGCCGAATGCAGGGCCACCCGCTGGAGCCATACACTTTGCGACCCTCCTTCACGTGCTTCTTCCTCACGCGCCTTCAATACTGCTTGGTAGATCGACGGTGGAATCTTACGTGTATCTCGCACGTTGATGAAGTCCTTCACGCGGTATTTCGGTCGAGGAGGTGCAGGTCGGAGGGGCTCGGGTAAGTCCAGATTGTCGTGCATTGTTGTGAGGCGGAGAGAACTAGGTTCCAGAGTTGTCGCCCGTCGATAGCGCGCTGGAGTGTTATGCTCTTCAGGCTCGACACTTGCTGCCCTCTCGTAGTTTCTCCGGACATTACGTTCAGCCTCCTCATCCGGCTCGGAGTCTTCATCTTCGCCAGGTTCAACGCTTGTCTCTGGACCAACATACCCCTCGCCCCCCTCGGGCTCGACGCTCGCCGCTCTGGTGTAGTTGGCTGGCTTCTCCCGATCTTCCGGTTCTACACTTGATTCTTGCTCGGGTTCCGTTGACATGCCGTCTTCGTCGCTGAGTATATGATCGTTCGTGCGGTGAGCACAGTATCTTGCTGTCGTCCTAATGTTCGCCATGGCTTCTATGCAAGAGACTTAACGTGACGAGGTAGAGCAGACAAGGTAGAGCAGAGAAGGACAGGCACAAGCGCTCCTTTGGGGACGTCCTATTATGTTCGATGCATTGTGGCTCTCGGGCTGTGGCCAAGTCGTTCGGGTATCGCCCGCCACCTCACTTGCCTTTTTTGGAACTGTTGTTCTTTGTTCGTTTCTGGTTGGATCCGTATAGCAACGAGACAAAACAACGCCTTCCTTTGTTGCGGTTTCTTTGTTGCGGGCTTGCTTTCAATGCGCGGGCCACTCGTGTTAACTAGGGGCAGCCTGTGAATTGTGGCTAGTAACTTAGGGGCGGCGCAGGCTCGGGCGCGCCGCCGCACTAGTACTGCGCAGATACGAAGCCTACAGCTGCCAGATTGCGGTCCGGTCGCTGTCTTGAACGCGTGTCGACCATTCACGGTGACCTACACGAGGCTCCTCGCTTTGTGGCTTTTCCGCCGATATGATGGCCCCGGAGCATATTGAAAACGTGTTAACAGCCGCGTCCGATGACTGTGCGCCCGGATCTTCAACGCAGGTGTAGTCGGCACTATATGCCTGGGTGATCTGCTGACAACGTAGAACTGGACGTTAGAGGTAGGTGAACCTACGCGCGGGAGCAAACGGCGCGATTGAGTAGACCATATGCCGGTGCTTACATATGTCTGCTCCAAATCGGCCTCTTGTCGACGTCCGCAAACGTCTCAAGGTGGATAGGACTCCAATATAACCGTGAAAGCTATTTTCAGCAAAGTTTGCCACTGTGATAGCCTGTATCGCGCAGGTCAAATTCCTCCGAATATTGTTGATTCCATGACCAGACTAGCCTTGTCGAGATCGCCTCCGGGTGCGTGCCACTCGTGACGCTCAGGCCTGTCCTTGCGGTCTAAACCATCTACTAGAGCTTCTCTGTCCTGGATACCAATCAGCCGGGAGGAAATTTGAAAGGATGGATTCTCACCGCGGAAGCAGCAACGTCGACGGTCAAGAATGTAGGCATGGTCCCCGATTGTACATGTTGCCATCTGGAGCCTAATGCATGCATGCATCGTGCTTACGCCCGCCACCGCCCTAAGTCCTACGCTCCACATGTCGCAGAATGACCACTCGAATGTCGCAGAATGACCACTCGAACCACAACTCGCTAGTGGCTACGTCGTAGAGGAGCCCAAGTTATCAGTGAAGCTATGCGGCGCGGGTCGACTTCCATCTCGCACGATCAGCATCTGTGGATGCTCCCATCGGATTTGTGGCCCATTGAATCTAAAGGCTGTTCAAGCGACTGAATATGATGTCTAGGGCGTCATCATCGCTAGATCAAGCATAAGCGAGATATTTCCTGATATTTCACGCTCGGGAATGCGGCGTCAATTCTGCCTCGTCGAGGATAGTCTGAGTGGCTTCGCCCTCACCTATGCCAGCAATCTCCGCCTTCCTTGCAGTCTCGGGCCAGCCCACCATTGGAGCAATATCGGGCAAGTGGGTCTGCGGGTCGTCAATCTCGCTGATGATAGAGTTGGGAGCGGCAGGCAACATCGCAGTAACGTACCAAGCGTTCAGCCGTCGTCGACCCTGAATTTTAAAATCCACCTGGCAAAGACCGCCGCAAGCTTCGCGGAAGCAGCATCAACGAAGACCCTGAGTCCTGATTAATGAGTCAGCCAATGTGCGGTAATATTCCCGGCGTCGTCACGGCGCATAGCTGCCACTCGATGACAGGGAAGGGCAGCGAGCGACGAGGGCACTCGGCGTTTTGCCTCCCATACTACTTCACTGGACGAGCGCTCGCGAACATCGATATCTGCTGTGGTTCTGTAGTTGAGGTTGACAGTCAGTGCGGCAATCTCAGGGACCAAGGGAACTCACGACTCCAAACGCATCTACTTCTGGGTCGCGATGCTCAAGGATCGCAGGCGAAGCTCCCGCTGCCCTCGTACCCCCTGCGGACGCAAAGACGGCTATGAACTTGGCAACGAGCAGCGAACTTGAACGCCGCGCACTTCGCTTGGATTGCTCCCGCGCCCAGAACGATGACAAGCCGGACCCGTTCAGGTATAGCGCGGAATCTGAGTTCGTGGAGCCTACATGCTCAAGGAGGGAAAAGACCGTTAAGACACCGACGGCGCCCGGCACACGAGCAATTGTCGAGGAGCTCCATCTGCATGACAAGGCACGATCGACGCGTACAATGAGACTTTGCCTACCGGATCTTGGGTATGATGCTGAGGACTGACGCACCGATAATTGCGGGACTTATCATCTCAGGGCGAGCGAACTCACACTTGACGCCTCATTGCGTAGCAGAAGGCAATCTGGTTGCGGCTTCCGCGAGAGTGCCTATACAAAACGTAGAATGTCATGTCGTTTGCCCACGACGGTGAAGAATCATGCAGTTGCTCATTGACCAAGGGTCGACGTCTCCGAGTCCGCGGTCCGGCCTAACGGCGCAAGACATCCAAAGCGGCGTCCTACTTACTCATCACTGCAACGCGTAGTCGGCTCCGGAGATAGTAGAGACCCATCGGATGATGATAACTTCGAAGGACGCAATACTATCGGCGGCGTGTGACGTGGGCGGCGACGCCTCTCATGTGTGACTGCAAGGACTGAGGTGAGATGTAGGTACTCCCGAAACGGTCCAACGAGCACCTACAGCCGGCGGCGATCTGGTCTCGGCCACGGAGACCTGGAACTTCGGTGCAACAGTTTCGGTGCAACAGTCGGCAAGCAGCAACGAGAATCTAAGACGGTCGACCGGGACTTTCGTGCGACGTGGGGAGAATCCACGGTTCGCGCAACAGAGAAGCCATTTAGAGTTAGTTCCAAGAAGATCAGCCGGATTCAATGGATGAGAAAACATCGCATTAGATAACACGAGGACCACATGGGCAAGTTCCCGACGCAATCCGATTCGAGGACCACCAATTACTCTATGCTGACAGGACGCCACAACATAGAGACCGCCGTCCGTGAGCTTGCAGGACGGGAAGAATTTTGATTGTTACAGTAGTGAGACAACAGTACGCAAGAATCAGAGTTCGGAGCGTGCAACAGAGCAAGACCAAAAACACAGCAATAGGATGACACAGAGGATACCAGAGCCAGAGTAAAATGCCCACGGCGGGGAGAATCAGGTACCGTTCACTCGATACCGCGGTCATGGCCGTTGTGTCGAGTAGGTTTGCCAATGGTTCAACGACGATTGGCTGCCTGCGAACGACGGCAATGAGGCCGAGTACCCGTTTGTATGAGAAAGAGTATGACCCTGAATGGATGGTGATGTCAGCTGCTGGCTGCCGCCCATACAACTAGCACATACATGATAAGAATCTTCTTCTACCTTGACGTACTCGTACTGACCTGGCGCCTGTCCATAAGCCGCAAGCAGCGAGGACGAGTTGGTGGATGACGTAGGGCGGTGGTGTGAATGCAAGGTTGAGGGAGGGGTATAGTCGCAGGGCTGTGAAACAAAACTGTTACTAGGATCCCGAGTTCTATGCGCACAGGTACATAGCGCATGGGTAACGCGAGGGACTGATACTCGCCGAGAACGGTGAATTTGACGCGGTGCTAGTGCTCGAGCTCGACGGAGTGCCGGGCATTTGATACATCCCGTACGACGTGAGCGTCGATGACGACGTCATTCTCGGGTAGATTCCTACTTGGGAGGACGGTTGTGTTTGGGGCGAGGTTGACGAAGGAATGAGTAGAGGCGGGGGAGGGCTGTGAGTATGCCCGTTCTGCGCTTGCTACGAAGACGGACCGAGTCAGCATCACCATGATACACAATTGTCGTAACAGCACCTACCAGATAGACCTGAGACTCAGTAAGCCTCCTCCGCCTTGACTCATAGTCACTGCGATCATACGGGCTCGTAGAGATAGTCCCATGTCGCCGCCCGAGGTCAGGACGGAGGCGAGCATTGCGATCCTCGAGCTGCCGGCGAAGTTCGCCGAGTTCGCGATGGAGAAGTTCGTTCTCTTCTTCAAGCTCACGGATGCGGATGACAGGTGCAGGAAGGGCCGCGACCTGCTCGGGAGAAAGCGCGAGCGCGACTTGCAATTTCGTCACAGTGGTCTCGAGCTGGATTGATGGGATGAGGGTCGGCTGCGTGACTTGGACAAAACCAGTCTCACCTGCTCTATGTACGCCTTGCGCTTGGCGCGATGCCGTGCCTGGGCTGGCGGAGTGGCATGCGCAGGTGAGTGGCGGTGTGCGCACACGGTGGACAGAGGACCGACCTTTGGCATTCCTGGAACGCTCTGGACGGTCAGTCGGGTCGGCAACGGATTCAGTACTGGTGCGGGAGACAGGCATGGGCGTCATGTAACGTAACTGGGAGGGGATGCGAAGGTGATCGGGGATGGAATGGGAGGCAGGATCAGAGCAGGTACAGTTATTATAGGACGAACCGCAGGGCAAGGAGCCGCCCGTCACCGAGATATTGGCGGGTCCGCTGCCAGTGCGCGGGCTGATTGGGAAGAATCTCGCAGGGAGGAAGGTGGGAGCCCGAATGCAGCAAGGGCAGCCCCTGCGCGCGGGAGTGGTCTTCGCTTCGCAAGGCGGTGTCTCCAGCAGGCGGACTGGCGTGTGCCGCATCGCGCGCGAGATACAGAAAACAGGTTCCGTTCCATCAGCATCATCCTATCCCAGCCGTCCCATGCCACTCTTCTGCTGGCGAATCCGATAATCACATATTCGTTTCCACTCCCGCTCTCCTCCGTCGCTCCGTCCAAGCTCCGGCCTCCTCCTGCCTATTCCACCCAACTCCGCGACCGCCCTTCTGCGCCGCTGGATCGCGTTGTGGGTCCATATCAGGCCTGATTGCTATCACCGGCAGCGGCGACGCCTGGCGACGCCCTTCTGCGGATCCCGCGTCGCTGCCAGCCATCCTGCGCACGCAGGGAAGTGGGCCTGCTCGCGTTGGGAGACGATGCGCGTACTCGCAGTGGCAGACGTCTGACACGCCCTGATGGGCCTCCTCCTCGGAACATCCCGACTTTCTATTAGTCCTCCCCGCCCCGTCGCTTATATAACGTTTGCCTTTTCGGGCTAGCAACATCAGCGCCCCGCTCGTTGTTCGACACGACGCTGGGTCATCCGCGCACAGTAAAGCCTCAATGCCAGTTCGACCGCAAGCTCAGGCCGCGATAGTCCGGGCACTATACGGTCAGTAGATCTCCGGCAATTCACAGATGGGGACACTCCGAGTGGCAAGCGCGAGACTAAGCCACTCTTGGTGGCTCGGCGCAAGGACTTATTAGTCAAGAGGACACTTGCGCGGGCTGTGCGAAGCAATCACTGCAGAGATCCTGGTCGCAGCTTCCCAGTTATCCAGCGCCATATCCTGAGACTCTCTTGAATCAGGAAACGCGGGGGTCCGAAGCTTCCAACCGAAATGACTGACGTGCAATGTCTAGGTCCGGGACCCTTTCGAAACCAAGTTGGTATTCCGGGATACATGCATGCTCACCCAGCGTCTGTAGGATCCATGCATCGAGCCGCCTGCGTCGCTTGTGACCTGACGCGCATGATTCAGGGTGTGCGATTTGGCATAGCGCAGGAACCGCTAGGCAGCCACGCACGAAGCGGCACGACGTCCTCTGTGTGGCAGACAATGCGCTACACCGGTGGACACCCGTCAGCAGATCGCCCTGCCACTCCGAAAAAATGGTGAGAGCACACTGTTCACGTCCTAGTGTTCGTACGCGCGCGCATTAATCGCACAACTCCGAGATCCAACCACTTCAGCGACACGGCATGATCCATCCAGTGCGGGAGCTGGCGCCCCGCGCGCAGTGAAACAACGGCGGTTGTGGTCTTCAACGCGTCAACGACCCGGTCAGCAGCCGGCAACGGTGTATGCCCGATCGAAGGTAACGGGGTTTGCCAGACCGACCAAGATGCGCTATGCTAAGTTGCAGCTCTCGGTGAAGGGTCCCTCAACGGACGCGAGCTCGTTGACCTCGCCGGTGGTATCGTGCAGGCGCACAACGGCTCTTCCATTCAATGAGTATGCTCGAGACAGCGCGGAACGCGGCACCCCGTCCTCCCTCGCCATCGTCCGTGGCCTAGGCAAAATGGGACAAAGTTCCTGACAGTCGCGTCGCCACCACCACCGGCTGTCCACTGAGCACCGGCTGAAGCGCTAGGGTACCCCGGCGTTCAGCCCGCACAGATCGTTGTCCTAGGTCAGTCAGCAGATATTTATACAGAGCGCACGCACGTCTTCCGCGCTTGACGGATGCCCAGGCGCCCTTCTAATTCACTTGTCATGGGCTCCTATCGTCAGATCCTACCAATTCACGACGGACAGCCAGACAAACAAGAAGGCAAGCTGCCCTTAATGCAGCAGTCATCCGCCGACGTGCCCGAAGAGGTCCATAAATCGCGAATGAAGTTTCATATATGTCGAGGAAGCTGCGGAGCAAGAGGGGGCGCAGAGGCGCATCTAGGAAATATATATGCGCATCAATTGCAGCAGCTCACGTCTCTATGGCAGGCAGGGCCGAAACGATGCGCTTACCGGCGGAATCCGACACCACAGGGCGGCGCCTGTCGAGGCTGAATCTCGCAGACCAGCGGGAACTGACGCTGGAAACGCTACACGCTCCCTGGACGACGGGAGACGCAGACATCCTGCGCGGCAAGTAGGGTCGATTCTACAAGACGCCCTGTGTGCCGCCAACACGCCTGTCGCAAGAGAAGCTCATTGAGCGAATTTCAACAACCCTAAAGAGACCTAAGAAGCGCACCATTGAGGTGTGTAGGCGCAGGACGCGGGGGCTTGATAGACTTGGGACGGCAAGGCGACAGCGTTCAGACTCTTACATCCGGTGATGGGCCACAGGGCTCCATGAAAGCGCACTCGGGCTCGCTATGGGCTTTGCGAATGTGGAAGGTGCGGGCGGACATGCTGTTCTTGATACCAACGAGAGGCAGTAGTCGGCGGCTTCCAGGGTCCTTGCCGCCGGCGTAGAGAGCCAAAACAGACGAGCTATACCCCGGGTACCGGCTAAATATCGGTGTTGGGTCTCCCATGAGTACCCTGGTAGGAGAGATCAGTTCGTGCTAGCTACGGCCCGGGAGCAATTACAAAGAGGGCGGCGACTCACCACCAACTCAAAAAGCACGTTCACCCGATTGGGCTGCAAGGCGGAGAGCATGCAAATCAGGATACCACCGTGACTGACGCGCATTCTGCACAAAGCGGGCGGCGGGACGATCAGTTACTACATCTTAGACTTGATCGTCGGGGCACCCACATGTGTACGCTAGCACTTACGGTATGGAGTCGATCGATCTGCCGTAAGTGTTTGAGGCCCGTACGCTCGTCACGGACCGCGGTGAAGCATGTTGTGCGGGGGTTGCCGCAGCGGCTGCAACTTGCAATGGCAAGCCAGCGAACCGACGCAAACGCCTGTGGGCGGGACGCGAGCCTCATGCACTGCGCATGTGCCAATACGCTGGCTAGTACACCGCACATGTGATTGGCAGTAGTGGCGGCCGAAATACAACTTGTTACCAACAGTGGCAGTCTGAAGCCCAGAAGTCGGCCCGGCGCGTCTCCAGGCGCGTCAAACTACTTATGGCCAGTCAGCGAGGTCAATCTTGGACATGCATGAGAGAACATGCTCCTTCAGCGTGGGCCACATCTCTATCATTGCGTTGGAGGGCGACTGAAATGCTGCCTTCGGAAGTCAGGGGTGTTCAGGTTGGGGATCCCTACCGAGGGCTCACGGCCGGGGCTTCGTTTCTCCCGCAGCTGTTGGCAGGCCAATGTCTCTAGGGCCAGGCCAGCTCGCCAGTAATACACGGCTGGAAGACAGGGATAGACATGACAGTCTCTGACAGAGTCACAGATAGTGTACGCGTAAAGCCACTTCAAGTTCAACTGTGGTGTTGGCAGGGTGAACGAACATGTGACCGGCGCGTGGATTCAAGCTCCGAAGCGCGTCGCGTCTGCTGCTCGCGTTAACGTTTGCCTCCGCCGAGTGGTGTTTGCTCCTTCCTTCGTCTTCCAGTCATGGACATTCTACACCTTGTTTACCATTCACCGAATATAGTTAGACCGGGAGGTGAGTACTCGTCCCCACCGGATCATGAACAAACGGTACTCGAGCTCGAGGCGACGAGGACTCATCCAAGCCGACGTGATCTCTCACGCCGCCCTGCGAGAGCACATGCACGTTGGTTGAGCGGTACGCCAGCGTACGCGCTTCAATAACAACTTATCCCGCGGAGGTGCGTTCATGAAATCTAGCATATAGCGACTGAAAGTGTCCGTTACATCATGCTTCATGCAGCTCGTAGATAAGTAATGCACAGCGGGATAGGCATTTCCCAACCTCCGCATACACTGTGCTGACAGACTGCTGTTGACGGCGTTAAACACAAAAACTATCCTGACGGTATCACTGATAGTAGTCTTCCCTTCGCGGTCGCATACACACGGCTCAACGATGGGGACATATCCTTGCAATATAGCATTCTAACAGCCCAAGACCCCCAGTGCGCGGAAGCACCGATGGCAACTACCAAGATTATAGATGCGCAAAACGAAAGACAAGTACAGGCGTCTGGAGCTCGCTCCCAGACGTAATAATGATACACACTACGACCAACATCTCCAGTCCGAGGCGGCGCCGTACGTATCCCTTCCCGTGCGCTCAGAAGTTCTCTGTCGGGAGAAGGAACGTAGGGATCATAATGAGTGACCGAGCTGCAGGGTCAACGAGGTTGGACTTACCCTTGCCGAAGAAGAACCTGGTGCCGTTGGGCGTCGAGTACTTGTTGCAACTGATGTGGAGCTGCTTCGAGAGCACCGCAGGCCCACAGAAGAACTGCAGAAGGTCGGGGATCAGACATGGCGACGCGGAGCGCGCGGGTGATTGGGAAGCCACGTACCACACCGACGTCCGTCTCGGGGTTCTTCTCCGCGATAGAGCCAAAGACCCTGTCCCAGTTGGGGCGACCGTAGTGCGTGGGCGCACGGAGCGAGGTGATAGCGTCCTTCTCAGCACCGACGTCCTGGACCTATTGTAGCGACAAGCGTCAGCACGGGCGTCCTGCCAAGGCAGCAACCGGCGGCGATACGCACAATGATGTTGTTCATGTCGTCCTCCTTGATCTTCGCAGTCAGGTAAATGTTGATTTCAATCCGGTTCTGAGTATCCTGCTCCTCAATGGCTTGCAGCAGAGAGTGGAACCATTCGGCAGAGCCGAAGTCACGAATGACCCAGGTGAAGTAGACTTTCGACAAACGCGTCGGCTTAGATTGGCTGACGTTGTTCATACGGTACCAGATCGACTTCAAGATGCTATTCAGCAAAAGAACACTATCAGCGTTCATCCGAACCAGGAACCACGGAGGTACGTACGAAGCGAACGGCGTCACACCAATACCAGCACCGACCAGCAAGACGGTCTCGTAGTTAAGGAAATCCTCAGACGCCGAGCCAAAGGGACCGTCGACCATGACACGCGGGAGGACGCGGTTGACAGGGGGGTTCACCGCGCCACTGCCCTTGCCACTGTCTCCGCCCTTCTCCTTGCCGAAGTCGGCACCAACCGCCTCAGCGAGCGCACGAGTGAAGTCACCGACCATACGGATGTGCACGGAGATGTAGTCCTCTTCAGGCGCGCTAGCGAAAGGCAACGTCAGCAATGGTGGAACCAGAGGATGTATATCACGCACCTCGTGAGCGTGAACGGGTGCCACTGGAAGTATGAGACCTCAGGGCAGTGGAGGAAGATGTACTGGCCGGCGCGGGTGGGAGTGTTCTCCTTTTTGATCTGGAGCTCGAGGACTTGGGACGGGTGCTGGATGACCTTGGAGATGTAGGTGCGGTGGCGGGAACGAACCTCACGAAGGATACGCTCGAACGTGAAGATGCAGCCCCCAACGAGCCAGTAACGCTAGTGGACCTGTTAGCAACAGCAGAGGTGAGTCGGGCGAGGCACACACCCAGAAGACACCGATCGTGTTCCACGAGCAGAAGGGTGCGCGGTCGGGCTGGATCATGCAGAACATGCCGTGCAGCTGCCAGTTGAGGAAGAAGACAAGGAAGAGGTGGTGCGAGTACCAGAACCGCTCAAAGTTGGCACGACGAGGCTTCTCCCGTGCGTACCAAGCCATGATACTGAGGGCAGCGGTCATGATCCAGCCGGTGACACCGGGGCCGGTTGTGAAGTTGGCAATGAGGAACACGACGAAACGCTCTCCCGGTGTGGTCGCGAGCGGGTCAGCAAAGGCGAGCTCAGTGAAATTGACCATGTGCGCGGCGATGTGGACGAAGGAGAAGAAGCAGATGCCCCATCCAACGGACTTGTGGAACGTGATGTTCTTGTCGAAAGGAATGTAGTGGTTCAGAGGCGTGCGGCGGATGAGCGAGATGAAGTTGCGGCAGACGGGCAGGAGGATGAACGCGACCTCGACGTGGAGAACCAGGGCGGCGCCACGGGCAATCGCTAGACACGAGATGAGGGGCTAGCAGTGTGCAGAAGAGACGCGGTACGTACGGTACGTCACACCGAAGGTCGCGCGATCGCCTATCAGGTCATCACTCGTACCGTAGTAGAAGGCACCGAAGAGGATGACCAGGATATGGAGGAGGATGAAGAAGATGAAGAACAACCTCTTTCCACCCTCGTTGATCATCCAGACGTTGAACCGCTCCATCCATCCCGTAGGCCTGTACGGGGTCGCAGGTGTCGTGCCATTGGTGGCCGTCCTCTGGAGGGGCTGCAGACGCCTACGCTCGGACTTGTTGCGCTGGAGGTGCCCCGGTTCGAGGCCGTTGTCAGCGAACGGGTTGGCCATGTCGGGGTGCTGGGACAGGGGGGGCATCTTGCCGTCAGAGAAGTCGAGACTGGAAGCGCGCTTCCACTTGTTGGCCATGGGCGGGGTGGGCACTGTCTATGTCGACGTCCTGCGCAGCAGACTAGAAGGAGTGAGGACCGGCCTGAAGCAAAGGACTGGAAGGTATCCGAAGACGAAGAGGAGGAAGAGGAGGGGAGATAAAGGTGGGCACCCGGCTGTGGGAGCGTAAACGCGCAACATGCTTTTTGATGGTCCTCTCGGCGACGTTGCCATGACAGGCTCAACTCATTTGGCACTCGCTGTCCCTCCGGCTGCGCACCGATCTCCATACCTACCACCGCGGTTCTCCCTGATCCAGGCCGCTCTGGCCAGCCGTGCTCGTCGTCCACAACGTCCTCCAGCGCGGCGCGCGCAGCGAGCAGACTGGGCGCTCCTATCCTAATGCGGAAAACACAACCGACAGTTGTGGCTGTAACAGGCAATCACACTCGGACAGTCCACGACACTTCATCTTTGATATCCACCGGAAGAGGAGGCTTCACGGTCCGCAGCTACGCTATCTAAAAACTACGCACTTCTTCACCGGCCCCCGCCGCATGAGCGGGATGGCCTTAAGCTCATGCCGTCGTGTTGCACGCTGAGAAGCCACACGGACATTAGATAATAGCAATGACCCGGCAGGCAGGCCAGCACGGTGAGGCTTACCACTCAGACCCGTCTGGCTGACGACGTTGTAACAGTTGTACGTCGCAGCCGTGCCACTGGGTGTCTCGATGTCGATATTTTTGAAAGATAGATCCGGACATGGTGCCGCCGGACTGCACTCTATGTCAACCACTGGCAACGAGGCCGTCAATGGCATGTTGGGCTGTGGTGCGGTGAGAATTCTTACGCAGGTCTGTCGATGCTGTACCAGTGAAGTTGACAAATGTGAGGCCGCCGAACTGATACTTCGATGGCGCATCGCCCCTGCGTGAACGTGGCCATGTCCATCAGTTAACCTTGGACCCTTCGCTGTCTGACAGGTCCACTTACGCGTGTCCGGAGTTCGTTTGGTAGAGCTGAATGGGGTACGTCACATTGTCAAGATTGAAGTTACGCGCGATGACGCCTGTCGTCGTCCCTAAACCACGACATGTAGCAGATGTGCTCTAGCACGCAGCAACCGGCGACCTACCCGGGCCACCGCCTCCCTCCGCAGGGGGGAAGCCAATCGTTGTCCCAGTCCACGACTTGAGATACACCTGTACTAGGGTTAGGCCAACGTTCCGTCTTGGACGAAAGTATTTTACTGACGCCGTGCTCCATGTAAGGCTGTATCGTCGGGTCCGGCCTAATCATCTGCGTTAAATGATATCTCATTCAGTTTGAGAATCCTGTGGACTGTTGGCAATCCCACCGTGATGTCCTCCAGCGTGATGTTCTCAACGTTGTCGTACTGTGATACATATGTCAGTCAAATCATCTGCTTCGACCTCTGATACAGGTTACTGACCAGGTTGTAGTACTGCCCCAAGGAACCGAACGCGATCCCTGTTCCGCCGGTACAGGTGATATTCTTGGCGTACACATTCGTCGAATTCTGCGGGCCCAAAATAGTGGTGAGCGCCCAGCTTGACCTCGTATACGACAGTGGGCTGTCCACGTACGCCCTTGATTGCTATGCAGTCATCCCCGAGCGTGATCTACTCCATACATATTCGTCAGTGTACGCTCACACGACGGTCGTATCAAGTACTCACATCCCAGTTCAACAGGGTAATGTTGTCGGACCGGAATGTGTCGATGCCTGTATGGCCAACTGCCTCAGTACCTACCAGACGCGTCTTCCGAGCTATGCATACCATCCGTGTTCCACACGATACTGCAAGCCAGTAAGTTCGCGATGACCACAACCTGCGGCTGCACGAGCGTGACTCACTTCTGATTATAATACAGAGGATCCGCGTTCGTCGCGTTGCAGTACATGCCGTCGTACACAACGCTCTGGCTCTCCGCGACAGCGTTGCACCAGAACGGCTGGCCCTCGATCCGGAAGTTGGCGATGGTGCCCCGGAGTGCGCGGTACACGGTGAGCGCGACCGGGCGGCCGTCGCCATCGATACGCGTGCCATTGCCGTACCATGACCACCAGTACTGCCCATTCCCGATGATGCCGCCTGTGTTGTGCGCGTCGACCACGAAGTCGTTCCCGGTGATGACGAACCACGACGCTTGGCTCTGTAGTTTCTGGGTCAGTAGGCTGAGGGGCATGTTCGATGTACATGGCGCACTTGGATGAAGATGACGCGGTACGTGTTCTCGGGGTACATCCAGTAGGGCAAGTCTGCGACGAACTGCGGGTGCTTCAGCATGCTGCATGACTTCACTTGTGGTGGACGGACTCACATTCAGGTAGCCGTGCAGGTCAACTCTGGACTCTACCAGATCCCATGTCATCTTCCTGGGTCCAAGCAGTCAGTATAACTCTGTTGCGCACACGGCCGCACTGCCGGCCGACCTTGTCACATTGTATTCTCCAGGCGCGAAGACCGTCGTTCCATAGTGCCCGCACAGCGCGATAGCAGCCTCAATCTTCACAAACGCGTCAACGCAACTCTATGACGCGCCTCACGCGTGACGAACCTGGCTCGTATCGTCCTGTCCGCTACCCAGTGGCTCGAGGGTACACGTCTTATTGTCCGCGAAATACTGGAACGCAGACACGAACGTCCGCGCGAAGCAAAGGCTCACTAGGAGCACCGAGGTCAGCCTAGGCATCATCTCGAGAGAACGGATTGTAGATCGCGCGACGGGGAACATTCCGGCTCTGCGTCCATCTTATATTCGACCAAGACGGGATGGTCGGGGACGTCAACGCGGTGACAGGGATCGGCAAGGGAAGTTCATACCTCGAACACGTGTGCTGGCGGTCCGGTTCGTACTGAACAATATCGTAAGGGAACAGCTGTCTGTAGCACCGTGGACGAACCTCGGGGTAGACGTCTGACCCAGTGATCACGCTGTAAGTACAGCCAGCGTATCATACAAAGATACATCAATCGATGCATAGGGATTTGAAACATTAGTCGAACAGCGGAGCCTTTGCCTTCCTTGACCATGTTTCCAAAAATACAAAAAGCAAGCGATTGCTTGAGTGTCAGTAGCAGCACCATAGTAGGTGGCGCAGTAAAAAATTTGGACGTTGGGGGGTTTGAACCCTCGACCTCACGCATGTAACTCAAGCTCTTACTACAGATGCAAAGCGTGCGCGCTACCACTGTGCCAAACGCCCTTATAAAAAAGGCTTCTTATGTAAGTCATCTATAATGTTTTGGTATCCTGTTTTGTAAAGTTGCCACGCCGCCATCTCGCTTCAGCATATTACGCCGGAGCCTCCGACCCATACAGCCTGACCTGGCTTGCCATCTGCACTTCCAACATCACCCAGTCGTGATAGGACCTCGTACCCTTCCTCGAGCACTCCGAAAACTACGTATTTTCCTTGCATCTTTGTGATTCGAGTCGAGTCTCCGGTGAGCACGACGAAGAACTGTGACGAGTTCGTGTTCTTCCCCGAGTTGGCCATAACGAGCGATCCACGAGCTAGCTTTTTCTTGAGGCCCTCCTTTTCGTCGTTGAACTTGCCGCCGTATATGGACTACACTGCAATCATCAGCGCATTCTAGGCGGGCCTCATCTACGGTGTTGGCGCACCTCGCCACCGCTGCCATCCCCTCTGGTGACATCCCCACCTTGTGCTACGAAGTCTTTGACGATGCGGTGAATCGGGCAATCGAGGTAGTGCAGCTTCTTGTTGGGCGCATTCTTGCACATTCCTTTCTCCCCAGTGCACAGCGCGATGAAGTTGGCTCTTGTCTTTGCGAGCCCCGGAGAAGGATCGAGCTCAAAGATGAGCCGACCTGCTAACAAGGGCGACGGGGGCTCGAACCGCATTTGCATCGAACTCTGTGGCCTCGATCTGTCAGAAGCCGCAGCAGTCGATTCCAGTGATAACCCACATCGAGCTCCCTCAGGACATCACGCTGTTCTTCCGACAGCTCGGGCGGCGTTGCAGGCAGCCCGTAGATGTGTGCGTTCTTGGACAATAGGGTAGCTGTCGCCGAATACTCCGCCTCAGCGCGAGCATGTGCGTCGCGGTCGCCGATATAAACGTCAAGGTACGCGCGAGAGGCCATGGAGAGGAAGCGAGAATTATTATAGACGATCGCCGGGTGGTGGTGGAGAGAGGCAAGGAACGATCGAGGATCGCCTCCCTGAACCTTGTCCAAGTTGCTGCAGATTACCCAGTTTAGATGGATTAACAAGCACCAGGGTCGAAGTAAGTACGAGTCCAATATATATCTCGTACTCGAATGCTGAACTAATGCTGCACGCAGAGACATAAGCCTAAACTCAGGACACGTTCTAATTCACCTGGAAATCAACTATGATAATTGCGTATCACGGCGTAGTGGTGCTGCAATCTATCATCATCGTCAGCGTGTGCAATATCACCCGTGCTGAGATGACGCACTGGATAGTCCTTGTTGGCTGACAACATTTGAGCAGACATAATGGGGCTCTGCTCCGTTGGTCACCGTGATATTGATGTCCTCAAACACCATGCCCGGACATGGCGCGGCGGGGCTGCATGCAAGATTGACGACTGCGCCCCAGCATCAGAGGTGTCCAGACGCAATCATCACAGAAAACGCACTTGTGGATCCCGACGATGTACCCGTGAAGTTATAGAAGCTGAGGTCAGCGAACTGCAGCGTCGAGAGTGAGTCACCTCTGAAGCGAACATGTGAGCCTCATTCGATCTCACTACGGAGCATAGATACACACGGGTGAGCTCCGTTCGTCTGGTAGACGTGAATGGGCAGTGACACGTTGTACAGCTCGGCGTTGCGGACAGTCACATTCGTGACAAGACCTGCAGCCATGGAACTCAGCGACCTTCACTCGCAACACGGACAGCCTGCACCTACCTGACCCTCCACCACCATTGTCGGGAGGGTGGCCGATCGCAGTACCGGACCAAGACTTGAAGTAGACCTGGGATATTGCTAATTAGTCGCTGCGCGCCATACTTAGTAGGTCACTACACGTACCGCACTGCCCATGTTAGGCTGGATCTCAGGATCGATGTGCAGCAGCTAGATCAGTGTCAACGAGCGTCAGTCGCCCTCACGGTGCACATTTACTTACACGAATATCCTCCAGCGTCACGTTCTCGACATGGTCGAACTATGGCTGAAGTCAGCAAAAATGCAGTGGGCCTATTTCAACCATGGATTACGAACAAGGTTTGCATATTGACCAAGGGAGCCAAAAGCGATTCCATTGCCACCACGACAGGTGATGTTTTGAGCGTAGATGTTGGTGGAGTTCTACTTACGCGTCAGGTTACGCTTCGAGTTCTTGAGGTGAGTTTGCCTACCCCTTTGATTGCGAGACAGTCGTCTCCTAACGTAATCTATTCACAGGCTCGTCAAGGGTTTCAACGGCTTGTCTTACTGGAGGCACTTACGTCCCAGTTCAGCATGGTCACATTGTCCGCTCGGAACGTATCGATCCCTAATTAATTAGTCAGTCTCAAGGCCCAACTTCATGTGTAGGGACACTGCGCACCATCCGTGTTCGGGACGACGCTACCGCCTACAGGTAAGCCATTTCGTTCGTCGCCAAGCACGCGTTCAACATACACTCACTTATGCCCATAGTACTCCGGATTCGTATTCGTCGCGTTGCAATACATCCCGTCGTACACCACGTCCTGCGACTCCGCGACCGTGTTGCACCAGAACGGCTGGCCCTCGATCCGGAAATCTTTGACGACGCCCCGCAGGACGCGCCAGAGGGTGAAGGCGATCGGCCGCCCGTCGCCGTCGAGCCGGCTGGTGGTGCCGTACCAGTTCCACCAGTACTGCCCGTTCCCGATGATCCCGCCCGAGTTGTGCGCGTCGATGGTGAAGTCACGGCCGGTCACGACGAACCAGGAGGCTTGGTCCTGCGCGGTGCGATATCAGATGCAGAAATGCGCGAGGCGAATGGACGGCTCAGGTTACCTGGATGTACACGACGCGGTACGTGTTTTCGGGGTTCATCCAGTACGGCAGGTTTGCCGTGAACTGTCATCTGGGTCAGCGAGAGGGGAGAAGGTGAGTGACACTGGTACGTACGTTCAAGTAGCCGTGCAGGTCAACTCGAGACTCCACCAGGTCCCACATCATCTTCCTACACATCGTCAACTCCCGGTGACTCCAAGTCAGCCACAGGGGCAGCGTACTCACCTCGTCACGTTGTAGACACCCTCTGAGATGACCGTCGTGCCATAATGACCGCACCGCGCGATAGCACCCTCAATCTATGCACAGAAAGACACCACTATCAGATCCTCTCCAACGTCTGTAGATCAAGTCCAACATACCTGGTCCGTGTCGTCCAGGCCCTCTCCCAATGGCTGAATAGTGCAATTATTTCCGGCCTCCCAGTCGTTCGCCCATGCAAGCACCCGCGCAAACTGAACGGTCGCAACCAAGGCCGCCAAGAGCACGCGTACAGCCAGCATCCTTCCCGGTACTCGCAGCAAGTTCGAATTCAGCGAGAATGGTCGCCGTCAATCACCATCCAACTCCCTCTCATATATAGCCAGGGGACGAGCGTGGCGACCATCCCTCGCCGCGGTCACGAAAGTCATGCGTGTGTCCTGTCTAGACAGTGCACACACACCGGATGGTCATATGTGCGTTACAGCGGGCCGGCGGCGATCGACGTCGGTGGGCGCTTGTCTTGTGTCCTAAAGGTGACCCCGAGATGTTGGAATGACCGGCCCCATGTCGCCAGCCAAGGCGGACATAGCACTACATAGCAGGTGGCATGCGTGCCTGAGGTCGTCATGTCCTCATCGTCACAGCAGACAAAACTACATACTTTATGTGTGTGGTTTTGCAGCCAGCGTCGGGTGCAGATTGACCCTGTCATGCGCTGTCATGCGAGACGGCTGCGGGACAGGGATCAACGTCGTCCGAAGAACTTTGACTGAAACGACTTGGGCAAAAACGAAGCATATGCAAAAGGAAACGAACTACATACAAGTACTCAGGCTGGAAATCCGCTGTTCGAAGACTCGGACATAGTTAGGGAAAAATATGGACACTCAGGGGATTGAACCCTGGACCTCACGCAGATGACCAGAACTAGCGCAATGCGAAGCGTGCGCGCTACCACTGTGCCAAGTGCCCATGAATACTGGTTTCAATGCATCAGTATTGACCCTGCAGACAGATCAGCTGCCAGTGAGCCCTGGATGAATCCCAGACGAATAAAGGCATCCAGCGAGACAGAATTATTGGCTTTGATACGTCTATGCATTAACTAAAACTATACCGCGGTCATGATACAACGAGCCAGACCAAACAAAAACATGGCTACAACAGAAGGGGCGAGAAAAGAGAACGTCCTCGTCCGTACACGCAAGAGGGACACTAATATCCAGTCTACATCATGCCAGCAAAGGGCCCTCACGGCGATCATGACTCGAGCGCCGCGACGATGCCATATGCTGCCGCCGCCGCGGCGCCGCCGACGAGCAGCGTACTAACAGCGCCCCAAATGTATCCGCCCGCGCCCGCGCCGGCTCCTGTGATGCGCGCCTTGACCGCGCCGAATACGAGGAGCACGATTCCAGTCACGATGCACGACCAGATCAACGCGCGGTGCGCAACGGGCTCTGCAAAACGTACGTCAGCACACACGCACACGCACGGTCGCCCGTAGGCAGGGAGACGCGGACCACGCACCGAAGAAGTATGGGAGCAGGGGGATCAGCCCGCCAAGAAGATAGCCCATGCCGATCGTGAGCGCGGAGATGTACAGCCGCTTCGTGGGCACCTCCTCGAGGTTCTCGCCGAACTTGAGGAGGAACGCGGACAGGCCGACGCTCGAGCTCCACCGGAGGCCGGCCTCGGAGTCGCTCGTGCTGTAGCGACTTGCGGTATCGCTGCCGCTCGAGGAGCCCGCGGCGGTCGTCGAGCCGTCGCCATGCGAGTCGACCTCGACGTTCATGAGGCAATGCGCGACGGCGCGGCTCGTCTTCTCGTCGACGCCGACGGGCCCCAGGACGGCGTGCACTTCGCGCTCCATCTCGCCCTCGCAGCTCCGGAGCACGCGTGCGCGCGTCTGCTTGCGCAGGTAGCGGTAGTGGTCGCGCTCCGCCTGGGACGCGAGGAAGCCGCCGATGCCCATCGAGATGGCTCCAGCGATGAGTTCTGCAATGCCACCGAGGATGACGAGTTTGGATTCGCCAAGGGAGGAAAGGCCCGCGGTGAGGGCAAAGGGAACGGTGAGGCCGTCTGAGAGACCGATAACACTGCAGAAGCGGCAACGTCAGTAACCGATTCTCAAGAGGATGTGAACATGGCATAGGACATGGGAACGCGTGAACAAAGACCACAAACGAGGCACGGACTCGAACATCCTACCCTTGACGGGCGCAAGTACCGGGACGGGGACACCCACGCAAGTTGGTATGTACCACGCCTCAGGACAAGCTGGGGCGTCAGGGGTGCTGGCTTGGCGGGAGCAGCACAAAAGCTGCAACACGTCAATTACCCGCCACGGACGACAAGAGGCGTGAGCTTCGTGTTGCACAGCCGCACAGATCCTGGGCCCCAGGCAACCGGCATGTTCTGTAATGTCCTGGAGACCATGGGGGTGTGGTTATGTCGAGTTCATGGTGGCCTACGGACGAAACATACGCCACACGAAGACCAGCCGTGTGTGCCCTCCAACGCTTCCACTACAGATGTCTTTCGTCATCACTGTTTGCTTTGTCTTGCATAGGGACGAAGGGGAGCCCCTCGTCGCACGCCCGGACCTAGTCCACAAGCAATGGAAATCACTACTCACACGTCCCGGACCACGTCTGGGTCAATCAGTATCCGCTCGTCATCGCCAATGAGCTCTTTGCAGCATACACCGTCTCGCGAGGCTTCATGTCTGTTGCATTTTGCGGAGGGCGGGACTTGGTCTCCGGTGGAGTCGTTTACAGACCAGACGGGTGGCTTGTTGCCTATGTCTCCGTTCTTGCGGGGTAGAGGAACGGCGGGGGCGACACTATGTTCGAAAGACATGTTGAATCGTAGCTGGGTTCGCTGGGAGGGTGGTAGTGATGGTGGTGGTCGGGGAGGAGGAGGGGTGCCGGGTGGAGGACTTGTCGCGGGCGGACGAGAGCTAATGAGCGGAATGGTGGAGCGCTGAGCTTATGCGATCACGTGCGACCCTCGCGGTGTACTGCGCAATCCGCGGCGGCCGATTGGCTGCCGCGTCGGTCCAGTACCGTCGCGTCCTCGAGCCGCGGAGGACAGCGCGTGTACCGCTCTTGCGCTATTCCTGCTCACCGCCCTGGCTGGCAGTGCGAGCCCGTTATTGCCCAAATACCGCATCTCCCATTGGATGCGTCGTTCTGCTCCGTTTCGTACGCCCGACGCCCGACATTTTGCGCGACCATCCGTTGACCGTTCGTGACAGAAATCTTTCGCAAATGTCGCCTGGTGAATAAGGCTCCGGCCGACCACGGACGAGCCTCGTCAGCCCAGTCATGGGATGGCCATTGCAGTGTGAACCGCCGCAAGGCTGGCCCGCACAACGTGTGTCGCCGGCTGGCAGTAGTAGGTTCCAACCTGAGCTTCCCACAGCTCACTGACGACGACCTTCATCTACCTTTGGTTCCTGACCTTCCCGTAGAACGACAGCAGCGCGTATCTTCGCTGATTCGCCAGTTCGCGAGCGTCCAGGGCCCAGGGGACGGCGTGCAAGCGGGATGCTCCTCGTAGCCACCCCAACTCGTTCCCGCTGATCACGACTACCTCCGAATGCTTCCTGCAGAGCTTCACCGTCGCGGCACAGGCTCAACGCGTTGTCTCCAGCATCGGCACTCCCGGCCTAGGACGTACGACGCGCGTCGGGTCGATTTTGCTGACCCGGGGACGCCCCCTTTACCTTGATCCGACCGCACGGGTGTACCGACTCCGAGAGTCAGACTGATCAGACCCTAGGGTCCGGAGACTGTAAGTGCTGCATTGAATTGAACGTAGCGTCACCTATCGTCACTTTCAAGCATTACCCGGCTCGATCTTCGAGACCGCATGACGTCTGGTAGGCGCGTCAGCACTTGCCCGCGTGTCTAACCCAAGTTACCCAACGCGCTACGGCGTCGTGGACAGGGTCTGAACACTATCGCGGTTGCCGGGTAGCGCTGCCAGTACTTGTGCCGATGTGGTAGCTATAGGCTCTACCACACGTCACATCTCGGCCTCTTGAGAAGGCAGAAACCAGGTACTGCTTATCAGCCAGTTACTACGATCGTGCGTAGACGTTCAGCGCTCTCCTATTATCGACCGATGCGGTTTGAACTGCCATCTGCTCCAGATGCCAGCGAGTGGCGACTTCTCAACCTATTGCAAGTTTAAGCAGACCACTCTATCGCCGGCCCTCTACTGGCCCTCTATTCCCTTGTAGGATCTGCATCAGAGTGCGCATGCAGAAGTCACAGTGCTGCATAGCGAACATCGGACCTGGAATGGGGACTTGTACGTAGGAGGTGAGTTTGACCGACAGCCCTCGTCGCTAGTAACTCATCTCCGTCGATGTCCACTCAATCTAAGTACTGAACAGGGCCACAAAATGATACCAAATGCTTGCCGATATGACTGGGAATGACAGCCCCCATATCAGGCCGCAGCAAGAGTTGCCGTCCCCGGCGCGAAGGCTCGGACTGCCAGCCTGCCATGTACAGGGCTACAAGCCGCATGCATCCGTGAGTAGCCACGCAAAGATATTGCAAAAGTCATAAGTATGGGGAAGTGTGCCTTTAAATCATGCATTCATACGTTCCAGCTCACTTCAGTTGAACGCTGTCGGACAAGTCTTTCATCGCCCCCTCGATCAGGTGGCGCACTGATCGAAATTAGTCTCCGCGTCTGGATGTAAGACAACTCCACTATAATCCACGCCGTCCTAACAACAGCTAGTATACAGTCCAATATGAAGGTCCGTGGTGATTGCCAAGGAAAGGGAGTAAGGAGTGGTATGTATAGTTGGGCAGTGGCGGCTCAGAGGGCAGACAATGTCCTGCTGCCTCCGCCAGAGGCGGTGCTGTCTCCGCTCGCCTGGCGAAGAGGCGGTATGCGGGAAAGCACGCGCGAGAGGGAGCGTTTTGGTTTAGGCTGCGCCCATTGTACGGGTTCATCGGTATTCCCCTTCCTATCTTCTAGCACAAGAGGCCGCTGAGAATCCGCAAGCTCGTCGAGGCTCGAGGCCGGCTCGGCAAGGACTGTGGCAGGGCGACTAGCCCGACGATGCATAGCCGCCAGGACCTTCCGCGGGATCATCAGGACTGGTTTGTACGCAGCCTACAGAGAAGTAACCGGCGTTAACACAATGAAGTGGGCCTGAAGTTTGCAACACCCACCTTCCGCGGTTCGGTCACCGGAGCACTAGCAGCGGACAGCTCATCGACGACTGTCTGTTGTGACGGTGTCGGTGATATCCCTCTAGCCTCGTCCTTGTTTGAGTCGCCTCCCTGTGCCATTCATTCGTGAGACAACTGACTAGTTGTAGCAGGACCTGCTGGACTTACGGCATTCTGACTGTGGACTGCAGGTGTGTCGACCGAGACTGCCTCCGCACGACCCGTCGTCACAGACGCAGACGCGGAAATCACGATCGGAGTCTGCGTATCGTCGATCGAAAATGTCAGCCTGTCATCACAGATATTTCAAGATAGCTCATCGCACCTCTGCCAGCGGTGCTGCGCCTTGCGTGGCCATTGTGGCGCAGCTGCCTTCGAGGCCAAGGATCGCTTCGACGGCACCCTCTTCGAGGAGTTCTTCCGAGACAGGGTCTAGAGAGTCTCGCCCGAATGAAGTAGGCAGACTGACTTCGCTATTTGTCCTCAAGCTAGCTTGCGCCCTGCCGTTCCTGTGTGCGGCTTGATGTTCCTATTGACGATGAGAATGCTTACAGTCAGTGAGCATTCAAGACTCACTTTATACTCCTTCCGCGCATTGGACAAGAAGTTGGGGTCCTTAGACCAACGGGACCACTCCTCGTCCTTTTGGTCCCTGATGCGATGGAGCGTGGATATCATATCGGCATCGACGCAATGGTGAGAGCGACGCTTCGCTCCTGTCCACTTCTTCCGGAACATATATGCCGGAAGGGCATGAGGTAATGTGATCAACCATTGGGCTTTTCCAAGACGAGCGTCCCAATCCGGCACAGTGTGAATGTGCACATCCATGTGTGTACGATTGGGTCCGAAGTTGGGAGCCACGGGAATGCAGAAATGCCGGAAGACGAGTGGCATGCTGTCGATGTTTCGACCTTCCAAGTTGCCCATGACACACGTGTCCACGGTGTCCTGGCCCTTGCCACTGTATGTGACTATGAGGCACGGGCGGTTTCCTTTCGAGTACATCTTGCTTCCGGTCGTGCCTGCCGAGGAGTACGGACCAGTAAAGGAGGACCGGCTGCGACTCATCCGAGTACTGGGCTGTACGGAGACGTTTGAGGAACTTGTATTGAGTTCTAGCAATTTCTCCAGTGGAGCAACAAGCGAGGTCTTGACACCATAGATGTCGCCAGTCGCAGGAGACCGCTCGTTCAACGAGCGGATATAGGCGTGGTTCGGCAGCTGCCTGCAGCGGAGACACTCGACCATAGTTGAGAATCAAGTACTGGGAGACTTCGATTGTAGATTGAGACTCGTTTCGAAGAAGTCGGATGGTGCGCCCGGTCAGACGGTAGGAGGTCTTCGAGGTGGTCGTATGGCGAATGGCAAGACATCTTCGCTGCGCAGACGTTCGTTTTCACTTGCGCCGGAAGTTGTCTGAAAAACAACAGGAACTTGAGTTGACAGACAAGATTCATTTGCTGGTGTTGTATCCGAGTCAAAGACAACACTGGCGTACTGTAGCGCTGGTGACTTGTGTTGGAGACGTATTCCTATGACACCATTATGTAATGGGTCGCTTCAAGTTCAATGTTGACAATATTCGTGAGGGTATGTATCGGATCGGTTGCCACTTGCCAGTTGTTCTCCGTTGTTGCTTACATAGCAGTTGGCACAACAACGCGCTCTAGTAATCGCAACAAGACGTCGACTCGCACTGTGTCGTACTAGGCATGTCACTGGTGGGTCCGCTTCGCACCGGTGTTCTTTCTTATTGTTGCAGTTCATTGTGCTGCAGCGATTCGTCGCGAAAGAATAACGCCCTTGTTATGAACAATGCTTCCCATAGCAACCGTATCTTGTGCCTTCAAAGACATAAACACTTCCAGGCAACCCTCTGGAGGCTCGCATCTTCGCCTGGCACTACCACCAGTCACTCCAACTCCAGCTCTCGTACCTGCGCATTCACGCAGACTAGTTACACGCAATGTCCACGTCTATCACCGCAAACCAGAGCCCCAGCGAAATACAAAGCGATCCGGATGAATCGCGCTACGTACCTCCTGCTGGTGCTTATGTGGTCATACAACTCGATGTTGAGACCACTATCCAACGCTACAAGCTCGACATCAGCAGAGTGGCGGAAGGTATCAAGGAGTATCATCCGAAAAAGTACTTGGCTTCCGTCCGGACCGTGCGTAACCATAGATGTTCCCGGGTGAATTCTCCGTGCTTACTCAGTAGCCCCAGATCTGGGAATTGTCTATGCCCTTCAAGCCTTCTCACAAAGTATCCGTCGAATTCGTTGGGACGGGTATACGTGCCGAGGAATACGAAGAATGTGTGACGCCCGAGATGTGCACACCGATTGCGCCTACGTCCGGGCATCCACTCATTACTCGCGAGGCCGTCCAACCGTCCTCCGGATTCCCGTTCGACGATTGTTACTACTACTCTTTCGTCACGGCGACAGTTAGGGTCCCCACAAAACCGTACCTCCGTCGACACATGGTAACATTGGATGCTCGAGATCGGGTCATGCTGGCCATTAACGAATCGGACGATAGCCGAAAATACATCGCCCTGAAGAAGGAACGAGGTATCACCAACCACAAACTCTTCAGGCCGAGCTTGAATTCTGAATCATTCACAGGATTCCCCCTCGAGCCGTATGAAGAAGACGAAGACGTTAGCTCTCACGATGAAGAGGATGGCATGGAGGATAAGCAGGCTGAACATCGCTCAGAGTGTTGCACGGACAGTGAGAGCATGGTCAGCGCGAGCTCCGCATCCTATGACGATGTACCGCCATTGGACGAAGACGATTTGGCAGCAATAATCTTCGGCGGTGAGGAGGAGTTCGAGGACCCTGACGCCAGTGACATTCCCGTGTCGGTCAATGCTTGGGTCGATCTACGCGAAATTGAAGAGGTCATTGACCCATCCGGTTTCCTAGAAGAAGTAGCCCATCTGAGGCGGTGAGTACGAATGATCCCCGTCATTCCGGCGTATAACTAACGGCCAGAGTAGAGTCATTCGAGAGGCAAAGGCCCGTATCGCCGACGAGTGTACAAGTGTGCCGGGTGGAAGCGCTACAACACACGTAGATGTGCCAATGTCAGACGAAGTAACGCCGATTGTGAGCAAGAATCACCGTAACGCTATGCCATCGTGGATGCATCGCACAGACAGAGGTATGCGTTTCGTGCTTGACGCTGAAGCAGTGATACTGAGGCAAATTTCAGCAGATTTGAACCAATTTGAATGTATGGAGAAGACCGAACATACCAGGCAATCAGACGAGTCCCAAACATACGTGGATTCGAGAGCAGATGGCGCAGGGGAGAAGGACACGCCGCCTCCCACTAGCCGCATTCGGGCTTTACGGCGTTTGAAGGGAATGGGCCGGTGGTGCAAACGTACGCCCCTTTATTGCACAGTGACACGAGCAGCACTGACACTGAGGTTCCCACAGGGACGTACATCGCGCGGGGTTTGCGATCCGTGCGCAACAAGATCGGCAAGGTCTTGCGTACCGTTGCTCGTGGACTGTGTTTGCGCAGGCGCCAAAGGAGTTACTGATGCTTCATCTGCGTCTCGACACCGCGTTCCACCGCGATACCACCGCGTACCTGTACCCCCTATGTCAGTACCATGCTTCAAGCATACCGACAACACGTCGGTACCTACCTGCCTACCTGATCTCTTACTCTCGACTACTTGGAGCCGTGCTATTGACGTGCCCCTGGGGAGATCCTCACTATATCCTTCCTCAAGACCCGTTACGTCAGTCGGCTCAATACATCGGTCCTGTATCCCAATGAATCCACCTGTATCCCATTACCGTGGTGCACACGTCTAAGTATAGCCTATGATTCGAAGTCCATCGACGCCCGATCGTCCGCCAGCAGCCTTGCATACTCCAAACACAATCTATACACATAGGCTGAGACATCCCGAGCGGGTCAGCGCGTCGTCCAGTGATACAAAACAGAGAAGCTCACCTTCCATGTCGACGTGGCGGCCGACAGTCCGCTTCCATTGTTTTCCTGCGCGCGCGATGCGTCGCAGCCTCCGGTCACCGTCTATTGGAAGGCGCTGTGCTGGGGGGGCGTTCAGCGCGGTCGAGTTGACGATTTGCAGAGCAGACGGTGGGGCGCCCGAGAAAAACGCATGTATGTTGTAGATCTCCTGGTAGGACGGCGAGAGGGGGATGAAATGCAGCCTGCCATACGGCGATTAGTGGACTTCGGTCGTCCCAGCCATCAATCAACGCACCAGGGCTGGATCCAGTCCGAGAAGAACTCGCGGTAGACAGTCGACTTGATGACCGCACTGTCCGACTCCATAAACGCGAAAAATCTCCCCGAGTAACCCATGCCGTCGACGTCGACGAGGTACTTGTGCCGCCAGTGGTCACCAAGGCTCACTCCACCGTCATCGAACCGGTGCGCAGCAATTAGCGCTTCAAGCCCACCCGGGAAGTTGTACCAGTCGATGACCTTGACGAACGCAAGGTCCATGATCTCCTCGTTGAGCTCAGATGTAGGCACCTCTGCGTAGACATAGTGAGTTGAGCCCGGCGGGTCCGCGAAGACGAGGGTTCGCGTCGTGTCCGACTTGTCACTCGCCATCCGGACGAGTCTAGAGAACGGCAGGTCAGCAATGAGGCGTCTCGGGCGGAAAGGGATGTACCTGTGACGTTGGTACTGAGCAGCGAAGCCAGGCGGCGAGCTGCCTCCACCAGTGGATGCGCCTCTCCAGAATATCTTGTCGCTTTTCGTCTCCCAAGGCGTCTCCATTCCATCAATCTCCTTAAGCTCCAAGTTCACAGGGTCGTATCCATACGTATACCTTCGCGTCTGCCCGTAGTAGTAGTGACTCGGTATCCTGATGTCCGAATACCCTGGGGCCTGTGCGGGAGAGAACACAGGGAAGAGGACGGGGATGGTACGCCAGTCTGAGAAGAAGTGCCCTTGGTGATAGTGCGCCCATGGGTTCTCGCAGAAGGAATAATTCTGGTTCACATCCGGCGCGAACACAAACTCCGGCGCACTAGCAGTGAGCTGGCTCGCGCGGTTCGTCGAGGACGCGCGGAAGGAGCTGAAGAGACGGCGGGCGGGCGTGCCAGGGTCGCAGGTACGACGGTAGGCCTCCCATACGTTCCCTTCACCGCGCCAGTCAGGCGAGTACATCCCGCTCAGTTCAGCTTGGACGACGTCTACGAGACGTCAGTTCACGAACTGAAGATGCGACCCGGAGGTGCCTCACCTGTCCCCGACGTGACGTTAGGTCGTGCGCGCTGCTCCCATGGGACGAGAATGCGGCCTTCTGCCATAGCGTTGATGGGAAAGTCCAAGTCTGGGAGCTAGAACTGAGATCTATATATGACCGCAGCCAAAGCTGGATAGGACTCACTTTGTCTTGGAACTTCTCAATGATCTGAAGGAAGCCTCGCGCGCGCGCACTGACCACAGAGGTAGCGGGCCCGTCTCTGATATTGACGGCAGTCGCTTTGCCACTTCTGAGCCTGACCAAGTCAATAGAGGGCAGGTTTCCTGCCTGCAGTCGCGGACAGCGTTGTAAACGCGGCGACAAATGGAGTCAACTGGCCAGCGACATACCAAGAACGCCCTTTCCCTCATTTGTTCTCCCGACAGTGTCCAAAATGGCGCCAAATCCTCGTTGATATTGTCATACTCGTCAATCATAACGACGTGATTCTCCTGCGCGAACTGCCACCAGTCGTCGAAACCTCGCGGAGGGTTCCTCCCATACCTCCGCTTGTACTCTGCCGCAGCCTCCGCAAGCGTCTTGCTCTGCTTCGCCAGTAAATTTCGATATTTTGTCTCCGCCTCAGCCATGAGCCTTGGTATGGGGTGCTCGGTGATCTCTGGCCGCGCGTGTCCCTTCCGGAAGGACATCAGACTGGACGCGCTGGACATGAGTGAGTTGTCGGGAAAGCTCGTGTTCGCCCTCCTCCGCGCGACCCAAAGTCCGCCTTCAGTGAATGCTAGGACGACAACGACCAGAAAGAGAAGCCCCGCTCTGTTTCCCGAGAGACCATTGTACATGACCGTCGCGGATTCCTAGAGTATCCCAGATTCGTTCTAGCTTGCCAATGCGAGATTAGACAGCGCAGTCGCGTAAATGAGCGTAACGAGCCACGTTGGCTTCAGGTCTCGGAGGAAAGATTGAGGGGAGATGGAAAGGAGGTGCCGGGCGGTCGTAAGTAGACGAGGATGCGTGCCGCCGGCGAAGTCCGAACCCATTTACTCTCTCCATATGGCAACTCTTCAGGCCTCAGGAACAAGGTAAGGTAGCCGCAAAGTCCGTATGCAACCCTCAACTTAAATACGGTGTTTATGCGTTTCCGTCAATCATACTTCATCGTCTATTCTGCACATGAAAGTAGTACATGTCTGTGAGCTGTCCTGACCAATGCCAACCGCGAGCGAGACATGGATCAGATTATCTTCTTCGCCGTCCAAAATGCAGCATGATATACATATCCCAGCATACTTTGCGCATTGTTAGTATACGTCGTGTCAATAGTACGTTCGTTCTGCAGAATATGCATCAGTGAGCTAGTAGATACTTATGAACACAGAGCGACGGACCGAGATATCGAAGCCAATCTTACGCGCAAGGGCCTTGACTTCCTCGAGGGTGAGCTCGATCGAAGGGTCATTCGTTGTATTATTCTCGAAGTGCCACAAAAGCGGACCTACGACATTAACGTTAATTTATGGTCCACCTGGCGGCGGAATGACATACCCAAGTTGATCCAGACGCCACCTGGGGCGAGTATTCGATGGATAACGCGGAGGTAGTTCACGATGTTTTTCGCCTGTCCATTCAGAGCTCAGGCAAATGACTAGCCCATTTAGTTCCATACTAACCGTGTCGATGAAGAAGCAGGTCAAGACGGCGTCCCACTGTCCACTATGAGGCTCATCTGCGTCGTCATCCGCCCCATATATCTCCTCGAAATCGCCTTCGTGGCAGTGAGATCGACGTACAACACGACGTTTGCAGCAAACGTACCGGCGACAAGGGAGAAGTTGCTGCCTTGGGGCAGAGAAGAGGGCGTGATGTCGGGGATGGTGATGGGCCTGAGCATGGCGGCGTTGTTCGGCAGGTTGGAGAAGGAGTGCACATATGGATAGATGGTGTGCTGGTTCACTGAATCGGTACTGGCGCGAACGTGAGGACCAGCTCGGATATGTTGAGGCAGCAGAAAGTCCAAGCGCACCGGTTCAGAATGAAGAACGATGCTAGTAACATGTAATGAGAGAATTCGTTGCCCTGGCACGCAAAGCCTGTATGCCATGAGACGAGAAGTGAAATTCAAAACGACATGATGCCGTACCCAGATTCGCAATGTCCCAAGCCAGACGTCCCAATCCCGCCCCTGGAACGAGGACTCTCAAATTATGTCTGCGCGGACTATTACCACACTCCATCTTGCATCAGGTCAGCCGAACGCACCTTTCCGCAGGGGGGATATCAGAGAAGTGCTGCAACAATGCTTCCCGCATCGGAGCATAGCATACCTCACGCTCAGCGCGACCCTGGTGGCGACTGGATGAGACAAATGCTGTGGTTCAGGTCTAATGGACACGACTCGACCGACCTCTTCGCTCCAATCGCGGACGAACTGCTTGAGCGTGCTTCTCAGCTTGTCCATGTCAAAATCAGTTGGTCGGTACCGTCCCTTTTTTTCTGGCCCGGCGTGGCCTTGCGAAGCTCTAGTAGGCGCGTCATGTGAGTGCGAGTGAGGTCCGTGCGTATGATCATGCGAATGTGAGTGAAAGGGCCCTGCGCGTCCGTCAATACCTTCCGTACGTTGAAAGGGTTTTTGGTATCTTGCGAACCTTGGGTATCGCCTGGAACATCATTTACGCCCGGATCGTCTATGCCCTCCAACTCGTGTCCGAAAATCTCTGGGTCTACGACGATCTGGTTGAGGAACTCTGCATTGGCGAGGATAGCTCTATCGACCTCCGCGAGCTTTTCCTTGTACCGAAGGCTGTGTAGAAGCTCCTGATCCGCCCGTGGCAGAGTGAAGAAATCCTTTCTGCGGCGATTATTCGCTGACAACTAGGTGCGCGCGATTCTAAGCCAGATTGCCTTATCTCGAACAGAAGAATGCCTACCGAGTACGCGGCGTATTGCCTGAACGTCTGTATAACATTTGAGAAGTGGGCCTGCTCCTCGTTTATCGCCGTCCGACTAAAAGGCATGATCACACGAGGAAGGGACCACAGATCGTTATCTGGACGCGCAATTTACGCGAACCTTTCAGGAAGGCGTCTAACTCTCGTAAGCAATTGGCTTAGTTAGAACTCATAACAATCCACATGCATAATGCCTGGCCAGGACGGTAGTATGTGTACAACAAGTATTACAGTGCACAAGTTCCAGGAAACAGAGCGGTAGTGATTGATACAGATGCCGGTGGTATACGATATGACAGATGAGGAACGGGAAGGGGCGAATGCAGCAAATCAACGCAGATCGACAATTTCAAGGTCCATGTCTTTCATTTGGACATGACTATTATCACAATCCTGGAGGGCATAATCGTCACATTCATCATTGTTGAGGAGACAGTGCAGCAGGAACTTACCGTATATATTGGGACCTCGGGATGAGGGTGGAACGCTTCTTTGGTTGTGCAATCTAGTATCACCTGCAGGCCGCCCGGGTCTGTTAAACGAAAGATGCCAAATCTGGCCACCAATCGACAGTGTCAGCTATACTCAGGGTGTGTGTTACGACGAAGCTTACGTAGGTTTTGAGGTTGGGGCGCAGACCACTGCAAACGACTCCGGCAGCATGCGTTGGAAGCCCGAATGAGTGTGGAGGTCAACCGAGGACATGAAACAAGACTGTGTGGGATGGGTGTGTATCTAGATCGCGAGGAGTGACTGAGTATGCAACTCGCGATTACTTGAATAAACACTACTTACCCATCCAAGAGTGATCAAATGCCGCTCCTCCGTGAACTGCAGGACCAGCTCTTCCTCGTCCATCGTGCATGTATCACTCGTCGAATGCTGCCTGGGGATCAACAAGGTCGTCACAACATACTTGTTCCCCTTGTCCTTCCCAAGCAACAGTCCGCACGTCTCCCTATTGTGTAGCGTGTTCACACGCGCAATAGACAGAAATCGCTGGAGGCAGCTACGGGGTAACCTCACGGTCTTGAGATCGCGGACTGTCGAATCTGTCGAGGTGCTCGGGACGATGCGAGACGCCGACGAAGTTTGCAACAGCCGTGCACCAGACGGTGACGGACCCCGGCGCCCGGTCTGGGGATATGTGATGGAGCCTTGGCGACCATGCCCAATGGGTACAGACATATGACTGGGAGGTGGAGGGATGACGGGGTCGGCGACAGACGAAGAGTGCGAATGTTGGCTTTCGGGAGCCTTGGAGTCGAAAAAGAGAAGGGAAGAGTCGTTAGGGGCGGCAGGAGCGGGCGTGGACTTGGAGAACATGGACTGCAGTGACGGGACGTAGCCCTGCTTGAGCTGGTGTTGGGACATGAGTGTTGGGTATCTTATGGGGCCATCTGGTGGCGCCGGCGAGGTGGTCGTTATTGGAGGTGGGTATTGAATGCTAGAAAACGCAGTCAGCGACATGACATACCAGAGCTCGGAGGTGGAGACGTACGCAGCGTGCTGTTTTGACTTGCTTGGTGTGTGGTCTGTATGCCGTTGACGCTGCCACGGTTGACGATCCACACCCTCGACATCCGTTGACGAGTCATCGTCATTCTTCGTCGGGCTCTCGAGGGGCATGACCGACAGACCGTTCGACGTCCCATACAATGATTGCTGCTGTGATGAGCCAGGCGCGTGCGCGGGTTGCGGCGCTGCCACGGGAAAGCTCCGCGAGCTGCCTCTCGCACTCGTCTCCTCCCCGGATCTATTGCCGTTGGGCGACGGCGTCAGCCGTGTAGCAACTTCCATCCTCGCGGCTAGTGCAGCGGTCTCTGCTTCTTGCTGTCGCCGCAAGATGCCTTCCCGCTCGCGCCGCCGCCGCTCCTCTGTGGCCCTCCGCCTTTCCTCATCGTCACTCCGTGCTTCAGCTTCCCTTCGCGCTCTCTCCGCCTGTCTTTCCCGCTCTGCCATAGCCTTAGCCTCTGCTGCCCTTCGCTCTGCCGCAGATGCCCGCTCTTCTTCACGCCGCAACTCCAGCATTTGCTGCCGTGCCAACGCAGTTTCATGCCGTGCTTGTCGATCCCGCTCCTCTGCATCCCGCCGCTCCTGTTCACTCCGCTGCCAATGCTGCTCCATTTGAGCCGCCTGACGAGCGGTCCGAGTCCTCTCCTCATCTCGTGAACGTCTGAACTCTTCGGTGTAAGCCACGTCTGTATAATGTGAACCGGCAGTCGATGGTCGACTGGAGCCTGGAGTGGCACTGCTAGTCGCCTGCCAATGCTCGTATCGGTCGACAAGCACAGGCTTCAGCTGGCTCAGGCTTTCGAGGATGTCTTGACCGTTCTGTGGAGAAGCGTCTCAGCACAAGCACAACATCAGACGATTATATGAGAACAAAAGGACAACCGTTCGTCACGAATCAGAGGACCAATCGCAGCACCTGTCAACCGGCTAGGATCAGGTAATCCTGGCAGGCTGACCAACCTATTGTTGACATGCTTGGTGGCACGAAACCTAGAGCATAACGCAGCATTCGCGGGGTAAAAGATTAACTGCCCGAAACCCATGACGAAGAACGGTCGCTGATCCGACCTACCATTACCAGCTCTATACGAGGAAGCCAAATGGAGAAGCGAACTCTGGAAAAACCCAATGCCCTTGAACGAGTACGCAGCGAAAAACCTGAAGAGAGATTGCAAAACCATAGAGCACGATTGAGCACTTACCATGCCTAGGTTCTGGCGCTGATCAGGGTTCAGCAGGGCAGTATAGTCCTGGTGTGTGGGCAATTTCTCCAGCACAATGGTGGCAGCCCTTGCATACTCGACGAAGGCTCTTTCATAATCCTGGTGTTCCGCGTAGTAATCGCCATTCCTGCGAGCCTTCTCTGCTGTGCGCAGCCAATGCTTGAGGCCCTTCGAAGGGTCCCACAGTTGGTCCTGGGCGCGTGCCGCGAGCTCAGAGATGGTCGCCGGCCGCTGGTAGACGGGCTCTGTGGGGGTATTGCCGTAAATCGGAGAGCTCATGGTGGTCGAAAGGAAAGACCGCTGCCGCCGTGGGTGGGCGGGAGTCGAGACTGGCAGTGTACTCACCACCAGCACTGCGCCTCCCTAAACAGCAATGTCACGTGACCCATTCGAAGTCGGAGACTTTGACGACCTCAACTCATCTCCGGTCCTTCGTCTGCTGCTGGAGTACACTCAGGCTACGGCGACAACACATGGCAGGTCATTTTGAAAGCGTTAAATCAATTTAGGAATCCCAGCATTACAACCCATCTACGCATAAGCTGCTTCTGGTTTACTCGACAGTTCACTGAAGCCGTAGTTTTCTCCCTTCACGAATGCACGAGTACAATGCGCCATGGTTACGGATCTGCAAACACGATGTTAGCAACGATAGGCACTAAGGGACCGAAACACTCACGCTCGAGAGATAGGGTCCGTCTGATAGAAGTTGCTGATCGGCTTCACGAAGGGTGCACCCGAGACCTTCGCGTTCGCAGTTCCAGCAGCAAGGGTCTTCAACCCTGCGAGGGCAGCCTCGACAGAGGTAGATTCAAGGGTGTCATAGCGGACCAGAGTTGGCGAGATCTCCCACATGCGATCCCGCAGGCTCAGCACGTCATCATAGGGCAGGGGAGCGTCCACGAGCTCAGAGAGCGCACTGCGTGATACATTCATAAGGTGGGGTCCTACGCACATTGGGGAAGTAGACATACCGGATAATCTTCCAGTCCTCGCGCGACGCACCCGGGGGAGGTACAGCCGCACGGCCCATCTGTGCTCGGCCCTCAGTGTTCACCCACGTCATGCCCTTCTCAGTATACGCAGCGCCGGGCAGGCAGACATCCGCGAGCTGGGCACCAAGGTCGCCGTGGTGGCCCTGGTAGACCACGAACGCATCGCGCGGGATCGACTTCGGGTCGGCCTCGTCAGCGTTGAGCAGGTAGATGAACTTGGGCTTGGTCTGGGACGCCTTGCGTGAGGGAACGAAGCCCATCTCGTACGCTGCAGGACGAGATGCAACCTAATGAAAATATCAACCGGTGCAGTTGTAATCAAATCTGTTTCCGTACCCTCTGCAAGACAGCGAATCCATTCCACTCAGGCGTGACGAGCTGGCTCTTGTTCTGCTCAACGTACTTCGCGAGCGCGTTGTACACCGCAGCACCGTCCGCGTGCTCCGTGACCGCACTCCCGACGATGATCAGCGGCTTCTTCGCGCTCTTGAACTTCTTCGCAAATTCGCTCTTGCCCGCCACGAAGTCGGCCACCGCCTTCGCATCCGCACCCAGGTAGTCGTAACCGTACGTTGTGTCCACGCGCTCACCGATCAGGCCCACCTCCAGCGTCGTGTGCATCCAGCTCTTCCGAATGCGCGAGTTGAGCACCGCCGCCTCGTGCCGAGGGTTCGTGCCGACGAGGAGAATGCAGTCCGCCTGCTCGACGCCCGGGAGCGTCGCGTTGAACAGGTAGTTCGAGCGCACGTCCACTGCGTGCACCGGTGCAGCGTGCCCACCGACGCTATCGAGCGTCAGGTTGTCCGACCCGAGCCGGTTGATGAGGTCCTTGAGCGCGACCATCGACTCCGTGTCGGCCAAGTGACCCGCCACAGCCTGGATCTCATCGCCCTGGGCGCCGGACGCACGGAGCCCGTCTGCGATCGCAGCCAACGCATCCTCCCACGAGGCTGAGACGAAGCGGTCGCCCTGCTTGATGAGCGGCACTGTGAGGCGTTGGAACCGAAGACCATCATACGCATACCGGGTCTTGTCGCTGATCCATTCCTCGTTCACATCGTCGTTTGGCCGAGGCTGCACTCGCATCACAGAGACACCGCGGGAGTCTACGCGGATGTTCGAACCCACAGCGTCCATGACGTCGACCGAATCCGTGTGCTTGAGTTCCCAGGGACGTGCGTGGAACGCGTACGGCTTGCTCGTGAGCGCGCCGACGGGGCACAAGTCGACGACATTGCCCGAGAGCTCCGAGTTCATCGTCTTCTCCACGTACATACCGATCTGCATGTCATTACCGCGTCCCGTTGTTCCGAGCTCCTCGACACCAGCAACCTCATTGGCGAACCGGACGCACCGAGTGCACTGAATGCACCGGTTCATCGACGTCTTCACGAGAGGGCCAAGGTCCTTGTCTTCTACAGCGCGCTTGCCAGTGATTTCGTGGAACCGCGTGCGGTCCGCGCCATACCGCATTGACTGGTCCTGGAGATCACACTCGCCACCCTGATCGCAAATGGGGCAGTCGAGGGGGTGGTTGGCGAGCAAGAACTCCATGACACCCTCGCGGGCCTCATGGACGAGCGGTGAATTTGTCCATACTTTCGCCCCAGGCATCGCGGGCATTGCGCATGATGCAACAGGTTTTGGCGAACGCTCAACCTCCACCAAGCACATTCTAGACAGCATTCAACATCCGCATATACACTCTCAGAGGCATGTACTCACCGGCAATTACCCGCAATCGCTAGCCTGTAAGCAAAGGGTCAAAAGGGCAACAGCAGACGCATAGACCTACACCTACCTGTCATGGTAACAGAATCGTGGTACTGTAGAACCAGCAGCCTCGCAGGCTTGGATCAAGGCCGAACCTGTCGCCAGGAGAGTGAGCTTGTCGTATCGCACACAAACATACGTCTACTCACCCTGCGGGACGGTAACCTCCTTTCCATCCACAGTCAGGGTAATATCGGCTTGGCGCGCCGAAGTTGAAGCAAATGTCCTCCGTCCTGGCATTATGGTTGACTCAGAGACTCCTTGGGGACCGCCAGCACAATCGCCACATACCTGCAAGCGACGTAGAGGGAGCGACTTTGATTAGGAGAGCCGCAGACGCGGGCTTGGACGCCGAGACCAGCCGTAACATCGCTCGAGAATGCACAGAGCGAGCTGGCCAACGCGCACGGAGGGGGGTGAAAACAGGAGAAACGATGAGTAAGTCGAGCGAAGCGACGAGGAGGACGGAGACGACGATGACCGTGCGCCGGCTTTCACCGAGTTAGGCGCCCGCTACAACCGGATAACAGTTCGATTTACACGCAATCTGATTGGCTACCGCACAGCGGGCGCTTCCTTGTCCCTGCTACGCTGCCTGCGCAGGCCATCTTCAATACTGGTTTCCAATACTAGTACGGTGACGGCATAGTAGGTCAACATATATGTATACATGTGCTTTGACATACTTATGTTGTCTAGATCCTGGTGGCATGCTTTGGTGCAGTTGCAACATTACTCAGAAGATAGCATCGCTCTCGTAAAGTCAGCGAAATCCTCGGAGGTACACCGAGTCAATGTTCCCGTCGACCCTACGTCCTGACCTACCATACTAGTATAGTACCCCGACAGCTCATGTCTACATAGGGCTTCGCCCTAATGCGACAATAAATGGGATTTACAACAACAACAAAGTCAGCGAATGTCGTATATTCCGCAGAAAAAGCAACGACCATGACAGTGCGTAGAGCTACAAGCTATGCGTACAACAGGTCCGTGAGTGCAAATACCGAGACACCAAAGAGCGAAAGAAAGCAAAATGTAACATAGCGAGGTCCGAAGGGTCGTAACAAGCCGTTCACGGAACGAACACCACCATCAGAATGTTAACCACCAGCTTCTCCATCTCGCCTGCCTGCACGAACGGCACGCGCTCCTTCGAGATCGCCCCGACGACGCTCACGTCGTTCAGCAACATGATGTCCGTCTCGGAGATCGGGATGGCGCCGCTCTTCTCCACGCGCGTCCGCAGGTCGTCCTCCTCGTCCGAGCCAGGCTCGGACGCTCCTGAGCCGAAAGGGCCTCGTATGGGAGCACGCCCTCCGTTGACGACGGAGATGGGCATACGTACGTGCGACGCGCTCGGACTATCCGCAACGTCGCTGGCGAACTCGACTATCTGGTCAACCGGCCAGATGTAGCCCCCTGCTGTCCACCGTAGTTCGGGGGCGAGCTTGTACAGCTTGATCGCGTGGTACAGCACGGAGTCCCCGCCCTTGAGCTGGAAGGGAAGCACGTTACAACAGGCGTGGTACAACAGCAGTGAAGGGAACTCACGTAGGGGACAAGCGACTCCGCGAGTACCTGCCCGGGGTTAACTCCGTAGTCGCCAGTGAGGTAGAACGCGATCCTGCGGCCCCGAGACATGTTGAGAATAGGCGACATCAGGTCCAAGAACCGATCGCTTGGCGTGATCAGTGGGTTGGGCTGAATCAACGCGGGCCCAAACGTCCTCAGCTGCACAGCGTAGCTGATCGACACCCTACAACCCTTCTGCACGAGTTCCACTTCATGATCACAGTCGCCCATGAACGCTGTCCACTCCATATCGCCGCCCTTCCCACCCCGTCCGAAAAACTTCTCCTCCACGCTGTCTCCATTACGCACGACCAAGGACCCACCCCGGAAGCGCACGGGCAGGGTCACGACGATCGTAGCCACTCGCGCGTCGTTGGGCCGCCGCTGGACTGGTATTGTGTTCCCTTTTAGCACGATCTCCAGCTTGTCTCGCATTGCTGTGAGATAGTGGCCGACGGGTAATGTTGGGAACAGGGTGTTGCGGACGGCCTCCAGAATCGGGTGATTAGCTATCTCGAGGGTGGTCGTGAGAGGGAGGTCAGTAGGATAGAAGAGGGACTCGTTTTGCGGGTATGCATAGTCATCCATGCCCGGTGGATGGGCGAGCCCGGTTGGGAGAGATCGACCCGATGGGTGGGGTTGGCATGCTGCGATGAGGACGTCGAGGGCTGGTGGCATGTCGTGATCGATGTCAATGGGGAAGTCAACGGAGTGCGTGATGCCGCTCTGTGCTGCTGTAAGCGTCCGAGCCAACCACCGATAGATGCGAACGATGCTTACTCTTGATCGGAAGAACAGTGTCAGGACAGAGGGATCCACTGGTATACGCCCCGACACCGTGAACGGTCGCGCCTTTGCATTCAACAGGGTACCGACGCTGGTCCGGAAGGCGGTCTCGCTGTCGAACTCGTCCGAGGCCCGTCTCCGGCGAGACTTGGGCGGCGTGTGTGGTGTCTTGGGCGTGTGCTCGATCTCGAATTCAGACATACTGGGGTTCCGTGTAAAGGGCAGTCCGTCCGAGTATCGACTCGAGCTGGACGGTGAAGAGCGCGCGCTGGCCGTCGTAAACGGCATGGCGAGTTCCAGGGACGACGAAGAACGGAGACAAGGGGCGTGCAGGCCGTAAGGTGGGAGATTAGCGACGAGAAGAGCTCGAGACCGCAGGACGGGGTCTTATGACGACAAAGTGTATACAGAGGCGCTTCTCTTCGTCGGCCACGCACAAGCAACGTGTTCGTGCAGATGGGCGATGGGTGGCCCAGGGTCTATCATCCCGTTTCGTGCCAGATCATACGGAGCTCGAAAATCGATAGCGAGAATACGAGCCATGGGCCGGTGGGACAGAGTGGATGCGTGTCTATCGTCAAATCAATCCTGGTAGACGGTGATTTCGCAGCTGATGGAAAGAAGATAGTACTTGGCAGTCAGCCTCGAGTCTCTCAAACGACAAAAAGTATTACCTTTTTGAGGAACAGCCTGAGCACCAACGACACGCGCCATCCGGCCTGCGTACGGGTAAGCTCTTGAACTGCAGCGAACGGCTCCGCAACCACGCTGGACGCAGCAAAGCCTAAGATCCGGTAATTTAACAATCAAGCAGATCTATTCCAGTCAGGGCGCAAAGGGCTTGCGAAGCACCGATGAGCAAGCTGCTCAACAATGCGCACGCAGGAGGTGCATCGAGGGGAGGAGGTGGTCATCATGGGAAGAGAACGTGTTGGCCGCGACGCGTCGTGTGAGGCGCGGGTGTCGGCCCCCGCACACAATTTCTGCATGCTGATTGGCTGAAGCGATCATATTTTGCCATTCATCCCCTTATTTGGAAATAGTCGGTAATACAAGCTGATGCAGCCTCTTGTCGAGAACCGTCATCGCCGTCTGTCGCCCCTTCACCCTCGCGTCGCTCTCGCATCTGATTCATTTATTTCAATCGCATGAAATAGACTTGAGCTTCTGCCTGATGTTGAGATGCCCCGACGCTCAAATTCAATCCATGGGTTAGCGAGCAGTGGTCAGGCTCGTAAGCCTGATAGATCCAACTTCCTACTAGCTGTCGGACGTATCATTTAACACACGTCGCACCCACACCATCAGGTCATTGAGCCAGCACAGCTACCGTAACTGGCATTGTCAACGTCTACTGTGTATCGTGAGATATTGTCTATGGCTGGAGTGAGTGGAACAACCATTCAGTGACCACAGCCTGGCCCCACGCTGACGAGGTTCTGTGTCGTGCTGTAGCCATGCATCTGGAGCGTTCAAGATGATGAATGGTTCACTAGGTCCTTCGAAGGCAAATGTCCTGCCACTAGTAGCTAAGGCTCTCCTAATTCAAGGATCTCCGACGGACCTCCATCGACACCACCACTGCTGCATGTGCGCGGACTTGGATCTGCCTCCACCCGTGAGGAAAGGTTCGCGCGGAGTACAAGATGAGCTGCAGCGAAAGGATGCCCGAATGCCCTAGGACTCCGGCGCTAGTGGCTCGCGAGCGTCGTGTCGGCGTTCGTGCGCTCATCATCGCGTTCGGACTCGTTCCAGGGTGTTGGCTATTCCCTCGGCTACTCCAGTGCCCTTCTTCACTGCTGTCAAATGCAGCGAAGCCCGGGAGCCAGTGGTACAAGATCCGCGGTTGTTTTCTATTGAAGCGTCTGTGGGTTTACGGCATCCAGAGATCACTTGTCCGGACATGCGCGATCGGGAGTCCCTGTTTCTCACCTCTTCGGGTCAACTCAGATTGCTTCTTTGGCTCGCGAGCCAGCGGACGCTGCAGTGCTAGCGCTCCGCGGTGGCATAGGCATCGCGACGTTTCTGGGGCCTGCTCGTCATGGGATGGCACTGAGGTTGCGACTGCATGGCTCTCGACACCACCTCTTCCTCATGGACGGCGCAATCGAGGTACATTATCACAGTTCCTGGACCCACGCACCGAATAATGCACATTCCGGCTTCAGGATTTGTACCCTGACAGTGGGGCATGGTTTCATCCGTGCTAGCGGCATGTTCACCTTACGAACTCTACCACCCGGGATACCAGCAACGTGTCCAATACCAATCGTAACGCAAACTGCATATCGCGAAGCCTCGAGACACTAGGGGCCTCTCGGTACCGTAAGTCATGATCGTGGCTGACTTCTGTGGTTTCTGACTCTTACCAGATGGCTTTACAGAATGATGCTCTGCAGCGTGTAGACGCAGCCAACCTACTCCTCTATTTCATCTCACGTTCAGGGTCCTGGGGCGCAAGCCACCAAGAGCCACAACTTGACACCTAGCTCCCGGAGCCGCAAAGCTAACTGGCGCGAAGCCACGTCTATTGGCTGCACAACGTCTTCTGCAAATGGCCGCCGTTCCGTGGCGCGATGCGTGGCCACATACTTCCGATACCTATGGCTCGACATATCTCGCAGGTAAGGTGACTATAGCGAGCGGCGCCACGAGAATTTCTAAAGCGACGTGACGTCGGCCGCCCCGACTCGGGTCCACCGACAGAGGCAAGCTGGTTCACAACTGGCGGGTTCAACGCTGAAGATACTACTACACTGTATGTGCGTGGCATTCGAAGCTTCAAGGCAAAGATCCAAGAGAACCCGAGATAGTGACGTACCTCCATTTGAGTGGTTGGAATGTTCATGCCGTGCCATGCAGCACGAACGTTCATCTGTCGGTGAGCAAGACTCCGCAAGCCTGAGTGTCCGTGTGGGGGCCCAGCGGCACCTTCTTCCTCGCAGGCGTCTTAAAAACCGTACTTGAGCCGCGGAGCTCTTGGCTTCCCGGGCATTGGGCATGACAATCTCACGCGATGCGCAGAGAAGGGTCCGACGGAGTCCCTTACAGGTCACAATGCCGGTGGTCTGCTGCTCTTGCTATCTAACTTTGGGTCAAGGGCGTTGACTTTCGGCAAGGACAGCCGGTGTAGAGGAGGGCCCCTACGTAGAAGCAACCGACCCCCGACAATAAATCTCCGAGAACAGGTCTTTGGTGTCGTAGAGGTCGGGCCGCGCCCTCTGCAGCAGGTGCGTATCATGATAGCGCAGTCAGTATACGAGTAAGATACTGACTCTGGCTTGCTCTAGCATCCTTGCCTCGTAGGATCCCGAGGTGGTATGTCGAAATGCTCGCCCGCGAGTCACCTGCGCAAGCACACCTCGAGTTCTGACAGCCGCACCTTACACACGTTCGATGTGTTTGGTTTTCGACACACTTCTCTGAACGTAACCTCTTGCACTCTCATGAAGGTTAGCTCCATGCGAACAATACAGCTAGTGCAGCCTTTGAATGGAAAGCCCGCTTCTGCCGCCCTAACACCAAGTAGCTCTGTCATGCCACAGCTCGCACGAAGATACAGATGACAACGCGCATCATCCCATGGTAGTACGTCCGCCCAAGCACCTCGATTAAAGTGTATCCGTGAAGGGTAACCGACAAGAACTACTAATACAAGTACAACGATACAACACTGGCACTCAAAATGCTCGTAAGCAGCATGAACATCATGAGGCCGCCCGCTGTCTGTCACTACACGACAGACCTTAACGGGGCGGGGAGAGGCATATCTACGCCTTCTCCTGCAGCGCCCGCTCCAGCTCGGCTTTCTTGATCTCCCGCTTCTCCCTGCGAAGCCGCTGGCTCGCGCGGATGCCGAATCCGTGCTGGAAGATCATCTGCGCCTCCTCCAGGCTGAGGCCAGCCGTCTCCGGGAAGCAGAACAAGCAGAAGAGCCAGCCGAGCAGGCAGAGCCCGGCGTAGAAGCCGAACGCGCCAGCGGGCGTGATCGCTGCCATGAGCGAGAGGTAGGTGGAGTTGATGAGCAGGTTCGCGCCCCAGTTCATGGTCGTTGCGAGCGAAGTGCCGATGCCACGGACTGGGATGGAGGTTGTCAGATCGTTATCTGACGACACGTCGTGGGGGACTCACCCTCTAGAGAGAAGAGTTCGCCTTGTTGCCACGGGACATTACCGAGACCCGTGGCATAGGACGCGACGTAGAAGATCATGCACGCTAGAATGAGGGACGACCATGATTTCGGGTAATCAGTGCCAGTGACGAGCTGGCCGCCCGTCTTCTTGGTCATATCTGCAAGAGACTTAGCACCGAGCTCCTTGGGACGTATGGTCACTTACAATGGAAGGAGATGGCAGCGACGACGAGACCAATTATCATACCGGGAGCGGAGTAAATCATGATCTTACGCCGGCCAATAATGTCAATGTACTTCAGCGCGAATAGCGTGAAGATGAAGTTGGTGCCCGAGACAATCAGGCTGACGGCGATCGAGTCGCTGAAGCCGATCTCTTGGAAAAGCGTGGCTATAACACGCAGTCGCATAAGCAACGCCGCGTTTGCATAGACTGGACGAAGGCGTACCGCTGTAGTACATCAGCTATGAGACCGCGCGTCAGGACCAATATGAAAAATACACGTGAAAGCCTGTACTCACGGTATTGAATCCACACAGCTGCTGGAATGCCTGAAGACCGCATGCGATGACTGGAACGCGTCAGAGTGCGCCCACAATACATGCGCCATGAAGACTGACTCAGGGCACGCCGATGTACAGGCACAAGGACAATCGACCGCAGCCGCTGCCAGAAGGTTGTCGAGTTGGCTATTTGAACACTCTGCTTCACCGCAGCCTCCAGGACTTTCATCTAAGGTATCATGTCAACGGAGAGGGATCCGATATTGTAGGTGTCACACCTACCTTGAGCTCAACCTGCTCAGGCGTCGCCAGCGAGTATATACTCGATAGAGTCCTATGCGCACCATCAAGCCTGCCTCTGCGAATCATGATGCGCGCTTCAGAGAAATGTGAGTGAGTGTTTGGGTGCCTCTAGAAGCGGAGTTGTATACATACGCGACTCGGGCAGGAAGAACAGGAACATTAATTGCAACCCTGCGGGAACAGTCCCGAGGCCAACCATCCAGCGCCATCCACCGTCCATGTTCTGGAAGGCAGCATCAATACCGTAGGCAATAACCTGGCCTCCGGTAATGGCAACGACGTTGACTGCGACCATACGTCCGCGCAGACGCGTAGGCGACAGCTCCTGGATATACAGCGGTGCTATGCATGACGCGAGGCCAACACCGAAACCAATCACGAACCGCCCGCCGACCTAGAGTGACGTAGGAGAGCGTGAACCAAACGCAGGTGAAGCGTGTAGGGGATTGTGTTCACCATGGGCCAGACGGCGTGAGAGACGGCTTGGCCAATCGCGCCTGCAATAAAGATGACGTCTGCAACAGCGAGCACGGGTTTCCGGCCTATGTAATCGGAGAGCATGCCGGCGATGAGACCACCAATGAGGGCACCGAGAGTTGTTGCTGTAGTGATGAGTTCCTGAGAATAGCAGCGCGGTTGGTACATAATGAAGCTGCATCGGTACCGCGTGAACACACACCTTCTGGAAGTTCGAGAGCGACTGAGGCCCGAGATCTGAGCCGATGGTAACGAGAGCTCCCGAAATGACGCCAGTGTCATATCCTATCAAGATGCATTCGCGTTCAACGGGGCAAGCAGCGATGCATGGACAGAGAAGTCTTACCGAAGAGCAATCCGGATATACTGGTACAGAATACGAGCAGCCATACGAATAGTGTCGTTCGTTCTTCACCTTCCGCGACGACCACAAGTTCTGACACTTCCCCAGCTGCGAGGGTCTTTGCGACGTCCTCTGTTACAGAGTCGATGCTATTTGCAGAGCGCCACCATAGTCAGTGATCGAGCGCGCTTCCGGTTCCCGAGCGTGCGAATCACCTACCCCTTCGAGTCCTCCTTCTTGAGCTTGAGTTCATGTGGGTCGTTATCCATGTCGTTTCGGGTCGTTTCTCCGGCAGATGAACAGTGTCGGGGAGGAGCGTCCACCTTCCTGACGGTGAGGGCGAGACAGTGTACGACGAAGAAGGACGAAGACTTTTATAGCAGATTGCCACTTTACGGCGCTTGCATCAATCAATCTGGCGACAGAATTTTATCGAACGGAGCTACCCTGGTAATTCGTTGTTTGTTCTCATCGACATTCGTCGCTCATGCACATGTACCAAACCTCTGAGCGCACCATCAAGAGTTCGTACTATGTACTGCTCTCCGCTCCTCCATATCCAACGAGGTACCCCATCCTTCGCCGGATGTCCGTCCCGGTCCTCCACCGGCGCTCGCCGCTCAGGCCCGTGGTCCGCACGAGTCATATGACAGCGATGCTGACTAAGTACCTCGACAAAAATCAGAGAACTAATGGCACAGCTGCCAACTTACATACGCTGCAGCACCGACCGGCCGTTGTTGTACACTATGGGTCCTCGATTCACGTCTGGACATTTCCTGTCCAAATGGACACGTTCTGCTTTTGCCCACTGGGAGACAGCAATGCCAAGAGTGACAGGACACGTCCGGGACGCCGGACACTTCATCCGACCAGGCAAGAATTCGGGAATGCGGGGCACAGGCGGGGCAGTCTGGGGTAAGGATCAAGCTCTGAGATCTGATGGGCTGTGGGGTGTTCAAACACCGCGAGCGCGTTCTCTCTGGCTTGTAAGCTCACCGTGGAAGACCGACCTCTTCGGATTTTCACGCCTCGCAATGTCAGCAGGCCAGCGCCAGCAATCAGATCCTGATTTTCAGTCGGGAATCGACAGCATCGCGCTGCTAGCTAGCGGCAAGAGGGGTCTAGGCGCCTAGGTGCCGAGCGACGATCCGTCTGCAGCACTGAGACTCGATGAATGTGGGAAGAGCCACGGGACCCACATGCGCCCATAAGGCTAGAGCTGGGATGGGCCGCTACACGAAATGAGCTAAAGACACTACACCTCGATTTTGCGATATGATTTGAGACCGCGTAGCCTACTATGTCGCCGTGGCGGAGCGTGGATGTCAATATTACTACGCAGCAAAGGGAATACGGGTATCGATGCGTATGGATCAATTATTCAACAGCCTGTACATAGTGAAAAAATATACTACCCAAGAATTCCATCGCAGAGGAATACTATAATGTATGTGTGGTATAGCGACTGCGAGCCAGCGCGACTTACGCCTGCGAAGTCGCATGGTATGGGCAAGACATCTTCCGAGACGTTTGATACGATCTCCTGCCTCCTTGAATATACGGCCGCTCCTGTGTATCGCGTCAATCAATCGGCCAAGGGCACGAGCATGTTGAGCAGACTCACGTCTCCGCCGAGGACGACTCGGTCGCTGGCTGTGCACCTTGTTTGCACGCAAGTCGGGCACTGGATGCTCTCGAGCATCTGCGTCGATGATCGTGACTTCCAATGTACCCTCTCTGGCCTTCCTTACAAGCCTAAGGATGCGTATTCAGTTACAGGCTCTGCAAAGCTGCGAAGACGCGATACATACTCGAAGATCTGAGCCTCTTCGTCCAGGAAGCCGCGTGGACCGCACACTTCATCGAGCGTGGACAGCTCTACGGACACGTCGACGATGACAGGTAGATTTTCCGCGTCTGGGGTTTCGTACTCCTCGCCCCCCGCGAGATCGCGTCCAGGTCTTCCATGTCTGAGTTTGAATGAGAATGCTCACTCCCCGCATCGCCTATGCTCCAATCGCGATGTGATGCGTGCTCAACGTGGGTGGGGCGGTCACCAATCGAAGGGGTACGTGTACCCGAAAATCGCATCTCTCCAGAGTCCCGCGTTTCAGATGTGCCGTGATCGTCCGATGCGCGGACAGGCGCGTCTGCAGTGTCCTCAGCACGGGCAGTCGACGCTGGTGGATCCGTGCTTTCTGCTGGGATTGCGCTCTGTAGGACCTTTGAAGCGGCCTCGGGCACGAGGTCTGTTTCGTCTAGCGTGGCCGACAAGTCTGCATGGACAATCGTGAGGTGTGAAGAAAGGCACAGGGAGCATAAGACTGCTCACGGTCATCCATTTCCATCAAGGCTTCTTGCTTATCGTCGTCGTCTTGCCTGTGCTTGAGGATCTTCTCGCGTTCCATGAATGAGAGTTGAACCATGTTCTCCTTCGGGCATTCCTCGTGCCTGACCCTCACGATGGCATTTGCGAACGAATACTGATAGCAATTAGGGAAAGGGAGTTCTGGAGTCGCGTGGAGCACTTCACGCCCTAAGGGATGGCTGGTGGCAGGAAAGACTGGGGTACACATGTCAGGTGTAATGTGCCTCTCGAGGTCCTCTCGCGCAGGGATGTCATTTAAACAGGATTAATGTTGAATCACTTATGTATCAAAGATCAACTTAAGTAGGGTACATCCCCAATCCAATCCACTGCTTAGCCATGGCTAAGCTATAGGATCAATAAGATGGGTCTGTAGTGGATTAACCAACATGGATTAGCCATAATTGAGATGTACTTAAGCCATCCTTAATCTCAATCTAAGCAGTTACTTAGCCAGATCTATGGCTAAGCATGTACTTGAACCATTGCTCATCTCATTCAAAGCTGATCCTGAGCTAATACTGAGCTGATCCCATGGCTTAAGACATGGGTTAGCTGTACATAAGCCAGTTCTAAGCAGCTACTCATCCAGATCTATGTACTTGAGTCATGGCTAATCTCATTCAAAGCTGATCCTGAGCTAATACTGAGCTAATCTCATGGCTTAAGACATGGGTTAGCTGTACATAAGCCAGTTCTAAGCAGCTACTCATCCAGATCTATGTACTTGAGTCATGGCTAATCTCATTCAAAGTAGATACTGAGCTAATCTCATGGCTTAAGACATGGGTTAGCTGTACATAAGCCAGTTCTAAGCAGCTACTCATCCAGATCTATGTACTTGAGTCATGGCTAATCTCATTGAGAGTAGATACTGAGCTGATACTGAGCTAATCTCATGGATTGACCTTGACTTAGGCCATGGATCAACTACACATAAGCCAGTTCTAAGCCCTTATGAACCTAATCCTATGGCTTAAGCACTGACTTAGCCATGACTTACATGTACTTCATCCATTCCTGACACCATCTGGGACATCTACTTAGCCAGATCCATGGATTAGGAATGAGATTAGCCATGACTTAATCCTTGGTTCAGCTACACATCAGGAAGTCGTGCAATTCCTCTGACAGCCCTGTCAGGGGCTTCATAAGCGCTCAGAACACTTCATTTCGCATCAGAATGCCTCATATGGTCCAACCTCAGAATCGTGGATTTCTACGAAATCTCTGTGTCAGACAGAATTGTCAGACAGACTCAGACAGCCTCAGAGTTGTCAGATGCTGCATCAGACCCTCAGAGGTACGAGCTTTCATATGTTTAGCACTCAGATGTACTGCTTGTAAATGTCACGATTGTTTATCAGCTACACTAGCAAAGTACTTATATACAGTTCAGTAGGCTCGCGCGGTACGCTACATGCCCGTGCACATCATGGCGGCGATCCTCCTCGTGCTCACCCCGTTACTGCAGGCCATGTTGCGTGGCGCACTCTTGTCCGTTTGCTGAGTTCGCGGCGCTCGTCTGCATCGTCCTCGATGCGGCCGGCTCATGGAGCTGGCGGTGGGCACGGTGAGGTAGGATATGCTCTTGGTGGCATTGTCCTTTCTCGGACTGGGGTGTGGCGCGTTTGTCCTCAACGGGCCTCTACATGCCAGGATGGGGCCTACCGGGTTGATGCTCGGTCAGCTCCTGTGTGCTGTGCCAGTGTACAGCGGGTACTCGGTGGGCTCGTGGTCGATGTGCGGTCCTCCTCGGTGGACTAGGCCGTGCTGTGTTTGGGTTTGACTCATCGGCATGCGGCATGTAGGCGCAATCGCATCGCAACCGTGTGCGGCAGCACCATACCGGCTGTGCCCGTGCGTGTTGTGTTGAGGCTTAACCTCTACAAGTCTCGTGTTAGCGGATTGGCACGCGCACGAGCTGAGATCGATCGTACTCACTAGGCATGGGTGCACCGGGTTGTCTCTCGTGTTCATCACCGTGCCTGCCCCCGGCGTGCTGAACCCGCTTGCGTGCCTGGCGTCCATCCAATGCGTCTTCTCCCTCGATGCCGGTGACCCATCCAGGACCTCGTGTCGCCTACAGCGCCCGTCCCCTACGATCTTCCCTTCGAGGTCCTTGTCCACGTCTGCGCTATCCGGCACTTGCTCGGCGCGTGCAGGTCGTCCGTTGTGCTCACGCGTGTCTGGCTCATCGGGCTGGCGCGCTGGAGCTCAGCGGCCTGGCTTCTCGAGCTAGAGACGCGCTCGTCTTCGGCGGGCCTCCATCCTGGCTTCTGCATGCCTCGGCTTGTGCGGATGCGTTCGCGTCCGCGCCTTCGTTGCGATCATTACCGCGACCTGCGCACGCTGGCATTAGTTCGACTGCTCGTCAGGCAAAGTCGCAAGACGACAAGAAGTGTACTCACCTGATCACTCTGCCTTCTAGCCACATCTCTCCCTTCCTTCGCGACCATCCTTCGCCCCCCTCCCCCGTCGGAGTTCTTCGCGCGTCGCTTGGAGCCTGTTGCGGCTGCTGGGCCACGCAATCGTGGGGCGTGGCCGGTTGATTCGCGTGCCGACATCGCTTGCGGACGGACCCGCACGTATGTTATTGAGGTAGGTAGAAAGGAGGTAAGCGCAAAGCGAAGGTGAGAGATGGCGATGGCGGTGCCGAGGCCGAAGGTGGAAGTGTGGTGAAGTCAAGGTGAAGTGTTGGTGAAGTGCAGCGAGAGGAGTCTGAGGACGGTAGCAAGCGCGCGCGTCAGTGACGTGTCGCAGTGGCTGAGGCGCTTAGCACTTCAGCTGCGCCAGCGAGTCGTGCTCTCCTTCTCCACATCGACATTCACGTACCCACACACCTTCCCGTTCGCTCGCGCGGACATACACCCGTCATCTGGACACCCACCTTGCCATCGACTTACCCGCCTCTCCGACCTACCCTGCACTGCTTGGGCCTTCGCCGGCACGACCCTCCGACGTGGCAGAGCGCTGCCCAACCTCGACTTTCACAGGACGTTCCGCTCGCGCGTGGACGAGCCCGCGCGGACGTCTTCGCCGACCCCCCTCGCGCTCTGCATCACACAAGTCATACCCCGACATGGCCAAGATAATGGACGACTGGCACGCGGGGCGACGCACGGATGCTGATAGAGCGGGCACAGGAGGGGGACAGGCTAGTATGGATGTGATGAGGTGCGTGTACCTCTACGACTCTACGATGCTGACATTGTCTACTCCTCTGCTCTCCCGCCGAACAGCCACAGTCTCAGCCCTCGACGAGTCCACGCGCAGTCACGTCTATTGACGCACTCAACGCGCTCTGGCTAGGCAGTCCCATGCGCCGATCTCGCCGTCGTGCTGACTGGGGCACGAGTGCAAGACCACCGGGTAAGTCAATGCCCATTCTTCGGTCTGTGCTGCTCCCCAGACTCTCTCGTAGCGCGACCTCGAACGCGCTCTCCACGCCAGTCCCGGTTGCACACAAGATGAGTGCCGTGCCGCGGGACACTCAGTCTCGCAGATCCTCCACCATAGCGGCCAGCTACTCCCTCTGCGGTGGCGGATCCGTCGGCGCACAGCGCAGTTGAGGACACTCGTTTGGATCTGCCGGTCAGCGCTCCCGCTGATGCCTGTCGCGCTGGCCTCCGCCTTCCGATCAGAGCCTGAGGTGACTACCTTCAAAGCCACCGCGACTCCGGCATCTCGTGCACCAGACTCATGAGTCTGCGGGTGAGTATACCCAGCGGCACACACCGCAATCGGATTTCAACGTCTCCCTTCGCCCTCGTGTCCTTTCCATCGCGCTCGTGCTTTCTCTTTCTCCCTCGCGCTCTCCCTTCGCCGCCACCGCTCTCTCTTCGCCGCCGCCGCTCTCTCTTCGCCGCCACCGTTCTCTCTTTGCCCACGCCCAACTCGCTCATCACGCCGTTCCCCGCGATGCAGTCCACCCACGTGTCCGCCGTGCCACGCCCCCGTGCAGATGTGCTCACAGACGCATGTCCGCTCTCCTCGCGGCGCAAAGCGGCGAGCTGCACGTTCTGCACAGTGCAGTCGTGCTGCCGCCGGTGCGTCGTGTTCACGTGCCCGAGGCCCGCGCCGACAACCTCGAGGATCTGCTTGAGCTGGTTGATGAACACCGCCTACATGCCGCGCTCCGAATGTGTATTATGATCATCGTAGTAGTCTCTGAATACATTGCATTTATGTCAATTTAAAACATGTGATATGTGCTGTCTGATGTGCTGTGCTACTGACACCGTCTGATACTATCTGAGGTGAAATGAGAAGATCTGACAACATGTGATGTCTGGTGCGCCCTGATGCTTCTGAAGCTCTCTGAAGGCCAACCTTCAGAGGCTCATACCGTCAGAAATTGCACACTTTCCTGATGCACATAAGCCAGTCCTAAGTCCTATGCTATGTACCTTAAGCCAGTTCTGATCCCAAATGAAGTCCTTACTTAGCCAGTACTTAAGTCAGTCATACACTCTCCAGCTGGTCTAATCATGTACTCATCCATTACCCTGCCATGACTTAAGTAGTCTACTTGGTACGTCTAATCCATTCTGTCGTCATGGATATCTGGATGAGACGGTGTCAGCCTCCTTGCTTAGCATGTACTGATCCAAGATGTACATACCTGATCCATCAGCTAATCACAACAACACCGTTGTTAATGCTCAGCGACACCGGGGGTGCTACATGTTGTTGTTTCGGTTGTTGAAATTGTACCTGCCATACGGATCGTAGGGCCAGTCCACTGACGACCGCTGCGAATGTGACGTCGACGACGACGCCGAAGTAAACGAGTCTGCGTACGAGTTGAGGGGAATGTGACGTTGACGACGGCGCCGAAGTAAACGAGTCCGCGTACGAGTTGAGGGGAATGTGACGTTGACGACGACGCCGAAGTGAACGAGTCCGCGTACGAGTTGAGGGGAATGTGACGTCGACGACGACGCCGAAGTAAACGAGCCCGCGTACGAGTTGAGGGAAACTGCCGACAACGGAGGGTCAGGATGCAGGCGATGAAGGTATTGCCGTACCCTCGACTCGACTCTGCAACAATAGGGTCAGTACATGGCGAACAGAATGGATGGTCATTGACGAGCCATGCACGGCCACGACATCGCGACATGGAACGCAAGGACCGAAAGGGATCCGCGAGACAGGAAACACAGCGCAGGGGATGGCATGCAGTGAGACTCAGCACTGTATTACTCACCTAGTCGCCGCCGTCCTGCACCTCTGCGTCGTCCGCCTGGACCTCTTCGTTGTCCTGCTCAACCTCTCCATCGTCAACCTCGACCTCTTCGTCATCCTGCTCGACCTCTCCATCGTCAACCTCAACCTCTTTGTTGTCCTGTTCGACCTCTCCGTTGCCATACTGCTCGCCCTCGCCCTCGCCCTCGCCGTCCTGTTCACCATCCCCGTTTGCGCTACCCTGACCGTCGCCCTCGCCCTTCGCACCGCCCTTCACACCGCCCTTGGCGCCGCCCTTCGCACCGCCCTTGGCGCCGCCCTTCGCGTCATTTGCATCCTGTCCTGTGCTTGCCATCGATGTCTGTGGAAATGTCAGTCGCGCGGTCAAGGGGAATGCTCGCTGTCTAAACCTACTGAAGCATAATCCCACTTCTCGGTGGCATCCCGTCTCGTAGATGCAAATACGTCGGAGCATTGAGTACTTAGCTTGTTGAACATCGCAGCCTTCTTCTTCGCATATGCCCGTGCGCCCGGTGAAAGCTCTGTCTTCACGGACACGCTCTCCCACGCCTTCGACATGTTTTTGAAGCCAAGCACTGTCCTTTTGAATTCGGCATGGAGCTTGTTGATCTCCTCGTTCACTCGCTTCATGTCTTCCCGAGCGCGGAACCATTGCACTCGGTCGACTAGGTGATGTTGAGTTTTGCTGCTCAGAACAAAAAGCAAAGACAACTTACCTTCGAGCTCCCATGCCTGAGCCTCAGCATCTGTCGTCCAGGGAGGTACAACCGTCCAGATCCAGGCCTTTTCTTCACGGCTGTCTCCTTGTTGACGCGGTTTCCGCCAGTTCTTGCTCTTGAGGTCAGTTTCGAGGTTGATCGCTGAGAGGATGTCGTGCGTTGTACCGTCGCTCAATGCGATCAGACGGTCGCGGTTGTAGTTGTACAGACCGGCGAGGGCGCGTGTGCGTGCTGTCGCATTTGTGACTAGCTTTTGCGAGCGAGTGTTGTCCTTCTGACCGCGTGCATGTTTGCGTTTGTCCTCGAGGAATGCTCCTTGGTGATTGAGCGACTCCTTCACTGCGGCCAGGAGATCATAGGCACGGCCATGCCGGATGCGCCGTTCGAACACCGCTAACACTTCGAGGCCTAGCGTCTTGCGCTCGGACAGCGAGAAGTCGGAGGGAAGCGCGAGGGGTTCTTCTTCGGGGCAACCACCAGCCGCCTCGTCGTCGTCGTCGTCTTCTAGAGCCTCTGCATCGATGTCCGGTAAGTTGATGTTCGGCATGAACGAACCTTGAAGATCGCGCCATTTTTCAATTTCGCGGTATAGTGTATGTCGCTCGGTGCCGGCTCCAGACAGGTCTTCGTCGTCCTGTGCTGAGTTCTTCTTGAGTTTGGCACGAAGCTCATACCTGCATATGGTCTTGAGAAAGCTGTGTGGACTGAGGGGACATACACTTACTGTCGCTTTTCGAGGTCAAGAGCCTTCATGAAGAAGTTTGTCGTCCCTTGTGGGACTTTGTCTGCAGCGGCGGCGGCGTACTGGTCTTTAGGGTTGATCTCCAGCTTCTTGAGGTCTTCGTACGCCTTCCCTGCGCTCGGTACTGGACTGTTGTTAGTCTAGGGCTTATTTCCTCACATATAGTACTCGTACCTTTGCTCTCGTCCAGCACATATACAGACTGATGGTCTGTACCAGCACCCTTCTCCTTCCCCTTCCCCTTCCCCTTCCCCTTCCTCCCCTTCCCCTTGCCCTTACGCTTGCCCGGCTTCCCCATAGTGTTCGTGGCAGACGCAGCAAGCTCACTCTCCATCTTCTCCCATTCAGCGACCTTCTTCATCAGGAAAAACACTTCTAACTTCAGCAGTCTTGAATGAAGAACACCTGATCTTATTCAATCTCTCACAACTTGTGCTCCTCAATTAAGTGCACCATGTGCATGAAGACTGCTGAAGTTAACTATAGTACCTTTGAGAAATTTGTCTTGTCCCCAAGTTGGAAGATATGCAACTTTAGTTCTGCAGATTAAGACACATAAGTACACATTAGTTGGCAAATGACCTCTTAACTGTAAAATATGCATGATGAGATGTCAGATTGCTCAATATGAAGACTTCACCAAGATTTCACCTGACAAGTTAACACATACTATATCTGGCAACAGTAATGGGGTACAAATAAAGATTATTTGTTTTTCCCTGTGATTATGAGTATATTACCCTACTTACAACAGATGTTGTGGTCAAAGTCATATTGTCAAGGATTTGGACATATTTGACCTGTTAAGGTTGAGAGACAGCAAAAGAACACTTAAGCATGCAAAGTGAGACAAGAAGCCTGCCCTTGAGCAAATTATGAGTCTACACAAGGTCTGCAAGGCAACAGATAGTGCCAAGAAGAAATGAGGCCAGTCTGAGAGCCCAGGGATGCACAGGGGCTGGGCTAACAGGGGGCAGCAATTGCAGATTTCTCTAAGTCCAGAAAGATAGTCAATATAGGTTATTGTAGAGGGGAACAAGCACAGGGACCTATGGTGTAGTGGTCACAAGTTTGTGCTGAAAGTGTGGGAAATTAGTTTAGCAGGTCAGGGGTTCAATTCTGGGAAATGGCAGATTATTTTGGGCGACATTTTTGCATCTGGGATGCCTGTTATGACAGCATATGCACAAACACAGCAGAATCATGAGAGAAGTCACCCCAGTAATGATGAAAAAACATCATTCTTGCTTGGAATGAGTGTTTACTTTGGTTACTTAATGGAACTTAAGTAAGACAAAATAAGAAATCGACTTACCTTAAGGCTCTTGTGGCACATAGTGACACATAATGTCACTTTTGGCTCTCCACAAGACCACTTAAGACACGAACGTTTTTCCTGATGTTGCCTGCAAGCTTTGTGAGCGCATCATAAAGTGACGTCTTGCTTTCCTGCAACGCGAAGGCCTCGTTGAGCTTCCGCGCAAAAAAGGAGGCTGCGCCAGTGAGCTTATGAACTGGCGTCAATCGTATAATCTCTTACCTGCGGTTTCCATCTTGCGCCAGTTCCAGTAGTTGTGAATTGCGTTGAGCGCGTCGTGACGATGGCCCACACTCATCTCGCGCGTGCTGAGGCCGACTTGGTTGTGCTCCGCCCAAGGATGCTCGACACTCTCGCCGTGCGAGAGACCCGCACCCCATGAGTAGCAGAGGGCGTAGAGGATCTGGCAGAGCTCCTTGTGCGCAAGCATGTGCAGCTTTGGCAAGAGCATCTGCATGCGGCTAAGGAGAGGCGCCAGATGTGGGAAACGCTGCGCGAAGCGTTTCTCCAGATTGACGTGGTAAATACAGACGACGTCGTAGGTGAAGATGAAGTGTAGGAGCTCGCCGAGGCCTTCGAGCGCGCCGGCCAGGGCAAAGTCCATATGTCCATATCTAATCGTAGTCAGGGAGCGTCTCGATGCGCGGTACGATAGACGCACCGCTCCCCTTTCTGCAGATCAACCATCGCGCCTGGGCGGAAGCATCCGTGACGGATGCATATGACAGCCACGACGCCGCTAACCTCGAGATTGCGAAACTTGCCCGGACGTTGGGCTCGTCCAACCTTGAACCCACTGCATGTTTCAGGCTGTACAAGTCTTCAGCACTGGGTTTGCGCACAGGAATGTCTCCACTTACCGCGGGTTCTGAGTCGATCTCCTCGAGGTACGTCTTCATCTTTGCTGGGTCGACAAAGTAGCCCTTCCCTTCACACAAGCTGAAGTCGTCTGGGTCGTTGTGCTTGCGTTTCTTCTGAAGGCCGTGGTTGCCGTCGCCACCGAGCTCGCATGCGTGAATATACCTGATGCACGATAGATAGATTAGTCAAAGTCAATGCTATGCAATGAAATCGACTCACGCAAGATCCTTCGGTGTGTCCTTCCAATGTGTCGGCATATTGAAGTCCGGCCGAGGGCAAGCAAAGCACGGCACCGTCATGGTTGCTCGTTGATTGCCAACGCGCACCCCATGGTGCAAACCCGCTCTCTTCTCCGCCGTGAGATGCTGCCAGATGCGCCCCGCGATGTTGAGTTCACGATATCGATTCTGGGAGACCATTAGATGCCAGCACAACTAGATGGACTCATGGAGTACTTACCTTGACAATACGCGTGCCCGAGTTATCCGTAAGCCGCCGCAACGCTTCGTAGAAGTCGTAAGTGCCTTTCTTCGATGTCAGGAAGTGGAGATCCCACTGCTTGAGTACGTCGAAAGTGAACGCGCTTTCGGGTCGCTCCAGCGTCGCTGGAAACAGGCCGGCGCGTAGCAGTTGCGATACAGTATCGCGCGCGCCGGGGCAGTGACATTCGTGGATTTGAACGCGGTGTATGCCGTTGCTATGGGTGACGGTATAGTTGATAGGGGTAGCAATAGCTCGTAGATACCTGCACCGGTCGCCGCAGTGGCCGAGGTGAAGCACGAGTCCGAGGTCGCACAAGTCCTGCTTCTCCAGGAAGGAGCCGGTCCAAGCCTCGGCCCAATGCAAAGGGTTGCGGGAGTGCGAGTCGACGAGACATGAGCGACATTGGAGGGGTGCTTGCAGGCAGTCTCTGCATCGTACCGTCGCGGTCTCCTTTCCACACGCGCACGGCAGTCCAATCCCGTCGGGGACCTCAGCAGCCATGATATCTTCGAGTATGCCTCGAAATCGCGGCATCCACTCTTGCAGAACCTTCGAGACGCCGTTCTGACGACCACCATAAGCGATAGCTAGTATATATGAGAAAACAATGTACCTTGACTTTACGTCCTTGCCCGGTGCTCGATGCGCTGGCGCGTGCTCCATCGCCGTCTTGTGCACTCGTCGATGCGGCCTCTGGCGCGCTCTCAGCTGTGGGTTGTGGAGACGGGCTAGCGAGGCGGAGTCGCTTCTTGACAGGAGACGCTTCTGTGCGATGTGTGATAGGTCTTGAGTATCGAGCGCGACCTTCTCGAGGTACTGAGATGGCCTGAGTGATCGCTACGGCAGGAGGTAGTATGTCGTCGACATGTACATGAGGACCGGCGACGTGCGCATGAGGACGCTTGTTTCGGCGACGCGACATTCTCGTGATAGCACACCCAAGGTGCCCGTCAATCCAGGAAGGGTCGAGAGTTGTCCATGATCACAGTATACAAAGGGAGCACTGTCTACTCTACTCGCCCAACATCCAAGTCCCGCCGTGGTCCCCCGATGCCTACGATCTCATCTCGCCAGATACAGGTCGCGGGAACGCGCAACGCGGAACAGCGCATCAGCGCGTTGCATCATCCCCGACGCCCGGTTGCCAGAATAGATTTCTCCGCGGGTAGCGATGTTCTGCGCCCCGCTTTTTCCCTTGGCCTTTGCGCAACGAAACTAGTGAAGTGTTGCCGATCGACGTCGCTTGCTGTCAATCGAGATCAGTTGAATACTACAGCCTACGCCGAGGGTACGGCAGGAATTTACCTGTGAAGCACGCGCCACTCTTGTGTTTGGCCTGGAACGGATGTCGATGGCGGTCCATCGGGCGCGGCATATCATTCAGGCTAGGAAAGGAGTGAATTGGTTACTACACAGATCACAGCAATGGCATAGTCAAGCCGTGAAGCACAAAGTACGTACATGCTACAAGCAAGTTAACCAGATTCGCCGCCCTGACGGGCCGCCAGAGAGACCAAGTCTTGGCGGTCTGCTGTGTGTTGTACTTATTGTCAGAGCGAATGCATGTTATTTAGTCAGTTCTAGACGCACCGAGTCACCGCGGATTGGACCGCGATCTGATGAGTCCACTGTGGAGTGTGAGGTAAGGTATAAGTGTTGCAGGGTAGAATAAAGCTGCTGAGACGACGAGGGATTCGAGACGAGAGACGAGAGCAATTTGGGTGGAGGGTTGGACGAGTATAGGGCGTGTCGTGTCGAACAACGGCTCAGCTGCAGGAAACCCCGCAGGAGCGCATCGTGTTGAGCGGGGGCTAAGCCGGCTGTATAGCCAGCTCGCACACCCGCATCTTGAAGCTTCAAGTTGAAGTCTTGAGCGACCGAGGACGGCGACGAGGGCAACACGGTTGTTGGTCAATCGCTCGGATTAGCTGTGACTAAGACGCGCGGCTTAGCCGTGAGTGTGAGTCACGAGTGTGACTCTCCCTGCCTCATACGGAAGGTTGTGACTTTGACTAATGCGCGCGCTCAAAGTTGAACCACAGACTCAACCGGTTCTTAGCGCGTTCATTCACTCCCTAATCCGATTCTCCTCGCCTCCTCCTCAAGCTCAGCAAGATCAAGGTCCCGGACCCTTCCCTGAGCGGTGCGACCACGGGTAGATACCCAAGGTTGACCCTCTTCGACTGCTGTGCGCGCACAAGGGGATTTCCTCTTGTCGCCCAGTTTTCCCGACAACCCGACATCCACTGCTTCAACGCTGCACGTACGACCTGCACCTGCTCACTGGTGAGTAAGGCTCGTGTTCTGTGTCTTCCATGTCTGACTTGCGCGACGTACGGCGCGAGGTCCCAGCCCCGCGACGTTGACCAACCTCGCAATGACCAACCGGAGCCGCACTACATTCGCGGAGCATGCGTGCGTAGTGCTTCAATGACGCATTGCGAAGGTCTAACTAATGCGCCGGGATGAACAGAGCGTCAAACAAGAGGGCCGTGCCACGTCGAAGTGCCGAGCAACGCCCGCAGTAAGTGCTTGTGCTTTGGTTGTGAGGTGGCACGGTAATCTGACTGACTTTTATGTTAAACAGACCATCGTCGAGTACACGGTCCGCGAGGGATGAGCTCCCAGTGCGCGAGCCGCCGCGAGAGCAACAGCGGCCCTCGGACACCAGTGGTCTGCCAGAAGTGATGGGCCATTCTCAGGCAACACGCGAGGACGACGATTCTCGCGACTCACAAACACGCGGGCCGGACGGTGGAGGAAGTTCTGGTGAGCAGGAGCTGGTGCTCCGTGAAACACCAGAGCTGTTCGGTGAGCCGCGCGTATCTATGCATACGCGCAAGAGCTAAACTCGGTTGTGCAGAAAACTCCGAGAAACTGACTCTGCGATGGAACGACGGTCGTCTCGCCACGGAGTGGACGATGAACGAGCAGGCTGTCGTTACGACACCGAACGCCGACTGGATGCCCGAGTTCCCCGTCGCGTCTCCAGGGCGGATCTGTACCAGGGTCGACGGTTCGTGGGGGCCTCAGGAGTATTCACGGTGGCCCCAGATGTACCACAAAAATGTAATCCACCATGCATGTATTCCTGTGCGAGGCGGCAAGGTCCCAGGCGTGTACGTGGGCCTCTTGGGTCCCCTATGGGACCCGATCGACGAAACAAAATGGGAGCGTGACCTTCTCTGCGGTGTTCCCGACCTGGGATTCCTGAGACCCTCCTACGTCACGTTGTTCAAGATGGCTGCTCAGAGCGTCATCTCCGATTTCAAGGCTAGTGCGACGCGACAACCGGCACAGCAGACGCAGCACGGTCACCATCTCTGCGTCACGATTCACGAAGCCCTCGATCAACTCACCATTCTCCCGACTTGGCGTACACACGCCGTCGCCCTTGCCGCGCATGTCCAACGACTCGCTTTGGAGCTGCGCGGCCTGGTGACCCTCTTCGATGTCATCCAACCTCGCGTCAACGCACCTTCCTTCGTGGCGAAGGAGACCCTTGGGGTCCGCGGCGCGTTCACAAGTAACGCTGGAACGGCGCAAGTCTTCCACCGGCTTGGACTGCCCGTGTGGTTCATACAACCGCTGACGAAGCAGCTGCGCGTCCTTGAGCTGGTCTATCGTCCTGTCCCGGTCTCCTCAATCCTCAGCGACAAGCTATCCCTGCCGCGCCTGTACAGCGGCGATGGCGATCTTGCGGGAATCGTACAGCATCCCGGTGATTGGCCTTACAAGATGCAAGAAGAAGTTCTGAAGAACCTCCTTGATGTCAGACTAGCGCCATTGCCGCGGGTGCAGGAATCAAGCGGTGCGCCACCGGCTAAGAAGGCAAAGGCGGGCGAGTCCACAGATTCAAATCTTGGCGGCGCGCACACTGGCACTGCCCAGACTGCCGGTCTGTCGCAAGGCCCCGACCCCGGGAAATCGTCGCGCCGCGCTCATCGTGGCAAGCGGGCGGCAGCGTCGCCGCAACAGGGCCCACCCCACCCATCGCTGTGTTACCGGCCGCCGTTGGCGTGTTCTATCCCTGGCGTCTGGGTTGACGTCCTCACAGCAATCGGCACGTTGCCTGCGCCGCCTAACGCCTCGACGTACCATTGGCCTCCGCCCTTCTGGTTCGAGAGCGAAGGCGAGAAGGCGTTGCGCTTCCATCACAACTACGTGAGGATCCGCGGGTTCTGTCGGCAGCGCCTGCTGGATGCCACGATAGGTGCTGAGCCGCTACGCATCGCAGAATGGCGCGATGCTTTGTGGGGAAATTACGACGTGCAGCTGAGCGAGGCCACAAAGCCTGACCTTGGGAAGAAGAACAAGGATCGTAGGGACATGCAGCAGAACATACGCCGCCTGTTCTCGAATACCGCAGGGCTGCCGACGTACAACAACACCCAAACGGCGCAATGGGGAACAGTCACGCTGGACATCACGTCGGCGAACGCGCCCGCCACACGCGCGCAGATATTATGGGAGGTTCATGAGGTGAACTGGCGGTGCGAGCTGCGGGAGCTGGACGCCGTCCTGACGCACTCGCGTGAATGGGGGACGCTGCAGCGCTGGGAGCGCGAGGCGCGAGTTTGTCGTGTCTGGAGTCCACAGGGCTCTGGCTTGCGGGTGATCCCGCGTTGGGAACAAGGCGAGCGGTCGACGGCGACATGGGTATGTCCCCCGCAGGGTGCATGGCATCAGAGTGTCAATACGCTCGTCGAATTCATCGGTGTCATGGCACGTTGGTCAGGGCTGCCTGAGGAGTTGAAGAGGGTTGTGCAAGGTGACTTTACTCCCTCAGAGGACGATTTCGCGAAGCTTCAACGCTCCGCTGTGGACTTCTACGTACATCGCTTCGTCGAGATATTTAATCGCCTGCCCACGCCGCCCGCTGTATTGCCCTCCAATTGGTTGTAAATGCTGTATCTGCTTACTGTACATTTCTGTCGTCGCTTTCGTACATCTTGTGTCGCTCTCGTATGTCTTGCATTGTTTACATCTCGAGCATGTGAAGCTGTTAATCTACGAGTGGCCGTTACGGAGTGATGGGGCATCTGGGTTTGGTAAGTGGCTCCCTGCAGTATCGCTCAGACTGTGTCGTGAGATTTCTGCTGCATGTATTACTGACTGAGCAGAAGTGCAAAAGGGTATATAAGGAGGGGCGATTTGAGCCCTCTGCTCACTGATCCTCGTCTCGTCTCGACAGCATGGCTCGCAACAACGACAAGCGCGTCAAGGACATCGTCAACCGATACCTACCGCCCCGCGCTCTCTTGCGCAAGAGCTTGCTTCCTTGCACCACGTACCGCAACGTCGCCCATATCCCCGTCGCTAGCTTGGGACAAACCAAAGAACGCACGCTGGGGATGGTCTTTGGGATTGTAAGCCCTTATTCGCTGGTTACCTTCCACAACTGACGTGATGTCCTACCAGTGTCCCTTGCCCGCCAATCGCAAATGCGCGCACCATTTGCAGCCAGCGATCGAACAAATGAGCGATGCCGATCGCAAACGTGTCCGTCAGGAAGTCACTCGGCTCGGGTTACCCACCGATCTGAGCGGCGCACTGTACGTTGGTCCGGAGCTACCCTCCGAGGAAGACGACGAACGCGGCGATGCCCCTGCGGACGAGAAGAAGCGGGGGCGACCGCGCCTGGACACGATCATCAAGGACGCTTATGTCTACATCAAGGTATGTATGAGGTTATCGGGGTGATTACAGGGCTAACACATTACTAGGGCGGTGAAGAGCCACTCGAAATCCCAGTTGTCTGTGCTGTACGAGATCATGACCTCCTCGAGGTCGTATTTCGTCAGCCACTGACCTGTGATGTACTTGGGCCAGAGATCAAGACGAAAGACTATGAGACCTACGATATTCGCCTCAAACGGTTCGTTCCATGGCCGCGTGTGCACGTTCCGCGGTACGTGACACACGACGAGGTCCTCATTTACAGGCGCCGGGGTGTCGTCCCTTGCCCCGGCGTCACCATCCTCGCAACCGGCGAAGACGAAGGCCCTCCACCCTTGCCGTCTCTGCTAGAAAGCATATACGGAAGCTCGCCGACAACGGCGCGCTCAATGTCAGCTACACTCAGCCTAGGCGACGCGTCTTCGCCTAGACCCTCGCCTGGACGTGTCCTACGTTCCGGGCGAATGGTCTCCCAGCCAGCCACCCCTTCGAAGGCCACTGAAACACCTTCCCGTCGTGCATTGCGATCGGGATCGTTGCGAGTCTCCCCGGCTGGCGTTTCGTCTGCCGGAGCCGGTTCGTCTGCCGGAGCCGGTTCGTCTGCCGGAGCCAAGAGGAAGCGCGAGGAGGAGGCAACCACGCCGCGCAAGCACGCAACGAGCAAGGGGAGGGGTTACGAGGAGAACACGGAGTCAGACAGGGTGTCCCACGATTCTGACATTTGGGAGATCTTGGAGGACGGTAGTCTGATGTTATGGGAGTAATCGTGTAGTCTTGTGGTGTTGTGGTGGTTATCTGCTCAACCAGATTGAGATGCACGTTTCTTTAGATCATGTTCTGTTCGATCATTTCTGTTAGATTGCGATCGTACGATGTCGGGACCCGGACAAGTTGCGTCGGCAAGACACTAGCAGTTGCACTAGTCTCAAGTCGCCTGCGTCGGGCGCTTCAAATTAGCCCCCTCAACGTGGTTCCTCGTGTGTGTGTGTTCGAAGGGTGTTTGGCACTAGTGGTAAGCGTCCTGTTCAGCATTTTGGCGGAGTGCTAACTCCCCTATAAATGTGTGGAGGATTAGCCAACCTCACCGGTATCTCGCCGACTTCACTTCGCTCTCGACCTTCGACATGATAGCTCAGCAACCCCTCGCGTCCTCACCCGTTCAGCAGACCACGCCATCCGGCGCGGATGCGAAGGTCAAGACTCGTCTACGCACCGACTGGTCGGTCAATGGGCTCGACGTTGTCATGGAAGGTTTCCTCGAGCAATGGAACAACCTCCCGGACACGAAGAAGGTCAGGAAGAACTTCCGAAAGCAAGTCGTTAGTGCCATCACGCCACAGTGGACGCAGAATACATCGCCCGGCGACGTAAGTGTTCATTGACTTTCGTTCAGAGTTCATCTTTCGAAACTTACACCTCGTTACAGGCTGTATACAACTACTTCAAGAACCACGGCAGGCCGGCGGTCCCTCCTCATGTGGCGACGGCTCCCGCCCCCGGCCCCGGCCCCGGCCCCGCCCCTGGCCCCCCCGATGTCACCCTGGACTCCAGGGACTTGTTCGTCAAGCCACGCGCCAAGGGTCCATCTGAACTCTGGGCGGAGGTGCCGGCGAACAAAGCCCTCGTCGTGGAGAATACGGAGAGGCCTGACGAAGTAGGAGCTGGGGGACGGCAGGCGGCAGCACGGCGGGCTCTTTACGACCAGTTATCGCTGGAAGAGAAGGCCGTTTGGGAGGAGAAAGCGCGTGCGTGGCCCCCCGCCGAGGTTCTGGAGACCGCGATGGCCCGGTACGTAATATACTCCTACCACTTGTGCAGTGACTGACACGTGTATCCAGGAACCGCGAGAAGCTCGTTGGGAGGTTGTCAGACCTCTTGAAGGGCATCCTCGGTGAAGGCGTCAACTGCGTTGGCGAGGCCGCCTTCTATGTGCTGCTCAGCTGCAAAGATCCCGTGGGAGGTCCCACTCAAGTCAAGCAGTAAGTGTCATTGATATTCGACAGATATGTACTAATACATGACAGTATGTATGTCGGCAATCTCCTCGAGGGACTCTCCTTCTCGCAGTGGGCCGACAGCAACAGCCTTCAGGCCTTAGAAGCGCAGTGGCGGGAGTTTTCCTGCATCCTGCACGGCGGTGATGTCGCGACTGAGAACGACGATGCCAATACGGTTGCAAACGCGCAAGAGGTCACTGTCGCAGACGCGCAAGAGGTCGCGGTCGCAGACGCGCAAGAGGTCGCGCCCGCAGAAGTCGCAGTCGGAGCCGCCCAAGAGGTCGCGCCCCCCGGCGAGCAGAACAATCGCGTTGAAGGCGCGGCGGTGGAGACCACGGCCACGGTATGTGCTCATTAGCTTGTTGTGAATACTACTCACATTCTTTTAGCCGGCGGCTCAGGCTCTGCCTTCCGTGACGTCAAACACCGACGACATGGACATTGACGACACCTCGAACAACAACGGAAACATGGGCAACCGGGACAGTGCTACCGACGCTACTGATAAGGACGTGGACATGGACAAGGACGTGGGCACCAGCGACCAGGACGACACCTCCGACGAGGAGTCGAGTGTTGACCCGGTGGATGCCCCGGTGGCCATACTGATGCAGATGGATCAGGAGGAGGGTTGGGAGGTTGTTCAGGTGCCCAAAGGTGATTCTGCGAGCGATGGTACGTCCTGTCATGATTTCTATTCGCTCGTGCCGCTGACTTAACATATACCACAGCGGATAAGGCCTTGCCCAAGAAAAGGGCCACGAGGGCTCGTGACGGCGCGAAGACGGATGTAATGGACAACGTAGCGGCCGTTGAGCCTGCCATGAAGAGGCTTAGGCTTACGAAGGCTCGCCGCGACGCAGAGGAGAAGGCCACGGAGAATACTATTACGTAAGTTAATGGGGTCCTTATCCTTATACACGCTGACCGGTCTGGCACTAGCATGGCAGCAACGAAAGGTCGCAAGCCTAAGTTGGCGCAGACGTCAAAGACCGCGAAGAAGACGGATAATGGAGGTACGACCTCAGTGCCAGCCCGGAACACTCGCTCGACAGCTCAAAGTAAGAGGTGACTCATTCATGCTTGTAGTCTCAACGTGGCTCTTATACTTCACTTCAGCATTGTAACGCGTTCTGCTGTCCGCAAGCCTTAAAGTTGACGTCCTTGACGTGGTGCTTCCTCCACAGAATAGTGTCCTAATATGGTATATCTTTCCTCATATGGCAGTAGGCTTCGTATGTGCTTGACGTTTGGGTGGTCTATTGATGGTGGTTGGCTGAAGTGGCAGACTATGTGCTTATGAGTTGGCTTAGTAGTTGCTAGTGGTTTACCATGTTTTCGTGTAAGCCTGATAATAGATGGAGTTGTGATGAGATAGACTTAGCATTGATTCCACCCTACTCAGTAACTGGTTCAAGGATTGGGTTCATAGTAGATTGGATGGTCTAAGACATGGATTAGAACTGACTTAAGTACTGGCTAAGTAAGGACTTCATTTGGGATCAGAACTGGCTTAAGGTACATAGCATAGGACTTAGGACTGGCTTATGTGTAGCTGAACCAAGGATTAAGTCATGGCTAATCTCATTCCTAATCCATGGATCTGGCTAAGTAGATGTCCCAGATGGTGTCAGGAATGGATGAAGTACATGTAAGTCATGGCTAAGTCAGTGCTTAAGCCATAGGATTAGGTTCATAAGGGCTTAGAACTGGCTTATGTGTAGTTGATCCATGGCCTAAGTCAAGGTCAATCCATGAGATTAGCTCAGTATCAGCTCAGTATCTACTCTCAATGAGATTAGCCATGACTCAAGTACATAGATCTGGATGAGTAGCTGCTTAGAACTGGCTTATGTACAGCTAACCCATGTCTTAAGCCATGAGATTAGCTCAGTATCTACTTTGAATGAGATTAGCCATGACTCAAGTACATAGATCTGGATGAGTAGCTGCTTAGAACTGGCTTATGTACAGCTAACCCATGTCTTAAGCCATGAGATTAGCTCAGTATTAGCTCAGGATCAGCTTTGAATGAGATTAGCCATGACTCAAGTACATAGATCTGGATGAGTAGCTGCTTAGAACTGGCTTATGTACAGCTAACCCATGTCTTAAGCCATGGGATCAGCTCAGTATTAGCTCAGGATCAGCTTTGAATGAGATGAGCAATGGTTCAAGTACATGCTTAGCCATAGATCTGGCTAAGTAACTGCTTAGATTGAGATTAAGGATGGCTTAAGTACATCTCAATTATGGCTAATCCATGTTGGTTAATCCACTACAGACCCATCTTATTGATCCTATAGCTTAGCCATGGCTAAGCAGTGGATTGGATTGGGGATGTACCCTACTTAAGTTGATCTTTGATACATAAGTGATTCAACATTAATCCTGTTTAAATGACAAAGACGTCTCGCGGTAGACCAGGACCCGCAAACTGCACTAATACTTGATGCGTTGGCTTGTACCACATGGGTAGCTCCAGATACTAGAATATAATATGCGTCAGCTCATCTCACGTTGTGCTAACACGGCGATACTCACTTCATCGAAGCATGCAAGATACTTTTTGCGGCTTCATTTGCCTTGCAGTCGTCAGAAGGAGTTCTGGGTCCGGCACCCGAAATCGTTGCACTGTAGCCTCTGGGTTCAGAGATAGCACAATATACGTGCCGAATGGCGGCAGAAAGATCGTGTCTGAGGTACTTTGATCTGGAGCTTGTTCTGACATCGCAAGGAAGCGGACGCAGATTGAAGGGAGGCGGTGGTCGGAGACAGAGAGTTCGATGAGACATGAAGATCAGGACATTGGTTAAGAGAGGCGGACGAAAGGTCAAGACAATTGTGTCCATCTGGAGAGCACAAGGACGCTGTGCTAGCGGCGACGACGACAATAAGGCTCACACATCGGGTAGAATAGCGGCGCTGAGCGCTGAGTGCTGATCATCGGCCCAAGCCCACACGCGTATATGGGTTGGTCTCAGGAAGACGTTGTAAAACGCAAACCATGCTCACTCGTGCCGTCCAAGATTGCTTGTCGCAGTTGGAGAGGCCCAGCGCTGGTTCCATCCACGAGGATGTTCAACCGTCTTCAACGCCACTTGTGTGTACGTAAGCACCTAGATAGGAAGTGTCGTGGTCCCTCACTCGGACCCGTTGTCACCACTCGAGCAGGCTCGAGCTCGTTCACCGTCTCCAACCCTTGCACGCATGACTACCAGACATGAAGCATCGAATAGATTGAAAGCAGAAGACATGTTAACATTCAGTGTACATACAGCATACGTAGATCCAATCCAGGCGGTCATTAGTCCATCAGCATCAAGGTCGTCAGGCGTTAAAGTAACAAGAACGTAGTCGTGGGCATCATCGATGAATGGAGGATCGAGGAGAGCGAGGCCCGAACAAGCCTGGGCTAGACTGATCTGGCACCAACAGCGTAGTGGGTGGGTTTGGAGGCGGGGTAGGTACGAACTGTGCGTTAGCTGTGTGGCATAGGAGTGTCAGTTCGTTTCTCAATGCTAGATTCATGTGAACTACTGACGCTGCCAAGTTGCCCAAGACTCGATCGGTGGCCGGACTTCCGGCACAGGTTCCGGAGGCGGAGGTGGCGCAGCTTGAGACCTGCGAGATCGACGAGAGCCACGTTGCATGACGCTACGCCATGCCGGACGAGCAGGTTGTGGCGGCTCATCCGGGGGTGGCGCTTCCGGTGGCGCCTCAGAGGGTCCAGCTGGTTGACCGTCGCGAGCGCAAGCGCCTGTAGGTGGCCTCCATTCAGGATCGAACTCGCCTCCAGGCCCCATCTTGGATTTCATCGTCAGCAGACAACCGAGCTCGCTGAGAAGTCGATCATTATAAGCGCGAAGCGCATGCATAGGATGGGCCACATCGACTTACTATTGAATGTTGCGCCGCTCTTCTCGCAGCCTACCGACTTCGCCAAGAAGCATTCGCACCTCTGCAGCAAGCGACCGACTGAACTCGTCGAGGTACTAGGGAACGAGGTCTGTTAGCATCGACGATCTACACGGCGAAGGTGCGTCACATACACCCTGGATGTTGAAGGGAACTTGCTCGCTGGCGGTCGATCGAACGGCGGCGAGTGTTTCCTCGTGTTGCCGAGCGCAGTCTGCACGCCAACCTAATGGTAGTTTGTTAACGATGGATACCATGTGTTGGTATAATCAACGTACTGTCTGCCATCTGACGGAGTAGTTCATCTTGCTGGTTTCTAAACGCAGCCATTTCATCCAGAACACTCTGAACGGCTGTGGAACAGTCAATACATGCACGCCATGCAGAGAGCATACACTTACAAGGATCATTGGCCCTCGCCTCTCTGTCCGCATCCCAATCAGCCTTGTCGACGGCTCTCTCCTCGATGACTTGCTGAACAAGCTGGCGCAACTCCGCGTTCGCATCATTGCACTGCTCCATCCAGCGCTCTTTCTCGGCCCAGTGCTGCTCCGTGAGTTCGCGCTTGCGCTGAAGCTCGTCCCGTTGCTCAGACACCAGATTCGTGATGTCGCTGAGCTGGGCACGCATAGCTTCATCGCGATCCATCGTTTCGATGCGCTCCCGCTCACGACGTTCGGTCTCCTCCGTCGCGCGCAGCAGACGCTCGTTCTCGAGTTCCGAACGAACAGCGGCAAGCTCCTCCTCCAATGCACGGATACGGGCCTCGCGATCTTCGTTGTAACGTGCCCGAGCGGCTTCCGATTCTGCTTGTGCACGTTCGCGCTCGGCTTGGGCAAGCTCCCGCTCCCGCATCAACTCCTCGCGTTCTAAACGGACAGTCTCCAAGATATCCTGCGCATGTCGGGAAGCGGCGTCTTGTGCGACAGACCGAATTGACTCGACAACAGACTGCAGATCAGCCGGTCGCTCTCCAGGAACTTCTGCCGGCACTTCTGGTGGAGGGAGCTCTTCTTCAGGTGCTGCAACCTCAGGTTCCGCACCTGGTTCAGGCGGCGGGGGTACCGGCAGAGGCACCTGTTGAACGATGTTGGCCAAGCGGTCCTCAAGTTCTCTCCACATCGCATCCCGTCGTTCGACTGCCTCTTGATCGCGTTGAGCCTCATGGTCCTCGAAAATGCGCTGTCTGTCATCTTCATTCCCTCGGAATGCTTGATCGCGAGCTGTTTCAGCTTCCTCCAGAGTCCCCAGGGTGTCAGTCATCTGTCGCTCGAGTTCTCCGAACCGTTCGTTCCGTTCACGTTCAGCGTCCTCAAGGGCAAGAGCTCCAGGACCAGATTCTCTGTAGCGCTCGATAGCCTCGGATGGAGTAGGGCGGAATGTGGGCCTTCTTGAAGGTGCGGCAGATGGAGGAACTGAGGGTGCATATGTTTCCCCTGGAGGTGGGACATAGTGCTCATCGGGCGGCTGCTCCGCGTATTCATGCTCGGGGAAAGCAGCTTCGGAGGCAGGCGGGGGGACCCGAACTGGCACCGAGTCTTCTGTCGCTGCATAGTCGTGTCCAAGCGGTTCCCCTGTGGGCCTCTGAGTTGGAACACGAGGAACTGCTCGTTCCGCGTTAACATATAGTTATGCAGCGAGAGCCATGTACGTACCCGCTGGAGTGCGCCTATCTGCTGCCCTGAGCGCTTCGTGCATTGCTTCAACTAGCAGGGTCTCATCAGCAACGCTCATCCTTCTACGGACGCCGGGCACTCACCATCGGTCGGGCTTTCTGGCAATTCGACATGTTCTACTGACTCCATCAGTATACGGCCATCTACGCGGTGACTGCAGCACTCACCTCCTTCAGGCGTGCGTTCGGGATAGGTAGGCGCGAGAGTGACTAATTTTCCATGAGTACAATGGATATGTTCGTAGGAAATCGCGTACCATCACTCGGTCGTCTCGTTGGGGGTCTTGTTGTGGGTATCCGCACGATCCGCGGAGGACTAGGTGGAGAGTCTTCGGGGTGTAGTTCGACGAATGTAGGGTCTCTTGATCCAGGGCGTCGCGGTGGCTCACGCCGACTACCCGTACGACTACCGGTACGAACGACAATGGGCCGTTGTGGCGGTGACGGTGTTCCTTCCTCAGGTATGGGAGACGGCGTCCGCCTAGGCGGAGGCGAGCGTTCATACTCATGCGCAGGACGCTCGGAGCGCGGTGGACGTTGAGGAATGTTACGTGGTGATGGAGAGCGCCTTGCAGTTGAGCGTCCGCTACCAGTTCGTGTTCTTTGAGGAGGGGATCTACTCAGTCGTCTGATCTCGCTGGAGGGGCCAGCATGGTAGGGATCCTCGCGCCCGTGCTCTGGAGAGTGATATCTTGGTGATGGTCTGCGACCAATGAGGGTTGGCGAGCGCGACCGTGGAGGGGATCTCCCGACGCGGACAATGACAGGCGAGGGTGACCTTGATCTATAGCGACGGTGAGTCGAAGGGCGCCCATGATAGGGGTCATCGCGTCCTCCTCGTCCACTGCTCGTATAGCCGGGCCTAGGCGAGCGGCTCCCACCGCGAACATCGTCGTCGTCGCGCTGGCGTGGCCGGCGGCGGTGGTGGCGCTCATGGTCGTCGTCGCGGTAGGGTGACCGGCTACGGCCTTCACTATCATAGCTGGGTGATCGACGATGACGGCCCTCACGATCATAGCCGGGTGACCGCCGGCGACGGCCTTCACGATATCCTGGTGACCGACGGCGCCGGCCCCCACGGTCATCTCGATAGGGTGATCTCTCTTCGCGGCCATGAGGGCTCGGAGAGCGATCGTCCCGGTGCGGACTGCGCGATCGTGAGCGGCGAGAAGTAGGTTCAGTCCGAACGACTACTTCAACGGGACCACCTGGTTGTTGACTATGAGGCTGCACATATAGCGGCTGTCCAACAGACTGAGGGCCCGCAGGCTGAATGATCACTGGACCAGGTGAGCGGGAAGCGCGGTGCAAGCGGTGGCCTTCCCTGGACCGTGAACGCGAAGCAGACCGCGGCCCCGTGTGAATGATCATGGGATCTCCTTGGGGAGAATAGCGCTCCGGGTATTCTGACTGCTGAGGTGACATGGGCTGAGCACTCGGTTGTACGTTGATCACTTGCGGCGGTTGTCCAGGTATGAAGGGTTGGCCGCCCATGAATGGTGGTGGTGCAGGTTGGATGATAATAGGCTGTTGAGTCGCCGACGGGACGAGTTGAGGAGGTGGGGAAGAAACAATCATGTGCGGAGCATCGGGATGCCTAGGTGAACCAGGGCGAGGTGAAGTAGGACCAGGAACTTGAACGACGACTGGTGGCGGAGAGTAAGGACGTCCTGGACTACCAGACCTCGTAGGCGACTGTTCTACATATCTACGCTCGGGTCCAGTTGGTGACGGAGGACGCGAGGACGAAGGCTCCGTGTGGACGTGAATCTCTGTTGGTTGCTGGGGCTGGAACTGTGGCTGGAACTGTGGCTGGAACTGTGGTTGTCCTGGGGGGACAATGGTGATGGGCTGCTGCATCCCCGGTTGCATGGGTTGAGTGGCTCCGGGCGGCGGGATGATACGTATGTCGGGACCGGAATCGTAACTCTCTGTCTCCGTTCCCGACGACGGCGGGGTTGGGACGACAGGGCCATCGTCGAACATCTGTTGTGCTGGTTGATATACGTTGATGGGCTGAGGTGGTACGACATATCCCCCGGGGCCGGGAGGAATGAACGGCTGGGGCATGCCAGGGGGCGGCGTCGGCGGAATGACTGGAGGATATGGAGGTGACGGAGTGAACCCTTCCTCGCGATACTCCGGAATGACCGGTCCCTCATGAGCTGGAACATATCCGAGACCTGGTTGTGACCCGAAACCTGGTTGCGGGACGAAACCGGGCGGCGGGACGAAATTGGGCGGGTAAGGTGCCTGCGGCATTGGAGGAATGACTACACCAGGCATCGCACCGGGTTGTGCGGCAGGTGGTTCCACTGGTGGTTGCGGCGCCTCTGCATTCCATGGTGAGCATCTGCTTACTATTAGCAATGAACATTACGTACCCCGTCGACCCAAGAGATCGTAAATCAAGTCACGAATTTGATCAACTCTTGCGTTGAGTCCACGTATCTCAGCGTGACGATCTTCGACATCTCGTCCGTGCCACTCGTTGAAGTCTCGCAGATAACGCATTACTTCGCGGACTTGGTCAATAGATGCCAATTGGGCGGTGCGGTTGTCCTGTGTATGTCCGGTTTGAATGAAACTGAAGCAAGTAAAACGCAATACTCACGCGGAGAAGTGTCAAGATGTCATCAAACGGTATTTGGAGGACAGTCTGATATGAAGTGAGAGGTTGCAATAGAGCGTTCAGCAATGAAGTCTCACCTGTGTCGGAGGTGCGGGGGCGAAGACACCTGGAGGAGGCGCAGGTGCAGCTGGAACAGGCTGAGTACCTGGGGCAGCTTGCTGTGGCAAAGGAGGCACATCTCCGAGGGCAGCTGGGGCAGTGGGCGGCCTACGATCAGGTCCCTATACCAGTATCGAACGAACTGAGTATATAGGTCAGTTGATAGACTATTCACTAACCGGCGTTCCATCCGACTGAAAGAAACCATCCCCCGGCCGGCGCCCACGTCGCCTTATCTGTACTTCGTCCAAGAAGTCAATGTCATCTTCAGGACGTCTTGCGTCACGGGGAATGATGCGCTCAGAGGGAGGCATCTGAGGTGCATATGCGCTTTCCGTTTCAGATGGCTCTGCAGGGGGCGGATACCGTCGAACACGAGGAGTTCGAGGGATAGGCCGCCTTCTGGGCTCAAATACCACAGGCTGCGTAATGGGAAAGGTGCCCGGGCGTGGCGGGAGATCGGTCTCGAAAACCGGGCTTGCACTGCGAGGTCGGCTCACCCTAGGACCCGGCCGATACGTCAGAGGGACGATGGGGGGCGGTGGTTGGATCGGCTGTTGATTTACTGGCGGGCCTTCGGCCAGCATATCCACCAACCGCTCATCGAAAGAGGGGCCTGCACGAACGGGTACAGGCATCTGAATCGGAGGGAGGTCACGACCAACTTCCTCTCGCAACCGTGCTATGTGGTCCAGCAGTGAAGTATCTGAACCCGAAGGATAGAGAGATTCCGAGCGATCATCACGAGCCGGAGCCTGAGGGCGTTGCGTCTGTTCCATAATGCGCTGGATGGCCTCCTCCAGCCTGCGACAACAGTCCGATATATCCTGGCCCACTGGCCTCGCACGTAGCTCCTCCAGAATCTGGCTGGCAGTAGCTTGGTTCGTCTGCAAGGCTGACATCTCCTCGCGGATCTGTGCCAACGCATCACGCAGAGTGCTGAGACCCACTGGCGGGACTTGCCTGGCAGTGCCGCTGGATACAGAGGAGGTGGGCGAAGCAGGTGTAGAGGAAGACGGCGGAGGCGTCGGGCTAGCTGAGAAAGATGGTGTTCTCGAAGGTAGGGACAGCGGTGATGATGGCGGTGATGATTCAGGGGAGGAACTTGGTTCTGACGGCCAGGATGGAGATGTTGGCATCGCAGGATACCCCTCAGACTCCATCAGACTAAAATCGTCTGAATGATGAGAGGACAAGAAAGAGTCCGAAAGCGAAATCGTCGTATCGGGCGACGGGAGGCGTATGCGCAGAGGAGGCGGCGTCAATGGTATAGGTATCAGACGGGGTCGAGTGAGCCGTGGGGTGGCTTCCAATGACTCTCCAGGACGAATGGGGGTAGGACGAACGGGAGTAGTGCTAATGATGCTACTTCCTCCGACTGACCTATCCTTCCTCGGCACGGGAGGAGGAACCTCTGGTGCAGGGGCAGGGATCGGCACTGGGACCTCTCGGATGACCTCTCGCAGCGTTGGCGGAGCTGGCTGCATCGGCGGAGGTACGGTCACTGACAATTCGCGCTGATTGTCTCTCAGCTCCTCCAGAAGATGTCTGATATCTTCTATGTTGTGCGCCATCTCCCGGTTCTCTGCTCCTCGTTGGGTATCGATGTCATTGAGGTATTGCAAAAGACGGTTGACGTCGTGTGTCAGGATGGTGCTCGGAGCCTCGGAAGGTATAGTCTCCACAGTAGACCTGATCGATGGTATATCTCCCCGTGGTGTAGTGATGCTGACACTCATGGTCGGAGTGGGGGGTACAAGACTTGGAGCCGGTGATGGAGGCAAAGGAACGACACGCGGAGATATCTATCACGGATTTAGTGTGCGCAAAACTTCATATAATGGTACTCACCGGTCTAATGGTCGGCGAAGGCATCACTGAGAGCAGGGAAGGCTCAGTAGATACCTCGTCCTCTGCAATCGATAAAGGAAAATCGAAGAGAGATCGCGGCTCGAAAACAGATGAGCTCATAGAAACGGAGGACACCGTTGAGATAGTCGATGGCGTGCGGGAGAGCGTTACCGTTGGGAGCGGTACTGCAGTCGAGATAGGGGTAGGCGAAGGAACACTCGGAGGAAGGGAGATCGTCGACGGAGTGGGCGTGATGGACTCGGAAGGCGACGATGGTACCGACGTCGCAGACTCGGTGCTCAACTCTGTGATGGGAGTCAGGAGACTCACATCTTCCTCCTCTGTGAACGGCGATCCACTAGGTCGGAGGAAGGACGTCTCAAACGACGTATCCGCACCCTCCGGCAAGGCAAGCGATTGAACCGACGGAGAGGCCCTGAGAAGAGACGATTCATACGATTCGTCGCTCTCAACCCCCCATAGCGACTCAGGTATAGCGGGGCTAGACGGCGTCGGCGGCTGCTCAATCGTCGAAGGAACAGATGACGTAAGAAGGTCTGTCGGCGTAGGCGTAATGGAAGACTCGGTCGGCGTCGATACAGTTGACACAGAGGGCAGAGAACCAAGAGGAGACTCTGTCGTCGGAATGGGTGATGGTCCGGGTATCGAGATGACGGATGACTCGGGCTCTGATGGTACAGGAGGAGAGGGCGACGGGACAGGCTCCTCTGTGGGGGTAGGCACCTCCGAGAGTTCCGTCGGTGTGACGGATGGACTGTACACCGAGGGCGGCAAGGGAATATCCTCCGGCTGCAGGACGTCAGCCACCGAGCTCTTCGGTGAGACTGACGGGATGGTGGGGATCGCGGAAGGCGTTATGCTGACTACATCCTCGTCCTCCTCTTCGACCTCCTCGCGTTTCGCGCACCTACACTCCGCCGTCTTGTAGTCCGTCTCTACTTCCGACGGGCAGACCTCCGCTGTGATGTACTCCGACCCTGGTTCCGTAGGGCAGACCTCCGCCGTCTCGTACTCTGAGAGAGGCTCCGTAGGGCATTTGGGGGCCGTCTCGTACTCCGTGGAGCAAACCTCCGCTGTGTCGTAGTCAGAGGCGAGCGACGGGATCGTCGGCAACGATACGTAGGATAACTCTGATGGGGACCTAGCCGTCGCATATTCCGTGCTCTGCGCCGTCGTGCTTGATCGCGCCGGCTCGCTGTCCGGCCCCTCCGAAGATCTCGTATAGTCGTCCGACCGCGTGTAAGACGAGGATGACGGCGTAGGGGTGTAAGATCTCGTGGGTGTATATGAGCTTGAGTACGTCTCCAGGGTGCTGAGGCCTTCGGTGTACGATCGAGTCGCAGTGGGGGTATAGCTTCCCGTGTTCTCCTTGTCAGACGCGTCTTCGCTGCTGCGATCGTACGAGGAGTACGTGCGCGAGCTGCTTCTAGGCGTCCGGCGCGCGACGGCCCTCGACCGTGTCAGACCGCTGCGTGAAGGCGACGTCGACGGCAGACCGCTCGACCCGCTGTGCGAATCGCCCAGCATAGACGCCGAGGTCGTGCCTCTGAGAGACAGCGTCGAAGCGACGACGTGGGTCCCCGTGCCGGAGACGATGTCCAGCAGCGTCTCGTCCGTACCAAGGCCAGTACCCGTCCTAGTATCCGTAGTTGTGAGACCCCTAGTGAATGTCGACGATGAGTAGAAGCTAGAGCCGGGAGTCCTTGATCGCCCAGTCGCGGAGAAGAAGGCGTCGTCTGAGACAGACGTCGCGCTGTCAGAAGCGTGACTACGCGCTCGGTCACTTCCTCTCCCTACGCTCGGCGGCGGCGACATGTATACATCGCGACTCAATCTTGGGCCACTTGACACCGTGACAGGCGAGCCATCGCCCACAGGTATGCCGCCTGCAAGGCCAAGGCCGAAGCCCAACCCTGGACGCGAATCGCGCGCGCGGCGGACAGCAGAGGCGAACTCCTCGTCTAGGTCAGTCAGGGAGCTGGTACGACGGATGGAGCTGCTTCTGCTCGGACCAATAACGCGGGGATCGCCAGGGTACAGGAACGCCTGGTTCGAGACGGCCGAGTCGTCCGTCGCGCGCGTGCGATGCGCGGATGCAAGAGACGAGCGGCGAGACAAGCCTGTGCGAGTGCTGGAACCAGAGATAGACTGCAGGTCCGACATATCTGGAATCGTGTCGATGTGAGGGACATAGCGCGTCGTCGCTGACCCGGTTGCCGACCCAGAGCGTGAGGAGCCCGTGCTCATGAACGAGCGCATAGTGCGTACGGATCCAGTGGGCGAGCCGCTGACCGAGCGATCCGGAATAGATACCGCACGGTCGAGGACATCCCTGTATAATGAGGAAGCTCAGCATCGAGCAAACTCCACACAAAAGTCCAGAAACATACCAAATAGCGCTGACCCAACGGACCCGTTCCCTCGGGCTATCCGTCCCCAACCTCTCAATACCGTCAGTGTAGAGCAGATGGAACGGGCTCAGCGTCTGCATGAGCTCCGCTTCACCCAATTGCGTCTCCACACCGGTGCTCGCATTTTGGCTCTGCGCTATGGCAGCCAGCGTTCCGACGTCGTCTTGCGCGCCGTGATGCGTCGGCGACTTCGCCGACTGCACCTCCGTGCAGTTCAGAAGGTCCAAAGTGACGATGCCGCGTCCACCACCTGCGGCGATCCAGGACAGGAGGAGCATGTGGGGGTAGAGTAGCGCCTGGCAGCGCTGCCAGCGGTAGGGCGGCGCGGCATGAACGTTCAGGTACCAAAGCAGACCGATACGAAGCGGCTGGATCAAGAGTGTTGTGAGTTTACAGCGACGAACTACGTTAATCGTGGATACTTACCTCCTGAGCCTCTGGAGCTCCTACGTACTGTCCCATCTCGTTGATGTCGAACGGAGGCGGAAGCAGTCCACTGGTGCTGAGAGAGCCGCTTCCGCTCTCATCCAAGCCGGTAGTCGAGACTGGGTCGCTCGCCCTCCTGCCGCCATTCCTGTTCCCAGCCTGGAGTGCGCGATCTCTGAGCCTCGCGCTGCCCCTACTGGCCCGGCGCCGGATGCTGAAGAGACCGTCGCTCTGCGTGGGCGACGGCGAAGTCGTCGAGCGTTCTGACTTGGCCATCGAAGGCGTGCGTTCCTTCCATCGGTTGATAACGTTCCGCACTTGGCTCAGCGCTGTGCGATCGTTCGGCGACATCTGGCGTGGAGTGAGCGACGGCGCCGTCGGGGTCGTCGTTGTATCAACGAAGCTCGTGAGTGTGTTGGAGAACGTGTTGGAGCTCGGATTCGTATAGGTCCCCGTCTCAGTTCCTGACGCCGTATAGGTGCTCCCAGAGACGGGTGTGCGAGTGGTGAGGGTCGTTTCCGCAGTGCTCGTAGGGTCGCGTGAATCCCAGGACAAAGCGCTGTGAGGCGGCGGTGACAGCATGGAAGACATTGTGGTGTTAAGCCCCGAGTACGAAGCCGCGGAGCCTGTGCGAGAGGAAGGCCGTGAGCCGTATGTAGTGCTCCCATAGCCCGTCGTCGTCCCATAACCATACCCGGTGCTACTCAAGGTTGGCATTGAGCGACTCTGCGTCGTCGTAAAGGGACTAGGGGACCGAATGGCCGACGGCGCGGACGCCATTCTGGTGTGACCGAACAATGGCGCGGGGCTCCCAGAAGAGGCGGCCGTACGATCTTCGAAGAATGCGATACGCTCCCCTACCTTTGGGCCGGGCGTAGACGGAAGCGGACGCGGAGGCTGCGTCGCTTGGGACGGCTCAGTGGCAGAGCGAACGTGAGACACTACACCTTCAATGTGGGCTGAAAGACGGTTGCCATCGCCAGCAGAGGGATAAGAAGAAGGTCGCGAAGGCGTATTTTCTGTGTGCTCTGATATGGTGCTGAGTACGCGCGGTCCGCGCTCAGCCATAGACATGGTTCCAGCTGCAGAGCGGTGGTTGCCAGACGTCCCCGACCCGGCATTCGAGACGCTGTCAGTGCGCGTAGTATACGTCGAGGGACCAGTGTAGGAGGTGTATGTAGAAGGGCCGGTGTACGACGTGTATGTGGAGGCCTCTCTGGAGGAGTTGCGCGACACTTCGGACAGAAAGTCGTCGATGTCATCGTTGATTTGTGCGAGTTCGGCCTCCACTTCAGCTGCATCGTTGATGGAGTCCTCTTCATCATAAGTATAGGCTTCGGAACCTCTTGACGTTGGCGAGGGTGATACAACAATTCGACGCATCTGCCGGCCGGACGAGGCATCGTCGCTGTCGTAAGACGAGGCGACTGGTGTGGCTATGTACAACTTTAGCAAGCAAGGGTTGTGGATGCCGAAATACTTACCAGAACGGAAGGACGAAGAAAATCTTGAGGGAGACATGGGTGTTTGAGTAGGCGAGAGGGTCGAGAACGTTGCAGTACCAAACAGAGGCGACCGCGGCGGCCCTGTTGAGGGCGACATACTAGAGAAGTCGGACATCTTCAGAGCATAGTCCAATGACGCAAGGAGTAATCCAAGAGATCTTGAGGCGAGATACAGGAGCAGGGGCGCCGACAGGCAGGGTAGCAGGCGAACACCAAGTCCAACGTTGAGTTTAGGGCAGGCAAAAGCGCGTAAGACACCGCGTTGCGCGTCAGTCACCTGACGCTGTCGAGCGCTCGTCCCGACTCGGAGAGTCGACGGAACTTTGGTTTGACAACGACTTGACAATGACTTCCACTTGTTGTACTGGCTAGGATCAGAGAGGCCTTCCGCCCGAATGGGAACATGACACCTCACTCACTATGTATGTCCGTTGCTGCAGCCTCGTGGGCCGAAGATGTCACGGGTAGTCGGTATGAGGCCTCCTATAATCTGCACCAATGCATAACCCACAGCTCCGGAGGAGATATACCACCTCCCAGCCAGGGGACTATCGTTGGGACTCCGGTACCGATCTTACCCTGCTAAACCCTCGCAACGCATCGCGCGCACTTCTCTGGGAATTGAAGAAACGGCGATCAAACATGCTTAAACCTCAACTCTTTGATCATGGTAGCCTCGTTTACTACACACATGAGACATTGAGTATACCGCGGGCAAACCACGGTTGGAGCGAGTTACAGATTATATTTGTGAGCTCTTCGATTATCTCGTCCACCTCCACCTCACTTCGCCCCTGCAGACCGGGTAGGAGGACTATCTCCACTTTGGCATCCTTGCGCCCATGAAAGTACGGCTGCTTCATGATCTCGTGTAGACTCCGCAGGTCGAGCTTCTCGCTGGTTCGTATACCACGCATACTAACGTGATGTCGTTTCTCAAAGCGAATCGTGAAGCTAGCAGTAGGTGCGCGGCTGACTTACGCACTGCTGGCTGACCTGTGTGAGCGGGGAGGTTGTGGCTCACTGAGATTACACAGTGTGCTTGCCAGCACACGTCAGCCTCAGTTTCGGATGTATACATACCATGGCGAGACTGGCGGCCCTTGGGTTTGTGATCCTGCTTCAACTCGTTGCCCTCTGTTCGCAGTTCGGTTTGCTGCCCTCTTCGCTATGAACTCCCCTGTCGCGAATGATGTCTACCCCGGCCCTAATGTTTTGGACTTCGCTATCAAGGAATCGCCCTTTAGCTTGAGTACGCTCCCCAGCCTGAGCCTGTCCGATATCATCAACATCCCTGAAGACGATATAGGGTTAGCAGCTAGACCGCTGGTCACGCTCGGTGCCCCGCAAATCTCGCGTGCCAACGCCATGTCTCTAGGGTTCATTCTCTCCGACCGCCTATCGAACAACATAACTTCGACCTCTATTGGCACCAAACTATCTCTTTCAGCCTCTTCGTCGACGTCGGCCGACAACAATCATTGGCAACGCAGCTCAGGTCGGAATGGTAGCGTGGACTCACAGGTCCGCGGCTGGGCACCAATGGATCCCGACCACTACACCCTCGTCGACACTCTAGAGCTCCCCGTCTCAGCCCCGGTCCCCCATATCTCCGGGCGCGCCTGCGTGGCCCACATCCCCGGACCTTCCTGCATCCCCGATGTATGTCTGCCCTGGAACCAACAAGGAGGTTCGACGCCTGCGGACGTGTCGCCTGACCAGGTCCACGTACAGGTCGGTTTGGGACTTTCCGCGGCTCCAATCGGCACCGCCGCTGGACTGGAGAAGTCCCAGCCTGACGTATTCCTCGACTCGTGCCTTGAGCTTGAACCCTCCCCGGAGCCCATGCTCCAATTTCCAGCACTCACCAGAGTGCCCCGGTGCCTCGTCTCGACTCGTGCCTCATGCCCCACCCTGAGCCACGTCCCCGTCTCCACGCCTCTCCCACTCGCCGGCGCGGCCCTTCCTAGCAGGCCTGCCCCTGGGCAAGTGCCGAGCGGCACCGAGCTTCCCCGTACGATCCCGCCCCCGCCTCGCGGCGGAGTCTCACCTGCGGTCGCGCGGAGCATCACGAACATCCGGCTTGCGCGTGAACACGCAGCGCAGGCATACGCGGCGCGTCCTCGGGCAGAGGGCACTACTGCTACCGAGAGCGACGCTGCGTCGCGAACACCCAGTGTGCTAGGAAGATGGACGAAAGACCTGAGGGTGAGTCCCGCGGAAGAGGGGGAGGAAGGTAGTAGGCATTGACTTCCAGTAGCACGACAGACTCGAAGGATGTACGTGCGTTGGGGTGTCGCGTACGAACGTACAATACTGAAACGTTCATAATGATACTGTTTGCCCGATTTCCATTCCCTGGACAACTGTCAGGCATCGATTGCTAATACAAGAAGTTTCTTTCATCCAAAGACGCAAAACGAACGAGCAGATCTTCATTAGATCATAGTGCCATAATTCTACATGAGATGCCGTATGTTAATCTAGGTATGTGTGACATTCTGAGATACGGATTGCGAGAAACTGCGTCTTGAAATGATAGTCCATTGGATATTACTTGGAAGATACGGGAAGGGAAAGATAAAGTCTAGTTTCTACGAGCGATGCGCTTCTTGATCCATCCAATCATGCTTCCAGACCTGAAGCGGAAGAGCCACGAGAACGCGAAGATGCAAGCAATCTGGATTAACACCATCAGTATGCAGCCCGCTTCACAATGGAAAGCGGCACTCACGTTGAAAGCAATGTACGCGATGCAGATACCAAAGTCGCGCCAGTGGTTCGAGTAGTAGATGTTGAAGCTCTCGCCGAGGAACGCGTCCGTCGTGCGGTACGCACAGTACTCACACGCGCTCGTCGCGTCCTCGTTCGTGAGGTACCCGCCGGCGGACTGGATGAACGGACCCATGTAGCTCCCACACGTCGAGCCCGACGGTGGGTTGATCGTCACGAGCTCCGTAGACGAGCAGGTGATGTTACTGTGCCCGATGGCCTGCCCGAGCAGCGCTTCAATGAGGTAGGTGAAGGGCGAGAGACGGTACATCCACTGCCACCAGCCGAGCTCCCGGAAGGGCTGCAAGACACCATCGCTGTGCAGCGCATTAGGACATGGGCAACACCTATGATGAAACGAAGACACTCACAATGACAGCACGAACGAGAACAGGAAACTGAACACAAGCGCTGCAATCTCCGCGTTCGGGGTCATCGCGGCGACGGCCTGGCCGATAGTGGTGTAGTACAGCGGGAAGACGATGCCGAGCATGAGGTATGTGAACCCGCCGCGGTCACTCGGGAAACCGACAGTCCAGTACCAGCAGAGGAAGTACAGCGTCGAGCCAAGAATGTTCCACGGGATCTCGACGAGGATCTGCGACGTGAGGAAGGCGGTCCAGCTGTACATGCTGCTGTGGCTCTCGCGAATCTCGTAGATCTTGCGCGAGTCAAGGAACGGCACCTGCAGCTGGTTCGAGAGTGGCACGGAGAGAATGGTCGACATGAAGATCGCGAAGAGCTTGTTCTGCGTGCCCTGGATGCTGTCCTTGGCCTTGAAGAACGTGAAGCCGATGAGCAGACCGGACGCGATGTTGACGCCGAGCTTCGCCATCATGTACGACGGGTCCCGCCAGCGGTTCTGAGCATCGCGGTAGAGCAGGGTACACAACTGGTAGCCCCATCGTGTCGGGAACGCGCGGGTCATGGAAGCCTGAACGGGCGGGCGTTGGCTCGCCTCAGCGTGGATCTGCTCGAGTTCGCTGTTGATAGTCTGCGCTTCCTGCGACTTCCCCCAGGCGTCGTGCCAGTCAACGTCCGTCGTCGCCGTGGCACCCGCACCAATAGCATCCAAGATGTACTCGGCCCTGAAAGCAATGGTGAGCGTCGGCTCAATATCCAACACGCACTACACGACCACTTACGGGTTCTCATCGTCCGTACAATGCCTGCCGCCGTGAGTCTCGAAGTAGTTGATAAGCGTCGTGGACTTGTGGCCAAGATCGCCAAAGTAGACAGTCTGGCCACCCTTGCGCAACAAGAGCAAACGGTCGAACACCTCGAACAGTTCCGCAGACGGTTGGTGGATACTGAACGAGGAAATACATCAGTAATTGAACACCAATATAACCTGCCGTAAGTCACGTACGTGCAAACGATAGACTGGCCCGCATCCGCCAGACTCCTGAGGAAACAGACGATGGCCCAAGCGCTCTGCGAGTCAAGACCGGAGGTAGGCTCGTCCAAGAAGATCAGGGACGGCTTCGCGACGAGCTCAACACCGATTGTCGTGCGCTTACGATGCTCGACGCCCAGAGAGCCGACGACGGCATCCGCGTGCTCCTCGAGACCGCACATCTTCAGACACTTGTCGACCCAAGCCTCTTTCTCGGCGATCGGGACGGAGGCGGGCTGGCGGAGCTTAGCAGAAAACAGGAGTGCCTCGCGCACGGTGGCGGTGGGGAGGTGAGTGTCCATCTGCTGTACGTAGCCGCTGCATAACGCGCAGTGAGCAAGGTCCTCGGGGATACGTTCATAATGAAGCACTTACGTCTGCGATCGGAAGTCTGACGGGAGCGCCTGGCCGTTCATGAGGCGATCGCCCGTGACAACGCCGCCGCTCGTGCGCTCGGAGAGCACGTTCAGCAGCGTCGTCTTACCAGCGCCAGACTCGCCCATAAGAGCGGTCAGCTTGCCGGGAGCGACATAACCAGAGACGTTGTCCAAGAGCTTCCGGTGGCCACCCTGGACCGGCACGACGTACGTCAGATTCTCGAACGAGAAAGTGTTCTTGCCCGCGGGCACGTCCTCCATAGCCTTCTGTGCTTCCTCCGACACGCCCTCCGCGTTGCGACGCGTCGAGGCCCCGTCACTGCCGATCGCGTCGCCGGTCTTCTCCTCGTCCACGTCGCCCTTGGGCTGGTCGAGGTTGAACTTGGCGCCGCGCTTGAAGAGCGTGACAGACGAGTCGCCCGCGACGCTGAGGTTGAATTCGGAGAGAGCCAGGAGGATCCCGATGAAGCCTATGCCGAACGCACAGATGACGCCGAAATTGCGCCAGAGGTGGCTGAACGAGTAGCCGTACGACAGCTCGACGTAGTTCATACCGCTGACCTCCGCCTGTCCGGGGACAGACCCGACCGTCGTGCAGACCTGGTTCGCAATCGATACGCTCTCGTACCCTGCACCGGACGGGACGATCTGGGCACAAGCCGCATTGAGGCCTTGGAACTCGTTGACTACGAGCGCCTCGAAGCCGTATTTCAGTGGCTGTGGGGTGAATTAGTCAGTGTTGCGATCGAATGACGTGCCGGACAGAAGTGCACTTACGTTGATGTAGGTGATCCAGCGCAGAGCTCCGATCATGGACGGCTGGGGGATAGTGTAGCCCGTGTAGAGGGTCAGGATCAAGACCGAGACACCGGCGACAGCCTGGGCGGGAGCGGCGCTCGCGAACAGCGCAGCGAGCGCACGGAACCAGCCCTTCATCGTGATCGTCATAGCGAAGACGAACAGCAGGAAGATGCTAAACGTCCGTGAGTCAACGCAACGACGCAAAGGCACTTGACACTTACAAGAACTTGCCCGCATCCTCTTGCAGACCGACGAGGAAATAGAGAATTATAGTGAACAGAACGAGCGTAAGAATGGTGATCGGAATGTCAACGAGTGTCAGCGCCAGTGACTCGACGAACGGGTGGTACATCGCCGCCCGTGAGTGCCGCTGTACGATGGGCCTTTGAATGAAGAGTGCCGGGATTTCCGCCATGGTCGAGAGTGCCGCAAACAAGAGTGCGCTATGGTCGTCCACGTCAGAAGGTAACGCCACACTATCAGCTTTAATACTCACAAGAAAAGAACACCGCCCTTGGAGAAGAACGTCGCAGTGTTGTTGTCCAGCCGCAAGAAAATCGTGCCGACGATGATCGCCTGGAGGACGAAACTCAACGCCTGGATGACCTGGGTAGCCTTCGCGCCCTGGATGATCTGCCAGCGGCGCAGCATGAGGGCCCGCGCCTGCATCGGGATCGAGATGATGTACGGGCTCTTCTTCTGGGTGGTCTTCGCGTGTTCCGCGCGGTGGCTCATCCGGTACATCTGCTTCTTCTCCTGCATCCCGCTGGACTGCTCGCGGTACTGCCGCATGTCCTCGCGGTTCACGCGGCCCAACGCGCTGTTCTTGAAGTACGCAGCGAACTCGTCCGCCGTGCGCGGGGGCGGCGGGCCCTGGAAGTCCGCGCGCGGGATGCGCCCGTTCGGGTCCGTGACCGCGACGAGGAAGTCCGCGGTGGTCTGCCGGTTCGCGGGCTCGTACCCCATGTCGATGAAGTACTGCCGCGCGCGGGAGGCGGGCCCGAAGTACGCCATCTTGCCCTCGTAGATCACGCAGACCTTGTCGAAGAGCTGGTACAGCTGCTCGCCGGCCTGGTAGATCGACACGATGGTGGAGACGCGGGCGATGTCCGTCGCGAGGCGGAGCGCCCGGACGAATTCCAGCGCGGTTGACGCATCGAGACCACGGGTGGAGCTGTCAAAGGACACGGTGAGTATGACGGCGAAAAAAATTCGAGAGCAACGTACTTGTCCCAGGACGTCAGGAGACTGCGCGCGGCAAGGACCTCGCTGATTGAGACACGCTTCTTCTCTCCACCGCTGACACCCCTAATGCTCGCATCGCCCACGAGCGTGTCCTTGACGTGCCGCAGACCGAAGATGGTCGTGAGGACATCAATCATCTTGTCACGGTGCTGCTCGCGCGTCTCGTTCAGGCGTGTATGCGGGGTGCGCGTCTTCGCGGCAAAGTCGAGCGTCTGTCGGACGGTCATTGTCGCAAAGTGCACGTCGTCCTCGGGGCTGTACTGGATGTCGCCGCGGTAGTGCTTCGCGATCTCCTGCGGGGTGAAGTCGTCGTACCACACATCGCCGAGGACCTGGTGGTAATCCTGGCGCTGATTGGCGAGCGTCTTGAGCAGTGTGCTGCAGCCCGCGCCCGGGCGCCCGAGGACCACTATCACAATAAAGTCATCAGCGGATCAGACAGCTTACGCGTGATAGGTCCAGACGTACGCAGCATTTCGCCTGGTTTGACGCAGCCTTCGAAACCGCTGAGGATGTCTTTGACAGGGGGGTGGCGGAGCTTCTTGATTGTCTCAAGCACATTAAACGGATTCAGAGTCGAGCCGAGCGTTGGCTGGTAGCTGACAGATGCTCCCAGGCCGACGACTCGGAGACCGTCAAATACGACACCGAGTTCACGCCGCTTGATGTCGGACTCGTCCAACCTAAGCACCGGTCAGTGTGACTGACCTTGGAACGAGGAAAGGATCGCGACGCACCGTCGGACCGTTTGCTGGAGCGTCTTCTCAAAATCGAACGGTCCATCTCCCGAGAGCGTGTGCTCCGAGGACTCGTCCGAACGGTGAGATGCGTGAGTCGGGAGGAGGCTCGCTGCGGTCGCGCCCCGCTTCTCGCTGCGTTGACCAGTGCTTCGTTGACCAGCGGACATGCGGGACATGGTGCGCTTGAGCTGGTCTACACCATCGGGGTCAAAGTGACCAACAGAGACATGTCTATGCCGCTCGTCCTCGTTGGCATCATTAGGGGCCCGGAGTTCATGGGATTCATCGTGGTGGGAGACGCTGAGATTGTGGAGGGCAGCGTTTGCATAGGCGGCTGCAGTCGAGGTGCCGAGGGGCACCTCGGGCAGCTTGTCGCCGCTGTTCACGTCGTGAAGTTGGGCGGGATCCATGGCGGACCGAGGGACTACGGAGGGGAGTACGGTATAGCGGGCCAAGCATCGATTCCGGCGGCTTGAATCCTTATATATGTGGCTGACGGGTGCGGAAACTGGACGCGCGGAAAAGCGGCAGCAGCGCTCGTTGGCGCCCGGCTGTGGCTTGATTAGATCGCATCGCCCCGTCTTTGCGCTCCGCATCACCGCCAGCCAATCAGCGCGCCCCGTGGGTCCTCGACTAATCCCGGACCAGTCAAACGCAGCCAGGCCCGCGCCCGGGCCTCTTCTCCGCTCTCGCAATTCCGCTGACACACCCGCCCCGGGCCATGTCTGACGAATCGCCTGGGCCTTACTGCGATATTAATGTTTCATTACTTACCGTCGCGTACATAGGCGGCCGCGCGTCACCATCCAGCAGTCAGCCGCCTCTCAGATCCGCTGGGGGACCTACAACGGTACACAACGCCCGTCGCTGGCCCCATGACCATCAATCCCGCACCGATAGATCTTCTGGCTTCGATGCAGCCACGAAGGGTCGCGAACTACCAGGTGCCTCGTCGTCCTTGTCAACAGGAAGCGCCGTTGCGGGCCAGATAGCTTACAAGTCTTGACTCAGTACTCAACCCCGATTCCCGGGGACACGGGAATTACCTTGTGCGGCTGCTCATACAAATCTGCTTGAGACTAGATTAGAAAGAACACGGTCCTCGTCTATCACACCACTCAGCATACCAGTTCCACCACCCAGGCCGCCGTATGAACTCGTCAAGGTCTTCACAGCGTGGTGCCTTGCAGGAACACGCGCGTTATGATTGTGACCGCGCTACAGATGGCCGGATATCCGAGATGAGTAAACGCCTCTCGCGGAAGAATCTCGCCCGCACATATTTCTGTGCGTATTCAGTCTGAATTTGTTTTCCGTGATGACCGCACCGTGAACCTAAAACTCATAACACCCCGCGCGTCTTCTGGGGTATGTGGGGTGACTCGTCATGACGCTCAATTGACATTGTCCACCGCCAATAGAGCGGAGGTGCGGTTCCGCCGCATCCGACATGCGGCGTCCGAAATGCCAAAGACATTGACACCATCCACCGCAGTCGACCTTCGCGATCGTCGAACGATAGCATGCAAGGCAAGACCACTGGCATGTGTTTTCCGCAGCGACGAGGTAGCTGAATGATCACTAAGTCACTGCTGCTGCTAGAACATACTAGTTCGCGGACTCGTGCCGGGCGACGCGTACCCATGAGGCGTGAATCGATTAATCATCACCGCTATGTTGACATATACCAATTGCTGACAGTGGCTGCCAAGACATATTGGGTGAGCTTTGACATACGAGTCGTCCCTCACTAAGAATTTGCCCGTAACTGTGAGTGTGAAGCCAATCATCTGTAGTATGAGTATCACGAATATCATTCAAGGGGACGTACAACGTGGTTCCTTGACTGCGACTGCGTGGAGGCAGGGGATGCCACACTTACTCCGTCGACATCTTGAACTAGTCCATGCAGAGCCCGTCGCACTCGCTGTAGCGGCGCTGCCAGTGGTCCACGATCATCTGTCACGAACATTTGCCATACGCAGTGTGTACCTCTGTGTACCTGCGCCGTTTTATTACGCCAGAGCATCGAGGCTGCTACATCGTCCGGCGTCTCTGTTACCGGGCCCGCTATCGGTCTGTGGCACGTTGCAGCCTCCTAGTAGCACACCTGCATGTGCTTTCTGCCACCTGGAGCACGTAGTGTCTAGAAGGTGTCTGAGATCACCGCCGCACGATATGCTACCGTGTGTTACACCGTGCGAGGAAGCGCATCTTCGGTTGGCCCTGCGCGGCGAGGTCCCTGCGGAAGAGAAGACGGCCATTGAAGGTGTGCGGCCAGTGGTAGGTAGCTGGACGGTCAGGCTGGCGACGTCGTGTTGGGGGGCTCGGACGCATCTCCCCACGCGCGGAAGTGTCCTCCGAATCGAGAATTCGCAATGAGTAAGATGCATAAGCCGGGCCGCAGACTGTGATCATGATGTTAGACCAATGTCAAACATAGACAGAAGCGAGAGAACTTGAACGGAGCGGTGTCGCATTAGATTGTTATCCGTTCTCATGGCATCCCGCCACAAACATAGTCGACAGAACTGACGGGCGCACACCGGCTCGGAGCTCGTGTATCACCGCACAGCCCAGCCGGAGAACGCGTACGTTTCTGCTCGAGACACGTACGACTCGCGAGCGTCGAGCGGGTGGCCGCCGCCCGTGCGCAGTCCTCTTCCGAACATCACGGAAACGTCTTTGGCATGTGATATATCTCGGATCTGGCGCTCGGCGCCTTGGCGCCTTGGCGACCGAATCTCGACTCCCACCTCGCTCAAAATGGAAGTAGCTCGCGTACCTGACTTCGATCGTCATCACTGTTGCCCACGTCTGACAGGATTATGCAGCCTGGGATACAAGTCCACCGCGCACTCATGAGCCATTTTTTCCTGCTGCAACATGTTCGTCCTGTGCCCCAGTCGCCAATCGGGAGCCTGGAGAAGTTGCCATTCATCCCGCAATCATGATGGTGGCCCCTGCCGCCTCTCACAGTCTCCGTTCCTGGCCGAGCGACGCCCGAGGTATACGTCTGCAGGCCGACGCGACATCGCTTCATCATCCTCCCTCGACGCAGGCCAGAAACCGCGACGTATGGGTACCACTCTACCGATCTTAGCATCACCATGGTACCACTAGACCTGTACGTCGAGTCTGTTCATCTCGTTCAGAGTTCAAGAAATCACTGTGTAGCCTCGGCTTTTGCGTCTTCAGAGTAGTGACGGCAGATCTCATCTTGTCCAACGGGGACGTTCCGCGACATATCGGACAATTGCAGGTTAGTTTCCGCTTGGCCACGTACTGCTCGAAACAATAATTTTAATTGCAGTACTTACAGTTGAAATGCACACACATGCATTGAGTCGGTACTTACGAGAGACCCTAACTTGAATCTGCCACGCCTCTCCTGATGTCGGGCGAGACAATTCAAGTTGGAGCACTGTCAAACAAAAAGTAAGGTGTCGTGGGAATTCCGCGTGTGCGACATTGTCGATGACTCTCGTCCTGCAGACTACGCTTCACCAATTGATGACACTCCGGCCCACTTACGCTCCAAGTTCTCGTCTACCAACCGCAATCGGCATACCCGGCCAGCTCCTGATGCTCATCACACAATGGGCACTGACGTCACGCGTTGGCGTACGTGCAGTGGCTCGGAGTGCGTCATGGCTTACTGAGTGTGCCATGGCTCGCCCGACGTCAAAGCACACCTATTTAGCTGACCGTCTGCCACAATGACGAGGCCAGCATTCGACGTATAAAGCTCTGACCTCTGCGCACGCAGCCGAGATGCAGTCTGTGTTCAGAGCACTCGTTCCCTCCTCGCACAAGCAGACGCAGAACGATAACGACATGCCACCTGTCCCGAAGCGTGGTCTCGCCTTCGACTTCTCTGGTACGTTGGCGAATGTTGTCTCCGACGGGGAGTGGAACTGAATGGCGCGCGTAGGCAGAAGCATCATAGTGACCGGGGGGAATCGTGGAATTGGCCGTGCGATCACGGAGGCGTGCGCGGGTGCCGGGGCACGCGTCGCGATCATCTACAGAGGCTCGAAGGACGCGGTAGACGTGGCGAAGCAGATAGCCAAGGAGAACGGGGTGGAAGTAAAGGTGCGACGTCAGCCATAGTGAGACGGACGCGGACCGCTGAGCGCAGCGAATATAGGCATACCAATGCGACGTCTCTGACGCCGCGCTGGTGCAGAATACGTTCAAGAAGATCAACGAGGAGATGGGTCCGGTCACCGGGCTCGTCGCGGTGCGTCCCCCCTATGATGCTCACACGCGGGCGTGAAGCCGACATACAGTATTGAATGCTAGAATGCCGGCGTGTCGGTCGTGAAGCCCGCGCTCGAGATGACGAAGGAGGACTTCGACAAGGTGTACACCGTGAACGTGCTCGGCGTGTTCAACGCCGCGCAGGCCGCCGCGCGTCTTTGGGTCGACAGCAAGTACCAGGGCGGATCGATGGTGATCGTGTCTAGCATGAGCTCGCAGATCATCAACCGAGTTGCACAGGGCAAGCCGCTCACACAGGTACGGCCGCTCAAGACTCACGAGCCGAATGTTTTTCATTGCTAACACGATGAACACCCTGTAGGTATTCTACAACTCATCGAAAGCGGCCGTGTCGAACCTCGTGAAGGGCCTTGCGTCCGAGTGGGCGCAGTATAACATCCGCGTGAACGCTGTCTGCCCAGGATATGGTGAGGCCCTCACTTCATGTCCCCGTCGCGGCACTGACTGATGGTCACTCCGCAGTCGATACCGACCAAACCTCCGGCATGGAGAAGTCTGTCAGGGACCACCAGGCGGGCGGCGTGCCGCTCGGCCGGTTCGCACATCCGCATGAGATGGCGCCGCAGACGCTGCTCCTGCTGTCCGACCATGCGAGCTACATGACCGGCCAGGAGTACTTCGTTGATGGGTGAGTCGTTCGTTTTCCCCGCCGTCGTCGTTCTCGGAGTCTGAGAGTTCTGTAGCGGTCAACTCGTGTATTAGTTTGGTAGACTCGTGTTCTTGTCATGTTACCATTGGAAAGGAAACTGTACGTCTGTATCGCTATACATAAGAATTGGTTGCGTGGGGATGAGACAGGCAGTGGCAGTGGCAGTGCCGGCGGTCATTAAGTTACTTATTGTCAAAGTCCTTACGAAGGATCATGTGATTTCGCGAACCCCAAGGCAGGGTTAGGGGACGTAGTGACCGTTCGGCGTTATGAAAGCCATGTCTAAGTATCGATGGATGTGTACCGGGGACGGGATCCGTCGTGTAGAAGAAATCACTGCACGAAAACTTAGAATTACCTCCAGGTAAGTGTTGCATCCATAAACGGGCTAATCTGTGTGTTTTTTGAGCATATTGTCGCGTCGATTCCCGACCCCCCTCCTACGTACCCTCCTCCTTCTGACGTCAGCCCGTGACCTGACGTGTCACATCGCGTCGAACCGAGCAACTCGAGAGCTCAGTGAACGGCACTCTCCTTTTGACATCCATGTTCTGCGCCCGCGCGCCCTCGTCTCGAATCCAGAACTGTGGAGGCCTGTTTCGAAGGTCAGTTATTATGCTACTTCTAATAAAAGTGCTTACAACGCACAGACTGAGATGGCGGAGAGATCTGGGAGTTATTGAGACCTGAGAGTTATTGAAACTAGTGAGTGCGCATATATTCCGACGAATGTGCGTCAACTCCACGTAGATCGCATGTAGAGTGCTGCCTCGTGCAGCATATATGCGAGTCTACTTGACGAGACGGAAGCGGGGAGGAATGATTGGAGGTTACTAGGATGGGTGGACGCACATGGGTGAACGGGCAACTACTACATCTGCTCATACATCCGGACGACTGACTCGGTTCGGCAAGGAATAGGCCATCATGTCTATCCGAGTCAACGGCAACCGCTGCAGCCCAAGAGCATGCTCAGTGAGCCGATATGTCCGTGCCAAATTGGGGATGCGACAGACTCACGTCAGGTACAAAGGGGGGTGTGGGTCCCAGACGACTCGCCTTCGGGTAAGCGTCGATCAAGGGGCGACTCCTGGATGCACTCGCATGGGCAGACTACCAGTCTAGTAAAACCACGGCATAGGCGATTGAGCGTGGAGTCATTCTCCGTCAAGTATTCGGGCGACATATGGACTTGGCTTCAAAACTTTGCCTTTTCCCGTACCCAGGCTGCCCCGACACAGTGAGTCAAGGGAGACGCAGCGGTGAGTTGTGTTCCCCCTGACAACGCCTGCGCATTCCCTGGACTAACGCTTTGGTGTGTCAGTGACTCAGGCTGTGAACCGTCGCTCGTCGGCGTGTGCAACATTGATTCGCTTTGGCGCGCTTGACGCGGGCGGGCGGGCGCTAGCTCCGTTAGACGCCGACGCTATTGTCTCTGCGTGGGAAGGCGCGACGCGACAATGGTGGGCGCCTACACGCGACCCGGACGCGCTCCTATTGTCCTGCTATTGTCTGCAGCAATGCAAAAGACAATTGACAAAAGCCATGGCTGCCCCGAGTGTCTTCCCATTCTCCCCTTCGCTCTCTTCATCCTGCGACATCTGTTCGCGTGCGCCGTCGCCAGACGAGCCTCGCATTCGACACTCTCGCCATGCCTGCTACGACCCCAATGACACCTAACGCCTCTACTTTCGACCTCGAGCAGAACCTCGAATCCACCACCACTGTCAATGTATCATCAGCGACACCATCCAACTCTACGCCAGAATGCCCACCACCCCAACCGTCGATTCGTCTGCTCTTCTCGTTGGTCTCGAGGCGTGACTTCTACCTGATCGTCCTGCCCGCCATTCTCACTTCGATGCTCGCCGGAGGCGTCGCTCCTTTCATGACATACGTCGTCGGCGAGTCTTTCAACGCGTTCGCCAACTTCCCGACTACCCCGAACCCCTCCGAGTCTGCGAAGACCAGCCTGCTGCACGGTGTCAGCCTTGCCGCGCTCGAGCTTGTCGGCTTGGCCGCGGGCGCGCTCGCACTCAGCAGCATCACCTCGAGCCTGTGGATCTGGACAGGCGAGCGGAACCTGATGGCGGTCCGCAAGAAAGTGTACGCAGCCGTCACGCGCAAGGATATGGTCTGGTTCGACACCAAGATGGGTGCGGAGGACTCGGTACAGGTAGCCGAGGGGGATGGTCCTCTCGGTGCTGGTGGTCTCATGGCAAAGTTTGCCAGGTGAGTGGTGACGGACATGGGCTTTGTGCAGCCACTAAAGTACTTTGCAGAGAGACGGATGAAGTCCGGATGGCGTCGTCGCTCGCGTCTGGGTTCATCATCCAGTACCTGACCACTTCGATTACCTGCCTCATCCTCGCCTTCGTGCAGTCGTGGTCGCTTACCCTGATCATCCTATCCGCCGTCCCGGTTCTCATGGTCATCCAGACCGCGTCGCAGATCTTCGCCGGTGCGCACCTCGGTGTCGAGCGCGCTACCACCGCCACTGCAGCCACTCTGGTGGACCGCGCCGTGGCAGCTATCGCCACGGTCAAGGCGTTCAACGCGGAGACCCACGAGCAAGAGACCATCGGCCGCGTCCTCGACGCGATGCAGGTTGCGGCGAACAAGTGCATCACCGTCTGGGGCATCACGTCCAGCCTCGGGCAATTCGTTATGATGGCGATGTTCGTGCAGGGCTTCTGGTTCGGCTCGAAGCTCGTGCGCGACGGGACGATCACTCCCGGCGCCGTGATGTCGGTCTTCTGGGCGTGTCTCATCGCGACTAGTAACCTGCAGATGTGCATCCCGCAGCTGATTGTGCTCAGCAAGGGCAAGTTCTCCATGGCCGCGCTCTTGACTCTCGTGGAGTCCGCCCCGGCCTCGCCCATTGCACAGTCGAACTCGACCGTCCACGCGCCCCTGAAGCCCACGAGGCGTCCGACGCACATCCGCAAGATCGTCCCGGCCAAGTGCCGCGGCGAATTTGAGCTTGACGGCGTCACGTTCGCGTACCCCAGCCGGCCGACGATGCCGGTCCTCCAGGACGTGTCGATCTTCCTCCCCTCGAACGAGACATTGTTCATCGTCGGCGGCTCCGGGTCGGGCAAGTCCACCATCGCGCAGCTGCTTGTCCAGATGTACGCGACCGCCGAGGGCGCGATCCGGTTGGCCGACGAGGACACGAGACGGGTGTGTCAGCTGACGGTGCGAGCGGGGCGGGGATCGTCGCAGGAGATTGACGGCTGCTTACGACGGAGGGCAGAGACTGGCTGGGGAAAGGCAAAAAAGGTGAAAAGCGCCCCAAGTCCGCGAAAAAACTTGTGTTTTTTTGCCCATAGATTCCCCTCCCCGCAGGGAGCTCGCAGTTTATTGAGTTCGGGTGCCTTTCGTGTATTCGCGCAACGGGGTCCGGTATGTACATCTGTAGTGACAAAAATAAAGGCCCCTCCCTCTGACTCACCGCTTTCCACGCGCGCGGCACCGACCACCTAGCAGCAAACGTCCACATGCATCAGGGAGCCATGTCCCGCCATGCGCCGTCGCCCGCCTGTCGTCGACAACCGCTCGCTCCGGGACTGACGAGGCGATACGCGCCTTCGTGCCAACCGCCCTTGCCGCCTTGCACGTTCAAGAGCTGCAGGCTCGATCATCCGTCGATCGTCGTGCGCGTCCCGGTTGTCGGGTGGCACACAGACAGCATCACACCAGCGTGTAGTCGACGTCAGCGAATGGCACGCTCACAAATACAGCTCGGTCACTCACCATGCACAACCACTTGTAGGCAGAGCTCGGCCATCTGCTCACGTATCCGACTCGCGGGAATTGTACCGCTACGTCCAACGGCCGGCCTGCGCACTCTTGGAAGCGTCACGAGTCGCCGGATGGCGATACGTCGTTACATTGCCGTGCGCGTCCCACAATGTTCAAGCAGCCGACGGTGAACGTCGGTGTCGACGCACAGCCTCGACGACCATCAGCACTCGCACAATACGTGAATGACCAACTCGCTCACCATGTCCGCAGGACCCCGTCAACATCTGGCGCATGTCGAACGAGCACACATACATACCTGTCCGCGTAGCTGGGCCTGCGCGTAGTCAGCTCGTGCAGAAAATCGGATGTGGTGATGCATCGACATACCTTCCTGATAGCAGCCGTTCTAGGTGAGTCCACGCGATGTTCACAGCAATGGACCGACGCTGACACCTTCGCTCGCGGGACGTCGAAACATACATACATCGCCGATCCGCTGTCGGCACAAATACCTAGGGGGCCGAGAGTCAAGAGCACAGCCCGAGGCACGGACGTAATGCCTGCCCAGAGAACGTGTCAGCCGTCAAATCAGAGGCAGCCGCCGCATCCGCGCGGTCAAGTGAACTGTGTACGTACCCTCATTGACATGCCGCTCGCGGGGCGTCGATACATACATACATTGCCGATCCCGGGCGTAGAGCGGTCGTTGCAGGCCATGAGTGCGCAGCGCGTACTGTGACGCAGCGCCAACGCGCCGCATGGCGAGGCTCAGTGCTTGCACCGTATCGACTGGGATTGGACGCGGTATCGGTGCTCACTGCCAAGCGTGATGTCAGCCGTCAGCTACGCATGCGTGGGCGTCTTTCTACGTACCGTTGCAGCACCTCGCTCGCGGGGACACGATACATACACACATCGTCATACCCGACTACGGCGAGCTCGACCTGGGGTCCAGAAACGAGGCGTACGTACACAAGATGGACGGGAGCACTGGCGCGCTCCTTGCGCACCCTCGCCGGCAAGCAAGATTCTGCAATAGGCTCGTCAGCACATTGCAAGAGAGGGATCGCCGCTCGCTACGTACCTTGGCCATGACACGTCGCTCGCCGGACGCCATTCTATATATACATTGCCATCCCGGCTTCGGTGCTTGAACGAACGATCTCAACTGGCATATGTACCGTGCTCACCGCGCTTTGATGCACGTACAGGGTGCGAGGGCAAGCCAGTGGGCCGGAACCGGCGTACAGCCATGACGGCCGAGGCTACACCACGCCCCTGATGCGCTGTTCGTGACTACGAGCATGAGTGGAGGAAGATCAATAGCACAATGTTGTTGCTCACCTCATATGTCGCGTCGCAGTACGCCTCGTTCTTTTGAACGCAGAATCACGATGTGACGTGCGCAAATGCTGCTCGCCGAGCAGAAGCACGATGGTAGCCGTCGTTATCACTGACCCAATAGTCATGCAGAGGTTCAACCGCTTCAAGTTGTCGCACTTGCGCCCTGCCAGCCACCTGCGCTGCGGTTGACGTGGACAGTTCGGGCGGCTGGCCATTGCTAACTCCACTCGAGCACCCACCTCACGGCACGGACAGCCGCACTGATGTACCGCGCAACGGGTGGGACGTCCACCCCCGAAAGGGCGCGTAAGTATCACAAGTTGAGACGGCATATATAAATTCAAGTATGCATCGGATACATGTAACTAACCAGACGGTCAGCACATATGTATGCAAGGTGGCGGCAGGGCTGACAGCACTCACAACAAGACCGGATCTAGCAACGCAGTCGTTCATCAGCCTTCCCGACTTGGTGCGGTGAGCCTCCATCTATCCATAAGCGGTCGAGCATTCATTGACGTTTCGCACATGACGTCTCGCATACCTGTCAACATCCCGCCGTCTCGAAGCTTGTCCTTCGCTCCGTGAACGTGTGCATATGGGCTGCCTGTACAATCGCGTGGGAGCGGAGCGTGGCCAGGGCCCTGCTGGGCCGTAGCTCGATAGCAGCGGCGAGCTTGACCCATACAGTGCCGGCTTACCATCAGATGAAGGCGTGCAGTCTGTCATCAATGGTCCTGAGCCTCGACAGTCAGTCAAGACATCTCTGGCGTGCATAGGGAGAGACACTTACCGCGTGTCTATTGCGCGGGAATGCAGCCACGCGCATACAACTCGCAGCGTCGAGGTTCAGCTCGATCGCTCTTCGGGGTAGAGTGACTACTACATTCTAGGCGCTACGGTGAATAACGTGTTGCTATATCGGGAAGTGACCCACCGTGTGTACACTCGCGGCGCACGGGCACTCATGTTCTGCGAGATCATCCACAGAAGTCTGTCTAGATGGAAGGGAATGGTGAGTATGATCACTTGTACTATGCAAGAAAGACATCTACTCACCATTACTCTCTATGTTATCACCACATGTTTGTGGCGGTCGCTGGAATGATCTGAGATCAGGGTGATGGCCGCGGTAAGCCTTGGTACTAGTATTGAATGGAGGTGATCACCATGACGGATGGACATACTCACCGATGCTTGGACTGCCGGTCCAGCGGGGGAGCATAATGGAGGTCTGTGGAATTGAGCCCCCCTCTGACCTTTATATTGCTGGTGCTCGGCTCCACTGACAGTCTACTGATGTGAGAGTTTGAGGGTTATTCGGGTATGTGCATGGCACACCCCGATCTTCGCCTCTAGTAAGTGCCGCCGCCACCGCCACAAGTGTCTGTTCAGTCTGGTGCCTCTTCGGTCGTGTGCAACTCACAATCTGCATCAATCACTTATTCTGATCAATTCAGAGGTTCAGGCATGGCAGCTGACATGAGAATTGATTTGATTCAATATTCCTCACTGAGTATGGCCTCAAGCATTGATCAGGCCGAACAACTTGAATACTGTCTTCCAGATGCCACTTAACGTGAACAGAACTTACATACCCTATATAGCCAGCTTCTGTGACCATCACTAACAATTCTGACAGGTTCAGAGCGAGATAGGGAGGTTTAAACACAGTAGGCTCATCACTTAGGACTCTGATTGGCAACAAATTCACTCACAATAGTTCTGTCACAGGCCTGTTTGTCACATTTGCGTGGCAAAGACCTATGGTGCACCCTGAGTGAGCTTGTAGTCGCAGAATACTGTATTGCTTACCCAATATAGTAGTCGAGGTAATCTGTTCAAGTTATCTACGCGGTATACGGTGTGTACACTGTATACCCATCCCGTCTCTGCTTTGTTACTCCAATGATAGCCGGAGAGTACTGTATAACAATGATGTACCACACAGTAGAGAACGACCTAAGGATACTAACGTTGATACTAGTATTGGGGGTGAACTGCGTGACTTGGAACTGACGTAAACCGTGATGATACTGAGTTCAGGTATAACTGGCATGATGGACCTATGGATGAAACAGATCAGTACTGACTATAATCAAGTGGTGTACGAACACTGTACCCATTGACGGCCATGATTTGTGAGCTATCGGCGGCCTACTAGTAGTACAGTGCTGATCGTCACGGTGAAGCGCTTGAGCGCTCGCGACACGCCACAACGCAACCTTCAGCCACAGCCCTTCCGAGTCCGGGTTGGCAGCTGCCAGCTGCACGTCTGTGACACCGTTCAAGTGACCGGCTCAGAGTGTCGCATCTCTTTGCTTACCCCAAATTGTCAATCCTTCAATCTCTGAGCCCCTGCTTTGTGCTTCCCTTCCTGTGTATGAGCGCAATTTTGGTGGAACAACGTGCAGAAACGGCCGCACATTCCGCTGCTCGGCCTCTTGCTAGGTCGTGGTCCCCCTCTGTTCTTCTTACTCTGGATTACCTACTGTGCTTCGCCTGCAAGACGATCTTGTCAATACACAGTCATGCCCGACATTCAGTCGACGATCTCGGAGGGCTCTGAGACGGCTAAAGCACCGCCCGTTTTGCCAGATTCCGCCAGGCAAACCACGGTTCCTACAATGTGGCCGGCCGGAGTGTGGTTTTACGGTCACATAGGTACGTCTACATAGTATCATTACATTTTCGTTACTGTCTTTGGGCAACTGTCACGCATAAACCGCCGTGTGGCGAGTCTTTCTGCGCCGCCGCTGCAGACATCACCAAATGCCAGAGGGATCTGCATCATTCATGCTCGGATGCGGCAGAAACGGTGTCACAATTAGCCGTCGAATAGATTGATTTGCACCGTGCGCACGGGTCGCATGCGAATCAGAAGCTTCACGCACCGTGCTGGCGTATCTTCGATGCTCATGATAGGTGTCGTGCCTGCTATTCGACTTCCCGGGAGAGTCAGGACCACGTTCCCGCATCAGTGCAGTGCGACGACCCCGCCCTCGCGGAAACTAGGTGTTCCGCGAGGCGTCGTGAACACATGTGTAGTGATTGCACCCGCTGACGACTCGGAGTGATTCAGCCACTGCTCTTTGGATGACCGCGGGGAGGTGGCATGCACATATCTCGCGTAGAAGCGGAGGCAGGAAGTGCCAGTCGGCACGGACGCAATTCGGGCGAGAGAACGCCATGTTTCGGACTTGGTGTCATGCAGATTGCAATTGCATGGATCCGGCTCGAGGTCCAAGTTGCGTCACGTCGTCAGTAGTAGTAGCTGTTCCCGTCAATCAAGTCCGCTGGCATGACGTTGGGTCATTTCCTCCCACCAGTGACTGCATCCGGGGGGTAGCCCCACGGCCCTGGACTCAAGCACACGGTACACAGTTACACCGCACCTTTGCGATGGTGCAGTGGCAGGGAGCTCCGAGTCGGAATGATCGAGTTCGCGTTTTCCATTGATCTTACCAGATTTAGATAGTTTCTCTTCGTCTCAACATTCATATTATGTTCATAGTTGACTCGGATGACAGTGTACTCATAGTCTTTGAAATCCGACAGTAGAGTTCATGCCCGACACGCTCAGGGCTGTTCCGGTTCACGTTCACGCACGGGGTACCGGTTTGGTAAGGATCCTCTTACCTGTGGTTTGTATCCGCTCGACGTGGCGATAGCAGAACCTCCGAGTTTCCGGTAGCTTGGACGGGCACCACGGCTCCGACATTTGGGCTGCAGCTCGAAGCGCAATGGTGCGCGCAAGCGAACACGATCGCCCGTCTAATATGTAGCGGCTTGATACATGACATTCTCCTCCGTAATAGCACGATGTGACGTGTCGATTGATTGAGATCAATCCAACGCGCAGCATGCGCTCAAGGGAGGCGTACATGGAAGCGTTACTAGTACTAGAACCATGAGAAAGAGAGCAAGGCTGGTCTACGTACATATGGGCCCCGGGACCGCTCGCCGTTACAATACATAAGACTGATTCCGGGCTAGGCATGACGTCTCTTTCGGTCCGACTCTGACCGTATTGTACTGAAATGAGTTTTGTGAGAGTCGCGAGAGACTCGAGAGTCCGCAATGCGAGCGAGTCCACAGACCGCGGTCACGCCCGGGTGTCTTCGTTTGAGTTCGCGATGCATGCGCAATACGCGAGTTGCATTTCAGCCACAGTGCTGCTCTCTCCCGTTCGTCCATCTGCGTGCTCACCGACCTCGCCTCCTGCTTGCTCTCGGACTATATGCAGCACACCGCGGGTCTGTTGTCTTGGCCGGCGTCGATCTCTGTGGGCTGATCGTGCAGCGCTGACCGCCGCACACATCTTGCGTATGAACCGCGCAGGCTCCGCCTGGATCTGGCTGTGTCGCGTTCTTTCCGCTCCGTCTCTGTCGCGTGTATGCGCAAGCCCGACCTTCAATATTCCAATCCTCGTAGCTACCACGCACGCGATGCCCTCTCCGGGCATGCTCATGGCGTCAGGTGCGCCGACGCGCCGTTGGGATGGCTGGCGTCGCGGTCACTCAATAGCCTACGATTGCACACTCGGCCATCGTCCACGCTCGACAGATCCTGTCAAATGCATCGGAATCGAACCCCTCGATCGAGGCGGTGCACGCTGAGGGGGTCCGTTGGTCAAGGGCGATAATGCCGGTGAGTCTATACACCTGTCATGTCGTCAAGTCATATACCTTCCCATATGCGTCTTGCATACGTTGTCGGTGAACACGAAAAGAGAATTCGCGCACCAGAGATGCGGGCGCGATCGAAACCTTGCGATTGCCAGCCAGATCTTTCCTTGCGGGACGGGGCGGTGTTGACGACAGATGATACTCGGCTGCCCGAGACGTTCGTCCGGGATGCATGGCGCATTGCTCAGTTGCGATACATGCATGCCGTCATCTGCACGCCGCTCCGTATTGATCTCAAACGCGGCAGATGGATACCCCACCATCTACCACGTCGTGCACACGGAGACTCGTGACGGAGTCCGGCCCTTTCTATGACTGACCGGAATCCCATTTTCTATCCAACCGCTTTGCGTCCCGGAGCGAGCTCAAGGCCGTCGTTTTAACCGAGACGATGATGGCATTTCCCGCTCGCAAAGCCCGGATCCACACGGTGGAACCTCGCCTTGCGATCATCTCGGGGTCGGGTGGTCTTTTGTGAGTTGCCACTGGCGGGGAAGAGGTCGGCGTAGCACGCGCCTCCGTCTCCGGTTTGTGGCTACTTCGTGCCTTTTGTCAGTTGCACGAGCAGCTCTAGACTGCGCGCGGGAACACCGCGCATGTTCGGGCTGCCACAGGCGGAATACATACAGTATATGCACGGTACTCTTGACACGTGCGGATACGTGCTGCTCGCTGGCCGATGCAGCAGCGGCCTGCAAGCATTCTGCTTTGTGCGCGGCCTGTTCGAAGTCGTGAGTCCTGTGCTATGTTCCGTGCCGGGGATCAAATTATCTTGCCGTCGCGCGACACAATTCGGCCCCGTTGTAGCAGGCGTCGCGGTTTGCTCGCTGGGCCGAGGACTGACAGATGCAGTAGCAGGAGCTCGAGGCACGAATCAACCACTCTCTATCAGCCCACGGCCAGCAAACGGCTTTGCGGCCTGGACTCTTACGAGGCCCGATCGGCGGCCGTTCATTGCAAGAACGGCCCAAAGCCCTGGGTGTGCCTCAGATGGTGTTCCGGCCGGCGGCTCTACGATACGTGTCGTGCTTGCGGGACATCTGATCTTCGCGAAGGCGCGACGTCATGCGATCGACAACACGGCGGGATGCGTTGAACGCGTACGTAGTCGTCCACGCAGAAATGATCAGACACGATCGTTTTTCTGCGCACCGTGCCCGTGCGTTGGAGAGAATTCGAGATGGCCCTGCGGCGTCCACGCATTGTTGGATGAGAACATACATAGGCGCATAGTGACGACGTGATACGCGCGTGTAAGTGCAACCGTGAGATCCAGTCGTACGGACACGATATGCACAGACCAGCGCAGTGTCCGTTGTGAGTAACCCGGATGATCCTCACAGAAAATGAGATCATCCTCTGATCAGTCATGTCGCGCCGACCTGTGCGCAAGCAGACTTTTGTACATGGGCATGGCATTTGCGAGGAGGTGCATCAGCATTCGGCTAACCAGTGGCCCGAAATGCTCCACTACCCAGCGTGCGATGGAACGCGGTGGAACAAACTGGCTATTAGTGAACTTGAGTGGCTGGTTGAAACGAGACACATGGAGCCGTAGTCATCACACGGAACCGTAGTCATTTGGGATGCGACCCGGAAATCAAGGTGCCCGTCGGCGAAGTTGACTGGTGGTTATGAAACGGACGCATCGATCACATCGGGAGGTGAGTCTCACAATAATACGTCTTGACACCATCGAGACGAGCTGCCGTCCACAATCAGTAGGAATCCGCTACGCATGGCGATGCATACACGCCGATTGCGGTCACAGAGTAGGCTGTGCATCGCTCAATATTGCTCGTTGCACGACCCGGCTACTCCGTACGAGCGCAGGACCCGCAGACAGACTCTTTGTCTTCTGGCACCAGGGTACCACTCGGAGACTGCGCAAATGCCGACTCTCCGTACTGAGACTGTACTGTGGTCACCTATTCCCCTTCCTCTCCCTGGCACGTCGGTGTCTGCATTATCCTCAAATGTTCCGCGACTGGGCCCTCGCGCCGTCACAGTCGGACTGTCCACAGCACCGATCCGCGAGACGGGTAATCTCTTGCACGCGGCTCGTCGCGGTGCGAGTAATTGTCAACGGGTCCGTGACATCGACCCACGATGCCTCCCTTGAGCTTTCTAGCCCTAAACGACCGCACCATCTCATTCGCGGACGTTCACAGTGAGATGTCACTGAACGCTTCGCACGTCGTACTAATGCACGGCGCAACAGATCATTGACTGAATCCTTCGACGCGGCGTACTTGAAGCCGACGTTCTGCGTCCCTCAATGATACACAATCCCCCTCTGCACTCTGATCCATCTATCCATGCGTGTGACCAATGCCGCCCCAGCCACTTCACTGTTCGATGTTGTGTGCTTGAAGGTTCGGCTTCCGCTGTCACGCGAAACCATCGATTTGTGCTCCGCAACGCCGGCTCGTCCATGCTACTGATTGACTCCCTTGTAACTCGCAGCCATCTCTTTATCAATCAGTCCACTGACTTCATTATCAAATCCGGACACAACGTCCAGACACCAATCCGTACAGTCAAGGAGGTCCGGCCGATTTCCGAGGTCTCCGGGAGTCCAAGTGATCAAACGATGGGACCGACAGGCTCGCGGCTGTCGAGTGCATAGCTCCCCATGTGTGGATTGCTCGTTTATGCAGCTCTTTGAGCAATCTAGCACGGTTCGTCACTAGTCCTACGTTGTCCGCACATTCGATCGACTCGTCACCGGACGTCTCATCCTCTCCACAGGGCCAGGCAACCGCGTAGCGCATTGCGCGGGTTGTATCGTCGGCCGAGGAGGTACTAATCGTGCCTCCCAGACGTCGGCGATGGTACGACGCGCTCGTCATATCATCAACCCCAGCAAGCGGGGGTTGCGGGTGCTGCTAGATGTGCTGCGCAACTCGGTCGGAATGTATGATTGGGTCTCGCCGCGGGTGCGTAATATCTCCAGTCGAAGGCAAGACGAGCTAGTATGCGGACGCATCAAGAGTGAGATGCTCGCCGCCGCTCACTGGCATTCGCAAGACGGCGGGACTGGTAGCTCGATGGGAGGCGTACGAGATGTACTCGGTGAGACGGTGGCGGAGTGCTGAGTGACGGAGACGTTGGCTGAAGGTGCGTTGTTGCCTCGAAACGACGTGTGCGTACGCACCACATCCGTCCGTAGTCAGAGCCGTCGTCGTCGTGTGCGACGCCACGGCTGGATCGTCCTGTTCACTGCCTTTCACCTATCCTGCAGGCGAAGCCCGCGACGGTGCCGTCGATTCCTCGCAGTTCACGCCTGTACCATCAATGTCATGTATGGTTGAAAGCTCAATACATTCATTTGCCGCGTCTCTATGTACATGCAACACGTGTCTACGCTGGACGGCGTTCGCGATGGCAGCGCCCGGCGCGACGTGCCATTACAGCCGACGCAGCGGAGACCGTCGCCCCCATGGATCTGCGAGCCGCTACACGCAGACGCCTGCTTGCCCGCGCTGTTCCGCACGACATCGTCCGAGGCACCGAGAAGAGTGTCAGTATAGAACACATTGCGGCGGCACTCACCTCGCCGCCAAGTGCTGAACACACCCACGGGTGCGGTGCATCCTTACCGATGGGTACCAAGGGTCCGCGAATGGGCGCGCCGACGGGCAAGCTACCAGTGGTCAGTCGACGGAAGCTGGGCGAGGATGGGGCGCAGTGCCTGCTTCAGGAAGTTGGCACCGAGTTCCGCTGAGATCTTGCGGTACAGCTGTCCAGGTAAGACCTCGCAGAGCTCCGCGGGGATGTAGAATTGCTCGTATCACGACCGTGGAGGCGAGTATGCGCCGCACTCGCGAGCTGCATGCGATGAGTCCGTCGAGTAGGAGCAGAATGGAACCCTGTCGTCCGACGCCGCTGCTCGTACTCTGCGAGCAGAGCTGCGTTGTCCGGTGCTGGAAAACAGATTAGATCGTGACGGTGTGATACGCTCGATGGCAGACGTACGCGTTCTAGAGAAGCCCGGCAGGAGCGCAGCGTGTAAGGCAGGAGGGACGTGCGCGGTTATCGCCTGCACCGATCCGTAGCCGTGTGGGACGCCAACGATCTTGTCGAACTTCTGGCCTCCGATGTCGCCGCTCCGGAGCATCTGTACAAGTGCGAATTTGATCGCGATAACGAGGTCCGTCGTGGATTGTACCACACTGACAACGCGCGTCAGCTGCGTTCATCCATCATGTAAAGGACACATACTTGTATGGTGTTGGAGTGTCCTGGCCACCGTGTGCCTCAGTGTATGTGCCTCTGGTGATCGTTCGCGCACAAGTGAGCGGGCGCACGGGTTGATCAGAATCAATGGCTGAGTGTCCCTCTCACCGCCGACCCGACAATGAATCCTGTGGCGACGATCTGCTTGAGCATGCGACCTGGATGCGATCAACGCGCGTGTACCACTCACATGGAACTGTACATCCTTCAGAGCTGGAGCGCGTCCGTGGCGTCTGGATGCGGAACGACAGAGGCTGGCCCTTGCGGCGTCGCATTCGCTTCCACACGGACGTCTTGCATGGTGCACGATGCCCAGAAAGGCGACGGCGACTTGGGCGGTGTCGTGGCGCTGGCGAGCAGCCCGAGCGAGCCTGCGTATAAAGGCGAGGACTGCGGACATTGTGGGGCATCGGTGAGTTGCGTCTCTGCCTGAGTAGAGTGGTCAGCTGCTAACCGCGTGTTGCAGACGAGTGCACCACGTACGGACGACGACGAGCGGGACCTCTGCGCTGATTACGCGGCGTCGAGGTCGCTACGCACGCGACGATGGGAGCAGGTAAGCACAACACGGCTGCTGGTGCTGAGGCTCAGAGACTCGCTGACCGCTCTTTGCAGGTGTGGCGAGAGCGTGGCTGGGTCGTGAACGGGGATTTGGGTGGATGGGCGTGGGTCGTGGAGGAGCGCTGCCGGACGGAGTCGGGTGATGCCCAGCAGCTCACTTGCAGTAGTCGAGCGGGGTGTACGTGTGCGGGCGACGGTGGGCGTCGCTGACGGCGGACGACTGAGCACGGTCTGGGGCGTCGACTGCTGGGGCGCAGCGGCAGCCGACATGTTGCGCGAAGAGAGGACGGAGCGGATGGCTGTCGAGGCACTGAGAGGTCCTGAGGCCTGAGGCCGGAAGGCCTGCCCTGAGAGACCAAGCGAGTGGTGGCGAAGAGAGCACGGGCGCTCCGGGGCGGACAGCATCTCGCTCCGATCGGTCGATGCCTCTCGTCCTACAGACTACGTATTGTCAAAGTCCTTACGAAGGATCATGTGATTTCGCGAACCCCAAGGCAGGGTTAGGGGACGTAGTGACCGTTCGGCGTTATGAAAGCCATGTCTAAGTATCGATGGATGTGTACCGGGGACGGGATCCGTCGTGTAGAAGAAATCACTGCACGAAAACTTAGAATTACCTCCAGGTAAGTGTTGCATCCATAAACGGGCTAATATGTGCGTTTTTTGAGCATATTGTCGCGTCGATTCCCGACCCCCCTCCTACGTACCCTCCTCCTTCTGACGTCAGCCCGTGACCTGACGTGTCACATCGCGTCGAACCGAGCAACTCGAGAGCTCAGTGAACGGCACTCTCCTTTTGACATCCATGTTCTGCGCCCGCGCGCCCTCGTCTCGAATCCAGAACTGTGGGGGCCTGTTTCGAAGGTCAGTTATTATGCTACTTCTGATAAAAGTGCTTACAACGTACAGACTGAGATGGCGGAGAGATCTGGGAGTTATTGAGACCTGAGAGTTATTGGGACTAGTGAGTGCGCATATATTCCGACGAATGTGCGTCAACTCCACGTAGATCGCATGTAGAGTGCTGCCTCGTGCAGCATATATGCGAGTCTACTTGACGAGACGGAAGAGGGGAGGAATGATTGGAGGTTACTAGGATGGGTGGACGCACATGGGTGAACGGGCAACTACTACATCTGCTCATACATCCGGACGACTGACTCGGTTCGGCAAGGAATAGGCCATCATGTCTATCCGAGTCAACGGCAACCGCTGCAGCCCAAGAGCATGCTCAGTGAGCCGATATGTCCGTGCCAAATTGGGGATGCGACAGACTCACGTCAGGTACAAAGGGGGGTGTGGGTCCCAGACGACTCGCCTTCGGGTAAGCGTCGATCAAGGGGCGACTCCTGGATGCACTCGCATGGGCAGACTACCAATCTAGTAAAACCACGGCATAGGCGATTGAGCGTGGAGTCATTCTCCGTCAAGTATTCGGGCGACATATGGACTTAGCTTCAAAACTTTGCCTTTTCCCGTACCCAGGCTGCCCCGACACAGTGAGTCAAGGGAGACGCAGCGGTGAGTTGTGTTCCCCCTGACAACGCCTGCGCATTCCCTGGACTAACGCTTTGGTGTGTCAGTGACTCAGGCTGTGAACCGTCGCTCGTCGGCGTGTGCAACATTGATTCGCTTTGGCGCGCTTGACGCGGGCGGGCGGGCGCTAGCTCCGTTAGACGCCGACGCTATTGTCTCTGCGTGGGAAGGCGCGACGCGACAATGGTGGGCGCCTACACGCGACCCGGACGCGCTCCTATTGTCCTGCTATTGTCTGCAGCAATGCAAAAGACAATTGACAAAAGCCATGGCTGCCCCGAGTGTCTTCCCATTCTCCCCTTCGCTCTCTTCATCCTGCGACATCTGTTCGCGTGCGCCGTCGCCAGACGAGCCTCGCATTCGACACTCTCGCCATGCCTGCTACGACCCCAATGACACCTAACGCCTCTACTTTCGACCTCGAGCAGAACCTCGAATCCACCACCACTGTCAATGTATCATCAGCGACACCATCCAACTCTACGCCAGAATGCCCACCACCCCAACCGTCGATTCGTCTGCTCTTCTCGTTGGTCTCGAGGCGTGACTTCTACCTGATCGTCCTGCCCGCCATTCTCACTTCGATGCTCGCCGGAGGCGTCGCTCCTTTCATGACATACGTCGTCGGCGAGTCTTTCAACGCGTTCGCCAACTTCCCGACTACCCCGAACCCCTCCGAGTCTGCGAAGACCAGCCTGCTGCACGGTGTCGGCCTCGCCGCGCTCGAGCTTGTCGGCTTGGCCGCGGGCGCGCTCGCACTCAGCAGCATCACCTCGAGCCTGTGGATCTGGACAGGCGAGCGGAACCTGATGGCGGTCCGCAAGAAAGTGTACGCAGCCGTCACGCGCAAGGATATGGTCTGGTTCGACACCAAGATGGGTGCGGAGGACTCGGTACAGGTAGCCGAGGGGGATGGTCCTCTCGGTGCTGGTGGTCTCATGGCAAAGTTTGCCAGGTGAGTGGTGACGGACATGGGCTTTGTGCAGCCACTAAAGTACTTTGCAGAGAGACGGATGAAGTCCGGATGGCGTCGTCGCTGGCGTCTGGCTTCATCATCCAGTACCTGACCACTTCGATTACCTGCCTCATCCTCGCCTTCGTGCAGTCGTGGTCGCTTACCCTGATCATCCTATCCGCCGTCCCGGTTCTCATGGTCATCCAGACCGCGTCGCAGATCTTCGCCGGTGCGCACCTCGGTGTCGAGCGCGCTACCACCGCCACTGCAGCCACTCTGGTGGACCGCGCCGTGGCAGCTATCGCCACGGTCAAGGCGTTCAACGCGGAGACCCACGAGCAAGAGACCATCGGCCGCGTCCTCGACGCGATGCAGGTTGCGGCGAACAAGTGCATCACCGTCTGGGGCATCACGTCCAGCCTCGGGCAATTCGTTATGATGGCGATGTTCGTGCAGGGCTTCTGGTTCGGCTCGAAGCTCGTGCGCGACGGGACGATCACTCCCGGCGCCGTGATGTCGGTCTTCTGGGCGTGTCTCATCGCGACTAGTAACCTGCAGATGTGCATCCCGCAGCTGATTGTGCTCAGCAAGGGCAAGTTCTCCATGGCCGCGCTCTTGACTCTCGTGGAGTCCGCCCCGGCCTCGCCCGTTGCACAGTCGAACTCGACCGTCCACGCGCCCCTGAAGCCCACGAGGCGTCCGACGCACATCCGCAAGATCGTCCCGGCCAAGTGCCGCGGCGAATTTGAGCTTGACGGCGTCACGTTCGCGTACCCCAGCCGGCCGACGATGCCGGTCCTCCAGGACGTCTCGATCTTCCTCCCCTCGAACGAGACGTCGTTCATCGTCGGCGGCTCCGGGTCGGGCAAGTCCACCATCGCGCAGCTGCTTGTCCAGATGTACGCGACCGCCGAGGGCGCGATCCGCTTCGACGACCAGGACATGAGGTACCTCGACGAGGACTGGATGCGCTCGCACGTCGCTGCGATCTCCCAGGGATGCATCCTCTTCGACATGACCGTCCACGAGAACGTCGCGATGGGCCTCGCGTATTCGGGCAGCTGCCGCCGCCCAGAGGATGTCACTCGCGCGGAGGTCGAGGCTGTCTGCCGCGCGGCGCTCATGCACGAGTTCGTTAGGGACTTGCCGGAAGGATACGACACGCGTCTGGGCAACGGCGGCGCGAACTTGTCGGGAGGTCAGAAGCAGCGTCTGGCCATCGCCCGTGCGCTCTTGCGCAACCCCACGGTCCTTATTCTTGGTGCGTTTTGTCTTGCTGTTCGCCGGGATCAGTGTGCTTACGATTGTCTCCCCTCACAGACGAAGCGACGTCCGCGCTGGACGCGACTTCGCGCATTCTCGTGTTCGAGGCCATCAAGCGCTGGCGCACGAACATGACCACAATCGTGATCACCCACGACCTGTCCCAGATCGAGCCGGAGGACTTCGTGTACGTGCTCAAGTCTGGGCAGGTCGTCGAACAGGGCTTCCGTAGCGAGCTCGAGTGCTTCGCAAATGGCGAGTTTCGGCAAATGGTCTTCACTCAGGAGGCCTCGGGTGGCTTCCAGGAGAAGCCTCAGGCAGAGGCCGAGGCTGTCCCCGTCGAAGCTATCCTGGAGCAGCAAGACGTGGAGATGCAGGAGGAGCTCGCCGCGTTCAAGGACACGGCAAAGACCCTCAAGCACCGCAGTGTCGCGCCCACCATTCGGCCCCTGACGCTGGGTAACTGGATGTTCGAGGCCGTCGCTGACCTTACGAAGCCAAGCGCGCCCCCCAAAGCCGTCCTGGCGGCGCGCGAGACGCAACGGATCAGCCGGTTTGTCCCTCCTGAGGAGGAGCCTACGGAGGAAATCGCCAAACAGCGTCGCAGGAAGACGCTGCACATTGACATCCCTTCGCTCGCCTCGCCCCCGGCGACTCTCACGTCGGCGAGCCATCGTTACAGCCTGCAGTTCACCCCGACGTCCCCCACACTCTACTCCCACCGCTCCACGACCTCCCTTCTTTCTCCGATCGCTATCGACGACGAAGACTTCGACCTCGAGAAGGCAGCCCTGCAACGCACCGCCACCGAGGCCACGTCGAAGAGGCCCGAGATGAAGCGCGTCCGCACGCGTTGGGACGAGAAGAGCCTGGCAGCCCTCACGGCTGTCAAGGTCGAATCGTCTGATGCGCCTGCGCACGAGGAGGTTGCCTCTGAGTCGTCCTCCTCGCAGCAGTCCTTCTGGAGTCTCATCCGCGACATCTACCCCACACTACCCAGCAAGCCGCTTCTGGTGTTTGGGATGCTCTGCTGCCTTGCCAGCGGCGCGATGACCCCCTTGTTCTCTTTCCTCCTGTCTCGCATTTTCTTCGAGGTCTCCATCGGCGCGAAGGACGTCTCGACAATCAACATGTTCGGGGGGATCGTCCTGGCTGTTGCCGTGGCTGACGGACTATTCATTGGACTGAAGTACGCGGTGATGGAAGTCGTCGCGATGTCGTGGGTCACTCGCGTGCGCAAGGTGTGCCTCGCGCGCCTGCTAGCGCAGGACAAGAAGTGGTTCGACAAGACGGACAACAGCGCCGTCCGGATCGTGCAGATCCTCATCAAGGACGGGGACGACGCGCGCTCGCTGATCGCCACCGTGCTCTGCCAGGCGATCGTCGTCTCTGCGATGCTCGGCGTCGGCCTCACCTGGGCTCTGGTGCGGGGATGGCAGCTAACGTTGGTGGGCTTCGCGATCGCGCCAGTGTTTGCGATCACCATGGCCGTGCAGACCAACTTCGTCGCGAAGTGCGAGATGAGGAACAAGCGCGCTCGGGAGGACGTTGCGAAGGGATACTACGATGTGAGTACATCAACAGCGTGTGCATATGTCTTAAGCTGACACTTTGGCAGGCTATCTCCAACATCCGCGGCATCCGCGCCATGGGCTTCGAGAGCGCCTTCCAAAGCAAGTTCGACCAGTCCGTCGACTCGGCTCTCTCCATGGGACTGCGTGGCGCCTTCGTGGAGGGCTGCACCTACGGTGTCGCAAGTGCCCTCATCTACCTCGCGGAGGCTGTGTTGTTCTACGTCGGCGCGGTCCTCATTGCTCGCGGGACGTACTCCTACCTCCAGATGGTCCAGGTCCTGAACCTTGTTGTGTTCTCCGTGTCTATCGGTTCGCAGCTTATGGGCTTTAGTAAGTCCATCCTGTGACGACCTTCATGCTTCGTTACTAACTTGACGGCATCTCTAGCGCAAAGGATTGCCAAGTCCGTGCAGGCTACCCGTGACTTCAACATGCTCCTCAAGCTTTCGACGTTCACCGACGAGTCCCGCGGCGTCCTACGCCCGGAAATGCACGGCAACGTTTCTCTCAACAATGTTTCCTTCGCTTACCCGGAACGCGCCGACGTTCCCGTGCTGAAGGACCTATCTCTCGAGATCGCGGAGAACGAATGCGTTGCCATCGTAGGTGCTTCTGGATGTGGCAAGTCTACCATCGCCGCTCTGTTGCAACGCCTATACGAGCCCGAAGCGGGATCCATCAGCATGGGACTGAACGAACTGCGGTCTACTGACGTTCACCACCTACGTGACCACGTCGCCGTCGTCAGCCAACACCCGAACCTGTTCGACACCACCGTCACCGAGAACATCGCATACGGGAACAAGACACTTTCTGTCGAGGACGTGCAACGAGCCGCAAAGGCGGCAAACGTGCACGACTTCATCGAGTCGTTGCCAAAGGGCTACGACACGCTCGTCGGTGAGAACGCATCGCTGATCTCAGGCGGGCAGGCCCAGCGCCTGCAGATCGCGCGAGCACTCGCGAAGCCGGCGCGCATCCTGATCCTCGACGAGTGCACGTCTGCGCTGGACGCGGAGAACCAGGCGGCGATCATGGAGACGCTTATGCAAGCTCGAGTCGGCCGGACCACACTCGTAGTGACGCACAAGCTGCAGATGATGCGGATGTGCGACAGAATCGTCGTCGTCCATGACGGCGTCGTCGCTGAGTCGGGCACGTACGAAACGCTGATGCAGAAGCGTGGCGTGTTCGCCCAGCTGGCGAGCGGTGGCGAATGGACAGGTGACTGACCTGTGTTCTGATTTGTTTCTCTCTTTCTCTCCTGTCTTTCTTTTTCTCTGGTCTCTCATCTCGCACATGTAGCATTGAACATTTCACGCCCCGCACACACCTCTCATGACTGCAAGATTATTTGATACCACCCCGAAGTATAAGTACGAATACCTTCGATCTTCGATTACTACGCATGTTACGACCCGCGCACACTCTTTACTGTACCCATATCGCGTCCTGCATTGTATCCTGAGCTACAAATAGAAACGGGTTGTATTCACAAAGTTGTAAATGGTGAGAGACGATCTCAGGTTGCATGATGCCGAGGCCATTTGGTGGACGAGCGGATATAGAGTTTCATCTGTACGCATAATTTGGCGTCCTTCTAAACCTTCAGGACATGTTGCTTGAGCACTCCGGCGTCATGCAGGCCTGTCTGCAAGAAAGAAAGTGAGTTCCTCGCTTGAGGCGATAGTCATAGGGACCCTCGTCACTGGCAAGATCAGATGGATCAGCACGTAGGCCGTCGATCCCGGATGAATTATGACATGTCAGTGGCCTCTAGATCTTGGGTTAGCGTAGGTGACGGTCTCTTGGGGGTAAGGTCCCGATGACTATGTGACACCAGCGACCTACCCTTGCATATATACTTTTCAGTAAGGGTCGTGCGGGGCTGACAGCGAGTGAACACTACACGGCATGCGCGACATGGCACATCTTGGCAGAGGAGCTACGGTAGCGCGGAGGCAGCGCCGACAGTGGTAGGATATTTTGACCATGAGTAGGTAGTCTGCACAGCTGGCAATGTCACCTGTCGAACAGTCCACTAGAACAACCGTGCGTTCCGTAGTCAGAGGCGGCATGACGTTGATTCAACGATGCGGAAGAATTTCAGTGCGTCTGTGACAAAATGGGCGTGCTCACTATATAGACACAAATCGGTGAGGGGATAACATAGAAGCCTCCCTAGCGTATCTTCAACAATCGGGCCAAGCCCTTACGTGGTTCCGAATACTCCGTCTCTATCCACCTATTTCCACGAACGACCGACCACGCAATCGGCTCACCTCTCGGGGTGAAGGAAAACGGGATAGCGCCTGTCCGCGACGCTTTGATCAACACCTTCCCGTGGCCAGGAACAGCCCTCTCCAGCGTCAGCTGTGTGCGATTGTCCCGTTCCCATAGAACCCAGGCTGCATGTACGGCTCGGTGAGCAGCAGTCGGGCGTCGAAGGTGCGAGAAACTCACGGGCAGGGTATCCGATGCCCATCTGCCTGTCCTGTTCCCCGATGTTGACAACTATCGTCTGCAGCTTCCCCCTCCTGCCGATTAGAATCGCGGAGGCGTCGCCGATGTCGGGTAACATGATAAAGCCCGCATGCTCTTTGAGGAGATGGAGACGATAGTCGCTGTGCCGAGTTTCGGGCCCAGCAATCCCGATCGGTGTGTATAGCGTGAGCTTGTTGAGCGCAGGGAAGTGTTTGAGCGAATTGAGGATTGACGTCAATGTTGCCGGCTGCAGATGTTTACATGATTGTTAGACAACACAGGTACTATAAGAACGACGGACGAGTCACCTCCGAGACCGTGTCCTGAGTTATGCTATAATTCGCATCGACGTCGATACCGAGATGTCGCAGCGTTGTGCAACTCTTGCCCAGTCCTCGAAGATCCCGTGTATTCAGGGTTGGTCGCTGCGAGTCTTCACGGCGCTCCTTTTCATGCAGTACAAGCGACTGCAAGGTTGGCCCATGGTGCGCCGCGATGGTTGAGACCAAAGAATGGTACGGTCCCTCGAGATGTAGACCCTCGAGTCCCGATGCACTGAATAAGAAATTGTGGAGAGCCTCCACGGCGCTCGCGCATGTCTGCTCGTCGTAATCCTCGCACCACATGGTGAACTTGAACTCGGAGAGGGACGGTAAGCGCGGGCTGACACACGCTCGAAGGAGCGGGATCGCATCGCAGCGATTCAGCTCCAACTTGCGCAAGCGTGACCACGACATACCCTCGAGGCACTGGGTGGCGCCCTCGTCGCTCCAAGACATTTGTTCCAAGACAAGCTCCTCGATGGAAGGACCGGTCATGTGGCAGAGCGGCCGTGTCGAGTCGTACGTCAAGAACGGCGGTGCGCGCTCCTCCTCCAGTTCGTCGAGTTGTACGACGGGGACGACGCAGCCCGTGCGATTGTTTGGTGTCATTCGCAGGCAGCGTAGTCGCGGAGATTGAAGGAAGATAGGCTGAAATTGGAGGAGAGGGTCGTGGCGGAAGCGCACAGTCGCATCAAGCGACACGAGCTTGGGCATAGGAGGAAGAGCCGAACCTGCGTACCTGTCGAGCGTGAAGGTGCACCCTGGAAACGCCGCTTGTGTAGTGTCTATCAATGATGCTGGAATGTCTAGGCCGGCATCCCATCTGAGTCGACAGTGAGTCGGTGTGCACTGCAACTTGAACGGTGAAGGCGGCATGTTCACCTCACTTCTGTCAGTCCCTCCCCGAACGTCCCGTCTCGAATGTGCCGTTGGAGTTCCTCGAGGGCCTCGGATCGCTCGGGCTCGGAATCCTCACCATCGTCGAGTTCGTCGAGATGCTTCCACCACGACTTGTGTTTTGGCTCGCCTGTAATGACGAGCTTCCTAACGCAATGTCCTGTGCCGAGCACAGTTCGGCTAGCCTGCGCTTGCACCTGTCTTCGTCCGCTACATCAAGTACGAATTGCTGCAGAATGAAGCTGCGCGACACCGCGGCGAAGGCGCGGCAGACCAGCGATGCTGATATAAGGTCTTGTTGACAGGCCTGACAGTGTCGAACATTCAGCAAATGACTAGCGTTTGCGGTATGATAGACATACTTCCGAGAGGACGAGGCGAAGTAAGTCTTCACATTGAAGCCATCGCTGCGTATTCGAACTTGCGTTGCCCACTGGCATGACTCCGAGTCGAGCGAGATACCTGCGCTGACGTAATGGATGTGAACATGCGCACTGATAGTGATACAGCTCATGAGGGTCACTCACCATGGAATTCATTACTATATGTAGCCCAGTACTTGCGATCTCTGAGACGTCGACGCGTCCACATAGCAACTCACGACGCCCTATATACCAGAGCTAGCTCAACACCGCCTTGTAGAGAGACTCTCTTAACGCCTTGGGCTAACCGTCCCAAATGTCACACGGACCACGGTATCAAGGAGCATCGCCTCGCCTATGGTCAGTCATCGGGCTTAACCCCCTTCGTAATGAGTGCACTAAATCCGCAAGAATAGCAGCGCGCAGTTCACCGTATCAAAGGTCAGCGCCGGTATCGTGTCATGCTGAACCCCTCGTCAAACCGAACAACCGACTGACCGTCGTCGAGAAAGACTACGAGAGCCCTGCCAATGCCGCGCCTCGTCAGTGAACGACATGTGTCCTTCGCCTCGTCGCCTTCCTCCTCGTCACAGCCGCTAAGCCGGAAGCCACCGTGCCAGCGCAAGAAAGCAACTCTGCGACAACATACACGTCTGCGCCTGCGCAATTCCACCTATGCGTTCATTTCATTCTCGCTTCCGAGGATGCTGTGTCGGTCGGACAGCATTTGGACACAACCAAACATGACGAGGGTCTTTTTTGTCAAGACGCTGATATAGTCTCATAACGTTCATATTCTGCGAAACCAATTGACGTGTTAGTCATCAATACTGCCAACGGATAATCCACGGACCTTGCTAGAGAACTTATTGGTTGTGCCGTCAAAGCAGAGAACAAGAGTGCGAGGAACCATTCAGTACGCCGCGTCCGAGTCCATAGCTGCGAGAGGTCAACTTGAAGTTCGCCGACCGAGCGGGTTGCATGATAAGCAGTGAGAAGACCGCAGCTTATGAGTAAGAGCCGACGGCGACTGCTTCAGCTATGAGTGACGGTTTCGCGGTAAAATATATACTGGCAGGTCGTAGTTCCGCGGCGATTGACTTACTCTGAAGACTTACTTTCCCGCGACTTAGACTTAGTGCGATTGGCGCCCGCCCGACGTGCCTGAGGCGGCCTTGCCAAATCGGGATGAACATCGCATTTGCCAGGACCACTGCGCCAGATAGTCTTGTACCACTGGACACGGCTATGCGGGCCTGCGACGTTCGGCCGTAGGCCGAGTCACGTGTGTGGAAAATAGATGTAAATAACGCGCTCCGCGTCGTGTTCTGCACACGCGTCTGCGTATTATCTTCACTGTTTGCGACTCGACTACGCGGTACGACGTCCGTCTGGATCTCGTGGAGCACGGCCGACGTGTTTAATGGTATGCAACTGAGTCAATGCTTGGCAGAAGAACCGGTCTCTGTGTGCCTGCCTCAGACAAGCACCACAATCTGAGTACCTCGCTCCGAGCTGTGGCCCCGATCGAGCACTGCGCCGTCCGTCCCTTCGAAGTAATTGTCGTGTGGAAGAGCAAGGGTGTCATGCTCACGCCCTGGCGAGAACACTGCAGATTTTCGTGAAGGAAAACGTGTATGTGTGCTGCATGCGCGCAGATCTCTCAGGAGTACGAAGTTGTGCAGGACGTGGACGAGCGTCACGAGAGCGAAGAGTCGGAGGACAATAACTCCAGGGCGTCGCTGACGAGACGCAAGCGTGTTGAGACGCAAATACGGCGCTGGGGCGCTGGGGAGGTCTTCATCGGTGAGCCCCTTGCGGCGCTCAAGCAACTGTTCGAGGAGGAGAGGTCATTTGACAGAGTGTTCAACACTGTCGCAGGCATAGAGATCTGGGAGATGACATAGAGGCTGCTCGCGACGCCCCCGTTGATTTCGTGTGCAACATCGGATGTCGAGGACAACAGCGACGACGGGCGCAAGGTCTTTGTCTGCCCGGCGCAGTTCACCACGCTCGTTTTGTAACATGATGATACTCCTCCCTGAATTTTCCATGCTGAGTTTAGCCCGCGGGATGATATATCACTCAATCTGATGCTACCCTTGGACAGCAGGCTTCTCGAATGCTGCAGCTTGAACGCGATGTTTAAGCTCATGCACAAACCACAGCGCCAGTGATAAATGTGTCCGTCGCGTACCAATCTTCTAGTGCACGATGGAGACCAAAGTGTTACCTAGAGCAAAAATCAAAAACAGTACCTCAGTTAAAGCTCCTGGGCGATTTTTGGCTGAAGGTTGTCACTCAAAGAGACTCAAATCGCCAAACTTGAGCGTCCGAGCGAACGTACAACGTGAGATTACATAAGCAATACCATATGTGGACCATCCGCACCTTTATGCACGTCTTCATGCCGTGCAACCAGCCAAACCGCACCGTGAAGTGCACAGACTTATCAAGGATCAGAAACATTCAATTCTGTAGCAAATTCTCGTTATGTATCGTCGTAGTCCAGCACGACACGAGACGCGCTCTGGAGGGAGAGTCAGGAGGCAAATCACTACTTGCCTTTTATATCCGGAACCCTTCAGGCCCGGTTAGGCAGCGCGTCTTATTGCAGACCAAAAACGAGAGTAACTCTTTTTGGTCAGCAACGGAGACTATGCGCCAGACGGCTTCCCCTTTATTCTCTGCGACACATGACATTTCTGTATTGAATTTATATGCTCTTAATTCATATCACAATATCTGTCCCTTTCGACACTATGAGAACCGCGGGCTCAAGGTCATGGCTCTCCTACTGACACCGTGACATCATGATGGAGCCGTGATATAGAATGCGCAGACCCTCAGGCCTCAGGCCGAGCAATACCTGTGACTTGGGTGAGTTGCTGCGTTGTGATGTCATTGACTAACTCCATACATAAATGCTACTTACAATATATCATCACAGAATTCGCACCGGGTACAAATACATATACACACAGCATGTAAACGTAGGTAAGGACCATAATCATTACAAGAAGTGCAAGGTCTTACGCCGGACCAATCCATACGTCGACTTCATACAATGGGATTACAAATTCATTACAGACCGCCAGCACATTTCGTTTCATTGCAACTCTCGCCAGCTTGTGATCCGTCTGTACGCAGTCGCAATATTGTATTCACTCCAGATGTGCTTGTAGTCTCCATATACAGATACAATACCAAGATGCCATTACACTAACATCACGATGCCGCACGACATCGCGTCGGGCATCGATCAGGCTCGGGGTACAGTAGGAAACACAATACTGTGGATTGCAATTCAACGAGTGACGGTCATTACAAGGTACAAGAATGATCTACAGAGAAGCCTTCGAAGCTTCGGAGCCGCCATGTGCTGAGCCACGAGGTCCAGGCTATGCGTGCCCTGTGTGGTGCCAGCAGTTGCATCGGCAGCTTCACGGCTACCATACAAGACTTTCCTGGGATGAGGATGAGCTCCTGGAATATTATAGAGCCCGTGAACGAAACGTACACGTTGTCGAAGACAAGTAATACCCTGCAGAGGTCTGCCAGCATGTCTTCCATGGTTCGTACAGGTCCGTTGTAGAAGTCGTCATACCAGAATCGGCCGCGCTTCGTTTCTACTCCCGGAAGGACGGTAGTTTGCGACGATAGAGTGAAGTGAGTCTATATGGAAAAAGACGATATGTCAGTGATAGTGGGATTGTGGTTGACACAGACGGTATCTACCATGCACGCTATTGATGGTGGCAAGGACATCCGAATCCCCAGAAGGCATGTTGGCGGCGAGACTCGCAGACTCCTGAGATAATTCAGAGCTTGGTGCATTCAGGAATATGACAAACCGACTCGGACTTACATGATGCGATGATGCAGCTGTATGCTGTCTCGGCGCGGTCAGGTCTTCCGACAGGGGCTCGAAATACACTGGTGAATGTGCATCTGGTGTTTTGGAACTCTTCAGCTTCTAGAGATATGCCGAGTCCGGTGTACGTACCTGTCGTGTATCCAGTCTGTTCATCATCATCCGCCTTGCCGTCGCTTGGCCGCCCTCTGTTGCTCGGTTTCCCAGGCATTGCGGGCCTGATCATAAGTCGCCTGACACTTCTTGTGCAACGTTAGGGCACGGTCGGCGCTGCTGTAGGGTGCTGCACATCCGGGGCAACGAGGCATTGTAGCCGTGATTGAGCTTTGACTCGGAAGTACAAGGGCCGGGGAAAGCACAGCCTTGTGCGGCGTCTGCGAGAGGCTTGTCAAGAAAGCCTATCGTCAAGGAGTGAGTGCGGTCAGTTGGGTTGTGCGAGGCAGCAAGGAGAGACTGAAAACGAAAGTTCAGGTCGCCGAGACTTAAGTAGTCAGCATGGCGCAATTGCGTGGCGGTGAACAAACACAGCCAACCTGTATTCTTGTAACATGAGTGCAACATAGTGGGACTCTGTAATATGTTGGTAAGGATCCGCAAGATTTCGTTGCGTATGGCAAGGCTATACAAGGGCGTTGAAAGATCGCGGCGCAGCGCAATCTGGCACTGTCGTCACATGATGCTTACATGCGCTTACAACCCGACGGAATCTGCCGTTCGTATACAAGTACTACAATCGCTTACCGTTGTGTAGGGGGATCCCTGATGCATAGTGGCTAGTTGCGCCGTACAAGAGGGTCGCGCGTGCTAGGCAACCTGGGATACGTTCATCTTGATCTCTGAACCGCACTTGCCCCAAAGTGATACTTAAACGGTGTACTGGATATAGGTCGCCGACTTTGGTATTGAAACAGCGCAAACGGTCTCACCCGTCGGTTCCATGCTTTCAAAGTGATCTGAAGAGGATCTTCTCGGACCCACGTCCATATGGCCGAATGGTCATTTTACCAAATCAGTACAGAGGTAGGCAGGTCAACGTCGCATGTTCGGAGTAGCACGACCGTCACCGCGAAACGATCCACTGTCAAGAACGAAGCATGATGCAGGATTCCCATCCAGAGCCGCCCTCTACGCTCGACGGGAAAATACTTGGTAGATGATCTCCGCCATTTAAACAGCCATGCTCGCAGCGTCCGACACCGGTGTTCGACGGCAGGCATAAAGCTACAGGCTGGACTCCCTTTGCGCTCGAGTTTCTCCCCCATTGTCTGCCGCGTTTCATTTGTATGGCTGAAGTCGGTTCTAACTCGTTGTCAGCATCGCGCAAACATATCGTTCTGTTCGCGTACGACGCCTGGGGTAAGCTCCAGGCATCTGCCTGAGTCTGTTACCACATTCTAATACAGCTTGTCCATAGGTCATAACCGGCCCCTTTGCGCTTTCGCTGCGAGGATCATAAAGGCTGAACAGGTCCATATCACCTATTTTGTCCCTGCAGAGCTCGTCGACCGCGTGTACGAGGAGCTGAGGCGCAACTTCAAGCCTGAGGAGACCGAGCTGCTCAGCCTCGTGCGGTGAGCTTACCTGCGCCTTCGCGAATGACCACACATGTTGATGATCCGCCTAGGGTAGTAGGCCTCCACAACGAATCCACGAACCCTCTGCACCACGACGCCCTCGACGCAGGATTCGCGAAGGCATTCGAAGCCCTCTTGCGAGGAGACAAAATCACGTGTATTTTGACCGATGTCGTTCATACTGCTCTGCCACGCATAGACTGCGTCGTCCTTGATGTAAGTTCACCGCTACATCTGTACGCGCCACCAATATCAATAACATCGTGGTAGATGTATGCAAAGCGGCCGTTGGATTTCGTCAGAACGCATGGCCCGTCGTCCGTGAAGGTCCTCGTCTGGTACTCGGCAGCAGCGACCCGCCTCCTTCCATTCTACGGCCCCGACAAGATGGGCGGGAGGAACACTGCACTCTCTCGCGTGGCAGATGAAATAAAGCGAAGCGGGCGTCCTCTGCACGAAGTCGCTGCTGAGGTAACTGGCGCATGATCTCACCTACTGGCTGTGGCTCAGGCGTCCCTCTAGGCTTGCCTGACCTGCGATGGCTCGGTTATTGAGATACCAGGCCTACCGCCGATGCATGACTACGAACTGTACCCCCAGAGGGTACGTGACCTATCGTCGAAGGTGGGCTTGGCACTCATACTATTTGCGTCAGGTCCCCTTCCAAGAGATAATGAGCATCATGCTCTACAATACGTACCTGTGAGTCGAACCTATCCCTACCGTAGCACGAAGCTCACTCCCCCAGAACACTGGACGGATGTGACGGTGTGATCCTGTCGACTCCGGAGTGCTACGAACCAGAGACGGTGGAGGCCGTCAGGCAGTACTACAAGGCGATGTCGCGCAGCGTCTTCGTCTGCGGACCGCTCACGGCCTCTGGTTCGCGTGCGATGGTCTCCGAGCAGCGGAACCCTCACGCTACGGCGGTGGGGCAGCTGCTGGACCGAGTTCTCCACGAGCGCGGGGTCGCGTCGCTGCTGTATGTGCGTATGCCTTCCCTGACGCGTGTACAGTCGCTGCATCTGATGCCGCCTTGTAGATTTCCTTTGGGTCGCTCTTCTGGCCTCCTGCGCCGGAACGACTGTGGGCGTTCCTGGACGTCGTGATGGAGTTAGGCATACCCTTTGTGCGTCTCACCTTTTGTCCCGGAGGAGCCGTACTGAGTGTGGCATCGGTCCCTCGCTGCAGATCATGGCACATGCCTCAGCTTGGGCAGTCGTCCCGGAGAACGTCAAGCATAAAGTAGACACGTACCCGCATGGCTTGATGACTCGCTGGTGTCCGCAGCAGATGCTCCTCGCGCATCCAGTACGTCGGGGTCAGACCCTGTCTCTGTTGAGAACGACTGACTGGCGCACAGGCTACGGGCTGGTTCCTGACCCACGGAGGACACAACAGCGTCATAGAATCGATCGGCCAGGGCGTGCCTATGTACGTAGGGCTTTGGCGACTCTTGCACGACTTCTGACATGTCTGTTTATGTCTAGGATCTGCTGGCCGTACCAATTCGACCAGCCCACGAACGCGGTGCACCTCAGCTGCAACCTCGACGTCGCGTACGAACTGTTCGAGGTCCGCACGGAGAACGGCGTGAAGCCGATTCGCCATACGGGCAGAGCCCCAGACGCAACGGTGGAGTCGACAAGACGAGAGGCCAAGGAGGTGCTGCAGCTGGCTTTTGGTGAAGATGGGGAGCGCAAGCGGGGGAATATCCGCAAGCTCCGAGTGGCCTTTCAGGAGGCATGGGCCGATGACGGCCGGGCGACACAAGAACTGCGGGCTTTCCTGGATTCATTGAACTCGTAGTAATAGTCTTTGTACCTGAATCCTACCGTTTTTTCGTTTATTCTGTCCCTTTAGGGTCACTAAGGGCGTAACCCTATGTAGTAGTACAATGTAGACCTAGTGACATCGGGAAATTGTCTGTGCTGCCCTTCCTCTATCTCTCCTTCCCTGCACATGTCCGTGAATCCTACCGATGCATTGCAGACGCATTGCCAGCAATGGCACACGTACACCCAGCGATTGTTGATTGACATGCAGATCTTGAAGTGCAAGTTGTGGCGTTCATCGCTGTCAATAATTATAACTCGCGGCCTGGTTCTCATAGTAGTAGCGCCCATACCTTACCCCGCACTACCATCCTTTGCAACTTCGGCTCGCTGTTCGTGGTTCGCTCCTTCAGCATCGCGCAGTGAGTGCTAGAACGCCCTCAGAGGAGAGGGACATCTCGGTGATAATCTATCTTGCAACAGGTCGACGACGCCCAGGGGTGAACAGCATCGGGTGCTCACGCGCGTACGGACCAACGCTAACGCTGGCATCAGCTCCTGCCCAGAGGTGAGCTATGCCAAACTAGGCTTTTGACTGCTTTCGATACAATCCAGATTTGAAAGGACGCGAACTGCATGCCATGTCTGGTTCGGAGAATGGGCGGGCACAGATGGCTCGGATGCACCGGCGCAGGTCGAGCAAGGAGGACGCGGAGGTGGACCCAGACAACTTCAAGTTCCCCAGACCGCAAACACCGCCCGTGGTGTCCGCGAACGGCGCGAACGGCTTGAACGGACATGCTCATCTCGAACTTCCACCATCGCCCCCTCGCACGCGCGTCGTCTCCACTCCGTCGACGAACGGGATGCCGTCCTATCTCGACCCACCGCCGTCCGCTGGCCACCAGCGCACGACCTTCGGCGCACCTCGTCCGCTGAGCATGATCAATGGGTCTTCTCTGCCTCCTCGTAGACATCAGTCGCCCGCTATGCGCCAGTCCTTATCCTTGCCCGGCAACTCTCATTCTCGCGCTCGTTCGATCTCCGGCCCATTCTCCCCCGCCAGCCCGTCCCCCCTCTCATTCTCATTTCCGGCAGATGGAACCCCCTCAGGTAAGCTGCCTGCGTCTGCGACAGCACCGGAGATGCGCACGAAGGAGAACGGCATCAGCCCGTCCCCGTCCCTATCCTCGCAAGCGCACACTCGGCGGCATTCGCGCATCCACTCGCGCAACCTCTCAGTCTTCTTCCCGCGTCCCGGTACGCTGCCCTCAACAGCCATCGCCGAGGACGGCGCGCAGGAGATCACGTATGGGGGTTCTCCAGAAGGTGTACCCATGCCTTCAGCGTCGCCTGGCCCAGGGAACCGCGAGTTCCGACAAGGGTTCTCATTCGGTGGTCAAGCCCCGACGTCTGCTCCTTCGCACCCAATGCGTCCAATGGGGCACTCATCCTCATCGTCGAACGGGAATTCGCGTCGAGGCCATCACCACAAGCACTCGCTCTCGCACAGCTTCTTCTCGTTCCTGGAACCTGGTGCCAACCATGACGAGCTCCACACCACACCTGCACCGGTGCCTGTAAGCCCGTGGATGCCAATCTCGCCGTTCCTCGAGACGCCTGTCGACGAGAAGCAGACGCCTCTGCTCAACGGGCACGCGACCCGGGATCAGAGTCCCCCAGGGAAGATACGAGCTCCACCAAGGATCGCGCCGGAAGCCGTGGGTGCAGCTGTGACAGAATTCCTGCTCGGTGTTTGGCTGTGGATTACAGCACAGCAAGTGGGCTCACTCGCGTGTACGGGGCTGGGATACTGGGTCGTCTTTGACGCGTTAGGCGTTGCTCTGGCACATATTGTTCCAGGATACCTAGCATCGCCATCTACGCAGGCTCAGTACCGGAGACCGTTCGGGTGGGTCCCTTCGATATCTCGCTTGAACAGCTGTTGATATGCCACATGTCCGCAGTAATGCACGCGTGGAGACGGTGGTCGCCTTCGCTCAATCTGTCTACCTAATCTTCGCGTCCGTGTATGTCTGCAAAGAAACCGTAGAGCATCTCCTGCTCTCATCCGGAGAGGGCCACCATCACCACAACGGAGACGAAGTCCAAGAGTTCTTCGGGTTCGTGAACTCCCGCCTTTTGCAGTCCATCCTAGCTAATATGCAGACAGAGTGGACTTCCCGTTCTGGCTCCTGCTGATCACCCTCACCTCGCTTTTGACGACCACATTTGGCTTCAATAATCATTCGAAGCTTGTCAGCAGTGAGTGAATGTCCGTTTGTACGGTGGTGTTTGTCTGACCATCGCTATAGCTGCGGGGAATCACATCCCTCCTTTGACTACATACATCCCATCTCGCTATCGTTACTTCGCATCGTCACTAACATACCCTCCTCGACTAATGAATCTCCTAACCAATCCCTACACACTTGCACCCATCGCATTCTGTATTGTCTTGATTGTGGGCCCGAGCTTCATCCCTCCGTAAGTACTCCCGCCAGCCAGTTGAGCATGTCACTAACCGTGGGCGCCGGCAGATGGCAACATCGATACTTCGATCTCGTTCTTGCAGGGTTCGAAACGGTCGTCACGTTCAGCATCGCATACTCAGCCGCAGTAGCTCTCGGCACCGTCCTCCTTCAGACGTCCCCAGCACGAGGACTCGTCGGTGGACGCATGGAAGCGTTCCTCCGAGCCATGCGAGAGGTCCGTGCTCGCATATAGTCCATACCCAATGCATCCTCACTCACGTCTTCGTCATAGATCGAACGGCACCCTCAAGTCGTCCACCTTCCCGCACCTCACATCTGGCAGCTCACGCCGAACCTCTCGCTCCCTCAAGAGCACTGGATGTATGCGCACCATCCCATATCCGCTATCGACACGAAGGCACAAGGCCCAGCGCAGTCGCTCATCGTCACGCTCGAGCTGCACGTCCGGCGCGACCTGGACGATGACCAGGTGCTCGGCCTGACGAAATGGGCCTGGGAGCGCTGCTCGCACGCGCTGCACTTCGGGTCGAGGGGCGGCGAGGGCGGCGAGGCGGAGGCGGAGGTCACCGTCGGCATCGTCAGGGAGTGAGAGCCTGTGGTCCTCGAACTGAGTGTGCGTAGTGAGTACTGATAGTCAGTAGAAGGACGCGCTGCGTGATTTGGGCTTGGGGTGTTCCTTTTGCGTGTATTTATAGCTTTCGTGCACTTCGTGTATATGGTCTCACGTACGCTCCTTGAATACCGATCTGAAGGCAATGCGAACAAGTAGTGTGATATAGCATTGGGCGTAGCATGGCATACGAGCATACAGCATGGAGACGAGAAGGGCTGGTTACTTCTTGCCTTTCGCCGGAGCCTTCCCTTTGCCTTTGCCAAAGGACTTGCCCTCGAATCCTGGGCGAGCCTTGTTCTTCGTCTTGCCAGCCTTGCCTTTGTCGTTCCGCCGTTCGTGGCGCGCAGCGATGTTGTCCGTCCGCTTCTTCTGCTTCGCGGCCATGTTCGTGGCGAGCTGCTCCTTCCGTTGATCCCTGCATACATAAGCGTAAGTCAGTTCACCGCTGCAGGTATTCACGAGATGATATACGCACCATTCTTTCTTGGTCTTCTGCTTTGTCTTCTCCTTCCGCTTCGCCGCCTTTTTCAGACGGGCCTCGTCGTCGTGCACCTTCACGCCCTCCATGCGTGCCTCCGCTTTCTCCCACTTCTCTCGCTCCTCCAGCGCCTTGCGCTTCTCTTCAGGCATGGCCGCGACCTTGCCCTTGCGCGCCGCGAGCTGCTCGAGTGCCTGCGAGGGGTTGGAGGATGTCTTCAGGTGTTGTGCTTTCTTGCTGCTGCTGCCGGAGCCTGTGACAGAAGAGAATGCGACACTTGTGAACTTGGCCTTCGGGTCGTGCGGCTGGCCCGCCTTGGACGAGGAGGCCTCGTCTGGCACAAGCAGCTGGGTCTGCAGAACGTCAGCTGTGATCGCTCGTCGGATTGGGAATGGTACGCACCTTTGTGGACGGACCCTTGTCCCTCGACTGCTCTTTATCCTTCCCTTTCTTTCCCCTCATATCTTCTTGCTTGCGGATCTTCTCCTTCGTCTCCTTCCGCCTCCGCTCTCGCATAGCTGCCCGCTGTTTTCGCCTCTCCTCGAGCAACTCATCCCTGCTCCCCGCCTCGCCGTCCCCGCCCACCTTCGGTCCCCTCCGTAGCTGCGTCATGCGTGCGTGCAGCCTTTCACGCAGCGCCTCGATGCCGCCGGACTCGAGCATGGGAACCATAGACTGTTCAGTATCGGAATCGGCTGCGTCTTCTTGCAGGTCCATGGGTACATCGACGTCCATGCCGTCGGAGTCGGACTCGACGTTGGCTTGCGATGCTTTCCGCTTGCCCTTGTTCTTCGCGCTTGATGCATTCTCGGACGCCTTGAGAGCTTCATTTTGGATGTCGAGGATGGTTTTGTTATTCGCTGGGTCAAGCTGAGGGAAAACCTGTCGTATGCTTTGTAAAACGACGAGAACAACGAACATACCTTGTCTTTCTTCGCCTTTTTCGACGCCTCTTTGATCGCCTGCTTCGGTGCGTTCTGTTTCTTACTATGCTTCTGATATTTGGAAGCGATCTATCTCAGAGAAACACATCAAGGCTCGCCGAACACCATGCAGATGGGTCAAGCGGACTTGCCTGCTCCTCGGTCTCCTCCTGCACTAAATAGTACCTCGCCGGAATAAGCTTCAGGAGTGTTTCGAACGTCTTGTTGTGTGATGCCACAGAGGCCCTCAGCTCGGATATGGGCGTAGGCATCGTATGACAAGATAGACGTTGTCACTGAGTAAGATTCTGATGAGGCAGAAGGAGGAGCAGGTGTTGCGAGAGGATCGAGTAGGCGACAAGCAAGCGAGAACAGACTGCCTGCGGGCGCTTAGAGCGAACAATTGCTACAGGCGTGGAGGCGCCCACTGGCCGACACAACTGGCCTTAGTTGAATAGTGCGGTAGACACTACACTGACAGTGCATATATATTGGCACGCATTTCTCAGCGATGACAACAATGCCGTCGTAAGAATGACACAGGCAAAATTTTGAGACTACGTGTTTAAAAGATGTGTTAGTTATATATAATATACCATACACCGGCGAGTAGCTGTGATTCGCACTCGTTCTTGTCATAGCCGACCGAAAACATCACTTCAATCCCTTCACTAGCCACTGGCAGGCCGCCATCGACTTCACCTGAGGCTGAGGCCACTTCCCACACTCACAGGATCTGCGTGAGTATGTGGCACCTATCGCCATCACTGACTGCCCGGTTCAGTCTCTGCTTCTTCGTCCCAGGGATCGTCCTCGAGGTCGGGCCCTTCTACCCACTCGTTATCGTGCGTGACGGACCACAGATGAGGACGCTGTGTGCCCGACAGCTCGTATGAGGCATCATTTAGACCGTACATACGGATAGCAATCTCCGTGTCATATTCCTTCTCGAGATATCTCTGCGTCCGGGTGTCCATCTCCCAGATCTCCCAAGCTGGATAGAAATGCTAAGTGAGTTGGATGAAGGAATCAACAGGGAGGACAGACTCACGGTCTGGGTACCGTGCCCCGAATTCCCTCTCTTGTTCGCCGAGATTGACGGTCAGTGACTCGAGCTTACCTCTATCCCGCTGCTCAGTGTTGTCCGTGTCGCATAGACTGGGATCCAAGATTTTATATGCGTGTTCTTCGAGGACATACAAAGGGTCTTCTCCATCCAAGGTATTGCCTTGTGACTCTAGCACGTTTGCTATGTCCATGAGGCCGAGAGGAGCCCAAAGCGTGATTTGCCGCAGAGAAGGGAAGTAGGCCGGCGAGTTGACAACCGCAGCGAAAGACTCGCCCTGCGCACGCAGATGATGAGCGAATGTAACACAAGATGATCGTCAACGTCAACTAACTCCAGGAATACCGGGCCCCGGGACAGAGTAATCGGCCTCTACATCGACGCCTAAATGTCTGAGGGACACACAAGTGTTCCCCAACGCGATTAGGTCGGCGAGCTTGAGCGTGCTCCTTTGCGGTGCCCGGCCGCGCTCGCTCTCGTGGAGGACTAGTGAGCGCAGTGTCTCCCCGTGGTGCTCCGCGATAGTAGGAACCAACGTCTGCCAAGACGCTTCGATTTGCAAGTCATGGAGCCCTGAAGCCATAGTCGCTAGGAATTGTTTGAGGGCATCCCGAAAGGTTTCTGGATTGAGCAGGTGGGGTTCCACTAGCTTGAATTCCCTAAGTGCGGGCAACGTTTGGCGGGTAGGTATACAGCCTTGTAAGAATGGGGAGGAGTTGCCATGCATCAGCTTTAGACAACGCAGCTGCGAACAACGCATCATCTGAAGACACTGGCGGGCGCCCTCAAGGGACCATAGCAACCAGCGCATGGTGAGTTCTTCGATTGCTGGATAGGCCTCTCTGGAGACCGCCAGGTTCGGGTCGTGCTCCATGAAGGGCGGCGCACCATGTGTCGGAAAGGAGGAGCCCCTAGGCCGGAACGACACGACATCCAGAGTGCGGAGTCGTGGAGCGCGAAGGAGGATCGGCTGGTAGTAGAGCAACGCCTCAACGTTGTAGTATGTCACAGACGACAAGGAGATGAGGTTGGGCAGCGGGGGCAGCGGGTTTCCGGAATACGTTGAGATGACCCAATCACAGCGAGGGAATGCATTATGAACAGTGTTTGCGAACGTCGTGGTGATTGTCTCTTCAATGTCCCACCTGAAATGCAGGTCAGCACCTTTATCAGAATGAGAGCTAAAACTGCCTACTCCAGCTTCTTGAGGTTTGTGAATAAGCCTTCCTTCAGCGCGTTCTCGAGGGCATCGATGTGACTGATGACTTCAAGACCTTCTCCCTGGTGTTGATTTAGCACGAGTTGGAGGAACGGCGCCTTGATGCCAGTAACGACGAGCTCCTGGACGTAACTGCACACGTCCGGTCTCGAGCGTAGGAACTCTAGTACGCCACGGAAGCGCTCGGTGCCATTATGAATCCATATAGAGATCTGACGAAACACGTATCGCCGTGATATGTTTGCAAACTCGCGGTTGACTAGCGACGCAGACTCGAGATCGCGTCGACTCTGCACCTGAAAGCGAAGTCAGCTCGAGATGGAAAGAAAGCAGCCCTCACCTACATGAGGAAGGATACAATGTATGACGTCCGCGGGCAATGCCATATCAGTGGTGACGAAGCTGTGAAGAAAACGTTGTCTTGTCATAAGTAGCTGTGGGTTTCATCAGAGCGACTCACGTAGGGCTTGTGGCAGCGGGACCGCAGGCGAGGTGAGGTGTGGGTGATGCGGCGGTGAAGGGTATTTATACGCCGATCTTGCTGCGAGATTGGCGACTGCCACCCCACAGGCGCTGCTCTTCGACTGGATTCGCACTTGATGTGGAATTGAAATTGCGGTCAAGATGACGTGAATCGACAGAGCAACCGACTCGGAGCCTCCCGAGCTCTGCGCTCCCAGTTGGTCGCAATTGCGACACACACCGTGACTCGCCTCTCGCCTAGTCTCGGTCTCAACGTGTCTGCTGCTTGAAGTACCCACCGGAGCACTCCAACTTCAACTGCGCCTATCCGGATGGTTTTCAGCTTTGAAGCGCCAGGATGCCATCATCGTGATCCTGTGTTACAAAGTTACGTACGAATGCTCTTCGCCTTGCCGTATGCTCAGTTCGATCCCTACTGTGACGGTTCATCGTCCGAAAAGCCATCCAACGTATTTGCTAGCGCCGCTCCTACCAGTTCGTTATCGCGTGTGACGGACCAGAGGGGGGATGGCTCCATGCTCGACCGCCTGCCGAACGATTCGCGTGGACCATACACATGTATAGCGTATCGCTTGTCGTGGGCCCTCTCGAGCCGTCGCTGCGTCCGGTTGTCCTGTTCCCAGATCACCCAGTCTGCGCGGATGCATGAATTGGAAGGGTGAAGTGGCGAGAGTTGAATGCATTACTTACGCGCTGGTAGCCCACCTCAGCCATACCAATGGGACGCGGTAGACAATGGGGGAGAAACTCGAGAGTCCAGGTAGCTTTATGCCTGCCGTCGAGCACCGGTGTCGCCGGGTCGCTGCGAACATGGCTGTCAAAGTCCCGGAGATCATCTGTCGAGAATATTCGCATCGAGCGTGGAGGCCGTCTCTGGAGAACTACGGCCTCGCTCGGCTTGTAGACTTACAACTTGAATCATCGACTGTGGCACCCGCCAACTGCTCGTGTATGTGCATCCTTGGCGGTTATATATTATGAGCTACGACTGGAGCTGAAGAATCCGCGGTGAGCGAACGGATGCTGCAGGCACTCACCCTCCTCATGCCTCCTTGCTCATGTGGGAATGGGGATCATGCATCATGTTTCGTTCTTGACGGTGGATCGTTTCGCGACGGCCATGCCACTGTGCGCTACGGTCATCCGACGTTGACCTACCCACCCATGTACTGGTCTGGTAAAATGACCACTAAAACCACTTTGAGGTAAGTACGGTTCACAAATCAAGTTGAACGATTGCAGCCACTCACTTGTTTACGGTACTTCCCGTTCGGATATTCATGCCATCGGATTTGGTATCTTAGCCAGGGAGGATTCGCCTTGCTATGCGCTAACGGCCTGATCAGGGTAGGCAGAATCGTTGCGATGTGGTTCAAGTTGACAATCGCCGCTTTCACTCGCTGAGCATGAAGTCTGAGTACTGAGTCCTCGAACTTGGAAAGAAACAGATCCAGCGCGGCATCCAACATATCTATCACAGGACTGTACGCGTGTCAAGATCGTCGTCCGGCGTGTCGTACTCATAAGTAATACTGAGTGACTGCTAGTCTCAACGGGAGGAGGTAAGAAGGATCCCGTCACTGTCAAACTTCAGTACAGAGTTGCAGGCGCCCATTTAAATACTGTGATTAGTAAGCGCCTGCACATGTGAGCTCCTCCTCTGATCAGACCTGTTCTGCGCATCGCGTCCTTAAAGTTGTAAAGTTCACTGGATTCCTCCGCGTCCTCACACTAGCCTTTCTGAGACCCTAAGACCAGTTGAACAGCCCGAGAATGTCTGCTTCAGATTCGCAGACGTTCATTCCGCCACGCAAAGTCATCCTATCCAAGGAGCAGCTCGAACACTTCCAGGCCTCCAAGACACACCAAGACATCGTCGCGTACATCCAGAGCCTCAATGAAGCCGTCGTGGGCGTGAAGCTGACGGACGAGTGCTCCGAGTCTCCCGTGCGTGAGTAGCATTCCGTGTGCGTACCTGGAGGCTGACTTAGTCTCCGCGCTTCTGGCGGCGGGCGGAGTGTAGGGAGTGAAGGCGATCTTGGGCGTGCTGGACAGAGTCGAGCAGATCGCGAAGGAGACTCCGCCTGTGGACAACCAGGCGTCGCGCTTCGGTAATCCAGCGTTCCGGACGTTCTATGACAAGGTCCAGGAGGTAAGTGTGTTTGTACCGCGTTGATTCCCGCATTCGTGCTGTGAGCCGATGCGCAATGGGCTTCCAAGCAGCGCTGGTCTGTTGAGGACGCCTGACGACCGATGGGGAGGTTGGATACTCATCCGCACGGAACGTGGATGCTTGAGTTCCTCAGGCCCGATCCCATTCAGACGGAAGGACTGGTCGCCCTGGCCAATGCATGAGACTATCCGGACGTCAGTCTCCGGTGCTAGCTCCTGTGTATGCTGCGATGAAGCAGAGTAGCAATATGGGTCGGGCTGCCGCCCACAAACATGTGCCACGCGGCCATGTAGGGGGCCCGACTCCTTTACAGTCCACTCACTTCGTGCCATGAGCCAGTTGCCATTAAGATCTGCCTGCCAGCTAGGCATGCATGGCGAGGGCGAAAGCACGATCAGGTCGTCGCGGGACCCAGTCCTCACTCAGAGTGTTATGAAGTCTGCCTGATAAAACTCACGCTGACTGCGTCTCTCACCCAACATTGTGCTCACACTAAACCTTCCTCTAGGCGGCCCCGTCCCTGTACACCAACCTTCCCAACTTGCCTGACGCCGCTATCCCCGAGCTTGCGGTCTACTTCGGCGAATCATGGGGCAACAGGTCGCGCATCGACTACGGAAGTGGCATGGAACTCAACTTTCTTTGCTGGATAATTTGCTTGGAACGATTGGGCGTCGTGCAAGAAAGTGATCATATGGCTCTCGTTATCAGAGTGTTTTGGAGGTATGTCACCTCCCCGAGTGTGTTTATTCGATTAGTCTGGGAAAACAGAACTTCCCTACTCACGATGACGTGCTTCACAGATATGTGCAAGTCATGCGGGTCCTCCAATCGACGTACTGGCTCGAGCCGGCTGGTTCTCATGGCGTTTGGGGTCTTGACGACTACCATTTCTTGCCGTTCCTATGGGGTTCTGCACAGTTACGAGGTCAGTCTGTCTCCAGCTAAGCATCTCGGACACTGACCAGATAATAATTTTTTGAAGGGCACAAACACATCAAGCCGAAGTCGATTCATGACAGCGACATCGTGGATGAGTATTCCAAGCACTACATGTACTTCGCCTGCATCAAATTCATCAATTCCGTACGTCCCACGTCACACGGACAACGCGTCTCGCCCTCCTGTGTAAGCCTCTGACTGATACCCCGTCATGGTTTTGCACGTAGGTCAAGACCGCCTCACTACGCTGGCACTCGCCCATGCTCGATGACATATCCGCGGTACGCCATTGGCCGGTTTCACTCACCGCATATCGCTGACTTTCGCACCAGGTCAGGACCTGGGACAAGGTCAACTCGGGGATGATCAAGATGTACCTCGCCGAGGTCCTGGGCAAGCTCCCCGTCATGCAGCACTTCCTCTTTGGCTCGGTTCTCGCGTGGGACGGGCCGATGCCGCCCCCGCGCAGCGAACCCGGCCAGGACGACGCCCATTGGGGACACGCCCACGCCCACCCCGACCTGGGCGGAGCGGGCCAGCGCGAGGTCGGATGGGGCGACTGCTGTGGCATTCCGGTGCCGTCGGTCTTCGGGGCGGCCGCCGCAGAGAAGGAGAGACTGCCCGGCGCTGGGCTCAGCGGTCCCGGAATCCGGGCGGTTCCATTCGACTGAGGAGCCTGGTCTGGGGGTGTATGGTATGAACGAGAAGGATGTAAGCTACTGACGCAATATGCGCGCTGTATAGGTCGTACTTGTGTAATACTAGCCATCTTCCGCTGTGCGTCCCGGTGTCCAGAGCGCGGCGCTTCTCCCGCCGGCTTTCTAGTGAGTAATGGGCCCATTTCGACTGGCTGACCGGATTTGTAGGAGGCTTGTTGGTGCGTGGTTGCGTCGAGGTCTTACTCAGTCTCGCACCGAGCACTCGAAGCTCACGTGCGCGCGGCCTCCGAGTATCTGCGCTGCGCCTGACACGCAGTGGGAGGCTCGTTGACATACGTACGACACCTTCCAGCCAGGTTCGTGGAACACCGCTCACGGACAAGCTTCCTGGCGGAGCGCCTTCATCCGAAGATCCCATCAAACTCTCCTCGAGGGCGACGTGTGTGTAGTATTTACGTCCCTCGCACGTTCGTCCACCAATCGTGGGTGCACGATTTGAAGTCAAAGCCCCCGCCCGCGTCAATCCCGCTAGCTCGACCGCTTCGTGTACTCTGGACGCGCTCGCGCTTGTACAGGCAGTGGTGCGTGCTGGGCTCGTCGCAGCTTACAGCAGGTTCCCGTCGGTGTGTGATTGCGACGGTGAGTAACGCTTAATCTCCGATTATAACGCGTCTCCCGAGCTGACCGACCGCCCCGCTTTTTATTGCGCCGACGTACGCCTGGAAACGCCAAAACGCTCTTGCTCACTCGCCCGCACACTTCTCGCGCGACTCGCCCGCAATGGCGCTGCGATTCACTACCAGTAGCAACGCTTATCCGTACCTCAGGATGCCCGATGCCAAGGTTGGCACGCCCAGTGAGGAAGAGCGACTCACAGGCCCTGGCCTGTCGTCTGCGCCCCGGCCGACCTCGCGATGGCGCCGGTTCTTCTGGGTGGCTGCTACTCTGGCTACGACAGCGATCATATCCATTGCGCTCGCTCTTGGTCTGGGACTCGGTCTAGGGTTGAGACACCATGACTCTGGGATCGGGTCTGGAGACTCGAATGTGCTCCCGGCTGTATCCACGCCTGACTCTAGCGCGTACCGGATGAACATGAGCCTTGTGGACGAGTCGCCGACGACACGATACTACGATTTCGTCGTTGAGGAGGCGACGGGGGCTCCGGATGGAGTGGAGAAGCTAATGCTGGTTGTGAATGGTAAGCTGAGTTGGTGGAGCACACGTTGGCTTGCGCTCAGTATTCGATGGAACACAGGCATGTATCCGGGCCCAACGATAGAGGCCAACGTCGACGACAGGATCGTCGTGAATGTCACGAACAGAATGCCGAATGTTACGCACGTCTTATTGTCTACACAGACCGGAACGACGACTGACTGATGAGCGGATTCCGTCTACCAGCGCGATTCACTGGCACGGTCTGTTTCAGTCAGTATGATTTACGCATATATTCTCGATGGTCACTGACGAACACTGATAGGAACGGGACAAACTACTACGATGGCACCGACGCCATCACACAGGTATATCACTCTACGCTTGCTGCCCTCGAGCCAAACCCAGCAGACTGACCGGATTCGTCTCGCAGTGTGGTATACCTCCGGGCGAGTGGATGGTCTACAACTTCACGGTAGGCTGCTCTCACCCAGTCACGCATCGTCTTACCACTCGCACTCACACGACACCCGCGCTAGTTTGACGACTGGACGGGAAGCACATGGTGGCATGCCCGTGCGTCGCGGTTCCCTTCTTTCCCGGGTCACTAGCCCTTCGGCGCGCACTGACAGTGATGCACCGACGCAGACGTGGACACGCAATACACCGACGGCATCACCGGCGCGCGTAAGTGCCTCGTCCCTCGATCACGGTGGAGTTGACATGCATCGATCGGTCCACCGTGATCTGAGTTTGCCTCGCGTTGGACGGACGAACGTGGCTGATGTGCCTGCTTCTCGTTTGTCAGTGATCGTCCATGGCCGGAATGAGTCCGTGCCCGCATACGACGAGGACCTCGTTATCCAAGTTTCGGACCTGTATCACGGCTTCTCTGCAGACTTGCTGGAGTACTACTTCACCGTAAGCAAGTATGCATACAAACTCCTTCACCGCTGACGGAAATGGTTTCATAGCCTGGAGGCATCGACGGTACGCCCGGAAACGAGCCTGTGCCCGATGGCGGCACCATCAACGGCGTAGGCCAATACAGCTCGCACAATACTTCGTTCTTCAACTTCACCCTACAGCCGTACGTTTGTTGCTCTATGATGTTCTCGTCGCCTGACATGGTCCCTAGGGACAAAATGTACCGCTTGCGAATCATAAACCCGGGCACTTTCGTGCCGCTCGCGTTCTCCGTCGACGGGCACACGCTGACAGTGATCGAGGGTGATGGCACGCCAGTCGAGCCCGTCGAGGTCTCGAGCGTGTCAGTGGCAGTCGCGCAGCGCTACTCCGTGCTCTTGAAGACGAACCAGACCGCGGGCGCATACTGGATGCGTGCGGCACTCGACACCACCCAGTTCACCGTACGTTTCTCTCGGGGAATCTGTGCGCAGGATGCTGATATGGGTGGACTCAACGGTAGTATGACAACCCAGGATGCCAGACAGAAATTCGCGGTGTCATTCGGTATGGCGTAGACAACGACGCGATGCCGGATGTCTCCCTCCTCGACAACCCTCCGGCCCTCCCGAGCGGCTCGCCTGGAGAGCTGGACACAGATAACCTTGTCCCCGTAGGAGGCGGGCCCGCGCCAGATCCGACCTTGTACGTTGGCTGCGATGCCTGCAGCCGTGCCTCACGTATTGACCTCGTCCGACAGGACGGTGTACTTCACGATGTCGATGGAGTACCCAGAGGGCGAAGATGAATCGACCTCGAGATATCTCGCGTTCATCAATCAAACGGTGCGTTGCCTACTCATCCCTCGAGATTCCTCCAAATCGTGCTGACCTGCGCGATAGTCATGGGAACCCCTGAGCAACACCTCGAGTCTGTTCAGCCACCTAGGCAACTCGACGCCCACGGGCTCGTCGGACTTCGGCGGCTCGCAGCTCATGACCACCGTCAACGACTGGTCTGTAGTCGATATGATCATCGACAACCTAGACGATGGGGATCATCCGTTCCATCTGCACGGATACAAGGTAGATGTCCGACAGAGCCTCTGCCACGGGCGACGTGTTGATTGAGAATGTAGTTCTGGATTATGGACGGTGGCGATGGACGATGGCAAGGCCAGACACCAAACAACACCGCACCGATGTTGTAAGTGTTATTGCCTATACGAGCACCCACCCAACATGAGCTGATTACATCTGCACAGCCGTGACACGGTTGTCATCCCCGCGTACAATTGGATGATCCTCCGTTTCGTCGCAGACAACCCAGGCTACTGGCCCTTCCACTGTCGTAAGTAGTGCATCCGCTTGTAAAGAACAGAGTGCTAACTGATGTCGGACCATCGTACTTAGACATTGGATGGCACATGTCGGCAGGGCTGCTCTTCCAGTTCAACATCTTACCTTCCAAGAGCGCGCAGTTCCAGATCCCGCAGTATATGCTCGACATGTGTGGGAGGTAGCTGCATCGGGGCATTTGCACAGTGGCGGATTCAGACTCGCTACATAGAAGCAACCGGCTTGTAGGTGTACTATGATTGTAATTCTGGTATAGATTTAGCCCGTGCCTAACTTTTGTGGACGAAGTTGGTCCAGAACGGGGGATGTACATGAGTCTCATTGCGAGGTCTCCACGGCCCCAACACTACAAACGCTGTCAAAGGGCCTACACCCACGCCACGCTTTGCGGAAGGCAGACATGAGGCCGGTACTTACGACTACGCAGCAACAGCGGATTGCAGACGAAGCGGAGACTGGGTTTGTGCCTTCGTCCATATGGAACTGGGTGCCCTTGTGCCGTAAAGAGAGCCTCTGGGTAACAACAGTATCAGCAAACTTCCGGAGTAATGCTGAGATCTCGTCGGCCCACGACTGCTCCCGGCGGCCACTCCGAGTCGAGTCCCGAAAGGGACTGTCTAGCGCGGGCAGGCATAGGACGATCCTATGGCGGTAGGACGATGCGCGCACGTTCGTACAGCCGCTTAGTGAGATTGTGTGTCCCGCAGTCACGCTTCGCGGGCAGAGACAGAACGCAATCACGCAGTAGATCTTCGAGGTGGGAACGCCGAGATGGAGGACGTCCAGGTTCCTGCATCGCGTGCCGTAAATGAACGTTGAACGTTCGAAATCCTCCCACCGTTTCCCGCGAATTTATGCGAAGCCATTGCCGAGGGGAGGGTCCATATAACCAGGAGCATGGATCTACGCACGCGTCCTGTGCTCCGTCCTTCTGCCTTTAGCTTGGTGTGCTGCTCGCTCGGTGGCACACGGTGGTGACTAGTACGTACGCGACGCCCAGATGACCGTCATTGACAGTCAGGCTCTCCTCGTCGCGGGCTCGCTCCTCGCATATGCGGGCTCAGCCCTCGCAGCGACGGCGCAGCAGTACTCGCCCCCCGCGTACCCGTACAACTCCGAGTCGGCAAACTACACGGGCCAGTCGAACAACAGCCTGCAGAACACGCCGATCGTGTCCGGCAAGGCATTCGACCGGTTCATTCAGATCTGGTTCGAGAACACTGACTGTAAGTCGGTGCATCACTTCTGGCACCCGAGTGTACTGAAGATGTTGTTATGTATCTGCAGTTGAGACGGCAGCGTCGTCGCAGACGTTCCAGAACCTGGCAGAACAGGGCGTCCTCTTCACGTCGTACTACGCGATGACGCACCCTTCGGAGCCCAACTACATCGCGGTGGCGAGTGGTGACTTTTTCGGTAACGCTGCTGATGACTTCCGTAAGTGAATTGGCAACCACATCAATATTCGCGTGCTAACCCGCCAAATTCGAAGGGGCTATTCCGATGAACATCTCTACGATTGTCGACTTGCTCGAGCAAAAGAACATCTCTTGGGCATCGTGTAAGTATTCCTACGCCGTGTTACCGGTCTAATTGACAGGGTGCCGGATAAGACCAAGAGTCTATGCCTTACGATGGGTACACTGTGAGTGTGATGACTGCAATGAATCTTCATGCAATACTCACCTCTTTGTGCAGGGGTATAATTACACTTCATTCGACTACATTGGTCAGTACACGAGCCAAAGTACGAGTCAAGCAATGGTGCTGAAAGGTGACTGTTAGCTGGCTCTGGCGACTACACCTACTACGTGCGCAAGCACAACCCGTTGATGATCTTTGATTCCGTGTCAAACGTCACGGAGCGTGCGCTCCGAATCCGTAATTGTGCGCATCACGATGATCTTCCGTATACACAGATGAGTCCTGACGGAAACGTGATGCAGTCAACGACTTCGCTAGGGACCTGAACGCGAGCGCGATGCCCCAGTGGAGCTTCATCACGCCCAACCTCGTCAACGATGTACGTTCATTTCAATTGAATGAGATAGTCCACTCACCAGGCGCGTTCATGCTAGGGTCACGATACGAACATAGACTTCGTAAGCCAGTGGATCCAGTTCTGGTTGAACCCACTGCTCGCAGACACGCGCTTCAACGACAATCGCACGCTCATTCTGCTCACCTTCGACGAGACCGAGAGTAAGTCCTACCTGCTCCACAGCCCATCACAGAAGAACTGACCCCCGAGCCTACGACAGCGTACAACATCAACAACCGCATCTGGACGCTAGCCCTCGGCGGCGGGCTGCCCACCGAGTTGAAGAACACGACAGATGACACATTCTACACGCACTACTCGTGTCTGTCCACTGTGCAATCCAATTGGGGCCTTGGATCCCTCGGACGCGGTGACACGAACGCGACGCTGAACAACGTCTTCGAGTTCGTCGCAAGCGTAACCGGATGGAAGAACAACGGCATCTCGGGCAACTCCTCTGACATTCGTGAGTACTACGGCGGAGTCTGCGCTCTTACCTTCTCTTCTCTGACGAAATCCCATCCGTAGCGTTTCTCAACCTGACAGGCACGATCCCCGGCCCACTCAACCCTGAGTACTATGTGCCCTTCAGTGCGCCGAACATGAACGCAACTGGTGTGGGTGGCGGGCCCGTCTTCCAGGGCCCTGGGCTCAACACCGCTCTGTCCGCTGCATCGCAGCCCCCGCCGGTCAACCTGACTGCGCAGGGCCTCGACACGCCTTGGGCCCAGAATCCGGGGTATGACTATCCTAATGGCACGCAGGTTTACACCAGCACACCTTCGGCGACAACGAGCGCCAGTGCGGGAAGCTGGACGAGGGGCGAAATGAGCGTGATTGTGCCTGCGTTGACGTTGCTTGGGTTGGTGATTGGATCGTTGCTTGTGCTGTGAGGATCCATGTTGGTCTTCAAGTTTGGATAATCTTGGAATGTTGGTGGCCGGACGGGACGGTCAATTCGATCTATGGGTATGCTGCAAAAGGTCCAGGCTGTCACATGTAAACCAGTGAATAGCACAACTATGTTCCCGTACTTGACTGTTCTCGGCGGGTAAGACAAGTCGTGCACTGGCAGATAGAGATGGGAGGAGCTGTTCAAGCGACCCGTCAGAGTCAGACGTCTTGCCTGCGGTCGCCTCGCGCCACAACGCGCACACGTGACTGACGGCGACGACGGCGCGGCGGCCCGCTGCGCGTGTGAGGCTTCCTCCCGTATTATCAGTGTCACCAACGGCAAGCAGAGCGATATATTGTCGGCATGAAGGACAGCGATTGTGCCTCTCTCCTTTTAACTACCACCTCAAACATTTGTAGAAGAGAGATACACATTCGGGATGCATTTCGGAAACTTGCTGGCGCAAGTACCGCTGCTAGGCTGGTTCACACCCGGAATTGAGGATGTTCATAACGTCGGAACGACGTACAATCAATGTGAGTTCTTTGCTGGTTGCTGGATTAACTATTCATCGCCCTGGCAGTACTGGACCCCGTATACACTCGTCTCCCAACGGGCGTGGTGAAGCCGCACGGCTGGGGGACGAACATGGCTCAGGTACTGGCACATGGACTTGCCAGTGAACAGCCGCTGTGGTACAGCTAGTGAGTTTGTGCATTCTATTATTACGTCGCGTCATTCGAATGATCGTGTAGCGTCAAGGACTCGATCTGGCAAGGTGGAATGCTGGAATACAGCGAGATGCAGGAGGCTGCACCCTACTGGTTGTGGGTGCGACACATACCCAATAGTTGCATGTATACTGAATCCAGAATCTCAGTAACAGCTGGGTCGCACTCGCCTACCAGCTCCGGAACGACACCCTCATCGGTTACACGGAGAACTTCCTTGACCACGTCCTGGCGTCCCGCCACCCGTCAGGTAACTTCGGCCCAGACCCGTTCAACACCTCGCTCCCGGTTCTCTTATGGCCGAGGTACCTGGTGATGCTCGGGCTCATTGTGAGTTGCACCCATACCAACAAACGACAACCTCGCATCACACTTTTCAGCAACACGCGGAAGCCGACCCTGCGCGGAAACAAGAGATCTGCGACCTCATGCACGCATTCGTGCCGTACGCAACGAAGCGCTTCGCAGACGGCGACATCGGCGATGAGGACCTCGGCGGGCAGTACGGCTTCCAAGTCGTCCGCTGGGAGGAGGTACGCTACCCACCCACACTCTTAACGCCGCATCATCTGACACCGAAAATATCAGCTCGTCCTCGTTTTACAGTGGCTCTATGACAACGACCCCAGAGGGAAGGAACAGCAGCTCGTCGCTTTGATGAGGGCCGCCCAGACGCAGGGGTTTTCCTGGAAGCGAGACTTTTATGTGGATAACGGGACGTTCCCGAGGCTAGCGGTACTTCCGGCCGAAGATACCCAGGAACGGTGAGCACTGCCACACAGTCCACACTGAAACTTCTTGACGGGCGAGGCGTAAGGCACGGTGTGAATATCGCAGAATGTAAGCCCCTGCAGACTTGTGATCGATGTTTGAATTCAAAATGGACGCAACCCGATCGCAGCACTGAAGTCGGAAGCATTGGTTTGGCGAGTCACCGGTGACCCTAGTGACATTGCGAGCACGTACGCCCATGATCGTTTCTCCGATGCCGAATGACTCACTTCCTCCAAGCTATGCCCGCATAGAGATGCTCTGGAAGTATCACGGCCGTCCCCAAGGCATCTTCAGCACCGATGAACACCTAGGCGGGTTACACCCTTCCCGAGGGTATGCCGCTCTCCTTCTGGGAAGAGTATGCAACGGCTTGACGTTCGCGGTTGCTTTACAGCACCGAGCTCTGCGCGAGCGTCGAGGCGATGTTCTCGCTCGAGTACATGTACGCCATCCTGGGCGAACCCGCATGGGCGGACCTCACCGAGAAAATCGCCTATAATGCCGTCCCCGCACAGGTACCTTCTTCCTCTCCTCCCCGGTCATTGACCACTGACGCATGCCCCACGCAGAGCACCCCCGACTTGCGCGCGCACCAGTACCTGCACCAAACAAACCAGATCGCCGTCGCAAACCGCACCGGGCCCACGCCGTGGACGACGGACGGGCCGTACAGCAACGTGCTCGGCATGGAGCCCGAGTTTCCCTGCTGCACCGTGAACCACGCGCAGGCGTGGCCAAAGTTCTGGGCGAACAGCTTCCTGCTCGCGCGCCGCGGGCGAGAGCTTGTGCACGCGCTGCTCGGGCCGGCGAAGCTATCCGTCGAGCTGGAGGGCGGGGCGCATGTGAACGGTGAGTCTCTTGTGCTGTATATCGGGCGGGAGCTGACGCGATGGTAGTGACGGTGGATACGCTGTATCCCTTCGGCGAGACGTTGACGTATACGATCTCCGCATCCGCGCCGTTCACCTTCCACATCCGCATCCCCGGCTGGGCCAAGGCCGCGAGCAGCATTAGCATCAACGACCAGCCCGCCTCCGCGCTCACCCACGACCCCAAGACAGCGCTTCAGACCGTGTCGGTCCCCGCGAGCAATACAACCATCCGCCTGTACCTCGACATGCAGATCGAGGTCGAGGAGCGGTCGAATGGGAGCGTTGCCGTGCACCGTGGGCCGCTGTTCTACGCGGTGGACCTCGCGTACAACGAGACGCTGACGCCCGCGCGGAGGTACGCGTGTGCAGCGTTCATAGGTATAGAAGACTGACGGCGCGTCAATATGCAGAGCCTCGGGGCCCCTCCAGCTGCTTAACAGGCTCCCCGGCGTGCCAGATTCCGACCTCCAACTCGTAAGCACTCTGCACTAGCTTCCTGCCATGCCCACTCACCCCGCACGACAGTACGACAATCACACTCACGATCACACACTCGTCGCCACCACGCCCTGGAACCTCGGCATCGACCCCTCCACGCTCACCCTCCACTCCGCGCCGACCGACGTGCTCCCTCATTACGTCTGGGCGACGGGCGCGCAGCCGCAGTGGCTGACCGCGGCGGGCTGCGAGGTCGCGTGGCCACTCGCGGATGGCGGCGCGGACGCGGACTGGCCGCCGCACAGCCCGGTGGAGTGTGTCGGCGACGTGCGCGAGGTAGTGCTGAGGCCGTTCGGGGGGACGAGGTTGAGGATGGGGGAGGTGCCGACTGTGCAGATACATTTGAATGACGTTCACGGAAGTGGGCAGTGATGGAACGTGTGAAGCTTTAAGACTGATTAGCCCTAGCTGTAGGAACGCACTCTACATGCATCCAGTAACATGACATGAAGCAGTACCACCATGCACGAATCACGGTCTCACTCCATCTTCGTGTTCCCCGCACCCTCGCCGTGTTCCGATTCCACCCCTATCTCCGACCTCCGATCCATCGACGCCCTCGGTGCTGGCTGCGTGCTTACGACGCTTGGATCTACGCCCTCTTGCGTATGGCTCTCCTGCCGCCGCCGTTCGCGTTCCTGCTCGACCCAGTCGTCCTTGGAGTCGAACGAACGCTTGAGGCAGGGCCCGCAGCACCCCGCCTGTCTACTGTCGCTCCCCGGGCAACATCGTGCTGCACGCGGAGAGTGGCGGGGTCAGTGTGTCGCGTTCCTGGCGAGTGATGAGGACGTGCGTACTAAGTTGCAGCCATGAGATGAGCCCTTCGCCACAGCAGATGCCTGTGGAGGGCGCAGGCGCAGACGTCAGCCACTAGTATTGAGAAAAGAGCACAGTACACGGACGTACAACAAAGCCCGCAACATGCCACGGCGACGTTGTCCGCGTCGCCACTGGGGTTGGCCAACATGAACTGGTCTATGCACGATGACATGACGCACACGGTGTGTTTACGGTTCGCAGGTGCTGGTCAGAGAATTAACCACTGAACCTGAGAGAGAGAGGTATATAGCGAATGACATCGAGCATAGCTTGCACCGCCCGCCGCTAATCGCTTGGTGGCTGACAGTCGTACAGCACAGGCTTCAATTCTCGAGGCTGTGTGGACGGTAGGAGAAGGTTCGGAGGTGGACTGGTCAAACGGCTACAAGCACAGTTTGTTGCGGTTGAGTCAAGCATAGAGAACCGACTATCCAGCCTGACATGTGCATCCGTGTGATAGTCCTCGGAGTCGCAGAACTCGCATACCGTGTACTACCTACGAATCCATGAAAGGGACGAATACAATATATTGAGCTGTTCAAAACTCAATAATGCCCTCCACCTCGACAAAGACCACTCACAAGACGTCGTGTATACAGCCGTTCACCGTCACTGCACCTTCGGGCCCCCTTGACCATTCCCCTCGGGCGCACCTTGCTCAACTTGTGGCTGAGCTTCCGACCCACCAGCGGGTTCCGACAACCTCCCTGCTTCCATCGACGCCCTTGCCACAGGCTGCGCATTCACCACGCCCGTGTCCGCACCTGCGTGTGCCTGCGTGTCCCGCTGCCGCCGCGCACGCTCCTGTTCGACCCAGTCGTCCTTAGAGTCGAACGAGCCCTTGCAGCAGGGCCCGCAGCATCCGGCCTGGGTACTGCTACCCGGGCAGCACCGTGCTGTATGGAGGTGTGGCCGGTAAATAAGTCGGCCAGGGATGTGGCAAGAGAAGACATGGGCGACGCACTGAGTTGCAGCCAGTCGATGAAGCCTTCACTACAACAGATACCTTTACATAGGGACGGTGGAATTGGGTTCAGTTGTAGGCTAGACGGTATTAAATTATGGCTACGACTCACAGCATAGCCCGCAACATGCCCCCGCAACATCCTCTCCGGCAGAGGTCGACATACTGGATAGGCCGTATCTAGCGCACTGGCGGCTGACCACTCGCAGACGTTGTATCGGAACTTACAAGCCGCGTGAGAGCTAATATTGAGATTTGTAGCAGTCAGGGGCAGTCCAAGGGGAGGAGGCGGTCCTATTCAAGCGCATGGAGAACTTCGCTACATGAGGCTCCACGTTGATCCTAGAGGTACTCTGTGTATGTCGTATTTGACATATCTGACAGGGGCAGTGTCACGACGCTGTGCACTGGCATCTCGAGGTGATGGGAGATAAAAAGGGGCAATATTAATCCCAATGCCTGAAGATGCGGGATATGTTCGACCGAGACTTCGAGTCGGAGTTCGTGACGCTCGTAGGTGCCTCATCTACCTAAGCCTTGAACAGAAACCTCGACGGCGGCGTACTAGAAACAGGCCGCCCCCCTTCCCGAACAAGGCCTACACTCGGTGCAGGGAATGTAATCATTAGAAACTATGCGTCTGAGATACTATGTGAGCAGAGTACATGAGAGTCCAGTCCGTGTGGGTTCAGCCAGGTAGGTAACGTCAAGTTAATATACTTCGAAACGACAGGAGCGTACGCGTATGCACGTCGGCGGGGTGCGGGCGGGCGTCATAGTAATACGGAGGTCCGTTCTGCATGAGCGAGAGAGCAACAATCCGATGCGCAAGCGTAACACGAAAAGGAGAAAAGAACAAACCAAGTCCCGAGAAATATGCAGTCAATCCTGTCCATGTCTATGCAAATCCAGTCCACCCACTGCTCAGCCCGCGCGCGAAAGCAGCACCCGGTCAATCGCCTCGTTCACCACCCGCTTGCGCGCCGACAGGTCCATGCCGAAGCGCTGCTCCAGCTTCGTCCTGATCTCCCGCTTCGTCGTCGTCGCGAGATCCGCATCGCGCAGCACGTCCTCCACAGCGCGTTCGATCTCCGCGTCTGTCGGGCCGTCGAAGTACCCAGTCTGCTCGGGCGTCTGCGTGCGCGGGATGTCCACGCCAATGTAGTTGCTCGCAGGGCGCGACGGCGTCGGCTGGTAGAGCCCACCTGTCGAAACGGGTGCAGGGTAGCCGACGACGGACATCGTTGGCGTGTTCCGCCCTGAGTGGTAGCCGGGCGGCGGGTACATCATATGGGCTTGCGAGGGTGCGGGCGAGTATGCGCGCGACATGGCGGGTTCGTAGTACGTCTCGCGTCCATAGATAGATGCTGTGTGCGACTCGGCATAGCCGTCGTTCATCATCTTCGTCGGAGGCACCCACGAGCCAATGCTGTGGTTGGATTCCTTGTCCCAGAGCTCGTTTTCCTGGATCACATATGAGCATCGAACACATGGTTACCTTAGCAAAGATACGTACATAGTCGTTCCAAGACTTCAATGGTATTGACCGCGGATCGAACTTGCCTTCGTCCTGGAAGGGGGAAGAGACACTCAGCGAAACGGCCTCATCTCAGAACATGCAAGTGACTTACGTGGACAACAATCTTCTTGCCCGCCTCACCCAACACGACACGCGTGGCACCCCACGAGAAGTCGTCCATGCGCCAGAAAGAGTACAGTGGCAGCAAAAACGAGAATATCGGGATCGCAAGGATGTAGAACACCATCCAGCCAATCATGTCCCACTTGCGGCGCAGAATGAACACCAGCGCCTGCAGACCGTACACCGCAGCGATCATGATCGCCGAAATGACCGGGATGCCCTCCTTCTCGCCGACCGCACGATAGACCAGGTACACAATCTGCAGAGGGTCAACCGCTGTCAGCATCTCAACACACAGAAATAGACGGGGAGCTACTCACATAAGCGACAGTAACGGGTTGGATGAGCGTTGAGACCAAGTCGATCATGACGACGAAGCGCATCGAGAAACAGCAGAAGCCACACAGCTGCTCCAAGAACACAAGCTCCCCAAGATTATGCACAGTCGAGTTAATCCAGCGCCGACGCTGGGACAGCAGGATCTTCCAGTCATCTGGCGCGACCGTGTATGCGTGCGCGTCCCGGATGAACAGCGTCTTGTACATCGGGAAGTGCTTCATGACGAGCGTCGTGAGATACCGATCCTCACCGAGGTGCAGCAGATTCTTCATATGCAACGTGTCGACGCGGTTCTCGGAGTAGCTGTCGATGATCTGGTTGGACACGAAGAGCGGCTTGTGGGTGTCGGGTGTGCGCAGACGGTAGAGCGTGAAGCAACCGGGCAAGCAAGAGACTGAACCAAACAGGGACTCGAATGCCTTCGCCATGTGGTGCGAAATGAAGTATTCGTAGACCTGCACAGACCCTCAGCAATTGCGACAGAGAAGAATAGCATCGAACACATACCTGCATCATCGTCACGATGGATTGTTTGGCATTCGCCAGCTCGGTCTCTCCGCAAACACCAAGGGCCTTCTTGTCGTGCACCATGCTGTGTGATAGGTAGTGAATACATCGTAGTGGTCACGTCAGCAGATAGGACTTACGCGGAGACCAGCCGGTTGAGCGAAAGCGGATGCACCGTGGTGTCGGCATCAATCATGAAGATGTACTCATAGAACGATGGGTTGACACCAATGACGTTCTTGATCTGGTGGTACATCTCGAGCTCCAGAGGGTTCATCGGAGAGTTGAAATGGACCTGCACATAAGAGCATCAGCATTGTCAGTGACTTGGCTTCCCGGTAAACGTACCTTGTTCAAGAAGCGCATGAGCAGCATCTGCGTATCACGCTTACCACGGTTACCAGGCCTCGACTTCTCGCCTGGCTTGCCGCACTTGACGACGACCAAGTAGGGGACGACGTGGCCAGCATTCTCGTAGAGACCCGAGTAGACCTTGCCCATGTTGTGTTGCTTCGTGCCCTCGCCGAGAGACAAGAAACTGAGAGGCTCAGCGTCGATGTTTGGAGGTGCACCAAGAACGTCCAAGACGATCCGAGGCGTAGGCTGGTCATTACCGGAACCGACGACCATACCGTCGCAAACGATGAGGAGGAGCTTGCGCTTGTCGTCGTACTTCAGCTGCGCAAGCGAGTCGATCGTCCGCTGTAGACTCTGAACGCCTTCGGTGTAACAAGGAACCTGGCAGATGACGAACTTGTCGTGGTCCTCTGGTGCGCGCTCCGAGCCGAAGTTGATCGAGGCGATGAATTTGAACCCGATGACGCTGACCATGACAATCGACATCGCAAGTAGGATGTACGTGGCGAATTGGCACTTCGGCGAGTTTCGTGAATCAACCATACCGATGGCGAACAGGTTTCGCAGACAGGTCTTCTGCCATGTCAAGACCTGATCGTCCAACCCAAGGCCGTTGATCTTCTTCGTCACGTCCTGGCCGGAGTTGTACTGGAAGACACTGACGATGTCGGAACTCATGAAATGCGTATCGACATCCATACCGGACGGGAGGACCTCGTTGTCGAGGGGCGCAATCGACGGCGGGGAGGTAACGTAGTTCGTGAGATCGTAGATGATGCCGTCATAAACACCGACAGCGCTGCCTTTGCTCGCCATATTGCTGAGATCGGACATCGTATAGCCTATCCAGCCGACCCGGTTATTCCATCGCATCTGGACCATCTGTTCGAAGTACCAATCCGGACGGGAGTCATCGGTCCAGGCGCGGAAGTCGTGGTACTGTGCATTCTCATCCGTAGCGTTGGCCGAACTGAGCTGGATGTAGGGACTCACGGTTCCGGTGACTCCGTTGCAAAGCGCACTAACCTGTGGCGACCATGTAAGCAGGCAAGGAAGAGCAATAGCAAAGCTGAGTGACACACCTGCACCGGGAGAAGGTTGTCAGAAGCCACGCCGCCGTAGTTGAGAACCGATTTCTGCGACACGACGGGCACGGCAACCCCGTGCGTCACGGCGATTTCAGTGAGATCGAAGACCTCGCCGTGAATCGACGTGTAAACGTTGTTCGGGCTGTTCTTGTACGAATGCGCCTGCAACTCGCTCGTCGAGAAGACATGTTCCGTCGGGCAGATGAGGTTACCGAAGATGACGATGACGAAGACGACACAGCCGCACACAAACCAGATGAGCATGTTAAGGGCGAGCTTCTCTCGCCAGGCCTGCTGAATGTCGGGGCGCTTCATTCGACCAACCCACGCAAGCAGCGGGGTGGGGACCCAGAACGTGAGGACCCAGCAGAGCATCACCCATCGCCTGCGCAGCGTGCTCTCCCTGATAACCTCCGTCGTCTCGCCCTCCTGGATCTCCCCAGCCAGGGGCTCCTTGCCAGACAAGAGACCCTTCTTATCGGCGTCCTGGAACATGTTGCGGGAGGGCGCGTACGACTCGGTGTAGGCAGAGGCAGTCTCTACATCACGATGGCTCGTGTACGCACTCCGCCCATCGTAGTCATCGCTGCGCAAGGACTTCCTCTCGTCGTAATCGTCGTACATCTCCGCGCGCTGGAAGGGCGACGCGTTCTGCACGAGCGGTAGCTGCTGATTGGACTGCCCGAATGGGTCGTTGTAACCGCCGTCGTAGGGCGACTCAGAATCAGGGGTTTGGTACGGCGCATACGGATCGCCCAGGCCTCTTGGACCAAGACCAGCCTCCGCTTCGGCATCCCGCATCCTGTTGCGCTTCTGTTCTTCAGTGTCCTTCGAGCGTACATCGTCCTCCAGTGCGTGAAACGCGCGTTGTGAAAGGTATACCTGGTGCCACCGTTAGCCAAAGGCGACATGAGTGGAGCTGCGACATACCTGGCTCATCCCGAGCACAATGTCTTTCTCGTCGAGACCTAATGTCGTCCGTACTTGCTCGATGCGTGCCCGCGGATCGCCTTCATGCACGTTGAGTACCGTGAGGTAACCGTTATACCGTTGGACGAACTCCTCGGGCGTCATGTTCGCCTCGAACACCGCCGCACATCTCTTCGCGACCTCCGCGAGACCGAGGCTGCGAACCTGGCCCTTGACCGAGCGACCCTCGAGCTGATTCGGCAGCTGGGAGTCGTTGGGGTTGACGCAGAAGACGTACCAAGACTGCGTCTCCTCAAGCGTCTCGAACAGAGTGTCCAGCGCGGACCGGAACTCGCCTGCCACGCAGGGCGGGCCACTCGCCTGTACCGCCGTGCCCAGGGGTTCCTCGTCATCGCGGTCCTTCTCGTCAACGTCCCCACTTTCCCTGACGGTCGGCATGCGCTTGATCGTGCCCTTTCTCCGGACGGACGGCGCACGCATGGGCTTGACGGGCTGCTGCGCGGACACGATGGTGTCCTCGTTGCGCGGGTGCGCCTGCGTCGCGATAGCCTTGCCGGAGTACAGGCTGCGGACGAAGGGGTTGGACGATCCGGAGCCGTCCGCCGGGGGTCCCTCGCCCGCACTCGTGCCTCGGAGGAGCGAGACGAAGTCGGGGTTGAGTGCCTCGAGATTGCGCTCGAGGAAGCTCTCCGAGGAGTAGGTGACGGGGCCGGTGAAGTGGTTGACGGTGAACGTGGGGAAACCGGTGCGGTCGATGGAACCCGCCTTGAATGACGAATGGTTGCCCCACCGCTTCGTGAACGCCTCGACCATCGTGTGATTGCTCTTCTTCGGTAGGCGACGTGCCTGGTCATCCATGATGTGAATCAGACCGCCGGGCTTGTTCTGCAGTAAACGAAGGCATTCCGAGTTGTCGAAGTAGGGCACCTGCGGAACGAGGCGCGAGATACCCTCGCTGTTGTACTCGGCGACGTGGCTCTCGAACAACTTCCTCTGTATGAAGTTCTGCAGTCGCTCGTTGGCAAAATTGATGCAGAACTGGTCGAGGGAATTCGGCCGGCTGGTGAGGTTCTGTGGTCCCGGGAGGTCGAACAGGCCAATGAAGGTGTTGAAGTCGTCGCGGCAGAGACGTTGATTGATGTGCTCATTGAGCCAGGCGAAGAGGAGAGCATACAGCGATTTAGCGAGCTCATCACGGTTGTCGGATGCGCCATCCGGGTCGAGGAACACCGTGCAGACCTCTTTCTTGACGAGCTTTGTCCGATATGACAGCGACGCCTCGAGCGCGGAAGGCTGCACGCCGAGGAAGTCCGCGACGATGTCGAGGATATCGGTGTTGCGGACGACGGCGGCTTCCTCGTTCCGGAAACGGTCGATCGTGAACTCGAGGTTGCCCAAGTGGAGGATCGCGGCGACCAGCTGGCACGTCTGCGCAACATGCCGTTTCGAGAAGCCTACGTTCTTGAGCGCCATTTTTAGCTGGTCAAACCTCACGGCGTCCTCGCTCCGCCCAGCATTCCCAGCCCCACGGCCGCCCGTGTTGCGCAACCCGATATAACGATACGTGGTCTTGTCGTGCAGCTGGAGGTGCTGTCGCTCCTCCGGCGACGCCCCAGCGACGAGGTAGTAGAAAATATGGAAATTCCGCTCCCCCGACGGCGCTCCTGAGACGCGGTTGCGCTCCAGGTAGTAGTCAAGCGTCTTCATGCCGCAAAGGCGACCGCGCTCCGTGAACTGTAGTTCGGTATACTTGCCAAACCGCGAGGCATTGGGGTTGAAGAGCGTGCGCGCATTCCCGAACGTCTCGAGTACGAACTCGGCGGCGGGCACCTGGTTGACGAGCTTCGAGCCCTTCTTCCCCGGCTGGCTCACGCTGAGTTCGAGCAGCGTTTTGATGGCCAGCCGGCGGTTCTCCGACTTGCCACTGCCCGTCTCTCCTCTGCATGAATGTCAGGAACTTGCCAAGAAGAAAGGTGATCAGAGACGCACGTCAAGAGGATTGACTGGTCCTGGGTCGTTCTCCGCATATGATAGTAGGCATTGTTGGCGAGCTGGAAGATGTGCGGCGGTAGACGCGTCTTGCCGGGGGAAGTATCGCGGTATTCGGCAGCATAGTTCTGGAGCACTGCGTCGGAATTACTGGGGACGTACTTGTGAGGATTGACGGCGACGACAGCACAGCTTCCGATGCTAGTGTAGATGCTGTCGGACATGAACCGTTCGCGGATGCATGAGACGATGATGTCTTCGTTCACGGGTGCGAGTGTCGCGAGGTCGTCAACGGCCTCGAGCCGTTGGCGAGTGGTGCCGTTAGACTCTCGTCTGTTCATGGCGGCCCGATGTGCCACCTAGGCGGTCTTAGAACGGTCGAGGAGGATGGAGAGGGAAGGGAGAGAAAGGCGTGGTCGCCGTCGCCGTCGTGGAAGCTGCAAGAACACATCATAAGTAGAATTGTAATAATCGCTATGGGTCCAGGGCTTCCCACGCTCAGTAAAGAATACAGTGATTACAAACAGTAAGTAATCCTTCATCGATGTTTCATAACTTACAGTCATTACTGTAAGTATGCACGGCAACGAGGCACAGCCCACGCCAGACCCTGTGCTCTGACGGTGCAACTTACTCGGACGAGAACACCACCGAGGAGCCATGGGGAGGCCCAAGGGGGGCCGAGCTCATACACTAAGATGCGTGGGCGCGACAACCATATTACAGGCCTGCAGCTTTATCGAGCATTGCATACTGTATAGTATTAGAGCGGGTACTTGGGAGTTAATCCTGGCGCCAGTGTCACTCCGGGCTGTGGATCACTGGATGAGGTCGTCGGTGTAGATTGTCACTAATGGGAGGCTTGACACTGCTATGAGGTCGGTATCAACGCAACGCGGAACGTTACAAGCGGCGTAGCATTGGAATAACGTACGTACCTAGGTATAGGCATGCATAATAGGTCGCTGATCCGTCTCAAGCTTGAATGTTGCAGCGTGTGGATTAAGATCATTGTCCTTTCGCAGCCCTGTCCTCGAGTATTTCCTTGAGACGTGCCGCAAGCCCCTCAGTGAGCTGCGTTAAGCCGTCACCGGTGCAGAGCCGGTAGGACGGCATTGGTTGATACGTGCTTGGCAGGATCTGTGGGTGAGTATGAGCCTAAATCGTCGAGGTACGTGAGTTCAAGAGCATACCTCGCCATCTTCAACACGCACAGATGCAAGAATGTCGTCGACATCGCCTATGCGCCCGAGAGCAGGAACATTGCGCTGGTCTATGACGGAGGTACGAGGCAGGACAAGAGGCAGATTAGCCGTTGTGACGGTCAGCAGGTGAGTGGCAGAGGTCGCAAAGCCCGGAAGAACACAACAACGCACCATGGACGTGCATCCAGCCAACTTGGGTCTGGATGGCTCCATTCTTCTGGACGTCGTCTACACCATCCCGGAGCGCGCCCTGGACTGCCCCGTGCAATACATCCCGGAACAACGCTGGACGCCAAGACCGAAGATGAACGGAGGGCACAGCTTCAAGGTGACAAAGGACGTACGATTCTCGACGAAATCATTCAGCCCCGCATCCTCCTCCTTCCCTCCCGGCGTGCTCGCGGGTAGCCACCCGATCACTGTGCAAGATTGCACAGACGGCGGCGGGGTTGGCAGAAATGACAGTGCAAACACAGGAGATGTACGCGAGACGTCATTGGGTGCCTCAAAGAGGTGGTAGAAGAGGTCGGAGCGTTCGGGATCGGGGAAGGACGTGTTTGGGTTGGTCGAGTTCGACGCGCGGGGCGTGGACGAGAACGGTCGTGAAGTTGAGCGATTGCCCAGCGGTGTAGGTCTCCTAGACACCCGCGAAGAGAACGAATGACCGACTTGAGCGCGACTCTGCGGTGGTACCCGGGTAATCGCTAGTCGGCCAGGGCCAGCGTGTAGATGTTGGTGGACGAAGCTAGAGAGAATTCGTTGTGTGGAGGCCGTGTGAAGCGACATAGTATGGGATGGTCAATAGAAAGATTGAAGAGGTAGCGTACTTTTATACTCGGCGAAAGTAGGACTTTGTCGGCAATGAATTCAGAACCGAGTTGGTGCTGGCCTCGACCTTGACGTCGCCCGGCAGATCAGCCACCAATGTTCCCTTTATGGCAGGTGTAGTGGTTCGGATCTAAGAAGTACTCACCGCTGATACAAGAAGTCTTACAGGGCTCCTAGAACAACCACTGCGGACAAACCCCTTTGTTTGGCGTCGGATAAGTCTCAGATCATCGTTAGAATGAGTATATCATCTCGAAATCCGAACATGAATTATTATCGGTGACCGAACATTGAAAGGCACGGCTCCTCATTGGCTGCCTTTCAATGTTCGGTCCAGGAAAATAGATAATATTCGGATTTCGAGATGATATACACGTTCTGACAATGTTCTGACGATGTAAGCGCTCCGTGCAACCTGCTTTGTCCGCAGTGAACACACTCCCGACACTTTCTGGGGGGCACCCGGGGGTAAATCAAGTATCCCGAACATCTATTGTCTGTCGTATACAGTAGCTCTATAACTCAGTGTATAAGTACAAGTTTCGCATATCGTATGTCTCGATCCTAGCAGACCTATACTCGTGAAATTTCATGCACGTAGTACCTATAGATAGGCAAACGTGAAACACATATCCCCAGATCAACTCACACCTCCAAGACAGCCACGTCATACTCCTTCCCACCATCCTCGACCACCTTCTCATCTGTCTCGACACTGGCCTCCTCGCCCGCGAGACGTGCACGCTCGTCAATCGCGCGCTGCTCGGCAAACTCGTGAGCCATCTGCTCGAAGGGCATGCTCGGATCGATGTTGCTCAGCGGGCGAATCTTGCAGATGATGACGTAAAGCACGCCCGCAGTGACCGCGGAGACGTACCAGCCGAGCTCGTCGATTTTGGTCGCGTTCTCGGGCACCGACAAGCCGAACGTGCCGACAAAGCCAACGAACGGAAGCATCATGCCGCAAAAGTACGCAACGCACGCGTTGAGGTTGAAGCCGTGGGAGTACATGTACGTCGCGCCCTTCTCGGACGAGTACGCATCCATGATGGCGATGTTGCCGCGGCGCACGAACCAGTAGTCCGTGATCATGATCGCCGCGGCAGGGCCCATGAAGATGCCGTACCCGCCGAGGAACGCGAGGAAGCCGTTGCTCGACGCGAGGATCTTCCACGGCTGCAGCGCGAGCGCGATCGTCCCGCAGAACCACATCCCGCGCGAGATGTTGAAGACGGTCGGGAAGAGCGCGGTGATGTCTGAGCCGAAGGGGAGCAGATTCGCGCCGAGGAGCGAACCGAAGTTGAACAGCAGTGAGCAGAAGGCAAGCAGGAAAACGAAGAAGCGCATGGGGCCCGTGAACGAGTGCTCTAGCATCGCGTCGTAGACGTCCCATTGGTTCCATAGCGTGATGCCCCATGCTTGCTGGAGCGCGGCGGTACCGAATATGCCAATCATCCCGCCCTATTGAAGTACGTGTTAGCATGAGAATACAGGTTCAGCTTGAGTCGATCTTTACTCACAATGGCCGCAGGGAACGGTACGAAGAGGACGTGCGTCCAGAGCACAGCGTTCGGACTGTTGGAGTAACGCGAGAAGTCGGGCATGTTGGCAATGAACGTCGACTACGACAGCCCGTAAGCACCTACACCGCACATTCATAACATGACGACTCACCCAGTTCCCCATGCACGAGTTGATCGAACTGACCATCAGCCACGCCAGAGTTGCGCCCTTTGGAAGCTTGCTCGCGTCCGTACCCGCGAGAGCCGCCGTGCTGGCGAGCTTGCCCTTGCTCTGTACAAGACAGTAGATGAGCAGGCCCAGGACGCTCGGTGGGAGGATCCACGCCTTGAAGTTGTACAGCCACTTGAGGCGCGTCGGACGGAGCGAGCAGAACGGGAGAACGAACGCCCAGAAGATGAGGAAGCCAACGAACCGCTGAACCGTGCAGCCGACGGACTCAGGGAAGGAGACTGAGAGGTTGTTCCAACCATTCCCGACGACGCAGTTGATCATCGTGGAGATAAACGCGCCACCTTGGAATGCTACGCAGCGTTGTTCATCAGATTAGCTACTTCAATGCGGGCAGACCAAGCAGCACTTACTGATGACGGACACCCAAAGGCAAGCACAGACACCGCGAGCTAGCACGGGCCAATAGTGGCCGTACATGCCGAAGCAGGTTCGCAAAATGACGGGGTAGCCTACATGGTAGTTCGCCGCGGCGCGTGAGTTGAGCGCCATACACGTCCCAGCCACCGCCGCAGCGATCCAGACACAGATCGTCGCCTGCCACCATGACAGACCGCTGTCAACCAAACTCGACCCAAGAGTCCTACGAGCAGAGCATAAACATGAGTCATACGTCCCGAAGAGGATAGGCGAAGGCATACCAGTTACCGAAGCCCATTCCGAACCAGAAAATGCAGAAGTTGTACCACCGCCAATTCACCTGGGCAGGTGGGGACGGCTTCAGGTCCTCATTGATCCACGAGTGCGCCTGGTGCGTGTTGCCTTCCGTGTGGATGTACGCCAGGAAGGCCTCCTTGGAGTCAAACGCGTGCCGAAGGCGGTGGGCCCACCCGCGCACGGGCGCGACGAGCTTCGTATGCACGCCGTCCTTCACGTCGTCCGTTGATGGAATGTGCATGGTGAAGTGCATTGGGGCTACGCTTGATCCTGGAGGGCCAAGGACAATAGGCAAGAACGAAGCCTATGGCGGGCGCACGGCAGCAGCGCCGGGTCAGACGAGAAGTCATTGCTTTATATACGCCCGCCGCGGGCGAAATAGAAAAACGCGGACGCCCGTACATCGTACATGATTCAGGTACTAGCCGCTCCACCAGTTCGCGGTCCTCGACGGTCCGCAGAGTCTGTGGCGATAACGGGTCAATGATAAGTACTCGTCTGCCGTGGAAGCCGTGTATCGCAAGATACGCGTTGAGATTGAAACAGACATGTATGATAGTCTGAGCCTTCCGAGACGAATCGCTAAGGTGAGATTCAGACAAGGTTGCAATGTCGTGTGGCGACTTACCGCCCAACGTGTGCGTGTGTATGCATATCATTTGACCGATCCAGAGAGCGTGCACGCTGCTCGTGATGTTACTGACCTTCATATGTATGATACGGCCAACATTTCTTCCACGATGCCGTTCGCGCGGGGCACAGATGAGTTGAGTTGAAGATAAGCATTTGATGACGGTTGAAGTTCGGTATGGCCATGTGAGTTATCTTCGGGCTTTTGCTACAGGGGCTTATCACCCGCCGTCCGGCGACTTACAGATTATGTCGGTACCTCTCATAATGAGGCACCCTACTAAATAGCACCAACGCCAACCTTGTACCTGCCTTGAGCACAGTGTGAGTCAGTGTGTATAGCACGAGTCGTAGCTCATTGGCCTGCACCTTGAAGCGACCTTGAAACGAGAGTGTCCTCCCACCTTGAACGCGAGCACTGGTATATAGACAACTTGTCGGCTTCCTGGCCAATGGACACGATTCAGGGGCCTTGTCGTGTTTGTGCCCATAGGCCAGTCTCATCCTCGATCACGGCGAGCCGTTGGTCGGCACCGAGTTTCGCAAGACGCATTTATTCAGGTACAGTTGCAAGTGTGTGGGCCCAACGATCGGCGGGGACGCAAGTCGTATACATGCCGACGGCGGGCAATCGTCGCAGGGCTCCTAGTGATCCAGACACATCTACAGTGGTCCCGCCAGGGGTGAGCGTCGACGACAATCTCGGCACCCCTTCGTAGACGGTAGCTGCCGGCAAGACCAGATCGTCTTGGAGCACCAATGTACAGGGGGCGGTCCGTCTTGACTCCAGGGTACGACAGATGTACTACGTCGCCCCCCAAATTGAAGCGCTACTACTGAGTTTGCCCTGCATCAACGCGAGGGACTTCGGGTTACTTGTGACTCTAGAGTGTCAGAAGCTCACCACGATGATAATGATACCTTGGTGATACCGGATGACCCATTGAGCATTAGCTCTGTGGTCGTTGGGCGTTCCCTGCGGACCCTCCACATAGGCGATAGTCTACGGGGAAATTTGGTGGGTTATACGAACTTGATACAAACACTAGCGTGTCGAGCAGAACGACCGCACTTGGACGTAGGAGGCAATCATGAAGACGTACGTTGCACGCTCAGCGCGCCTCTGGTTGCCAGCAATAACGCCTCGATGGTCAACGACTAAATCCTCGAACCAACTGGACAGGGAGCCCTTGTATAAGTTTACGTTGCAGGATCTCTTCTTCGTCTTCTTGCGGGGTTGGAGGTGCACATGGCATGGAGAATTGTAATGTGCAGGAATAGTAACGGTCAATGCATGATATGACGACTTTGGGCAACAGAGGGCAGCAGCTGGCGACCACTCGGCGCTCATTTGGTCGGTCCTCCCGATCCGATCTCATCTCATCCTCAGCGTGGTAATGCCACAGACGCGTTCCAACTCGCGTTCACCCAACGTTCACCGCAGTTGCCAGTGGCTCGCTCTCAGTGTCTCGCCGCCTACGCGTACGAATATTCACGAATACTGCAGGACTTACGAATGGCACCCCGCGTTGCTCCGAAAATCAGAATACGACCGCCCGGACGGCCACCTGCAGCATCCACTTCGCATGAAGCGCCTATCGAAGAGGAGGAGGTCGTTATCACGGACGCGGAGGAGCCTGCTGCAGATGACGAACATGGAGACGATGCAGCGACACCACAAGTGGAGGACGATATGGACGTAGACGTGGAGGTCGAGACAGCGGGCGGTGGCGAGTACGGCAGCGTCGCTGACCCCGAAGAAGGCGAAGGGGCGGAGGACGGTGAGGAGGCGACACCTCTCAAGCGAGGGAGAGGGAGGCCGAAGGGGAGCAGGAACAAGGCACCGGGGACGAGCACACCGAGGGCCAAAGCAAAGGTTCGAGGACGGGGCAAAGGCAGCCGCGGCATCACAATCAAGCTGCCGAGACGGACAGGCGAGGAAGTCGAGCAGGGTGAGGAGAGCGTTGCGGTGGAAACAGGTACCCCTACGCCCGTGGAAGACGCGCCAGCCGTGGGTGTAGACGAAGGTCCCGTGGGCGGCGGGAAGCCTTTCCGACTGATCAATGGACAAGTCTACATCATCGAGAACGACGAGTATGTCACCGAGGACGACCCGAAGGGCGACACCAAGATCGACCAGTATGGTAACCTGCTCGGCGGTGCGTGTGCTCGCTATGCTCAGCTTTCTAGCATAAAGCTCATTCGACCTCAGATCGCAAGTTCAAAGCGCAGACGTTCCAGCTGCCTAACCGACATCCAGACCGAATGTACATGCTCGCGATCGACGCTGCGCGCACGTCTGGCTTCCGCGACTCGTTGTACTACTTCAGGCGAAACCCACTCGCTATGAAGCTGGGCGCGACGCAGGCGGAGAAAGAGTACCTCATCGAAGTGGGCAAGCTCGGTTCACATTTGCGCACTCGCAGCGTGACAATGATCACCGCGCGCAGTGCATACAAACTGCACGGCGCTAGAACTATACAACGTGCGTACGTTTCTGGATCCTACCGCCAAACGAGCTGACGATGTGCAGAGGGGAAGTGGGTGATCGACGACTACTATGAAGACAAAGCGCTAGCAGAGTGCACCGCCAAGGGACTGAAGCCCGGAGATCCGGTCGACGAACCCCAGGACACCGCCGCAACTGCCCCGGAGCCCACTGCAGCAAAAGCGGACCGCATGGGTAGCGGCATGGGGTTGTACCGCGCTGGCGGCCCGACGACGATCTTCGGTGGCTCAGGTTGGGGGCCGTATAGCGACGGCCCGTTGAACGCAGTACGGAAGAGTCTCCTTACTCGGGATGGCTTGAACGAGGAGAATTGGACGTACGTCGCAGCGCAGAGGGCAGCCGACATGAGCCGGGAGTGGGCGGACCTGCGCGCGGAGGGCATGAAGGTATGCGGAGGGATACTGGAGGGCTCTGCGAGTCAGGATCAGGCAGAGACGAAAGCCAAGGAGAGGGGGGCTGCGAAGAGACGGAAGGTATGGGGCGAGGACGAGCCAATGCCTCTGGGCGTGTACGAGCCGCACTCGGGAGTCGTCCTCTGTGAGTGACTGTCCGATTATCGCCCATCCTAATCTGACCGTTACGTTGATAGACCGGTCGGACACGCAGCCTACACGAGCACGCTGGGAGTCTGTGGACGATAAACAGCCTGTATTGGGCGGAACTAAAGCTGGCAGCCAGGCTTGGGGCCTTGCATGGGTCGACACCTGCATGGAAGCGCCATCGCCCGAAGAACTCGATGAGGAGGGCGCAAAACTTCGCGCACCGTTCGTACAGTACGCCGTCCAGCCTCCGTAGCGATATCGCCGGAGATTGTGCTTTCAAGTTGTGTCATAGTAGATTTCTTCTTGACTTCTTGAGGCATCCCCGTCAGTGTCGCCGGAGTAGCTGGTGATGTGGCTTCGTACCGCGTCCCTCGGGGTGGTTTGCGTTCTGACAAAACCATATAGACACTAGATCCGAACAGAAAGCGAACAGCGTGTAAGTCGAGATGTACACGAGGTCCTGACATGTCGTCCCCCCATGAGGCCAATCCGCCGCTGCGAACCAATGTCAACTAAGCACGGACCTCATGTTTGATGATTCGCAAGGTAACCTTCTCTCGCTTCACCTGCTCTTTGTCGAGCACGAATAGGGGAGTGTATGGTAGGGTGTTGCGGCCATAGGTCGACTGTTTCTCCGTCTTCACTCACTCATGGTCGCACGCTCAAAATTTTCGGTACGCCTCTTCATTCACTTCTCGCGTCACATAAAGCTGATCAAACATTTGTGCAATGGTACATTCCCCGTATGGCCTTACCGCTGTTGCGCAGCTGTCAGCGATGTACTAAGCCCTATGGCAATGCGAATCTATCTGCGAATCACGCATGGTACTTTTCTACGCTATTCCACGTCGGCGGTAACCTTGCTTCGACTTCCAGGAATATGCCTCGGGACGCCACTAAGTAAAGGAGTGCACCTAGATGCGCATTCTGAGGCCCACGATTTCTATGCTCCTGTGGGCTCCGTCGTGAGATCGCCGCGCCTTGCGGATACAGCAAGACGACTCTGGGGATATACCGAACGATCAACGCTGGTGGTCGACTTCTCAGAGCGTTTCTCTTCACAGGCAACGTGTTTCTCCTTGTTCTAGGTTTGATTCATGTGCGAAAGCGTGTCGACCGGACGCCTTAAGTGTGGAGAGGAGGCTGTCATTTGAGGGGCACGCTCTTCAACTCTCAGTCGCTCTAGCAGCTTATACTTTGCTTTCGAATCGCAGCCTCCACACGCAGTCCAGTATGCCAAGCTTCAAGTTCGGCCCTGCGGGTGATCTCTCCGACGTATGTAACCTTTCTCTCACTATTCCGCGGTTATTCGACTCATTTACTTGAGCAGTCCAGCTCCGATGCTAGCGGTCCATCGTCGACTGCCGCGTCCTCTGTCGATGGTGACATGGTCAGCATGCCGCTCACATCATCTTCGTTGAGTCGATCTTGCTGACCACATCGCAGGAGGAGCACCAGCTATTGGTTCATCAGGTTCTCGACAACCGAGGCGCCGATGACCATGAGATCAAAACGTCCCCGATCTTCACCCGGGACGCATACGCTCAAAGTGGCGGCCCCGACTGCTTCCCGCAGCGGGGTCTCCTGGGTTCTGTCGTCGAAATCCAGTAAGGCTTTCGCACTGTGTCTCGCTGAGTCAAGTTACGCCTCTTAATACATACACGGTATAGCGACAGCTCCGGACCTTGCATCAAGGACCAGCCTGATGACAGGCGTATCTACCTGAACACAGTACGTCGCATGCTACTATAGTCACTGTCTCCGAATCTCATGTACCTCGCAGAATGCTCCTTTCTCGGCCCTGGTCTGTGGTGTCCAAGGCTCCGGAAAATCGCACACCACCTCCGTCATGCTTGAAGATATGTTCGTGCCCGACAACCCCTCAATTGGTCAACTACAGAAGCCCCTGGCCGGTCTTGTCCTGCACTTTGGCGAGGGCGGCGCGTACTCGCAGCCGTGTGAGGCCGCCTGGGTAGGAGTTACTGACGACAAATCGATCAAGCCGCCTCCAGTAGTCGTTTACGTGTCGAAGTCATCTCTGAACACCATGAAGAAGGTGTACGCGCGTTTGGGCCCGTCGGTGACGGTGAGGGCGCTCAAGTTCAGCGAGGAAGAGCTCGATGCACAAGCTTTCCTATCGATGATGGCCATCGGTGCATCGGATCATGTCCCACTCTACATGCAGACGATCCTGGTGAGTATGTTCTGCTCCAACTCAATCAATCTCTCACTGACCCTTCCGCAACTTCGAGTCGATCCTGCGTGACCTTGGCGAAAGGTACACGTACCAGAACTTCAGAACAATGCTTGAGCAGAAGAAGGCCAAGTTCAATCCTGCGCAGCTCTCAGGTCTAGAACAGCGTACGGCCCTACTAGAATCCTTCCTGGACAAGAAGGTACCAGGAAAGGCTCATGTAGCGCCTGCGCGGTTTGTGGCGGGGCAGCTCACAATCATCGACCTCTCGGATCCATTCATCGATCCAGCCTCGGCATGTGGGTTGTTTGAGATCCTGGTGAGGCTGTTCGTGCGTGCACAGGTGGACACTGGGAAGGTGCTCGTTGTAGACGAGGCACACAAGGTAAGTCAGTCGGGTGCCCGGCGACATTTGCAGGTGATTTCATGACGGTGCATACAGTACTTGCAGGCAAACAAGACCTCGTCCGGACTGACGAAGGAGCTCCTGTCGCTCATTCGTCAGCAACGTCACCAAGCAATGCGCGTGATCATCAGCACGCAAGGTAGTATCAAATGTCTTGTGATGTTGCGTATATGTGTACTGATCGTTTGGATACAGAGCCAACTGTCGTACCTCCCGTGCTGCTCGAACTCTGCGGTGTAGCGATCTTGCACCGCTTCTCGTCTCCCGCTTGGTGGGAGCACGTCGCGAAGCACGTCTCTGCTGACATCGACTCGAAGACGGCGTTCGACATCATCGTCAAGCTGCAGGTACGTGAAATTTCTTCGTAGCTGCATGCCATCCTGCAGAAGCCTCATTACGTTTCGTTTTGCAGACTGGCCAGGCGATGCTGCTTGCTCCCAGCGGGCTTGGGACGTCTCGTGAATCGTCTGCAAAACCTGCAGACGATGAGCGACGTGTTCTGCGCCACTTTGGGAGGAAGTGCGTCGTGGTGAAAACGAGACTGCGCATCACGAAGGACGGGGGCGCGTCGCTGCTAGTCATTCCGTCTTGAAGTGTTGCATCCGAGATCGAGACTCGAGACCAGAGTGCTCTGCCGACGTCCAATATTCAGTTCTTGCGCGCGGGTCGGCTGGTGCCATCCAGCCATATGCACCTACATCTACCGTATATATCATAGCTTCTTGTCAGACATTACGGTTACCCTCGTAGTCATTGCCGTATGAGACACATTCGGAACGGCTGTACACTAGGAGATAAGTGCATCCTGCCAGTAAATGTAAGAAAGAGGATCAACGCAACCCTTGTGCGCACCGCTCCCTGACGAGTCGGAGCCGACAGTGCAACGGCGAAACTGAAAGGTTGCAGCAGAGAACAAGATCTCAATGCCTCAGATGTATCTCACCATGCGATAGACGCGTCCGTCATACGACGACTGACGGATCCGAAGTGTTGAACCGCGACGACCACTTGCACTTCATAAGGCTTTCAGACGACGTCAGGGCTCGAGACATGGTGCGCTGCGACGCGATATCATTGCATAAAGTTTTCCTAGCAAAGCCCGACGGCTACGCTACAGATTCAGGACACCGCCAACCTCCACGACCGGAGGCGGCACTCGTCGCGAGGCTACATGGTCCTGGCTTATCTCCATCGTCTTGGGCATGGTGTGTGCGTGCATGTTGGCCGTCGTATAGAGTTTTTGTCATAGTGTCCCTACGGTGCAACGCGAGCAACCGAGTAGATTACTCTGTGCAAGACAGCATGAGCACCCGGCTACAGTAGAACAGAGGTAATGATAGTACGCACTGGAACGAGCCCGCATTTTTCTGCGCTTGCGACGGAGACGACGAGACCTCTTTTTCTTCCACTTATCTCTCATTCTGTAGGCCACACGTTGTCAGCAAGGACGAGACTCACACAGCGGGGGCGTACTCACTCGTCGAGTTGTGGGAAGTGCTAACGAGCCCAGACCACCCAGTGCGGGGTTATGATGCTGTGGCGCGTGGTTCTGTACAGTCCCGCTTACCTCATCCTCCCACGCATCCCGGGACAAAAGCGCTCGCTTTTGCGCGCTTTTTGGACGTCGCCTCTTTGTGTCGCGTCCGTCGCTGGCAACGATGAGCAAGCGTCCACGCGTCCCCGCCGCCTTACACGCCGAGATATCTGAGTATTCTGCTCTCTTACGCGCTCTCAGGAACCAGGACACGCTCGACCTCACCAGCCAACTCATCCGTGCCCACACGGCCTCTGCGGCGGCTACTGAAGACGACGTCGAGGATGAAGACATCAGCTTAGGTGAAGACGCATCTGAACTACCTTTGTCGGAGGCCACGTCTCAGGTTACGGTTGCTGCCGACACTGCTAGCCTCGGTCAACTCTCGTCGCAGCTGAAGCGGAAGCATCCCTCGGGCAAGCGCAAGCTGAAGGGGAAGCCGCGAGACACCTGGACGCGATGGCCCCTCATGGCTGGTGATGTGCACGTTCCCGAATGGACCCTCGCGGACGAGGTCAAGACACTCGCCGTGCAGCACATCAAGCGATCTCTCACTAGGCGTGACACGTCACCTTCGGATGCTGAGCTGCTCGAGGACCTGGACGACGACTTTGCCAACACGCTTCTCCCGCCGGCGAGCGTCGGTGTGCTGGCTGATGGGGCTGCAACGCACCTTGCGCGGATCCTCGCTCGCATCGCGGCCCACAAGCCGCCTGCCGCGGAAAGCATGCAGAACCGCTTCGCTCCGTTTGGCTGGGAGAGGGTCATGGCCGTGATGTCTTCTAGTGGTCTCGTCGACGCGAAGTTCGTCTTCCCTATCGTGTTGCGGTAAGCTCGTGTGAACAAGTGCCCGCTAGTGTCATGCAGAATGTGCAGCGTCGTATGGAAGTGATCTATGGTTCCTCGAAGTCGCGCGGTACGTCAATCTCCTCACGTCCATGATGATTAAGACTGACATGTGTTGTAGCCGTGCACCGTGTTGAATGTCGCACCGTGGCGAAGCTCGAGTTCCGGAAGGCTATTGAACCTCATGAACTGAGCTTCTTGAGACTGGCTTACAAACCTCCGCCGCCTCCGAAACGTAAGCGTCTCTTGTATGATGTATACGTTGCCCAGCGTTGACACCGTCTATCAGGTAAACGAGGTCCGTACAAGAAGAGGAAAATCAAGTCTGCCGAGACCATCGAGTCATCGGACGAGCTCGAAGATGCTGCCGTGCCCTCGTCTGGCACCTAACGGTCGAACTGCAACAATGTTCATAGTCACATACGTGTACATTTGCCGTGACCTGGGGTGCCTGTCCGTAAGTCAAGATAGGCACGTCCGGCCATACCTCCTGTAGCTGGTGAGTGTCTTGTCCTTGGGGGCACCGATCGGTGCCTTCGTTATGATGTTTGAGGCATTTGGCTTTAGCAAGGGTTGCCTTGCGTTGCAGAATATTATCTCAGCTACCTTCGGGCGGTCTGCTTTGGCGGGCACGTCCGCTATCTCTGAACTTCTGTCCTATTTAAGAAATTGAACACTGTACTGATTCATGCTCCTTGCAGGTGTACAGTCTGCTTCTACGCTTTGTAAAGTGCGGGGGTTGTACGCGATGCTTCTGTGCATGGCGCCTTACACGTTCGGACGGCCTCCAACTTGCAGTTTGCGCGATGTGCCTTCACAAGAGAGCATTCGATCATCGAAGGTGGTCTGCCTAGTTCCGCGAGAAGTGTACACGCATTCGGTCTCTTGTATGTGTTGTAAGCTTACGATGATCTTGTGCCCACCGTGGTCGTCTATCTGTTGTCACTGTTAAACTTCGTGAATATCATCATGATCTGTTGTGCTCGATTTGCTGCGTTTGCGAGATATCCCAGTAGTGCTTCTCGGCGGTCTCCAGACTCCGCGCACCCGCTCGATGAGTGGGTAAGGATGATTCTACGTTTCACTGTGACTATCAGTTGAAGCTCGCCTGCCCCGCTGCCAACAAGTCACCGGCCGTGCGAGGTGCTGTTGCTGTAGCATCTGTGATCCTGAAGTATAATACATGGGTCCTTCGCTATGCTACCGTACCGCTCATGACCTCATACAACCCCTCCATCGGTCTTTTGCTGAGCCTCTCGCTCCAGAACCTCATGATCGGCTCCCACTCATCCTTGGACGCGGGCATCCCATCCCTCGAGCCCCTCTGGACCTCGACGAAATGGCTGAACCCCTTCCTAAACGCCGAGAGGTCTGCCGCCTTGAGCGCGCTCTCCGCGGGCGGTGCACGGTGGAACAACAGCACGGGCGTCGGGCAGAGGGTCGACAGCGTTGGGTACGAAAGCAGCGACCCGCTCACGCTCACGACCGTCCCGAGCGGGCGCAGCGCGTAGCCAGCGTCGGCGCGCTGCCGCTCGAGCTCGGCGCGCCACCAGCGAAGGGTGTACTCGGCAGCGACGGTCCCGCCTTGGGCGAACCCGAAAAGATGGATGCGGCCGGGTGGCCAGGCGCAGTCGCCTGTGAGGTGCGCGAGGACACGGTCGAGTAGGTCGAGGGCGGGAGTGGGATTGGGCTGTTCGAGCAGCTCGCCGAGTGGGTCGAAAGAGGTGTACCACTGGAAAGCCTGTTCGTACAAAAACGGGATTCTAGGCGGGTGAGCAGGCGCCTCGTATCGAGTGAGAGAAGGTGCTCACTGTTCGGGCGCGCGGAGAGCAAGCGTCGCGGTTTGTGGGAGCTTCAGCTGGTTGCCCAGTTTGCCAAACGGCACATGTGTGTCTCCTGTTTGACGTGTCAAAGTTGGACACTGGGAAACAGTATAGTACATACCTAACCCATGTAGGAGAACCAGTAGGTTTTCGTCCGTGCCATCATCACTCGGAGTGTACGTGAACGGGACCGAAATCGCGGATGATTTGGGCGCTGGCTTCGTCCTGGGTGTCTGACTGCCTCCTGTTTCCCGAAGGTGAATGTCGGACATGTGGTTGCTAGGGCAGTACTCGGCCTTGGTGACAATGGTGCTGCAGTAAGCTATCATATGACATGACAGTGTCTGAAGTTGAAACTTGAAGATCAACGCCACGATCTCGCGATCCGTGACCCAGATCGTTCAGGAACCGATTGACCGCAGAAGGATAGCGAGACTAGCTGGCGGCCACTAGTTGGTGGAGAGTTTGTCCGTATCGCGTTCGGAAACCCGCCGTTTCTCGCACCTCGCTTGATTAATATGATCTGTGTCATTTGTATGCCGCGTAACTCAGATAGGATATCTCAATATAGACAGTACTCTATTGCCCCAATTCTATGTTGCAGTGACTCATCTGCGGTGGGGGAGCCCATCTGCTTCGGCAAGGGCAAGGGCAGATACAGTGCGACGGCTGACAGTGAGAGTGGAAATGACTCTTCGTTCACGATCCCCACACGGGAGTCAGAAGATAATGAGACATCCTATAATTTCCGTGGTATGAATGTAGTGGTAGGTAGGGAACATCGGAATTGATACATGTATATGCTAATGTATGATTCACAACGAAGGATCTATTTATGCTAGTATGCAGAGGCGTATGTATACCCGGCAATATGAGGCTCGGAGGAATGTATAGTACCAGAGTGTGTGTGGGTGTGCAAGTATCATAGGAGCGTCTGATCTGGTAACCAGCGCGAGCATACCACAAAGCGAGGAATTATAGACAGCACGTACAATTATAACGAATATGTATGTGAAGAGCATGTCCCATGAGGTAGTAGAATTTGGGGGGGCTACTTTGACCGAAGCCTCCGCGGCACGGCTTCCGCGTCGCTCACACTGACACGGTCGAGCACCTGGCCAATCGACGGCGAGGCGCCCATCTTGACGTTCCCAGAGTGGGCTGTGGGGGGAGATGCCGATGAGGGCGTGGATATCGACGACTGGCGACGGGGTGTGCGCGGCGAGCCAAGGACGACGCTCTCCCTCTTCGAGCGGCGCCGAACCTGCTCCTGTTCCTTCAGCGCATCAGTGATGCCCTTCTCCACCGAGCTTCTCACTGGGGTCGCCGGGGACTCAGGGATGGCAGACAGCCCTGAGGATGCAGTACTGTTCGCCCCCGTCAGGGACGGGATCGAGCCTGTCGACGAGGACGAGGACGTTGGGGAGACGCCATAGCCGGGCTCCGAGTCTGCGAGGGACGGGATGCTGGGCAAGTCGGTGACATTGATATCCAGCCCTGTCGCGGCGCCAGAGAGCGACGAGCTCGTCCGCCTCGTCCGGCGGCCATTCGCCTGGGACAGACTTGATGTGTTTGATCGCCTCGAACTCGTCCTCCCACCCGCACTCACCGGCCCGGGGCTCACGACCGCGTCAGAGGCCGGCGGGCTGGGCGCGATCAAGTCCGACACCGATTGCTGCATCTCGAAGAGGCCCTCCTCGATGCTCTCGTGATCCCCATGTGAGTCTGTGGACGAGGCGTGCTCAGGCGGGGGGTTCGTCGCGGGGGGCTTGCGCGCGCCTTTGTGACTTCCCTGAGAGCTCGACACGGAGCCCGAGCGCATCCGCTCGCGCATGCGCGTCGCGGGACTCGGTTTTGCAGCGCTCTGGCTCTGGCTTTCCTTCGCAGCCGCGCCGTTTCCGTTGCCGTTCCCAGCGGCCGCTCCGTTCCCAGCGGCCGCTCCGTTCCCAGCGGCCGCTCCGTTCCCTGAGCCCGCGTTCATGACGAGCCAACGCAGACCGGTGATCTCCCGCTCGCGCTTCTTCGCCTCCCGCTCGAGGGTCTCGATGCGGCGCATCAGCTCGCTCTTCTCAACCGCGTGCCGCTCCGAGAGCGTGAGCAGGTACGCGGTGAGTCGCTGGTACTTTGCGCTCTGCCCCTGCAGTGCCTCGCGCAGCTCCTCGACGGTGGTGAGGTGCGCGCCGACTGGGGGTGGCTGGTCGTCTCCATGAGCTGACAAACGCGCTCTCGCCGCCTGGACGGCTCGGTTTTCGGTGAAGAACTGCTCGCGAAGAGCGGAAGGCGGGTTGCTGCTTTCGCGGTCTGCGCTCACGGGTGGACCGCTCCCTGAACTCGCAAGGGTCCCGCTTCCGGTGCTCGTAGTAGACGCAACGGAAGCGGAAGTGCCTCCACGGTGGCGAAACAGTAGCTGATGCACCTGGCCGACGCTCATGCGTGTCGACGCCACGCTCGGAATGCTGGGCATCGTGCTCAGCGATGTACCTGAGTCGCTCTCATCCGACGTGACCCGGTTGATCGAGCGCGTCGATGCAGGTGTGGATGACGGCGGCGAGGGTAGCGGCTCTGTGGGTGGTCCGCCGCGTGCCTTGCGAGCGCCCGCAGTTACCGGAGGCGGGACCTTGCCCCGAGATGTACTGGAAGCAGTGGTGGATGGAATTCGGCTACGCAGAGAGGAAGTCGAACCGGCTTGCGTGGGAGGACTTGCTGTGGTAGGTCCAGAGCGAGTGGGCGACGCGGTGGAAGTGGACGGGGCAGGGCGGAATGGCAGGGTTGTCCGCATACTCGGCTCCGGCGCGCTCTTAGACCCGTCGTCGTCGGAGACAGCCTCCGCCGCGACGCGGGCGGCCGCTGCGGGGACGGCGCTCGCGCGTTTCTGCGTCAGACGTTCGCGTGAGGTCTTCGATTTGAGCATGGCGAAGCCCCGGGCTACCCGTGTGCTCGCGGCGCTGCTTGCGTTGGTGCTCGGTCGACGCGACGCCGACTCGGGATCGGAAGACTTCTCAATTTCGGCGTGCCGCTGTCTGGACGGGGCGGGGAAGGGCACCGGCGTTTGCGGGGAAGGCGGTCTGGAGCTGTCAGAGCGGGGTGACTCTGGTGAATCCTGGGCTTTGCGTCTCGTCTTGAGCGAGCTTACTTGTGGGGGTGGCGAACGTGAATATGGCGTATGGGATGCGCGCGGCGTGATATCATTGTCCCTGTCGTCGTCGGCGGAGTGGGGAGGGGCGGATACGGTGATGGTCGGGCGGCTGCCTTTCAATCGTGAGCCCAAGGGGGCTTTGCGAGTCGCGGCAGCCGTGGGGGGCACAGAGACCGCGTTCTGGCTCTCGTCACTTCGCCGCGTGAACTCGAAGGAGGTGGATTTTTCTGGACGAAGGCGGTTCAGGGTGGGAACTGGGATGGCGGAGCCGGCCTTCGTCTTCTGCTCTGCATGGCTGTCGCTGAGACGCTTGATGGACCTGGAGTGGATGAGGTTCGAGAAGGTGCTAAATGACGGTGGGGAGACAAGAACAGAAGGTAATGGGGGTGAAGGGCCCGCCGTAGCTCTGCTGGGAGATCGTGTCAGTCAACAGTCGTTTGATAAAGAAGCGATCGTATGAAATAATCCCAGTCATGCGGTATGCACGAGGTGACAGCTTGCGCCAATGACCTGCCACATCTAGCGGGTTTGCGCCCGCTTTCGCTGTCCATGCGTACCGGCGAAAAGAATCGGACATCGCTGGGCAACACCTCTAGGGTAGGGACACCGTCACGGGCCCGGTATTGCGCAGCAACCTCGTCTATAGGCCCTACGCGTCATGCCTCGGGTACAGACCCCAACGTGCCAAGGACGCGCCGCCACTGCCCTTCTTTCAACGAACGAGCTAACGATAGGCACGTTTGCCTACAGTCTCCGTTGCACAATGGCCGGCAAGCTAGTTTGCCTAGTGCACGCGCAGGGGCCGAATGGCATCCGCTCCACCAGTGGTAGCCAGACTAGAGACGTCTACGCTCCTGAAATATGTTATGTGGGGAAGCGAGTGATCGCACCGCCCGAGCCCATACGAATCCTGCATGTGCACATTGCCAGTGTGTGCCAAGTGTGTGCGGATGCAATAGATCACAATACACCGGTGTCCACCCGGCGCACACACAACAGCAAACGGGACACCGTGAGACACTCTAGCAGGCTTTGTCGCGAGCGTTGGTAGGTTACCCTGAGGTTACCAGCCCACCTCGTGTCCACATGGAAACTGGCATGGTGTGACCACGCGGCCCCTGCGTGCGCAGTGTACGAATGTGCACCCGTTCGGTGAACTGACGTCGATGGTCCTGCGATGGCCCGGACCACGGCTTTGCCATCGCGACGCACCCCATGCAGAGAATATATGACTGACCTCGTCGGTTGTCTGTTTGCGCTACTCTGAGGCAACGGTGGAACATCGCCCTCATGCTCCACCCTGCTCTCCGACCCCCTGGACGCTGTCGACACGGTGCTCGACTTGCGTTTGCGGCCGAAGAACGAGAGCTTGTGCTTCCGCGGCTCGTTCTGAGCATCCGGAACAGGGCTCTGTTCTGCGTGTCGGTGTTCATTGCGCGCGCCGCGGAGAAGGTCGGAAAGGTCGGAAGTTTTGGAGCGCAGGCGGCTCGTCGACGCTCTGCCTGGTGTAGACATCGCGAAGCCCGCGTGGTTGAACGTGAAGGACCGTGAACGAAAGGATCGGATCGACTGCCGTCGGGAGGGGGGGCGCGTCGGGCGGGCGGGCGAAAAGGGGACGTTACTACGAATATGTTTACAGTTTTAAGGTTCCATGACGAGATGAACGCCAGGTGAGAGTCTGGCCAGGGAGGCGGGGAGAAGGGAGAGGAACCTGAAGACTGCGCCGCCGAAGTCGTTGCGCGCGCGACGCTCGCCCTATCGGCAATCGTGCATCTCTGTGCCGCGTAAATAATTGTTTTGCTCCCGCTCGCACGGAGCTTTGGCTTCGAATCAACGTGCCTGGCCCTGCCAGATTCGCCGCAGATGAGGTTCTCTTCCCCGCGATCACCTTCGCGCATTCCGCCGTCGTCCAGCTCAGCGTGCTCGATGCGCGCGCGCACAAGACCACACCCGCATTGGCCTCGCGCTCGTTCTCAACGCGGCGACCGCTCGCCCTACTACTTAGCTCGGGTGTGTTGATCGTCGCGCGTTGCATGGTGCCGTAGTGCTGTTGCGGGGGCACGAGGTGCATCACCGCCTAGGCCGGGGACCCGACCATGGCGACCACGACTTAGACCGGTTGCCCAGCCACCATCCCCAAGGATTTACGTACTTCGTCTGCTGCTCGGGGATCTCGTCAAATGCTCTACGAGTGCTGCAGGTCCACGCTGAAATGTACAGGCAGCTACAGGCAGGCAGCGGGCAGCGCACTCGCATCGCGTTCAGTAGCCTCATTCACGCGCCACAGAAGCCTTGCCAGATCCGGTTATTTATACAACTCAAATTGTTATTCAATCCAAACCCAATCGTCCCACGTTTCATCAGATTTAGCTTCGGCCAATCGCAGCACCACAACGTAAGATATCGGTTGTTGCATAGAGATGCCTGGCCACGGTGTGCCTTGAATAGTACGTATCGCTACTCACACTAGCTGTCCCCCCAAGACACACGCGTATCTTCTACGGCGTATGTCAGTCAAAGTACATACATATGAACAAAGTACTCGACTTGCATGTGCCCCGATTCCGAAGCGAAAGAATGGAGGGCGATACGTGGACAATCAAGATCCTGTGCTGAGTCTCAACCGGCGGTGACTCTTCAGCGCAGATCCGTCGATAAGTATCGCTGGCCTCGGACCTCGGTGATCGTGGATGCGCCCTTGAAATTTGCCATTCATCATTTCGGGAAGGAGGGGAACGTCAAAACCTGCGGCGATTGCGAAAGTTTCGTGGAAACTTTCACTGAAACTTTCGTGACGAAACTTTCAAACGTTCGGAGGACAGGTTTTGAGGTTTTGAAGTGGTTTTGAAAAGAATGAAAGTTTCATGTTATCGTCTAAACATAATTATCAAACTATCGTGTTCTCAATCTATCGCGTTTTCAATCTATCGTGTTCTCAAACTATCGTGTTCTCAATGAATTTTTCAATCTATCGTCGCACGAGCGAGAACTGTGAAGGACGAACATGGTACGTTGTAAGTGGAACTATATATATAGAGGCAGGGCAGCCAGCGACGTCTCTGCATGCCCACTGGTGCTTTGGGCGATCCCCTGCTTGTGTGCCACCGTTGCGCCCGTCCCTTATCCACTGTCCTTACCGTAAATCTTGGGTCTGCTACACCTTCCAATCGTGGCCGCATTCAGCGCCGTGTATGTCGGTCTATCTCACCCATTGCAATTCGCTGCTGACGGTAACACCACTGACAGTGTTTGACTTCATCGTGTCCTGTTACCGTATTTTACACGCCTCCCCCTGTCTCGTGTCGCTCAGCTTTTGTCGAAGCACAAGATATCGTTCATCGCATCAATAGGGATCCGAGGGTTATCGGACTTTACCTCCCCGACGGACCTCATCAGGAAAACCCCCTTTGAGCATTTGACCAAATTTCACCAGAAATTCCAATAATGTGGAAAGCGCGCGCGATTCGTGCTAATTCGAACATCGTTATACATAGTGTTGAGAATCACCTTCAAACTTGAGAACATTAGTGAGAAATCTCGGTGCACCCAAGAACACGTTAGTAATCAGGCCAAATCTCAGTCCAAGCTGCTGCAAAGCAGTTTTTCGCCGAAAATGCTGAGGGAGACACTATCACACGAGATTATCATCCAGTACTCGGGCATGCTAACCATGTGAACGAGAGCCAACAGAATTTGATTGCAATAATTAGCTATAGTACTGTACAACAACCAGTGCCGCATTCAGCAAGCGCGCAGGCGGGGGGCACGTTCGCCGTGGTCCACAACAGCATAAGTAAACGGTCAGTTTGGATTGCACGCCGTCAGGAGCAGCGACCCAGTGATAGACAAACGGCTCCATGAGGATGGTGGCACAGAACCGTGCGAGCCAACAGCCGATGTGTGTGGGCGGGACGAGCAGCGTCGGCGAGCTCATCGAGCATGCTGAGCTTGAGCTGCATCTGTGGAGGCATACCCGGGGCGCACGAGACAGACGAAGGCCCATTCGAGCTGTCCGACGTGTGCGAGGATATTGTTGGAACGCGCGAAGCCAGACGTCGGGTGTGCGAGTGGTCCGTACATGCGCCGCGCGATGCGCAGACGGGCTGGAGTTGTGAGGAATGGGTGGGCTGGACGCGTGAAGCATGGGCGGGTTGGACATTCGGTGTGCGTGCAGGCTGCCAGTGAATGTTTGATGTGCCGGCACGCTGAACAAACAGTCAGTGTCTCAGTGCAGTCTCGCCACTCACCTCGTCGTGGAACCCATTGTCACGACCATGAGTGGAGGCCTCTGCAGATGCCAACCCACGCAAGGCCGGAAGCAGTGTTGGGCGCGAGTTGAACGAGGGCGGCAGTGCAGGTAAGGATGCAGGCAGCGAGGGTGTGCGAGAGGCGAGGGTAGCCGCGGAGAAGTCGGAGGCCGCGACGATGGCGTTGGTGCATGGGAGGACGGGAGAGGTGCGGAGGCGGGAGTGAGGATGGCGGGAGTGATGCAGGGAAGGTGATGGGAGGAAGAGAGAGGTGCGGGCGCGGGGCAAGGCCGCGTCACGGCATGTAGAGGGTGGAGAGGGCGCGCGGACGGGGAAGGAGCGGTGCGGGTACGACGCACAGGGACGGGGACGACTCACCAGAGGGCGGTGGCGGGCGGTACGTCGCGGTGACGGAGCGGCGGGGACACGACAGCGCAGTACTGTCGCAGGTCGTGGCACTGTAGTCTGTGACAGGCGGCCGCGCAGCACGCGAGGATGCGGTGGTGCGGGTTGAACGTGGGAGAGGCGGGCGGTGTCTCGACCGTCGCGCGACCGTCTTGTCGTGTCCGTTGGCGGCGGCGGTGGGCGGGGGCACATGGGAGGTGCATTGCATACTTTGTGGCTGAGAACGAGAAGTTCAGAACGACCCAGTAACATTGCAGCGGGAAACATGTCACATGACTGCTCGGCCGAGCCCGAATTCGGCGCCACGTCATGTATTCCGTGTGACTCTCCCTCCTCCTTGCCTTCTCCTTTAACTTGCCTCCGCCCCAACGCGAACCTCTAGCCCTCTTGTCCGACCATCGTCGACCATCATGATACGTCCCATCTGCTTCGTTTCTCCAACTGAAGCACGCACCCTCCCACTTATCACCCGCTGGAGCCGCCGTGGACCAGCAGACTGACCTCGGGCGCCCACTGTGCGAGCCCGAGTCGTCTGCTGTTGAAGCCGACCGCAAAGTCAGACAGCAAACGTGTCAAACACAGAATTCGAGACGGAGGAGGCGTACCTCCGCAAGGCGCACCCGACGCTAGACGACATCCCGGGTGCATGTCGCCCTTTGACGACTTTCTCTCCAGGAACAGTACGTCCCCTCCCTCCTCTCCCCTCCCCTCCATCCTCATTCGCTCTTGATACCCACGCTGACGTGCCTACACAGTTGTGGGCAGCAGCTCACCTCGCTCTGCCGCTACGGCCACCTGTCCGTGTGCGGCCTGAAGCTCGCCGAGTTCAAGTCCTTCATGTCGCTCAAGGGCCTGCACCCCGAGGAGTGCCGCAATGTATGGATCCTGCGCCGCGCGGAGTGGCAGGTGCGTCGGCGGATGGAGAAGAGTAGTGAGGATGTGATGAGCGTATGTTCGTTCTCTTTCCGTATGTGGTGAGTTCTGCTAATGGTGGACGTACAGGGAGCCGCTCAAAGACTTCCCGCCTAAGAGGATGTACATACCCTCTGGAACCGGCTCTCCGAGTAGGAGTGAGTGCAGGCGTGAATGAACAGATGAGCGGGGCAAGTGTGGGGTTGGACGAATGCAGCGGGCACGGGTATGGATGAGCAGGCGCGGGTGCTGCACGACGAGCATGAGCATGCAGGGCAACTGCTCGGCGTGCAAACATGCTCGACAAACAACACCCAGTGGGAAAGGATGTAGGTACAGGCTCGCTAGTAGTTGTAGTCTACAAGAACATTGTCGTACTGTTACATTCAATATTGCAATGTTCCTAAATCCCCAGAACAACGGAAAGATGAGAGATAGACCGGATAATAAGTGAGAAACACTATGAGATCAGCTACAAATGAGGTGCAAATGCGTGAAAGGTGCTTGTATTGAGCGTTCATTGTCTATAATTGTTGCTATTTCTCAGACGACATCTCGAGGTAAGCTCATCTGAGATAAACGAGATAATGTAGTAGTGATCCTGATTCTCGATTTTTACCTGAAACTTTCGATAATTTCTTGTGATTCTCACATGGGATTTTCCTGATGCTCTTCCGCTCTGGTATCGCACCGACCCGTCGCGCACGCACTCAGGCTCGGCACGTGGAGGTGGAACTGCTGGGAAGGACGAGGCTCGAATGAGAGGTGTGTGATCTACACACGATATCAATATATTGAATAACACTTGTTTTTGATGCTTGCAGGTGGCTCGGTGATATGTACAAACTGCAGGCTTCCTGCGAACCAAAACTGCAAACGAGTCTATTGCAAGTCCTGCTGTGTCGCAGCGTCCGAGCGTGCGGAAGCTTCCGGTACGCCTGCACCACGGTGTGCACCACACTCGATTCGTTCGAATGCGAAGACTGCGCGTACCACTTCCGGGCCCCCTGCTGTGTTGCAGTCGTCTTTGGGCACGCAGGTTGCCCCACCTACATCCTCGCAGCATGGTTCTTCCTCCTCCCCAGGCACAGGTTCAGCGTCTTCGCAGCCTAATATGGCATCTGCATCCTCACAGGCCCAGACTCTCACAGGCCCAGCTCCTACTACTACATCGCTTAGTACATCCACCGAGCCATCACCGCTTATTCGCTCAGGCCAGTATGCACAGCCTATGCGGCTGTGGAAGGACATGCCTTCCGATTGGCTGTCTGAGCGCACGCGGGTACACGACAAATGGCTGACTGAGGGAGTACGACGGAAGGAGAATCTCCAGGAGGCCCAGCAACAACGGCAGCGATCCATCTCGCTGATATGTTGGACAAGTGTACGTGCCTAGCTGTCACTGTCATCATTTGTATCACTAACTCCTGTGGCATGTTGAACCTGCCAATACAGCCAGATACTGAGGCTTTGGAGTTATCTCCAGTCGTCGTGCCCACGTACCCTTCGTTCCGAATCACCGACCACGACGACATCTTTCAACTCGTATGTCCATCACGGCAAGATGCGACCAAGGCATACTATCAAGTTTACGACCCTTCGAAGAACAAGTGGCCCATCTCACCGGCCATGAGTTTCCGCGATGTACAGAATGTGGCGACTCTGCTACTACGTACGATTCCTTCGCTCGCCGATTCAACGTTTGATGCTACATGCTATCCAGGCATGGTGGCAGCGATGCAGTCGCTCTGTAAAAAGCGCACCGTAGGGTCATTAGACGACCCCGCGATACCATTCAATGCACCTGTCGCTAAGCGGCCTCGGCTCACGAGTATGTCGGAGTCGTCAGACACACTCTCTGTTCCCACTGCGCGGCCACACACACACTCATCGCCCGGGCCTGAGCCTGTTGCAAGGCACAACGAGCATATCTGGCCCCGTGTTGCGATGGCCAATTGGAGGGCTCACTCTAGCTCTACAGCTGAGCCAGACTCGTCTTGTGATCGCACCCTGCCAGCAGTAGACGAGGAGCCAGAGGATGATGAGCTCTCGGCGGCCCATACTACCCCTGTTGCACCCTTGGTCCCTGTCCCGTCCGAGCCACCTGTTACTCGTACTCCTGGGAAGTCATCTAACTCAGGTATGTCGCCTGTCCCCATCCCAGGCTCTCTAGTACTCATTGTAGGTTTGTCATCAGTCAGCGACGAGCCTCTGCAAACAATCCCACGCGGCTTCCAGGTACGACGATACATGGGCGCCAATGTCTCGTTCCCGAAGAGCCTCCCATTCGTGTCCATCTACAATGGGCTGATCAAGGTCCACACGATGCTCACAGCACAGCGTAACCCACAAATAAAGCGGGAGGTTGCATGCGAAGCAGTTTGGCCCGGCTACCAGTGGAAGGGTAAGCGAGCAAAAGGGTACGATGATGCTCGAAACGATCTCGGGCGTGGCGATGCCCATCTGTGGCAGCGTGCCCTCAACACCGAGAACGCACTCTGGGGCGATTACACACGGTGCTTGACATCGCTTGGACGCGGTATATCGAAATCGCCCCGCTTCCCTTGGGACAAAGACGATGCTAATAGCCTTTCGTCTCTCGCATCGATCCCTCAGGCCCACTCGGAGCCTCGTTCTACGTCAATCGCTCAAGTGGACGAACCCTCGCCGCCCTCTGTTGATCCCCGGGCCAGTGCTGCTCCCGAGCCTGAGGCACTGCCTTCCGAACCTGTCAATGCCGAGTCGTCTCCGAGTCCTTCCACGACAGCAAGTCCGGGTCCTGCACCCCTGCCACTGCTGGGTGACTTCGCTGCCCATACAGACGGGCGTCGGTCTGGGCTAGAAGCCGCCCAGTTGGCTGGCTTAGGCTCGCCACCACCTTCAGCCGAAGTTGCCCGACACCAGGCGTCAGAGCTTCTGTCTCTGCAAGCAATCGTTCCACATGACGTCCCATTGCTACTTCAGCCAGATGTCGCTCACTCGCCGCCCCATGCTGATGCCATTCCCGGCTCCCCTCAGGTGTATGGGCTACAGTCTACGCTAGCGATTGCACAGTCACATGACCTAGAGCCGCTACCTTCCGAGTCGGACATTCCTCAGGTAAGTACAATCTCGACCTCTTCTAGCCGTCGCACTTACTCCTTTTCCTTTGTTTATCGCTCAGGCAAGCGATCCAGCGGTCGTTGCTCAAGCAATCGGGGCCATGCTCGCCCAGGACACCATCTCGTCCAAAGTTCAAGCCATATGTTCGCCTCATGCGGCCAATATTCAGCCAACTGGCCTCTCGCCGCTATGGTCGGATACTCGCGTGTACCCGATGTACAACCCAACCCCTCCGTCTTATATTCCCGAATCGCCCGGCTCGGAGCTGCCGTCGTATTTTGGCGGTGGCTGGGATGGCGAGACGTTTGGTTTACTAGAGCACAATGTCGTCGGTATGGATTCTTTCTCCAATGGTATGTGCTTCTCTACCTCGCTATCAGGCGAACCGAGCTGACAATGTTCAGACTTTGCACAATCAGTACCTGATGGTGCGGTTGAAGCCCTCTTCGATCACGATCACAACGTCGGACAATCTGCTGCTAGTGACTATACAGGAAGTGCATAGTTTCGATGTTTTATAACGATCTTCAGGCGAGTATATAGCCCTTACTACGACCTACTACGACACCCCCATAATGCCTACACCATCCTGTTCATAATATCAACCCCCTACACGATACCTGCCCATATAACCCCCTGCCCCAGTACTTCTCCTAGATCAACTTAGTAGCACTAGCCACTTAGGGTACGGCTTTCACGACCATACATACACCTATGAATAATCCTACAGTAGGCACAGTCCACACAATAGATCACTGTCAGTTGCGGCATTCCTTGCCACAGCTTGTCACTGCCTAGCGACCATTGTGCCAGCAAAAGAGCAGACGCGAACGACAGCACAAAAGCATCAGTAGAACTACTTCATACAGCACGACATGCGGGATTATTGTTACATAGCGCCGGCGACAGAGTTCGTGAGTACATGCAAGCAACCAGACCACGGTATACCAAGGACGACTATGTACATCTCTTCCTTCTTGAGCCACTCGCTGTCGTTAGAAGTTGTTGGCCTCGGCCGCGTCAACCGCGTCGAGCAGGTCGGCATCCGCGTTAGCATCTGCACCGACCTCCGCGTCGGCGCCAGCGTCAGCATCGGCACCCATGTCCTCGGAAGCGTGGGCCACCACCGCTTGCCTGCGATGCGTCAGAGCCTCTCGGGATCCTCTGGCAGCGCCGTTTGTGACGCCGTTCAGGGGCGGTGTGTTGCTCAGCGAGCTACTGTGGTCTGTCGAACGGTAGTTGCTCTGCGGCACCCGTCCGGCGGGGCTCGGTGCACGGGATCCCTTGGGCCGTGAGACGCGGTCTCGCTCCATCTCGGAAGCGCCATCGCCATCGCCAACGGATACACCGGGCAGCCTGGCGATGTACAGCGGGGTCGGAGGCAATCCCAAGTGGCCGGACGGCGGCAACGTCGGTTGCGTCCTTGCTTCCTCACGATCCCGTTCGTGGTCCCTTTCATGGCGTGAGTACAGCGATGTCATGGACGAGGCGAGACCGAAGTGTCGCGAGGATTGCGAATGCAGGTAGGAGTGGTTGACAGAGAGGGTATCCGAGCGGTGGAGAGAGCGGTCCAAGAGCACGGGAGATGCAGGGTCCGTAGCCAGAGCGAGCACTGCGAACGTGTCCATGATGATGTCAATCCACAACAGCTGCACCGCCGAGAGCAGACCACTCCGACGCCGATGCAACGGCCGAAACAAAAGCCACCACGATGGCCTGACGTTCGTCGAGAGCTGCAAGAACTTGTGCACCACGTCGTTCATGCAGCCACCCCAGATGATCGCCTTCACAATCAACGCCAAGTTGTCGTCCATGAGGATAATGTCGGACGCCTCCTTCGCAGCTTCCGTGCCCGTGATACCCATAGAGAAGCCGACGTCCGCGGTCTTGAGGGCAGGCCCGTCGTTCGTACCATCGCCAGTGACACCGACGATCTCGCCGAGCTCACGCAGCTTCTCAACGAGCAGCTTCTTGTCCTCAGAAGATGGCCGTGCTTGTCCTCAGAAGATGGCCGTGCAAGCACTTGCAAGCGAGGGACAGCTTCCAGGAGCTCTTGGTCGTTTAGTTTCCGGAACACAGGGCCCTCCATGATGGGGCCGCCCTCAGAGAAGATGCTACATTGAAGCGCGATAGAGCGTGCCGTGTACGCTATCCCCAGTGCACATTTTCACAGTAACACCGGCCTTGAAGCAGTTCGCGACAGCTTCACGGACGCCTTCTCGCAGAGGGTCCTCGATCCCCGTGATCGCGATGAGGGTCAGATCCCGGGCCAAATCTTCATACTCGACCTAGCATAGAAATCTCAGCGATGCAGAGGGAACGAGGAGTGGCCAACTTACCTCGTCATCTGCAGTGTACGACGCACCTGCAGGCGGCCAGGATTCGAAGTCACGATAACACAGCGTGATCGCTCTCAGCATCTGGTTCGCATAGAAGATGGTCGCCCGCGACACATTGTCCCTCGCCAGGTCGTCGATCTCCCTCGTCTCGACACCGGCCGGCTCACTGGCGTCCCCGCCGCGCGTCACGGTGACGTAAGTAGCTCGTGCACTTGCACGCGAGGATCTCGCTCGCGCCCTTGAGGTACAAGCGGCACCTGCCGTCGCCCAGCTTGACGACGGCGCCCATCGCCTTGCGCGAGCTCGAGAATGGGACCATCTGCACGATGTCCGCGGCCTCGCGCGTCTTCTTGTAGTCCGCCCAGCCGAGCTCCTTCGCGAACTTGAGCAGTGCCATCTCCGTCTTGCTCCCGATGAACACCAGTTCATTCGTGTCCGGATCCGTGTCCTCAAAGGCCGTCGGGTGGATCGCGATCGTCTCGTTGAAGAGTTCACGCAGCGCCGGATGGAGGAACCTCGTCGGAGGAACCTCGTCTGCGTTAGCTCTTGCACGCATTGAGGCGGCCTGCGCATCGCGTGAGGAACTTCCTGTCGCGGCCTTGCCGTACGCATTAACGTGTCGAACCCATCGTGCCGAGTGCGCGGTTGCTCGACCTCTGGTCTTGAGGTGGTGGCGACGGGGCGGCTGCCGGTACCGGGCGCGAGAGGGGCGGAGGTCGAGGAGTGTCGGCACGAGAGTCGAGCACAGGCAGATGGACGCGCCGTGACGCTTACGCATTGGCTCGGTTCCCACAGGCCTCCAAATGGGCGGAATGAGCACCGCTGGGGCTGGCGCATTGCAGAGAGTGGTGGAAGAGGGTGGCTGAGAGCCTCGAGGCGCGATCGTCGAGGTGTAGGAGCAACGGTCGGCCGGAAGGCTGCATGGGCGCCAGCGTGCGGCACACGTAGCGAGGGGCGGAATCGGAGCGTGCAGCAGCAGGCGGGAGCACAGAGCCTTGGTACCTCCAGAGGCCTCTTGGGAATCCTCGACTGCCTGCGCCACAAAGCGGTGGGAGATGGTGGCCGGCGAACAAGGGCCGGGGAGCGCCCGTGCAGAGCACTGCACAGGCGCTAAAGACCCATGGGCAGTGCGCAATGCGGGTGGCGGTGCCTACGGGCGATGTGCCGTGGTGGGGGTTGCAGTCGGCGGACGTGCGCGATGGGTGGGCATGGTAGAGAGATGCGGGAGGCAGCGGCATGGTGCGGCGGCGGGTGCGTGCTGGCAGGTGTCAGCGGGCTCCATACAAGGGGGGCACGCTGCACGCTAGTCAGACTTCGTGTTTTTCGACTTCTTCGGCTCGGCGCTGTCGCCCGCGAGCCACAGCGCGCAGAACGCGAGGAAGGCGGCGCTCGTACTGATCGCGCCGGCGTAGTAGGGCCACGCGGGGCTCAGGAAGTGCGGGTACTCGTCGTGCCGCGGCGGGACGACCGGGACGGCGGTCGTGCTCTGGAGGTAGGACCAGCTGCGGGTGGCATCGCGCGTTAATACGCGTGCACGGAACTCGCTCGAGATGGCAGGGAGGAACGCACCCTTTTCGCTTGTAGCCAACGTTGAATTTGAACACGCCGTGCCGGTCGGGGACGCGGAACGTCAGCGAGTAGTCGCCGGGCACCCCGGGCGTCGGCTGGAGCGCGGTCCGGATGTGGGGGTCCAGCATCGTGAACTCGAGCTGCATGTCGTCGATGCCAGAGTACGGCTCCCACTCAGCCGACGTCGGGTTGTACTTCGACACGCGGAGCGTGTACGTCTGTAACGGATGCGGGCACCGGGTTCAGCGCGATCCACGGCACATATGAGGTGAGCGGACGCACGACGCGATCGTTGATCGTGTATCTGTCCCGCGGCGTGGTTTCGTTGACATGGTGGTGCGTGCTGCCGTCAACACGCAGCACACCCGTCTCTTGGAAAGTCCACGCTGCCACATCGGCAGCGAACTGCTCGTGCATGCTGTAGGCGATACGGCGGTGAGGGATAGTGGTTGGCGGACGCACAGCGGGCGGGGCACGGTGCGTAAAAGTCGACGTTATGGGCGGGCTGTGTATGTGCAGCACACAACGCCACTCGCGCCGGGGCGTGGTGCCGAGCGTGTTGGACGAGGGCAAGGATGGCTGTGCAACATTGGGTGTTCAGTCCAGGAGACGAAGGCACGGTCGAGCCTGTGCTTGGCCTTGGAAGCGTCCGCACGGAGGTGCTCGAGGTTGGCCTGCTTGTCCTTGCCAGGAATGGCGTGGTCCGCGCGAGCCTCCTGGTTCGTGGCGGTGAAGTCGGGGTAGTAGATCGGCGGGAGCAGCTTGCCGAGCGTGGCCATGTGCGGCATGGCCTGGCACTGGAGGTCCCAGTCGAGCACCTGGGCACGCTTCATGGCCTCGTCCATGCGCGCGCCGGAGATGTCCCAGCCGCCGCGGACGGGGTCGCTCGGGTGCACCATGGGGAGGACGTCGGAGACGGGGACGTGGGCAGCGTTGCCAGTGGACAGGTCGGAGCCGAGGCGGGCAGTGCACGCGTGGAGGGCCGAGAGGGAGTAGCTGGGCTGCTAGGTGCCGGTCTTGGTGGTATGTAACATGGTGTTATGGCAGTCGGCAGGGTTCATGGGGGACAGTATGGTGCCATTCGCAGGGCGCGAGCGTGTTGGACGGGGGCGAGGGCGGGCGTGTAGACATCTGCAAAGGAAATTTGTCAGCACTATTCGGTGTAAATTGAGTTGCTTTGTACATACCGGTAGTTGTGTAAAATCTCCGGTATCCCATGCTTGCTGCTCCCCGCGATGCCGTGGAGCTCTGATACTGCCAGCAGAGCGACCCATCCGGTACGAGCAGCTCATCACCCGGCCTCCGTGAGGGGCCAAGGCAACCGTGACATCGCACACAAACAGGCCGATACCAGTAGTACACAACGAGAGCGTATGGAGTAGATCCGGGGGCTAGTGGGCGGGGCGGGCGACGGCGTTAGGGAGAGCGTCCAGCGCGCTGTGCAACGCGCGTCCTGCCTGCGCGCCACAGCCACAGTCACGTGACTGAATTTGCACGGACGCGCACCTGCAACGCGGAATAGTACCTGCCTGCACATCTATCCATCGAGTCGTGGACATCGTGAGTGCAATATAATTTGTGAGTTGGCCTATGGTCACTTACTATTGTATAGCCTGTGATCGATCTGGTATTTCATGGTGACCTACTACATGGTATACTGACTTACCGCTTTCGCAGACCGACACGATCAAGACGATGGCGACAAAGCGGGAGACGTTTCTTCAGCTTGCAGTGCGGCTGGGACAGGACACGCGCGCATTGTCCACCCTACTGCTTTCCTGGAACGATCGCTACCACAAGGATGCTCTGGGTATCCTGGACGGACACCTGCGTAGCTTGGGTGCGGCATCATCCGAGGCCATTCTCGGTAAAGACCCATTTTCCGGGTTCGTCAGTTTATGTGCGACACTCAAAGACGAGATACCTTTGATCGTGGTGGTCACTATGAAGAAAAGGAAGGCAGGACAGCAGCACTATCGGAAAGTCCACCGGCGATTAATCGAAGACCTTGGGCTTCGCCGGATGGACAACGATGTCCGGATGGCCAACCTCAGGGCAATCGCATACGAGATCTGTCTTCCACGGCTTCATGTTCCTTACCCTGGCCACCGACACTGGGTTTATGAGACCCCCGAGATCGAGGCACTCTGGCGACCTCACATCGAGACCGGCCCACTGCCAGACAAACGGATGAAGCGTCTGCCGATGCTGGCCGAAGACATCTCGCAGCTCGTCCATATCGTTCCGAAGGACAAGAGTGTAATCATCTATGATTCTGCAACTGGGCAAATCGCTGTCGCAGTCATTCGCAATTTCTGCGGTGATCAACAAGTCGTAGATTGGGCAGGAGATGTGGTTAGTTTGAATGCGAGCCTGAGGCGCAACGTGCGGGTGAGTTATGCAACATTTATATGCAATGTATAATATATTAAGTAGATTGAGACAGAAGGGAGATCCTGGGACCCTTGTCTGTATCGGCTATACAGCAGGTTCACGGTCTAGCCCTTGTTTCGTCTGGACCCGCAACACACTCAGCAAGAAACACCCGCCCGAATACCTCAAATCCCTCGAATGCCGCACGGCGTCGGTCTGTTCCCTCTCATTCAATATGATGTGTGGCCGTCTTCCCGATGCCATCACGCAAGACTTTGAGGACTTCCTCGCAGAGCACAAATTTTGTCGGATGGATGGTAATGGCGAAATGGCGAAGAAGGGTAGCACACGTGGGACGTACTGTGTTGAGAAGGCAGGCGAGTTTGTGGAATTTCACAATGCCGAACTCGCTCCGCCTGCTGCATTTATGGGGGCTAACTATGCTCGGTACGTCTCCATGGCACTGCAGTGTATGGCATTGTGCTCACGAGATAATAGAGCGATGCATTCCGAACACCAGCCACACAGATATGCATATTCCTGGACAACAAATCGTAACCTGAGCGATGACGAAGGAGGGAACTTCTATGTCGCAAGTTATGGTGTCAAGGTGTGTATGGCACCGAACACTTTCATTGCGTGGTGCCCGCGGGACGTCCATGGTACGAGCCTGATGAAGCGGGATCCTGGCCGCCCAGATCCCCCATTCGCACAATGGGGTCTGTCAGTCGCTACAAGTTCACGGCTACCAGGAATATGGAAGAAGTACCGTGAGGGGCTCATCTCAGCTGAACAAGCTGCAAAGGAGTGGGAGGAGACACTTGAGGACGATCTCATTGACGACGAGAAGTAATACAGTATGTACTTTATACAAAGATCGGCAAATGGTCATCGTACTATGTGATCTAAGGTATATTCAAGCCTGCTCCCACACCACATACCAGAACATCGCACGCCCATGCTCTTTCGGCTTGCTACAAAGTGATCCCCGTGTCTCGAGCTTTGAACGAGGAGCACTGCTTGAGCGAAGGTCCCTGGCAGCGACGGCACGGGCACCGTGCATTGAGCTTCATGCAAACACCACCCATCCATCCAGAATGGTGCACTGCACTCCTCCGGTTCGCTGGATACCGATTTCCGCGATATGAGCCGCGCGAGCCGCGGCGGCGGGCCCTGCACGAGAAGTGCACGACAAAGGTGTTGACAGACACACGGGACACAGGAAGGGTCACATCACACCTCGGGTCGCTAATGCACTCGCCGAGGAGCCACGGCTTGTGGATGCGCGTCGCAGAGAGGACGTTCCAGATGATAGCGTGTACGCCCCACGCCAGCACAGCGCAGCGGCCCTTCGGCTGGACGAAGCACACAGCAACAGCAGGGCCTCATGGCCTCACCCCCAGCTGACACACACAGCTGCGTGGTGTCGCGCATCGCGGGCGTCCGGGTCGGCGCCGT